TTGTTGTGACCCGCTGCTCTTCCTGTTTGCAGGTTTTTGACATCATGCACAACATTTCCCTGAAACTAGACGGGTTATCTGGCCAAAAATTCCCCATTTTAGTCCCTTCTGCGGTATCACTTCAGGATTCCCGCAGAGATTCCAAGAAGCAAGATCTGGGGGATCTCAGTATAAAGTTCTCCAGCCTGCAAACAACCGTCTCCTCCCCCGCAAGAGTGTTGTCAACCAATGTCCCCGTTATGTTTTGCATAGCATCATGTAAGTAGACACAAAACCCCCTTGCTCAATATCCGCATACTATCTGACCACACTCCACACACTCCATCTAAGACGTACTCGAGCTGTCTTGGACAGACACAACATTATCTTGTGCCTCGGCAGCCCATGTATCTACCAATTGCCTAAACCGGGTCGAGGACGATGCTGATAGCCATCAATCTGTATAAACTTTTACCTACCAAGTCTCTTGCGGCTCCGCTCCCTGCTACGGTGACATCCCGTGATTCCTGTACGAGCAAATCCACGTCCATTTTCCTACACTAACGGGTTAACCGGCCCTACGAAGCGACGCTTCGCTTTTAACCGTCTACATTTTTGTTGGATGTGTTTGCGTCAGTCGGTATCCGTCATGGGTAAGGGCATGTCGCTGGTTGAGTTGAGTTGGGTTGGGGTTCTTATCATCCCCCCCCTACATACATTTCCCTCAGCTTATTACTAACCGGCCGCCGTTTGTGTGCGTCGTTACACTACGTAACCCTTTCCAGCGTGGTGGAAAATAATGCGGGTTGTCCAGCTCTGATGTCATTCGGCTGACCGGCTCGCCCGTATCGGATCGGATTCTGCAATTCATATGGCTGGTGGTTGGACGAGTTCCGATCTCAGTTGATCGATGTTTCCGATCCTATTTTTTTTCTCGCTCTGTCATCTCGCTTTCTTCCATATCGATATCCTGTTTGCTCGAAACAAAGGAGTGTGGGGAATTGTTAACCTGTGTTGACTGGCTAGCCCAGTCCAGCGATACGGCGCTTTGTCTCAATGACGAACAGGCTGACAACTCTGAACAAACTTAACAGAAACTGTTTGATGTTTGCGTGACCCTAAACTGGGCCCAACTGCTCTGGATACCTACATCAGCAAGAGCTGTACGTAAGGTACTTGTCGTAAGTACGGCCGTACGTATGTAAGAGCATCTTAGAGCCTTGACGCCCTGCGATAGAGAGGTGCCAGAATTGCAATACCAATTTCCAAAAACAGACATTCGTTACGGCCTTATGGGCGATAATTCGGCTGTTCATTCTCGAATCGAGCGTACCTTGCGAAACGCGAAACACTTAAATGACGTACACGACGAGACGAGACAGCCGTACTTAGACGCCCCAACCAGCTTCCTCAAAGAGGGTAGAATCTCAAACGATTCTGCTCGCTGACAGGGACTAAATCTGGCATGTGAGAGTAATGGATTCGGGGGGTTCGGGGCGTCAGTGGCGCGCCACCTAGCGCCACCGATCAGCGTGTCTCACTACCTCTTCCGATCAGCTGCATGCGCTAGCCCCGATCTGCCCAGGCCTGCAGCTTGGCGAGCCAAGCTTTTCCAGATGTGAAACTCTGACAGGGAGCCTTGGCGTCGTTATCCCAGGGTGGGGTCATGGTTGATGGGGGGTTTGTTCCTGATCCGATGTGTGTGATGCAGTGCGATTGCAAGGGGTCCGCGGCTGCCGCCGGGAATCGAAATGCTTGAAAGCTGAGAATGGCTGTTTGCTCTGCTCTAACAGGCACGGAGCTTCAGAGAGCTTAACGAAAGTAGCAACATCCCGCCGGCCCGTATCGCGGTCGATCATGGCAGAGTAGGTGTCAATGATGTGAAAAGATCGGAAGCGTTCATGCAAGTAGCTCAAATCTCTGCGTTCTCTGCAACCTCAGCGGCCCGATCAGTAATGTCAGTGTGTCGCATCAGGACTGCACTAACAGCAAAACCCTCCAGTCAACAGTTCTCAATACAAGTAACGGTAGTTTATCTGATACGGTTGCCTTGCCAAGCTGGTGTAACCCGACATTGAAATGCCAAGCTCCGTCTTGGGAGAGGATACCCGCCGGGCAGTTGAGCGTTGTGCGGCCGCGCGAGACCTGTCAAGGAAATTAGGGATCGAGGGGCGCATACACGTCATCGCGGTCACGACAGATACGGAGTATGAGAAGACCAGCGTGACATGTCGACCCACGACATGGGGCGTAGCCCCTTCCAGAAGCTCAGAGCTGACAAAAACTAAAACGTTGCGATGGCATCAGCGACTTTGGGAGACCGGTGTACGGTCACAGGGAATCGTATTTTGAGCCTGTGATGGAGACTCGGTAAGATATAGAATTGAGGTTGTGGGATTCCCACCCTGCGAGGGTGGCCTGATCGTGAGTCTTGGCCTGTCTTGGGCTGATGAACAAGTACCTAGACGGATGAAATTGGCTCATCATCAGATGTGTAGGCTGCCATCCACGTGGGTTGCCATGAGGCTCTGCCCATCGAACCCTGTCAATCGCCGGCAGTGGGCCGGTAGTTGGGTCCAGACCTAAGATAACACATTGTCGAGATCTCGACAGACCGAGGCTTACGCTGCGATTTTGAGCTAAACGCCGTTGTCGTTGTTTTCAGCTCGGTGCTATCGGACCCACCACGCGGATCTAGTGTGGTCGCCGTTGCTTTGATGTCATGGAAACTGCAACGTCTTTCCATCTGCTATGACGATGGGCTTTTTTTCGGGACATGTCAGGGGACTGGTGATGCAACTCTGCGCCGGGCTAGTTCTGCCGAGGAAAGCCGATCGGTCCTGTCCATGGAGGTTTGCACCGGAATCACGAGCCAGCAGCAACGGAGTGCCAGGTGCGAGATCCTGAGGAATTGAACTTCCAACCGGTACATCCTGATGGTTTGTGCAAGACGCCATGCCCAGGCTGGCAGCTGATAAGGACTCGACTCGACTGGTGAGCAGAAGGCGGTCGCGGAAGGCCCGGAAACTCCAAGCCGAGGTCCGAAACGGCAGTCCCATGCTTCCGAAACCAGAGTTCGAGGATCCAAGTTCGAGAAGGCGAAAGGAAGATGGCACGGGAAAGGCCGGGATATGTCTGTGGTTGGGGTTGGCTTCTGGCTCCGGCTCAGGGCAGACAGGACGACAAAGTTGCGGGCAGGTGGCAACCATTTTGGGAAGTTGGACAAGGCTTTCACAACCGACAGGCTCCGGACGACCGGATCCGCATTTCGGCGAGATGACCGGCAAATCCTCAACCTAAACCCACTGCCGAGCGCTGTGCCGCTTCCGTGCACCAGCTGTATCCCGGAGGAGGGTCCGATGCCAAGGGGCCTTGGTCCCGGGCCAAGACCCGAGCCCCGGACAAGACTGGTCTGTGCGTCGGGGGATCCGGGGCATCACCGGAGACGGGTCCGGACGTGCCAATTAGTTGGTTGCGACATTGGACTTCGGGGGTTCGGGAACCTGGGGCTCATGTAATGGTCCGTGCGTTTCTCCGGGTACCGGATAAGTCCCCGTGCCGATCCATTGCTCCCTCTGGGCTGGCTGGGAGAAGAGCCTGATATCTAGCATCGTGTAACAGACAACAAAACTACCACTCAAGGGTCAAATCGAAGAGTCTGCTGACGTGTGTTTGCTCACACCGCTGCGCTAGCACCACGTTGTGCGCTCGCCGACGCTGACGTCATCCTGATCACCGATCAACCCGTTCGACAACATCAACTCTCTAAGGAAGGCCAATATAGATGCTGTGATGCTGAACGTCTGGGAGATGCGACCTCACGCCGGCAATCTGCCCAATGGATGAAGTCACCATGTTTTTGTGCGTCCAAACATGAGGCCACTTGACCTCCCACCAACCACCACGCAATCTTCCGTCGGTGTTTCGCAGGCTCTTTTAGATTTCTTCCACATCGCTCGCCTTAGCGCAAGCAGCATCGGCATCCCGGAGATTCACCGAGACATATGCTCTAGAAACCCGGGCCAGCTGTCCAAAATCCGCGCGCGTCTTACTGCAATCTTCTACCAATCTGCCTGCACCGATGCAGCGGGACAGCCAATTGGGAGGCCGCCTTGTGGCGCACGTGGCGGAGGTGTTTCATGCGACCGTGGTGTTGAGCTTGGCTCGGGGGTTCAGGGGAATGTTGCATTTCCCCTGCAGATTTTTGCCGCCATCCAGTGCGGCCCGCTCTCAGCGGCAATGAAGTTGCCGTCGCTGGGGGAACACACTGAACGGTTGGATCGCACCAAATAACCGCTTGCGGAACCAGCGACGCTTGTCAATGGCACACATACCAGAGCGCCTATGGCAGCTTTAGTCTTTGAACAATCGTCTTTGGAAGCGTTGCGAGCCATATCGTCCCAGCATAACTTGGCGCGACACAGCGTTTGTGTTGGGGATTGCAACACTTTTTGGCAGCAGTTGTTTGACCTGAAAACCCTGGAGAATTTCGCGTGGGCGCGGTTTCGACCTCTGACCCTGGCAATAACAGTTCTTGGCGGACCCCATGGAGGGGTCGTGACCCCCAGGTGCAGTCATTTTATCTCAACTCCTTTTTTGCAAACTCGGCATTGTTATGGTTATCTGATGCTGTGTCCTTTGCTGAGTTGATGCAACATGTTTGATGACTTCAGCTGACTCATTGTCTAAGCTTTTTGGGCGATTGGGAGGGCTCGTGCTGCACTTTTGCGCCATAAGGTGGACGCTATTTCAGGAATGCGGGTTGTGTGTTTCGGGACGTTACAACGCCCAGATCTAAGGTTCGCCCCTGAAAACTGGCCGCCTCGGCGCATAAAGACTTGCAGTTGGGACGAAGGGCAAACATACCATTCGTCCCTTCAGCATATGTGTTGTTGTTGGGCAATCTCGAGAACCAGTTGGCACTTATAATACCTAGTGTTGCCCTCTCCGTGGGCCATGCCACCACCTCAAACGGCATTCCGTCATCATCGTCGCCAACAACACGTTAAATATCGATCAAGATGGTGGCCATACGATGGAGCGAGCTAGCTGCTCGTGCAGTCTTTTACCTCTCGACTAATCCAACATCACATGCCGATCGTGTCCTGCAGGCAGCCAAGGCTCTTCAAGGCTGGTACCACGGGCCATCGGGCCTCTGGACTACGACCGGGTGGTGGAACAGCGCCAATTGCTTAACAGTTCTGGCTGACTGGGCATTGCACGTCGGATCGAACACGGGGGATGTGAATGTGCCCCAGATTATCGCGACGACGTTCGAGAATGCGCAAAAGACGCATTTCACGGCGCGAAAGATCCTCTACGGGGATGGCCTGATGCAGTCGACATATACATATGACCCGGTGGCAAAGCGGGGCTTTTCCGAATTTCTCAACGAGTTCTATGACGACGAAGGGTGGTGGGCACTCGCACTTATCCGGTCGTGGGACGTGACGAAGGAGAACGCCTATCTCGACATGGCGGTGCGTATCTTTGCTGATATGCAGAACGGCACCGATACTGTCTGCGGAGGGGGGATTTGGTGGAGCAAGGAAAAGAAATATAAGAATGCCATCTCCAACGAACTGTATCTGAGTGTGGCAGCCAGCCTGGCCAACCGGATCCCAAATAACAAGGACCATTTTCTCAAGATCGCGAAGGATCAATGGACGTGGTTCAAGAACAGTGGCATGATTAACGGCAACAGCCTCATCAACGATGGGCTACGCATCCAGGAGGACGGGAAGTGCGTCAACAACGGCCTGCCGACATGGTCCTACAACCAGGGTGTCATTCTTGGTGGCTTGGTTGAGCTGTTCCATGCGACAGCTGACACCTCATATCTCGCCGATGCCGTCGCCATCGCCACCGCCGCCATCACTAAGCTCAGCGACAACACCGGCATCATCCACGAGGTTGACCGGTGTGAGCCCAACTGTGGCAATGATGGACCACAGTTCAAGGGCATCTTCATGCGCAACCTGCAGTACCTAACGCGCGTCGTTCCAAACCCCGTCTTCCAGGGAGTCATCCGCAGGAACGCGCACTCCATCTGGACGAACGACCGGAACGAGCAAAACCAGCTAGGCATCAAGTGGACCGGACCGCCGGACTTAGGGAAGGGCCCGACAGCGGCAACACACAGCTCAGCAATGGACGTGCTCGTTGGCGCACTGGCTATTTCGGGGCTTTAACGTGCTCCAAAGAGAGCATTTTGATAGTTAATTCTCCTAGACATGCCCGTTTAGCACTGTAACAGATACCCTTAGTCACTATTGTTAATCTTGATTTTTGTCATTCTCTGTTTTCTCCGGGAGAGAAAGCTCTGAATATAATAGCCCCTTCTGTGGCATGCCTTGTGTTGGGATATTGTTTCCTTGAAATCATCGTCCCTGCCAGTTAAGTCGGTTGTGGGAGGAGGGGGAAGTGGTGCCTGATGCAAGATCTCGCCGTGCCTTGCCCCGCTGTCGTGAACTTGGACCCACTCCTCCCTCTGCAAGGCCATTCATTCCAACAACTTCACCAAAACTCCAGCAAATCTCACCATGGACGCCCCCGAGGACGAGCTTGACATCAAGCTGCAAAAAATCTCTGGCGATCTAATCGCAGACTTTAACAAATCATTGTTACCGTTCCTCCGGAAGCAGGATGGCGCTGGAAAGTCGCCCGTCCGTTCTCATGTCCGCACCCGGGAGGCGACTCGCTTGACCGCATCAGTGAGTTCCAGAGCTGTGTTTTGTAACAAGCTTGCTGCTAACAATCGTGAAGCTTCTTGACCCCTTCCAGGAGCTACCACAGCTCCTCGATCCTCACCTGTCAAAATGGATACCCATCCTGGCCGATGCATTTCTAGAGTACCAGCTGACCCGACGGCATACTGCCGCAATGCCGAGTCGCTCTGAGCTTCTGATGCCGCTGCCACGGGCTATCTCCAAGATAATCTACACCTTTTGCAAGGTCCGCGGCGAGAAGGTCATCGTGCGCTTCCTCAACAACGAGGCTAAGTACCTCGAACTACTGCTCTCAGCCCTGGAGGAGGCCGAACAGGCTCAGGAGCCCCATAACCAGTGGACCTGGGAAGAGCGCTACGTCGTGCTGCTGTGGCTATCGCATCTCATGCTTGCCCCGTTTGACCTCTCCACGATCTCATCGCACGAGGTTGAGGAAGAGGAGCTTGTCCGCATCCCCGGCTTCGAGTGGCCAGCCGACCTGCCAAGCATCACCACACGAGTCCTCCCCTTGGCTATCAAATATCTGGCATCGCCAGGCAAGGAGCGGGATGCGTCCAAGGCGCTACTAGTGAGGATATCCATGCGCAGAGACATGCAGCAGTTGGGTGTGCTAGATGCTCTGGTTCGCTGGGCTCTTGCCGCCTTGCGGCCAACTAGGGACGAGGAGCGTACGCCATATCACTACATTGGCGTGCTCTCGTTTCTCGCTGGAATTCTGACGATATCAGCCGACACTTCAGACATGGACCAGTACTTGTCGACAATTTTCTACGCCGTGCATGGCATGGCTACGGAGCAGACTAATATTGGGTCGGCTCTGACCCGCAAAACTATAATCAAGGTAGTCAGGGCCATCGCTGTTCTGCTCCTCCGTAGGCCATTGCGGGACATGGAGAGTTTGGAGATGGTGGAAACCACGATTGGTTTTCTGTTGGACAACCTTGGAGACAACGACACTCCCGTCCGCTTCGCAGCAAGCAAAGCACTCAGTATCATTGCACTCAAGCTGGACTCCGATATGGCTTCGCAGGTCGTTGAGGCCGTCCTTGAGGGTCTCAACAAGAACGTCTTGCACGTTAAGGATCGCAACGACCCTTCTACTCCTCCGAGAAAGGACTTGAGCGCTGTTGACGCTCTTGAGTGGCACGGTTTGATGTTAACCCTATCTCATCTGCTGTACCGAAGGTCTCCCCCGGCAGAAAATCTCGCAGGTATTGTCCAAGCTCTGATGATGGGTCTCTCCTTCGAGAGAAGGAGCGCATCCGGCCACTCGACGGGCACAAATGTTCGTGACGCTGCGTGCTTTGGCATCTGGGCGTTGGCGAGGAGGTACACAACGGCTGAATTGCTCGCTGTGCCAACCCCTCGTCCTGACACATCCATCATCCAGATCTTGGCAATTGAGCTTATCGTGGCAGCGTGTCTGGACTCGTCCGGAAATATTAGGCGAGGGTCTTCGGCTGCTCTTCAAGAGCTCATCGGTCGCCATCCCGACACGATCGAGCACGGGATCTGGGTTGTCCAGACAGTGGACTATCATGCTGTGGCCCTGAGGACACGGGCGCTCCAAGACGTTGCTTTGGGTGCGACCAAGCTCTCCAGGAGCTACGGAGAAGCGATCCTAGATGCGCTACTTGGCTGGAGAGGCGTTGGAGATGTAGACATGGCATCGAGAAGAGCAGCAGGAACCTCGTATGGCCGGATCACGGCAGAACTAGCATCCACTGACCCGAATCCTGTCAACAGCTTGGCTAAGTCCGTATCAATGGTTCTAGATCGTCTCAAATCACTGGAAGCTCGGCAGGTTGAGGAACGCCACGGGCTGTTCCTGAGTTTTGCTGCAGTTCTAAATGCCCTTCCAGGAGCCATGCAGAAGTGGGACGCAGCTGTGGACAAGTTCGTCCGCCTTTCCATGGACGCTCTCCTGTGGATTCTTGAAGACTGCAACACCAAGACCTATCGTCGTCCGGAGCTCATCGATGAGGCGGTGAGCCGGCTGATCATCTCTTCGCTCCCTGTGTTGCAGGCAGCGACTTCCAGCACGGAGACCTTACTGTCTGGCCCATCGCTGAAAAATATGACTGGCCCGGATTTAGTAGCCCTTATTAACGCGGTAGAACAAAGACCCGAGCCTCTCAGCAGAATCGTTGCCCTTATCAACTCCAGCCTGCAAAGGGCGTTGGTGTGGCAAGATCTGGATATCATAGCCGCCGCATCACAGGCAGCGGTTGTTCTCATGATATTCAGCACCGCTACGGAACGTGATGAAATTATTAGAGGTTGGACGGATGCCGCTCGAGCACGACAATCGTCCAAGACGCGAACCACCAGTGGCCATTTTTCTGCTCTGGCCGCGGTGTATCCGATCGCCTCGACACTGGCTCTGGAAGAGGACAAGAGCCTGATATGCGATGCCATCGTGGAGAGATGGAACACTGACAAGCAGACGGACACCCATGCCTGCATCTTGCAAAGCCTAGCCAACAGCGAGTTGCTCAAGCAGAACCTCAGCGTCTTCCTCGAGCTTGTGGCTGAAGGCCTAGACGATTACACTACAACTGCTCGAGGCGACGTTGGCTCTCATGTCCGTCTGCAAGCTATTCGAGCCACCAAGTCACTCTGGGAGAGACTGGACGACCTTCCAGCCAACAACAACCTTACCTCTGGACTCTTCTTACGTGTCCTACGGCTAGCAGCTGAGAAGCTCGACAGGGTCAGGGTGGAAGCACAGGCAGCTCTGGCCGTGACACTGAAGCCAAGGTACGGCAGGCTCTAGTCACAACTTCGTGGGATACTGACGCGTTTCTAGCTACTCGACGGAGCTCAGGAGGTTAACATTCTCCTCCAAAGCATACTTCTCATTCTTGCTTGACCTCCTCCGAGAGGATTGGCTGCTCCCGGCTTTCTCCGGAGCAAAGGCCGACACGGAGGGATGGGTGGACAGTTTGATGGCCGGATTTGTGTCGTCGGCTGACACTGGAAATGAAGAACTGGTGATCGCCACCCGGGCCGCGTTGGCTGAGTTCTGTGAGAGATCGACAGCCAACGTCGAGTTGATCTGCACAGCTCTGGCCCGAAATCTCAAGGCCTGGCAGGGTACAGACCGGGTACTCGTCCCGACGCTTGAAGTTGCAGCGTTCCTTTTCCACATTGGCGTGTTTGCCCGCTGCGGCGGTGTCAACTACAAGAGCATGTGTCTGCAAGTCCAGAAAGCTTGTTACAAGACAGGCAACGTCCGCAAGATCGAGGCATGCATCAGGATGTACGGGGCCATCGCAGAACTGGGCCGGAACGCCGTCTCCACGACCACCGAGACCGACGATGCCCAAAAGATCAAAGCCGGCGCCCGGGAGGCTCGAATCCGGCTTGGAGCCCTCATGTTCCATCCCTGGCCGAGGGTAAGGGCCATGGTCGTTGACGAGGTCTGGAGTCTCCATCATGATGATCCGGCTGTCGAAGATCTCAAAGGCACTGATTGGGGACGAGCAGAAAAGTCGAAGATAAAGCGATTGGTCGAAATGCTTGGTTTGGCGTGAGCTTTGACCGCTCTTTTGTGCTGCGGGCCAGTCTCCGAACCAATCAAAAGCAAGCTTTCCCAGCCATCCAAAATGCTTCTTTTTTCATGCCAAGAACCGTTGGCTCTACCCCCCGGCCAGTTGTGAAGAGGACATGTTCGACTGCGGCCGCGGCGCGTGGCAGCCCTGTTGCTGTGGAGCAGGGCGGCGTCCACCCGGAATTCATGCTTTTCGCCCCGAGCAACGCCAAGACCCATCCTCTGACTGTTTTCGTCTTGAGGTGAGGCCGGGTAGATGCAGAGAACTTTCATGAGAAACCGGCAGTTGAGAGCCACCATGGCCTTGTTAATGAAAGACCAACTTCCAATCCTTTCTGCTCTTTCTGCTTGTTACACGATTACGTTATTCAGCCTTGACAAAGCTGTCATGAAACGGCGGCATAGACCCGCATCGTGCCTGAGATCAAACGTCACTAGTATCGAGCCATAATCGGGCCGGCATCCAACGTTGGGCAGGTCGCCGATTAATATCGGCTCGGGGTCACACCACCGTGGGATGGCCAGCGGTTACTTTGGCTGCAGTTATGTTGTAGTGTATTTCTATCTGGCGATGACCACGTAGCTGACAGCATCTGCCCGCAGCCATTTCGATGAAGGATCTTTGCTATGCATGATGGTGCATGAGAAACGGCTAGGCACGGGCCAGATGGATTTGTGATGTCGCCGTTGGGGGCATGAAATCAGATCTCCCCTACAGAACGACAGGAAAAAGTGGAACATGTACATACACCGAAATGGCCGATATGAGATCGGGCGTCTAAAGACAGAAGCTGCCCCAGCCGTCACCTGAACGCGGCGATGCCAAGGAGCGGATCTTTGCGGGTGCCAGCGGGCTTGTCGGACAGAGAGTAGCTCGGAATCAGCTTGGGGCGTTCCTCCATTTATCTAACGTCTTGACAATGCCGGTCGAAGAGTAAATCTAGGGGGTTGCACGCTGTGCTAAAATTGACAACATGATGCTTGCTGGCTATTTGAAAGCAGGAACACACTGACAGGTGTAATATAAAGAACTTTGAAAGCCCTTCGACTCGTAAACTAAGTTGTCGTGCTTCGTCGCTGAGCGTCCCACCTAGCTCCCGCATCAGGAAAATGTCAACGCGGTTGGCTGGCAGTCCATGAAAGGTTCATCAGGGCTGTACACTGCATCAATTGATCTAACTGCTGAGGAGCAGGCAGATGAGAAGACAGGGTGTGAATCATAGGGAGTTGCGATGTTGGAGTCAAGAAATTCGTGGAGCCGCTGAGGTAGGCATGCAGATATCCTGTTCTGCAAGACGATTCCTTGCCGCTGCCCAGAGAAAAAAAAACGCTATTTTTTTCTTCTCTGGGCGTCGAAGCTCTTCGCCCGACTAAGTTACGTACGGGCCGTTATCCGCCGAAGCTGCACGTGCAACGCCGTTTCTGCATTTTTTTTTCGTTGCAGATGCCTAACAAGCACCTCCGGCGGCTGGCTAATTTGAGCTTGCAATCCTTGCGGTTTACACTATTGTTTATCCACAGTACATGGTTTGACAAGGTCCTCCGCCACCTGCCTTCCTTGAAAGGCCTCCGTTGTTGGGGACTGGGGGAGGAAATTGTGAGGCTGTTTGCGGACTGTTCTTCTTGAATGAGACCTTTAGAGGTTGTAACGGCAGCATCGTGCCCCGTAAATGCAGCCTCTTGGCGACACTTGCGTGGTTAGCCGGCAAGAAGACCGAAAACGCTGCCAGTGGGGCCGCAAACTTCGGCAGTTCGGACACAGTCCTCCATTGCGAACCGGACGGGCTAGCCGCAACGTTTTGGTGTTGTTTTGGACGGGTCGATCCCGAGGCGCTTTTGCTTGAACACCACCGAGAGGCTGGGGGAAATATGGCAGAGTCGCAATGAACCTTAACACCAAAAAAAAGCTGCGACCGACGAACGTTGACAGCGCGATATAGAGCCGCTCGTTAGTCGCAAAAATAGCAATTAGCAGAAGAGCAAGGCCTTCCTTTTTTTTTTTTGCCATGCAACGCTCGGCTAACAGCTCCATCTCTATCTCTAGTGACGGTTGATTGCACGAAACAAGGGTTGCACATGCCGCTGCGGAGACCGACCTACGTACCCAAGTAGCAGCTCACCACCGTTGCCAATTGCACGTCCCATCGTATCTTGCCAAATTAACTCTGCTCTAGGACGAGCCACCACGTCTAGCATATCTGCGTTCCTGCCATATTGAGAGAGGAGCAGGCAGAGCCATATGAATCTCATCGTTACACGGCGATCATTAATGCGTGTCGGGCCTTGCTGATGGAGATTAGGGCGTGACGACACGCAAGGCAACGGCGAGAGAACCTCTTTGCTCCCACATATACATACAAAATTTACGCCTTTGCAGATCTATTTGTACGTATTCAGCCACGGACCGAGGGCGAACGGCCATTTTGGAAGATTAGAATAGGATATGATGGGGATTGGATTTGAAGCTGTGAACAAAGCGGTGCGAGGGGAGTCGTCGCTTCTTGAAATTCGCTGCCCCCTCCACTCCTGCCGAGGTGCTTGCTGTCTTCTCGAGAGCTACTCGGCGGATGGAGAGAGTTTGGTAAGGTGATGGCGGGTGACAGGCTGATGATCACCTCCGCATTCTGGATGCTTTGGGCGTCGTGACCCTTTTTCGTCACCCCCGCAACCTGCTTTCTCCCTTCTGCAGCTGTCTGCATTTACGCGAGACTTTAGGTACAGTGCAAACAGCAATGCTTGGTGGATGGCTACTGAAATGTTTCCTTTAGCACTAGGTCAGGCGGACACAATCGAAGCAAGGGAAAGCAACGAAGTGAAGACTTAATAGCAAGGATTGCTGTTCCCTCAGCGTCCCTCGAACACGTGGGAAGTACAGGCTGAGGCCATCAATTCGTTGCACCCTCTTCTTTTCGCTGCCAGTAGCCTTTTTTTTTTCATCGAGTGTGCGAATGAGATGCTGGATCTCTTGAGGATTTCCCGCACCTGCAGACAACCCCGACAATCTCCTCTCTTTTGCCCCTTGTGATGCGCAACATGCAGCCAAAGAATGAGGCTCCCCTCCCGCCCCATTTGGCTCAGTCCGCCAGGCAAGGTAGCGAGCGGGTTCTTCCGGCCATCCGCACCACATTTGCATGAGCGCGTGGATGGTGGATTGCTACTGCCCTCATGAAGGGCATCTGAGAAGCTACCACGGCGTGCGTCCATGAATGAGCGATGCTTGGGCCAGAACACTGCACAAGCACAGATCTGAGATGGAGAGTGGACCAGCGATGCAACATGCAACCAGCCATGGGGCCTTTACGCAGCAGCAGTGCAATGTAGCGAGTGCGAGTGGTTGAGTGACCCTTGTTCAGCTGGCCAGCCAAAGGCCAGAGAAAGAAGAGCTCTGCTTGGTCTTCCAGCGTCAAACAGACGCAATACCTCCGCACGAGGGAGCCCGAGCTGACTGTGCCTATCGGCTCATTGAAAAATGCACGTGAGTTGACTGAAAAAGAATGACATGAGCAAGTACTTGGTGTGAAGGGCCCATCCTATGTGCAGATTACATCCAGTATGTACAGTTACCATAACGCTAATGAGGGAGGTTGTACGGTCGTCGACTATGTTGGTCAGGACTCGGCTGATGAGAACGCAGATGGCAACGCAACGCAAAGGCCCAGCCCAATTGTGGAGGTCCGCAAGTTGAGGCGAGAGCCCCCAGCAAAGCGTCCAGCCACACAGCGGAGGAAAGTTGGTGAACGGCAGCTATGTGTGTAGTTGTACTTGCTGTCGCGATCGACGTGCAGCAAAAACTGCAAAACCGCATGAGACCAAGCCAACAAAGGAAGCACAGGGCGTGTGGGCTGCCCGCCCACGGCTTGATCTGCCACCTTCTGCTACCTAGCCATCCATCCATCGGCCTTCGGCCAGCAAGGAGCGGCATTTTCCTGTCCGTTTTATTATAAGTACGCTGAGCCCTCGGTTTGTGCTGACTTGTCTACATAGAGTGTCTTCTGGTTGTTTTCTGCATTCTTGCTGCTATGTGTTGTCGATGCCAGGCTGACGGCTTCTATTTCTTGTTTTGCTGTCATTTTCCCATCTCGCATCTCGACTCAGCGCCGGCCGCGCCCAGACACCAGACAGGCCGACCGCAAACTGCAAGGTTGTGGACGGACGCTGGACAACCCGATATTGGTTTCCACTTCCACTCTCCGAACCCCAACGGCTGCTCAAGACTACACTAAATTCCGCTGGTGCTTGCGGGTGAGCCAACAACAAATATCCAATAGTGTAGCAGTGTTGGCCCGTGCTAGGCTTTCCTGTGCCTTTCTGCTTGCTCGAAAAGGGACCCCTGGCCGCTGGAAACACACGGCAGCGCTGCCCGCTCTTAGCTTGCGGATCAGCCAGCGCACTAGTCCACGCTAAGGAAGCTTCCCCGGCACCCACCCGCTTCAACTACACGTTCGGCCCACACCCCCCTTCAAGTTCTCGCCCTTTTCCGCCCTTGTCTCCCGTCTCGCTCTTCTAGTCGCAATCCCACTCTCACTCAACCAGAGCTGACCGCGCCAGACAAAAAGCAGACAAAACCAGACGGGCGAACCGTCGAGCCTGTTGCACTTTCTGGGCTGACTTATGCCTTCTTACGTCTTTTGGGTGAAACCGTGTGAATTCTGTGGTGCGGACTCGAAGCCGTGGAAGATCGCTGCTGCTGTTGGCTGCTGGCTGCTGGGGCCCATCTAAGTCTCCGGCCCCTTCGACCCCCATAGGTCCATCTCCACTTGTCGCCCTCTCCCTCTTTTCTCCGCTTCCTCGCTGCTCTGCGAAGGACCTAAACCGTTTCCCACGCTCCGTGGCGAGCTTGATCTCACACCATCACCTGTTCGTCCGACCTCGAGCATCGCATTCTCCCTTCTCCCCCTTTTCATCAGCAGCACGAGCACCACGAGACAGCACGGCTATTTTATTTTACCATTGAGTGAACTCCCGGACATTCGGATTCGAGAACAGAGAGACCAATCTAAACACAATCCTAACACTGCCCTCTCTCGCCCTCTCGCCCTCTCGCTGCCTGTTCCCTGCTCCCCTCTCTTTGCCCGTGTCCCGAGTGTCCACTGCCCAGCCCGACCAAGAAGCATGCTCACTACCCACTAAACCTTCCTCGAACACACGCCGGAATTTTTGCCGATCGCTGCGACAGCTGCGCTGCACTCGCCTTTCTCACCCTGAAACTCATCTCCCTATCGCCTTTTCTCCATCATCATCGCCGTCAAACAACGACGTCTGGCTCAGTCTCGACGGCTGTGCGCGTTGACAGCGGCATCACGCGCTCTCGTTTCCATCCAAAACTCAAATCACAGATAAGCACAGTATCATAATAACTGGTGCGTGCCGGCCTCGCGACGCACGCACCCCCCCAAATCGTCAAGACGGCCGCGTACTTACGCAGAGACGCTCCTTCCGGCGAGGAGGAGGAACAGTCACTCGAAATGGATACGCTCAAGTTCCTGACTGCCAGCATCCCTGACTGGCAACGACGCCTAGAGGACTTCGACGAGCAGATCGACCAGCGTCAGAAAGACCTGGCCCGCCTAAACGAGGTGCAGGATGCCGAGGCTTCCGGCAGCGGCACCAAGAGCCTACGGCCTAAGGGATCGACCGAGTCACTCAAGGCCCGCGACGATGGCGACGCACACCCCCGAGAAGTTGCAAGAGACGTGACTCCCATGGATGTCGATGATGACGACCCCGAAAAGAAGGCTGCTGCCGCTGCAGGAGCTGCAGCAGCTAGATTTGACACCTCTGCACAGCGACCAGCCGATCCTCAGACACAGCAGCAACCACAGGTGCAACAACAACAGTCCAACACCCAGCAGGCGCCCCTTAACCCGGCTGATTCTCATGCCCAAAGGCAGGCGAACGCAGCCCGTGCCGCCGGGCAAGCCCGCGCCCGTGCCACTCTCAAGAAGCGTCAGCGCACTGATTCGCTACTTAGCCAGCCTCGGGACGAAGATTACAAGCCAAAATACCGCAGTCGTAGTATGATTATCGTGTACTATGACAGCTACGTGCAAATTTTTTTCGAGGAACTGGTCAAGTTTGTCAGCTCTGCCCGCAATATGATGCGCAAGGCCAAGATGGCTGCCAAGGTGGCAAAGATCCGCCGCCAGGCTGAGCTCGATGCCACGGATGCTGACGGCAGCAAAAAGCTGAACGCCGCAAGCAACAATAACGCTGACAACAACAATCCTACCACCGCTAATGCTACCACGCCGGGTGACGCTCCCATCGAACCGGCCGAGAACCTCAACGATCCCGCCGCCATCCTTCCAGTTCTAGCCTTCCGGTCCACGCGTCGGATGAGCCCTAGTGCTGCCGCTTTGCTCAACGCTGCCCGCAGCGGCCGTCCGCTCTATGGCCAAGCTACCCAGGCTGTCGCGGCCTTGGATCTTCAAAACGACGAGCCCACGGTGTGGGACGAGCTCGATAAGGGCCTGGAGTATGTGCAGAGTATGAGCGAGCACGCCGCGCACCAGTTCTTGCGCGATGGTGAATGCGCTGAGGAGGTGTCGAGCATTAAGCGGCGGCTCGAGGAGGTGCTCGAGCTGGCCCAGCGCGAGATGGAGCGCATGGAGAAGGAGGAGGCGAACGGCAACAAGCAAGAGGACGCCAACGGCGAGGATGACCTCACGCGTGCCCGGAGCTACCGTCTCCAGAGCATGCGCAAGTCCGTCCTGGGAAAGGACAAGGACTCTATTCCGCTGCCGCCGCTACCGGCGCCGATCCTCCCCGAGACACATGGCGTGCCGCCCGCGGCCAAGCCGACGCAGCTCGAGGACGAGGGCGTTGAGGCGTAGGGCATGAGCCTATGTAACGATCAAACGCCCAATCGAGCAGTGCGGTACTGCTGTCACCCCCATTTACAGCCACAGACAGACAACGCCGCAGCTAGTCTGGCTTGGCAACAAGTACCCAAGCCTACTCGGCTCGATTCGTTCTCTGCCCTGCTCCGATTACGTTAAGCAATGACATCTTTATATATCAGTGCGGCGCCCTACAGTTTGATGGTTCTACGATTATTGATGGTTATAACATGATGGATGAGGACATGCTTAGGGTTACTTTTTTGGGGGGGGGGGGAGTTGGTTGGACTTGAATATACAGTGCATTGGGTTGTTCCCCGACAGGGGACTAGCTCTCGGGTCTTTTCATTTGGCGTCTGCGAGAAAGAGAGTTTTGTCGTTCTATTAGTCTACATCCAGCAGGAGATACCATGAGGCCGGCGTCTAGGGAACAGGACTGACCCGGTCCAGCACAGCACACACAGAGAGATTTCGTCATTCTTGGCTACAGGCAGCAGCAAAAGCATATAAGTAGGTTTATTTTTCTCTCCGCTTCATCCCATTTTTGCTTCGGGTTTTATCGAGTACTGGTCTGTTTCCTTTGCGTCTCTGCTCTTGTGCCTTTGTTTTCTTCCTTCGTCTTGTTTGACATTTTACGAAGCATGGCGATCGCGCAGAGAGGTGGCTGGCTGGTGGGCTTGTTGGTTGATTGGTGGGCTGGTGGGCTGGATTTGTGATTGGTTGGAAGCGGAGTCCAAAAGTGTTTTTATTTTGTCCCTTGAGACCGCACGAGACACGACCTGCAAAAGTTGGATGGAGAGTGTAATGGGATATACCACTTGAGATCTGTTCAATGTTGTTAAGGCCGAGAGTAGAGTGCAAATCCCATGCATGTCTGCTCTGCCCCGTTGGTTTGGGATTTTCTTCTGGTCCCAGGCAATACCCGAATTTTAAGAAGGAGAGGTTTTCCCAAAATAAAGACTCTTCTCGGTTCGTTGGCTTGTTACAGGAGGAGATACCCAACGTTTGGGGCTGTGTTGAAGAGAAAAGGGGGGGGGGGTTTTGCGGTTTACGAGGACGTGATTTGGATGGTTGGGGGAGCAGGCTGGTCACAACTTGTTTCTCTGCCATCCTACACAGTACATGATACAGATAACGCTACATGATTGCTCTACACAATCATTGCATATAGGGGTAATACATCTGTTTGGTACGGAGTGCATATTTTATCTCTTGAAGCTATCTCATCCCGCTTGATGAGCCAAGGTCTCTCTCCTGTCTTTGCGCAATCACACCAGAGAATATCTCACGCACACGATGCATCGATCGACCTCACAGGGGCTGCTGGCCCCGGTTCTTGGACAGGCTTTTTCTCACTCCCATTTCATCAATGCAACACCATCTTCGCCTTCTAGAAATCCTGTCCCTCCTCTCGGATCCCTGGAGTGCTTGCATTATGCTACACACAGTTCAGGCTGCACTCAACCACGCGCCACGTCAGGCGCCAGACCACAGTATCATGACCGCCAAACAACCTCTCAATCCTGGCGGAATTTTGCCGTGTGATATGGGTGTGTATGCTGACGTCACCTACCAAAACGATTATTCACCCTCCTTTTGTTGCCTATTCTAGGCAGGAGGGCCACTCACGTCTTCAAATTTTTCACCTGATTGTTAGCTTTCACTGACGTCGACAGGGTACCGAACCCGGCGGCGATACGCGCCCTGAAAATCTCGGGACCGACTGCCGGGCCGATGGCACATGTTTGTTATCTCGGATGTCGGGATGATCACAGAGATTCGGCGGCGGCGCTACTAGACCCTAGTTAGATAAATTAGGGCTGATCTGGCGTGATTTCTCGCACTTTTTGGGCAGGACAGGTAAATGCCTGCGGTTATTTTGTGGAAGGGGGGGGGGGGGAGGAAGGGCAGGTAAGTTTTGCACACGTTGGCGCTGGTTGTTGGTGATAAGTATGCTACACAGTCATGTGTGCAGGTTGCTGTTGCGGCGGCTGCTGCTGTTGGTGGCTTACCTTAGGTTAGGGATGCATGAGTGAGGCCTTTGATGAGATTTTCTGATTTGTTGCTTCGTTTAGCATCCACGAAGTAAATATTGGCTCTTTGAATCCTCCATGTAGTACGCTACAGCATCTAAACTGTAGGTAGGCGGTGTAGACTCTCCCACCTGAGTAGCTACACAAGGAGATGACGACATAAAAGATCAGTCAGTGATTTAAGCGAGTGTCTTAGGCAGTGCCCTAGGCAAGGACTCGACGCTGTAAGAATATGTAGACACAGTCATATTACCTTCGTAGGGCGACTTTACACAGACCGAGTCGGCGCAGCGTCAGCTTCCGGCTCGACTTGCCTCTTGCCCTTGTACAGAGTTGGCTAATACGGTGGCTTGCACATTTTTCAGCTTGTTGCCCGACCACCTGGTAACTACTGGTTAACTTGTAGATCTCTTTTGCCGATGTTATCCTCAACGTGAAGTGTTCGCCTTTCGCTGAAATTTGACGAAGTTTTACTCTCAGCCAACGTCGCAGGATAGTAGTCTCTTCAGTAGGCCAACACAGAATCAAACTCCTCTGAGCCACCCAGACCCTTCATCTCCTCCAGTGAACCCCACGACCAAGTCCCTTGATCTCGACGAACCGAGACAGTATACAGGTCAACGTTGTACTCACATATCTCTTAACACCAGACCGGATTACCCTACCGAGTAAGCCACCCGGCTATCCCTTCCCTTCTCCCCTACCTATCCATAACCGCCAGCGCTGTCTGTCTCAACTCCTCAACCTAATCTGGGCGCCACCGCCTCTTCCAGCCACCCCTTCCTTCCCCGCGCTAGCTTGAGGGAGTATCCAACATCATCATCACCATCGCCGAGCCCGAATGTCTCATCGACGCTAGGGGAGAAGCTATAACGCTCTCTAGAGCCACGACTGCAACGTGGCATGGCAACGTATCGGTGGATTTCGGGCTGTTCCGTCTTGTGCTTGTGCCTGTCTTGGAACGGGAGACACCACGGTAGGTAGAAGCTACGGTATTGTGCTCGGGACCCAAAAAGGGGGGTCGCTTCCATCGTGCAGGTGGCACAGTGTGTGAAGTTGGCGACACAACTCACGAGGCCCAGTTGGCGGTGATGGTTGGGTAAGCGTCGCCAACCGCGGCAGGTAGGATATCACGAGCTTGGGGATTGGCTTGGGCTATCCGTATTGCGATCGAAATGTCCATTGAGGAAGAGGGATCAGGCGATGGGGCTCCATAGCGAACAGGGCTTTAATATATGGACCTCTCTGAAAGCGATGACCTGGTCAAATGCTTCAATTGAGCCAATCTGGATGCCAGAAACTTGCAGAGAACACATCGAAGTTAATCTCTTTGACTTAGCTCTCTCATTCCGTCATATCTTGTTCCAAGCTATGAGGTGGGTATCACACGATGACCGTTGAAGTGAGAGAGATAAGGCTGAAACTTCACTGCTCGTCATGCGGACTGAACCCAGTGCTGTCATAACACACTACACAATAACCCTGCAATGATAACAATGCCATGATGCCTTACTCAGGCGCATAACCCGATGAAAACCCCATACCAAACGCCGTACCTGTAACCAAGCGAGTGTTGATGGAGATGTCATTTCAAAGCCCCATCTCCATCCAGTCCCCTAACCCTGCCAAACGCGTTGCGCGGAGCGGACCAGCCCGCCAGCTGCCCCAGCCCCACACATAGGCGGGGTTCAAACCGATCTCAATTGCAAACGAAGACTCTCCAAAACATACATCCAGAAATCCACCCACACAATCAGCCCAGCCTCCACAATACCCAATACGGCGCCTGACTGATAACAATGGACGCCAAACGATCTGCCGAAGCGCTTGTCCCCCGTTTCCAGTTCGAACGGCTGCTCAATCAGGGTACGTACGCCATCCTTGGCCCGCGACGACCCCATCACCCACTCTCGTTGACAAGGCTGACATTCCCCGGCCAAAACACAGACCAAGCCGGCCGCCGATCAGCGCTGTACGGTGCCATCGACGGACAACCGGCGCTTCTAATCCTCGAACGCGCCCCATTCCCAACGTCCACAGCCTACCTGGGCCGTGCGGCCAACACCCTCCGGGCGTTAACCAACCTCGGCGCCAATGACATCTACCACTGGTACCTGGCTAGCAGCGGCGTCATCGAGATTCCGGTCGAAGAGAGCGAGGGCACGGACGACGAGTTTGCCGACCTCAAGATCAACCTCATCTACCCGTGCACAGAAAAGCATGTGAAAAAGTACAGCAAGCAGGGCGTGCGTTTCGTGACCGAGACGCCCGAGATCTACCGCGATTATGTGCGGCCGTACATGCAGGCGCAGCGCGAGGCGGGCCGACTGAACTGGGTGTACAATATCATTGAGGGCCGGAAGGAGGTTGAAGACGTTATTTACCGAACGCCGTACGGCCAGGATCCCGAGGAGGGCTTCCTGCTACTGCCGGACCTGAACTGGGATCGCAAGACTGTCGAGGCGCTGCACCTGCTGGGCATCGTCGAGCGGCGGGATTTGTGGAGCTTGCGCGACCTCAAGAAGAAGCACCTGCCATGGCTGCGGCACATGCGCGAGAAGCTGATCGAGGCGACGACCAAGGTGTACCCTACCGTCGAAGCAGACCAGCTCAAGCTGTACCTGCACTACCAACCAACATATTACCATCTGCACATCCACATCGTGCATGTGCAACTCGAGGCGGGGGCAACGCAAGCTACGGGCAAGGCGGTCGGGCTGGAGAGCGTCATGGAACAGCTAGAACATATGCATGTAGGACCGGAGGATGGCGACGGCAGCGACGTAGGCATGGACCGCGTCACCATGTGCTACACGCTGGGCGAGGCGAGCGACCTGTGGGTGGACGTGTTCGAGCCGCTTAAGCGGAAGAAGCAGGCTCGCCCGACGAGCGAGCCCGGTGCAGCTTCTCAATCTCAATGACCAGGTCGTTGGGGCTCGCGCCGTGCGGGCAGTCGGTCCACTTGCCGCCATCACGGATACAGTAGATCTTATTATCAAGGCGGACGGTGCAGGACTTGGTGACGCCGGCCTAGGAGACGTTAGCTTGTTATTTGTAGATACCCAAGACCACAACTTACATTAGCCGTCCGCTGCACGCTATCGCGCAGCATGCCGACGCCGTAGGCGCCATTCTCGCGTGTGGCGCACTCGTTGAGGGCGTTAAAATCGAGAGCGTGCTCCAGCGCGCAGTCCTCGATCAGGCTACGCTGCGGAATGTGCTTGTAGTCGCGCGTCAGGCACATGGTGAAGCCGAGGAAGGCCTTGGGCTCGGGGTAGAGCTTCTGGGCGCATAGCTCGATGATGTTGCCGAGGCCTGTGGTTGTAAGTGTGTGTCTCGGGTTTGAGGGGCAAGGGGAACGCACACTCTTCCGGGCCATGCTTGCAGGCGACGCCGTCGTTGTCAGTCGGCCTGGGAATGTCAGCAAGCGTTTAGGCTATAGTTGCAGGAAAGAGTACGTACGTCCCGATGAACGACAGTGTAAAATTGACCTTATCATGCACGCGCACCATCGTAGGAAGCACCAGATCCCGAAGGCAGTCCTGTGTTGCGTCAGATATGCCCCCAATGAGCGTATCTTTGGCCGTTGACGTACCCTTGCATCCGGGCACTTGCTCATAATATGGGCCTCGAGAGGGACCAACGTTTGCGACTTCACCGGCGTAGACTTTTTGGGCAGTTCCTCCTCGAACTCGTCGAAATCGGGCTCCTTGTGGAAGACGCCGCGTGGGTCGATATAGTAACAGGCGAGCAGGTACAGGCCGATAAAGAAGGCAACGGCGGTGATACGAACCAGCCGTGAGCTGGGGCCGCGGCGCATCGGCGGCATGGGCTTTGGTGTTGTTTGCATCAAGTGTTTCTCCTCCATCAGTGTGCTATCTTTTGGGAAGACTGCGGCGATGGTCTCTAAACAATGAGATGGCGAGGTTGGTGATGCTTGGAGATGATAATCCAGGGTTGGAGCTGTACTGTCTGGGCGGCTCAGGGTTCAGGCGGCAAGCTGTAAGACCGAGGTGGGGTATGGACACAATACAATAAAATGCTGCCAAGAGCACTATCCCATAATCCCACATAAAACTCCACAAAGCTGACACATTTTTTTGTACCGAATACAGTCGCCTTTGGTGGGTTCGATCACAGCAAGTCAATACTTGGTTAACCTCTCTAGTGAGCCAATGGGTACCTAGGGCTACTCGAATAACGTCTAACTTACCATCTCTACATTTCAGTGAATGTTTTGGATCAACACTTTGTCCGGCCACTGTCACAGAGTCTGAGTGCTAAGAGGGTAGAGTTTGCTGGCCAACTACCCCTTTGAATTAGAACTTCTCTCAGGGTTAAAGCTGGGAAAAATCACCTAAAGGGCCATGCAAATATTTCCGAAGACACTACAGAACAAAAAACGCACGTCTTCGTAATATACCCGAATGTACTTGCAAAAGACGGAGATCTTTTGCGTGCATTTTGGTATACTTGATAGATGCAACTGGTCGGTGTTACGGTTAGAAGCGCGGATCAGCAGCTGTCCCGCAGCGGTGTGGTAGGGAGCCAATGGAGAGCCCACTTGGCTTAGAGGATATGGTCAATGGACAGGTAAGAACGGGTTCGGTATAGTGATTAATCAGAAGGATGGAGGACTCTCACCGTGGTCACCCAGCGACAATGGTGATGAAAGATGCTTGGCAAGAACTTCAACCCTATGACAAGCACCCCAATGGCTTCGAATATAGATATGTATTTAGAAACGCCCATCCCCCGGAGTGATGATGAGGTCTCCTCAATCAGCAATAGAAATAGTTGTCAACGAACAACTGGTGATCACAGTAAATCACATACACTACTATATGGGGGCCCTGGTCCTTCAGGCTCTATAACCTGTCTACTACCTTGAACCCATCTCGGGAGGTTATGGAATCATCACAGTCGGGACATATATATGAAAGAAAATCCAACTTTGAGTTGGTGGATTATACCCTCTCGACCTCTGTAAGCATGGTCAGCTGCGAATTTCTCAGCACCTCCATACTTAGCTATGACCCTGTTAACGCGATATGTTGTGACAAACTCTGCCACTCGCTAGACAGAGGGGGTGAGCAGTACTAAGGACAGATTTGATCAGATGTTGAACTCTCTGATCTATCGTCCTTTCTCCATTTGTACAGCCATGCATCCAACTTGGTTTTCCGGCATGTGTGCATTTCTTAGTTCACTGCCTGTTTTATGATCTTTTCGGCCATTCCCAGGCTGTTTAGCTCACTGGGCCTTTTCTGTATGCATAGAGCCTTTTGCCATGCTTTTGGTCCAAAAACCTATAGAGATATCTGGCCCTAGTGGCTATCCTGAATTCGATTATCCTTGCTTTCTCAGTCCATGTGTCTTATATAAGAACAATCTCGCAGCGGCTGACAGGGTTGGAAACAGTTGCACTATACTGTAGGAGGAGGGATCGCCTAGGCAAGAGCACTAGGACTATAGCTTTATGCTTCCGTAGTGGGAATGAGCATCGGCAATTTGGTTCACCAATTATGGCTGTATGGATATTAACATAGGTATATTTAAGTATAGAAGGAAAGCAATCTTCGTTATCCCATCTCTTTATATTCTTCTCCTCTTTCAATTTCAAAGAGGGTAGATCTGTCTGAGACACCAAAAAAGGGAGATCTACCTGAGACAGGTGACGTTGTTCTAGTTCCCCCCTTGATCAAAGTGCTGGATCGCTGGTCGTGCTGGGGACAGAAGCGTGGCTAAGGGAGGGGAGTCTGCTAAATAACAATAAAAAACTTTCATGGACCACAACGAGTGTCTGGCCAGACCTTTGGTTTTATGGGCTCACCATCATTGCTGTCACAGGTATTCTCACTGTTAGTATGATCGTGTTCGTCACTCCTGCCCTCGTATCTACCATTGCCGTCCTCCTCATCTTTCTTGTCGCTTCTGTCTTCGTTCTCATCAATGTCATGCTGAGCACCCAGGAGAGCAAAAAGTGCTAGCTGCCCCAGATGCCTTCCAGTGTGTTTGATGTATTATGTGAGATTGCCCAATTTGTTCCTGGAAACTTGGGCAACTCATAGGTCCCATCTTCGTGGGACCTTCACCAAGAGCGATAGCTGAGTTGAGCTGCTCTTCACTCGCCTTCAAAAGATATCGCTCGATGAGATGTTCCTTGAGATCAGGTTCAGAACTGTAAAATATATTGCACTGGAAAGGGCAGGACCATGAGCGCCAGTGACACCGGAAAACGTGATTCTGCCATTGATGTCGTCTTTCGAAGTCTAGATCCTGTTGGATGCAGTTCGACAAAAAAAAAAAAATCAGATATAAGGGCAAAAGTCACCGAAGACATGCCTCCTCACAATGAGACGTGCACATATACATGGGAATGGTAAGCTCAAGACATCACTCAAAACCATGACTTGCTTCAGGCATGTCTAGTGCTTGCTACAATCATCCTATAGCAGAATGTACATTCGAAGACTTCTTGCTCAGCTGCAGCTGGCAATGGCGGCACACGCAAGTCTCCTCTGAGCACACTGGTAGATGAGGGCATAAGAAGTCAATGGAAGAGCCATGCTTAACCTCTCATCCTCATCAACTATGTCCTGCTGAGAGATGAGACCTGACAGCTCCTATACATTATCTGATATAGTAGATACACCATGCTTGAAAGAGCCCCGGTTCTGGCAGTTTACTCCATGTCCTAGTATTCTTCGTTTTGCTCTGCCACAAGCGACTCCCAATCCAAAAACCAGCTGTTCATGGCGCTTCCGGCGATGATAGAGGAATTGGAAATGCCTTGTGATCGCTTTGCCGAGTTCCTCAGTCATTGGGGGATTCTTATTCGGGAATTTGTCTCTCACGTGTGCGATATCTTATGGTTCTCCATATCTCACGTTATCTAAGCTTCCAGAATTGTCCTGGAGATGTGTTGTCGACCCATGCTTGCTAGCGGGTTGCCGGACCCGATCCGAATGCTTTTGGGATCTGAACTGAGGAAGTTTAAAGATGTCTTGCAAGGATTCCAGAACATTCTGCAAGAGAAAGACAATGTGAACCTGAATCTAGAGGGCTTCTCTCAATCGATGCTCCAAGGATACCCCCCCCTTTGTGATGTGCAACATGTTTTCCAGCCCACACCTTCAGCCGGCACTCCTCATTTCTTTAGTGATGACAGAATTTTCGGGAGCACGTTTGACACATCCTTGGGCCAAGAAGAATTTCCCTGCTCAGCACCAAGAGAGTCAATAACCCGGTATAACGCACGCACTCCCATGCAAAGATTGTGAGCTATTGGGCCCGGGGGCCAAGCGTACAATGGTACCAATGTCCGTTGAGAGAAGCAAAAGCACACAAGGCTTGAAGCGGAAACTCTTGAGAGACCACAAAGGCAAGTCCAAGGTGATACAGGGCTCTGAGGATACCTGGCAACAGGTCGTTAATACCGACTCAGGAAGTTGTCAAAATGGACAGGGATAGACATATGATACTAGGAACCCTTAGTCTATGTATAACCATTATACTGCAAGATGCCCATGGAAGCTTTTATGGCCTGTAGCGGGGCGAGAGATTCAGCTAGCGAATCAGCCTCAAGTTTTACCCTGAGCTTTTTGTGGCACGTGCGGTTTAGTACCCCTTATAAGTGCTTGGGGCATGCCCAAGTCAGCGTTAAGTTGGTTGCTTGCAGCGATCCTCGACCAGCTTCACACCTATCAGGAATTTCTTTCAAGATGCACCTAATCTTTACAAGTTTACACTAGACGACTACTTGACCGACGCTGCAGCGTATCTGGAATTGAGGTGGCTGGCCTTATTCTGGGGGCGAATCCTCTCATCCTTGCAGCAATAAAGCCTTCAATCCGGTGTGCTAAGTCAAGGAGTAGATTTGGGAGCTCACGCTCACTCAGAAGTATCAGGCATCAGTTGACCACGGAGGAGAAGAGATTGCGAAACCTTTGTAAGCTGTTGCTGGGCAGTATCCTGTCGGATGGCGAAATAGACACCGCCATTTCGATCCATTTGGGTTCCCTTGGAGATCGAAGGAATGGAGTGACAAGATTCGTCGGAAGGTGAGGGGTAGTTATAACGTATTTGAGGAAGGCATCTCGGAGATTCATGTGACATTAGAGAAGATTGAGAAGGCTCTGGACCTCGACAGTAGTGTTGCGATAGGGGCAATGCTGAGTGAGTCTTACTAATGATCTGTTCCAGCCATGGACTGATACGAACTAGCCTGAATCCGCCATGAAGAACTGGTTGTCAGAATTAATTAGCAAAGGGAACATTCACTTCTTTCAGGGAGAAGAGGCCGTGAGATACAATCAGCCGTATCTCCAAAGCCGAATTCTGCCAGCAATCAGCGGTCAAGGTGATGGTACAGTCGATCAAACAACCGAACAATGCAACAGCAGCGACGATAACTCTTTGTTCCTGTTAAGAATCCAGCTTCTTGAGATCGGCCTTGGGGCACCTATAGAGCGTCTGCGGAAGGTTAAAGAGGATATCAAGTTAGTCGGTAACGACTATGTCATTCTCAGGGACTATCTGGTCGCCAATAAGTTGGCTGAGAGGACGTTGGGAAGTTGGAGAGGGTTACCAGAAAGCTGTACGACGTTGTGTTTCGAGAAAAGCTGCTCAAGAAATGGATACCGACGAGTTTTGGAAGACGGTGTACAGTGAGGTTGTGGCGCCGCTGGAGGAGGTTTACCTGACATCAGGAGGCGATTTTGAGATGTAAAGTGAATGAATCCAGCCTTTGCGATTGATGTCGATGACAGCTATGATATGCTTTTATCTGACATTAATGCCGCCCCTCGCCTTGTAAAAATTAGTGAGAACATCATTCGCAGGCGGCCGGTACATGGCCTGGTGGAGGGAAAGACAGGAGGAGTCCTAAGCAATGAAAGGACGAAATTCAATTGATTGGCTTGTGGTGAAGCGTATGACTTGCCACGAGAATCGTATGCTCGATCCGAAGCTGTTGTTGGGAGTTGCACAGCAAGAGCGGTGCTCTCCCGCTACGCCCTCGAGGTGCTGAAAGCCGCTGACAGATGACTGTTCCAAGCCGATAGCTTCATGCTCTCCGCGTGAGTCAATACTTGACACTCGAGTATGTGGCATGTCAACTCTGTTATCAATTCCAGCCCAGTGCCACGAAAACACCGGGGAGGGTAGACAGCTGTTGTGCAGCTGATGATCCTTGTCACCCACAGAACCTCCTTCCCTCTCCCCCCGCAAATCTTTTGTCGCTTATTGCAGTTGGGCATGTCCCAAACTCATATCAAAGCATGCGGGACTCGGAGAAAGGTAAGACATGTGTGTATCCTTTCGGGTCAGCAGCAACTTGGAGATCCTATGTGTCGAAGACAAGCCCCGTCCAAGAGCCGCATGAGGGTCCGGCTGCTTAGTCATTAGTAAAGCGACCACCTTAGAGCTTCTATTCTAACCTCGGTATGGAATTGACATCAACAGCTTGGGAAAAACTAAAATCTGGCCAAAGACGTGCAAGGGAAAAATTCAACACTTGACCGTGCGTGGGCATGATGGTGGCGGGACGATTCTTAGCCGGCGGGGGTGGGGTTCCCGCGGAGCGCTAAGAGCAAACCCCAAATGTCGTGATACACCAGCTGCATAGCATCATCGCCCTAGCACCGGGTTCCCGCGATTTGTCACGAGGGTCAGAAACGTGATCGACTGCTTGTCAATTGCAATACGAAGGGCTTGCAAGCGTGTATTGGATGGTTTCACGCAAGAGAGAAGATATGCTTGTGCTCGGAAATATATAGCTGGGCAGTGGAGGTGTGCAACGCCAGGTTCGGCATCACAACGACTGCAAGACGACAAAGTCCAAAACATCGACCTCAAGAACGGCATGATGGAGCTATCGGCAGGCAAGGGTCGCCTTGCAGTTCCCACGATGCAAGCAGGACCGACCATCGGATGGAGAGCGAAACCGAGCGATATGGACCGCGATGGACTAACGTGAAATATCAAGGCTGCCCCATGTCCTCGTGTGCTGATGTTCGTTCCCTTGCTTCAGCGGCTGCCCAGAAACCCTTGGTCCGTAACAACGGCAGGATGACGGTAAACGCAGATAGCCAGAGAGTCGGCCCTGGCGCTGGTGTCGACTCTGAGCGTCGCGATGTCGAGTCTCTCTCGCCCAAACACTCTGCTCATACCACTGTTGTTCCCATTCCTGATGAAGAAACGCCCCTCATCTCCGAGAATGGCACAGCGGCGCCGGCCTCAACTGAGCCCCAATGGCTCGGCGGCCTGACGACTAAGCGTTTCCAGCTTCTCTTCCTCCAGATCGTCATCGGCAACTTTGTCGCCTGCTTTGACGGCACCATCATGGCGTCCAGCCACCCAGCCATCACGTCGTCCTTTGGTAGCAGTAACGCGGCATCGTGGTTGTCGACCGCCTTCCTGCTGACGTCGACCAGCTTCCAGCCTGTCCTGGGCAGCCTATCGGACGGTTTGGGCAGAAAAAGCCCTTACGTCGCGACTGTCGCTATCTTCTTGGTAGGCACGGCGGCGTGCGCGCTGGCACCGAGCATGGGTGCGTTCATTGCGGCGAGGGCGCTGTGCGGTCTGGGTGCTGGCGGTATGATGACGCTCGGTATCATCATCTTGAGCGACGTCGTGCCGATTGAGTGAGTCTAGACCCTGCTGTCGATCTCAAGAGCGCCGACTAACGTCAACAGGATCCGGGGCAAGTATCAGGGCTACCTGAATGTCGTCTTTGGCGTCGGCTCAATGATGGGCGCCGCTCTGGGCGGTCTCATGGCCGACACACTCGGTTGGCGATGGGAGTTTGGTGTTCAGGTGCCGCTGCTAGTTGGCTGCTTGGCGCTCTCCATGGTCATCGTCCCTGCCGATCTGGGTTTGTATGGCAGAGAGCAGAAGCCGCTAGGCGAGGTTATGCGCAACTTCGACCTCCGCGGTTCCATCCTGATGGCCAGTTCGGTCACATGCCTTATCATTGGCCTGGTAGGTCTTCGCGGGTACTCCTCACGTCTCGACACCGATGCTGACTTCCCGCAGAGTCTCGGAGGGAATATCCTTCCCTGGTCTCACCCCGTTGTGATTGCCTCTCTCGTCCTCTTCGCCATCCTCTTTCCCATCTTCCTGCACGTCGAGTCGAATCCGCCAGCCGGGGTCAAGCCCGTCATGCCAATCCATCTTCTCACCAAGCAACCGCAATCCAACCTCCTCTTCTCCAACCATCTCGCCTTCCTGGTCTCCAGCGCCGTAATCTTCAACGCCCCCTTGTATTTCCAGGGCGTTCTCCTCACGTCGGCCACGACCTCCGGTCTGCGCCTGGTCGCTTCGAGCGTGGTGACCTCCATCGTCGGCACCACGACCGGCTTCCTCATCACCTACACCCGCCGCATGAAGTGGGCGGTGGCCGGCGGCACGGCGATTCTCACGGCAGGCACTGCCCTGCTGGCAGCTCAGAGGCCCGGCTGGCCCGGCTGGGTGTACGTGCTGTTCCTGGTGCCGCAGGCCGCGGGCTGCGGTCTTGCCTTCCCTGGTACTCTCATGGCCGTGCTGGCTGTGGCGCCGCAGGAGGAGCAGGCCGTGGTGACAGGCACGCTGACCCTGTGGCGGAGTCTGGGCAGCGTTATGGGTGTCGCGACGAGCTCCCTTGTGATGCAGAACGCGCTGCGGGTGTACCTGGAGAAGTACGTGAGCGCTCCAACTCTGGAAGAGAAGGAGAAGATCGTGCAGCTGGTGAGGAAGTCGGTCGAGGCCATCAAGGCGCTGCCCGACGGCTATCGCGCGCAGGTGGTGACAAGCTACGGTGCGGCGTTGAGGGTGACGTTTGTGGCGACTTGCGTGGTTGCTGCGCTGAGTATGCTGCTGGTGTTGCCGGTGAGGCTGCCGAAGCTGACGAAAAAGACATAGCGGCGCGGTGAGGTGCCGCTGGATGGGGAAATATATGATCAATTTCTGTGTATCGTCTAAGAAGCCCAATTTTAGAAACATCCATTGTTTACATGAATAGAAAAGTGTGTTCGCTCTTAGAACCCAGTACCGCTTTTATCATGCTCACTATTACGCTTGTTCAAGCCTCAACTCCTCCAACTCGTCCCGTAACTTTCTGTATAACTCCTGGGCCTTACGCTCGCGGGTGCTGACGAAGGCAACCTCGGCCCGTAGCGCCTCTAAACGCCGCTGGATAGCTTGCTCTTCGGACGCCCGTAGTACCTGGAAGCCGGCCAACGCGTTGCGCGCCTTTTCCAGGGCCGCGTGCGCCTCGCCGAGCTTCTTGCGCAGCATCTCAGCTCGGTTCTTGTACCCGCCGAGGTGCAGGTTGAGCTTCTTCTCGAGCTTGTTGCCTTTCTCCGCAGAGGCCATGAGGCGGTCAAGGGCAGCCTGTGACTGTTAGTAGGTGCACGTTTTACTGATTAGGCAGCGGGATTTTTTTTTTGTGATTTTTTTTTTTACCTCGAGAGTTGCTCTTATGTTAGCCACGTCATCCTCCCCATCCTCACTGTCCGAGTCGTAGTATCCCAGGCCTAGCCTAAGGGCATTAAGATTCTCCTCCCGCCTGTTCCAGATAGCGTGAACTACCTCTGGCGCAGGCTTCTCCTTCATCTCCATCAATATCTGTAACCTGGCCTCGGCAAGTTCGTCATCGCTGAACCGTGGGATCTCGACCGGCTTGACTCCCGGCGGAGCACCCGGCAACGGGTACTTGGCAGCATCATGAGCCATAAGTAGGGCAGCCTCACGGGCGACCAGGGCCCGCGCAGGGTCCTCGATCTCGTCCGCTGCACGGAGCAAAGCGTCTATATCGACAACAGCTGTCCGTGGCAACTCACGCTGCATGACCTGGGTACGTCTCCGGCGCTCAGCCAGCTCGCGGGCCTCGCGGAGCTCCCGCTCGCGCCGGTCCCGGTCAGCGGCATCTTCCTCCAGCTCCTCTTGTGTCTTAGGCTCCTGTTTCTCCTCGGGAAGCTCGAGCTCCCACTCTGTCTCCTTCGGCTTCGGCAGCGCTGCGAGCTTCTGCTTCAGCTGCTGCCGGAGAGCATGCTCCATTGACACGCCATCGGTGGCATTAAGAGAGAAGGTATCGCGGGGCGTCCGCAGAGGTGTTTGCCCGGGCCGCAGCGGCGTCGCTCCGCCATTGGGCCCTTGGCGCAGCGGAGTTGCGAGCGGATTGGGTGTAGATACAACTTGCTTCTTGGGGACGACCGACTCGAAGCCTGTCGTCCCGGCACCTTCGGCCAAGGGAGCGTTCTCGCCGCCGAGCAGTGACGACTGCGTCTCGGTAAGAGCCTTGATGTTGCGGATCTCGTTGGCGATATGGTCTTCTTGGGCAGGAGCCCTTGGTGTCCGGATCGGCGCGCCAGTGTTTAGGGTCGAGTAATTACCGACAAGCCCACGAGTAGCGTCGTTCTCGCTCTCGCGAGCCATGGCGCTGGCCCGCTCGCCAATCATGCCCATCTTGACGATCTCATCCAGCTCGCTGTCGCTGACCTGCGGAGCGGGAAGTATCAGAGGCTTCCGCTTGCTGCTCTGCTCGGCTTCACGCAGCTTCTGCATCTGGCCAGCCTTGAGGGCCGCCTGAAGAGATGCCGAAGGCCCATCCTTGTTGTTCTTCCTCTTCTTGCGCTCGGCCTCTTCCTCCTCGTCGCTCTTGCGCTTGTTGCCCACTTGCTGCTTCTTAGGGTCGAAATGGGCACGCTGCCACTCGTTGCGAGCAATCTCCTCAGTCGTGTCGTAGAATCCGGGAGCCGGCTTCTTCTCAAAGGGGATGTCGGCGTTGTAATCCATCTGGCCCTTCTTCCGGGTCGTGATCTTGATATTGATGCCGGCCGTCTTGAGCTCGCGGCGCTTCTGCAACGCAGCCAGACGTCTCGACTCCTCCTGCTGCCGCTCGCGGGCTTTCCGCTTGGCCTTCTTGCCTTGAGTATTGGCCAGACGGGCACGGGCTTCGCTCAGCATCTCTTTCTCATCCTCGTCGAGGTCGATCGTGTCGGGACGGGCGGGCTTCGTCTCGGGATCTGGGTCAATTTCGCCCGGCCGCAGCTTTCTGACGTCTTCGGCAGTCGGGGCACGAGTTTCGCCGCCATCGGGGCCCGTCAAGCCCAGTTCGGACGCTTCGCGCTGCTCGGCCTCATCGAGGAGCTTCTGGTAGCGCTCGAGACACTGGTTGGCAGTACGACCGACGATCGGGGCAATAGTGCGCCATTGCGTTGGCATAAGTTTTGCCAGGTGAAGCAGTTTCTCGTCCTCCTCGCGGCTCCATTCGATCTTCTTGATGCTGGGGTCCAGCCACTCGTTCCATCGCGCCTTGCACTGCTTCGGCGTCTTACGCGCCAGCAGCGACGACACACGCGCCCACTGGTTGAGGCCATACTTGCTGACAGCGGCCTTGAGGATCTCGTCCTCGATATTGGTCCACACGCCTCCCTTGACGACGGGCATGGTGGTGATGGGTTGGTGGTGTTGTGCAAAGTGCGATGTCTGCGTTTCGCAGTCGCGGCTGCGAAGCTGGAGAAAGGCGACCTCAACAGCTGGTGGGCCTGATTGGTCAGTGCGCGCCAAGACTAGCCCCACGATGTATGTTTTAAAAGCACCCCTGTCCATGCATGCAGCTAGTAGCTTCGATCGCGTCGTCGCGGTCCCGTAGTACTTGAGCTTTAACTTCTGTCACTGCGTCCTACAGTACGCATTTCGATCCCCATCCAAGTGCAATTGGCCTTGGTCATTCCCCGTCTTTGTTTGTTTCTATCCGGTTGTTCAATACCTAATGGCATCAAGCGCCCCCTCGCCACAAAGGGAGGGAACTGCCTCGGCGCAGCTCAACGGAGCTGTCCCTCCCTCCTCCATCCCGCAGAAGCGTACACTTGAAGACGACCACACGCCGGCTGTTCCCTCACCGCTGAACCCAGAAGCAAAACCCAAAGTTCAATTTCAAGCGCCAGAGGAGGCGCAACCCATGGGGCGCGAGAAGAGGGCCAAGAAAGATTCGCTCAAGAAGCGCGAGTCCAAAGCAACCAGCTCGGACAGTGCCCGGGCAACACCCGACCCCAAGCCGAAGGAGCCGCCAGAACAACTTGGGCCAATTCGATACAGGCTGCCGCCGCCGAAGCCGTCTGACTTTGAGCTGCCGCGCGGGCCTGTATTTTCCAGCCATCATGAGGTCCAGGACTCCGAGGGCAGGACGATCGAGTTCTTTGAGACTTCAGACCAGTAGGTCTCGACTGACCGGCTAGGTATAACGACGAACGTCCAACTGACCTCCTCTCCAGTGTGTATAACAAGAAAAACTTCCACTACACGCACTGCATTGCAGACCCCGCCTTCCGATCTAGCTTTTACTACCGTCAAACCGAGCCTCCGCCCTACGGGCCCCACATGAGTTTCGAGGATGCCGCTTCGCACATGTTCTTCGATCGCGAGGGCAAGCATGTCACAACAGAAAAGGGGTACCGTATGTCACGAGCCAACGTGGCCGTGCGCGAGGGGCGCTGGTTCTGGGAGTGCAAAGTCACACGGGGTATCCTGAGGAATCGCCGCGAAGACGAGATGGAATCGCACGGTCATGTCCGTATCGGATTTGCCAGACGGGAAGCGTCTTTGGACGCGCCCGTTGGCTTCGACGCCTACAGCTACGGTCTACGAGACATTTCAGGCCAAAAGGTGCACATGTCACGGCCCAAACCCTTCTTCCCTCCCGGTGAGGAGATCCGCGAGGGAGACGTTATTGGCCTTGAGATTTACCTTCCATCCGAGCGCTTGCACCGCAAGATTGTCCAGGGCACATACAACCCGGCTGTCGATCACGACGACGACTCAGACCTGCCGCCTGAGGCACCGAATATCGTGCGCGACCGTATCCCGATCCGCTTCAAGCAGCACATCTACTTCGAGAAGATCGACTACCACACAACCAAGGAGCTCGAAGAGCTTCACAATCCGTCGCCCATGTCGACGACGCATAATACCGAGCCCCCGCATCCCAACCATCCCGTCCCAGCCATGCGCACGCTTCCAGGGTCGTACATCAAGGTGTACAAGAACGGTAAGCTGATGGGAACGCCCTGGACGGACCTCTTTGCTTTCCTGCCTCCGGCGTCCAAGCAGGCGCAACAGTCCGGTGGGCGCGAGGCTCTCGACGACGGGTCGTTAGGATACTATCCGGCCGTAAGCGTGTTCCGTGGCGGCGCCGTCGAGGTGAACTTTGGGCCGGACTTCTGGTTCCCTATCTCGGAGGAGGATGCCGCGACGGACGGGACGAAGACGAAGCGACTCCGGCCAATATGCGAGCGCTACGACGAGCAGATAGTGGAAGATATTGTCTACGATATCATTGACGAAGTCGACTTTTGGATGCAGGACGGTGGGAAGGATATCGATCGCGGCAGAGATGAGAAGGCCGAGACTGCAGGAGCGGGTAGGGAAGAGATTAAGGAGTTGTTTCAGGATGACTAGAGATATCGATGGTAAATATAAACAGGTGACGTCCTTCCGTCTGAACTCCTCGATCCAACATTATTATTATTATTATTATTATTATGATGATGATGATGCATAGTGCACATGGGTATCAATCATTACGAGCTCTTCGCCGCCTCAACCTCTGCTGGCGCCCTAGCTTGATCCTCTGCCCGTTCTCTCTCCTCCTTCTCCCGTTCCTCCTTACCCCTCTTCCAGCAATACCACAGTACAAACAGCAACAAGACAACCGCCGTACTCCACAGTGCGCTCGTCCCAACAACCGCAGGCCACCTCAGCTTTAGCGCGTTCACAATTGCCCTCAGCATCGCCTGCACCACGGCCGGGGTTAGCGTAAGGTCGCCCAAACTCTTCGGCAGTAACAACTCCTTCACCCCCTTAGTCCCCTCCTTCCCAATCTCCTTTACCGCTGCGTCCTTCGCAGCGCTAAGCACCTCCGATCCGAAGCTCTCGGCCATCTTCTTCGGCAGCTTTGTGACAATATTCTGCATCCCTGGCGGCAGCTTCTCAAACCCGCGCCTGAACGCATCGTTGCGCCCGTCAAACAGCTTGATCAGGTCGTCCACTGCCGTTGGCGCCCCGCGCATGATGTCTTTGAGCACCAGCACGAACTGGCGAACCAACTCCTTCAGTTCAGCCGAGGCCTTGTCCTTTTTCGCCTTTGCCTTGGCCTTGGTCTCCGGACTGAGGTCCAGCCGCGCAAGCACGCGGTTGAGGTCGGCCCACTCGCGGTCTGCCTCGTCTTCCGTGGTGGTGTCTGTCGCAGTCTGCTTGGGCTTGCTGGTGCGGTGGAACAGGCGCGACAATCGGCTCTGCTTCTGCTTCTTCGGCGATGCTGCGTCCGCACTGCTGCCGGTGACCTCCTCGCCTCCCCAGGCCTCTATCAAGTCGGGCGTTCTTGGGCGGGAAGGCATGGGTCGCTTCGAGCCATCAGCTTTGTCTCCATCTTTGCCCTCAACGTCGCCGACGAGATGCTCGAGAAAACGCTCATCTTCGTCGTCGAGGAGGGCGGGGGCTGGCTCCTCTGACTGCTCCTGTTGCTTCTCGGCTTCATCACGGCGGCTTGGCGCAGCGGGAATGTCTTCGTCTGGGGTAGGTGTTGCGGGGTAGCCTGGGGTTTGAGTCGCAGCCGAGGCCGAGAGTTTCGCTGCGTCGGCTGCCGCTTCCTTGGGTCGTGATTTCTTGAAAAAGGAAGGCATCTCGTGGGTTGGGTGAGATGAAAACAAAAAGAAGAAGAAGAAGAAGAAGAAGAAGAAGAAGAGGAAAAAGAAGTTTGCATGTCTGGCACAAGCGATGTAGGGGTAGAATGGGCTTCAGCGGCCTGTCGGCCGCCGGTATTTGTCTTGCTTGCCGTTGCTTGGCTGCCCTGCCTCTACTCTTAGCCCCAGCCCGACTACTGCCGATGCTGTCGCCACATATCGCACCGCCACAGTGATGTCATGCCTTGCTTGATGATGGATGTTGTGGCGGTGCAGAGTACACTGGGTATCAATACGGATTGGCTCAACGATGATAAAAGTTTTAACCACACAGTCTCCCAGCTTTATTCCTCGTCCTCATCCTCAGCCTGTGGTTCACTCCTCCTGCCTCCCCTCTGTCTGCCTCTCTGCCATCCTGCCCTGGTCGTGAGGGCACGTTCGCCAACGTAATGATTCCCCGACCACTCCCTGTTGCACTTAGGGCAACGGCGATCGGGTCGCGTGCGCCAGAAGCCCTCGCTGCAATGGTCGTGCAGCCGCACAAGACAGTCAGGCTCGTCGCAGCGCTGGCCGTATGTGACAATTTCTTTACAGCCCTCGCAAAACTTTATGGGCTGCCACGCGTTGTCCTCAGGCTCTGGATCATTGTATGCCTCTACAAGCCACTGCCATAGCTCCAGCAGCGCCCGCGTCGTTAAACTGTAGAACCCGTTCGGGCTTAGTTGCAACCAACCCTCTTGCACCAAGCTCGAGAGGAGGGACAGCACTTCGGAGTGCTTTAGCGGCTGGACCTTGGGGCCAAAAACCTCTAAGTTGTCGCTGTCTCCGCCAGCACCAACGCCGCTCTGTCTCGACTGCGCTGGTGGCCTTGACAAGCGCAGCGCCTCTGCTTCGTCGATGGCCATCAACTCTATGCGCGGAGTATTGTGCTTATCGAACATCGCGTCTAGCAGCCTCTTGATGTATGCCACTTCGTCGGCCGTGTGCACCGTGCTCAGCTGTGTCGGAGGGTCGCTGTGGGCGTTGACGAAGGCCCAGATACGTTCTCCGCTGAGCTGGTCACGAGTGTTGCGGATGTCAAAATCGAGCGGCTCGATGGCCTGGCGGGCGGCATGGATATAATGCTGAAAGACATCGCGGGTGATGTCTGACGGGGAGATGTGCTCGCCGGTCGAGGCCGACTGGATGGCCGCGATCAGCTTCTGGCCTTCGCTGAGACTCAAGGTCCCCCGGGCCATGAAGGCCTGGAGAAAGGCCCGGTTGGTGTCGTTGTAACCAGGAGGGAGCGCAGGGACCCAATCTTGGTCCATCCCGGTGTCCCTTAAACTCAGGACTGGAGAGGCGTGTAAAAAGAGGCCTGTGCTAAGTAGCAGAGGTATTGATTGCGTGAAACCCGTATGTTATAGGGGCGGCAGCAGCTTCGGAATTCGGAATGGATGGCGCTGCCCGATCGACAACACTCGTTGATTTTAGGTTTGGCTAATGGTTACGCGTCGGAAAACGGCTCAGCTTTGACAGGTACGTAGTGGAGCCTGATAACGCCGTCGATGGAGTCTTTGCTCCGCGTCGCGACGCGTTTGTTCACCTTTGATCGCAGATCTTATCACCATCCTTCATTGGGGGTTGGGCACGGTGGGATCGACAGGGTCCTCCAGCCCACGTGGTCAGCCGTTACCCGGTAGGCGAGCATATGGCGGATCTTGGCATCACGGTCTGTGCTCAAACAGCCGCACCAACCACAGCACAGATCGACTGATATTGGGACGACAACGCCCGAGACGGGCAAGCTGCAGAAAACCCACGCTTACGGAGAGCCGTTTCAGATAAAAAGGGAGTCGCAGATAGCTTTGGGGCCTTTAGTCGATAAAAAAAATGTCAACAACCCCTATCATGCTTCTGCCCGAGGCCACGGCTGATCGGCAACAAGGGTGGGAATCATGGGATCCATCGCTTCTGGTTCAATTTTTGCAACAGCGTCACATGAAGATGACACCTATGCCAAGTATTTAAGGGAATTTGGGACCCCTCAAACACCCCCATGACTTGTTTCCAAGGCCGTTCCAGGGGAGGGGCTGTTGTCGCAGCGTCAGGTACTGCTACTGGCGGACGTTGGCTAGGCGGAAATTCTCCGCAGCACGACAGGCTGTCGGATGTGCGAATTGGGAATGGCCTCGTTTTCTAGCCAGGTTCTACAAAAGTATAGACGCCGCTTTGACTCTGGGTTATCGCCTTTATCACCAGCCTTCCGATCCTCCGTCCTGCTTGGCGAGCATGCTCGGCTCGCGGGTTGTTGGAAAAAGGCAACCGTCCGTTTAGCGACCACTTTACCCTCCCCCTCCCCCCCGGGCGGGCTCTCAGCCACCGTCTCAAGCCTCTTCACAGTCTTCACCCCTAACATCGAATTTGAAGAGCTCCCAGACTTCCAAACATATGCTTCATCATGCTGCATGGAGGGTCGCAGGGTCTCGGCCTGCAGATCAACCTGCAGAGCCTGCAGGTCGCTCACCCAGCTGCACACTTGCCCACCCTAGCAACGTGTTTAGCTGGGCCCAATCCCGAGAAGCCCCTCCTCGTGCAGCCCAGTCGCTCACTCGCATGGGTGACATTGCGAGGGTAAGGATGCTACGCCAATCCAGCCCAGGTCAAAGCGTACTACGGCCAGTCTGCAGCTAAGGGCCTAGTCGGCAGCCTCGGCTCGATGCAGAGCGACATTGTGGCGGTTTTGCCTGCCCTAATTGGACGCAGCACGATTTGAGGGCACGTTGTAATGCTTGCCGATCGTTGTTCAAGCTCTGTGCTTCTCTGTGATGCTTGTCCACCTGCTTCTTTCCATGCCCCGGCTCCCCAGAGCTTGGCGATATCAAACCCCAGTTCCAAATCCATGGGGCGGGCAATTTATCCCGCGTGCATCGCTCCTGCGTGATCGTCCTGTTTTCTTCATGTCCATCTCTGTGACTGTCTTGCTGTGCCCGGTCGCATACCTGAGAGTTCTTAGCCGCGATGGCAGCCCAGCTGCCTCCCGGCGTGGCCAGCTTCGCCGCCGGCATCTTAGTGTATAGCTTCTTTTGTTTCTCCTTTGGCCCATTGCTGCTGTACCTCACCTGGGCACATAATGAGCGTTTCAGCTGTAAGTTCCTCCTGTGGTCCCGACGGACTCGATTGGTGCTGATCTGGGCCTTCCAGATATTGCTATGCTCACCTTCTTTGTGAGTTTACACACGGTTGCTTCGATTATGCAACAAATACACACCATTGTTGCCTTTAAAGACGTCAAGACCAAGGAGTGGGAGAATATTGCGGCCAATGTCGGAAGCCCAGAGCTCAACATCACCGGAGGTGCTACCGGCCTCGACCGTGTGCTCTTCTATATCCGTGAGTGGCTCTTGTTGATAAGCTTCTCTGAATGTTTGGGCTTATGCTGACCCGAACAGAGTACTACTCCTACAATGTCGAGTCACTGCTGGTATTCTTCTGGTTAGCATCCCCGTCGCTGTCGAGTGTGGTTCCTGACTGACCGTAACCAGGGCTGTGGCGCTGGCCAACAGCATATTCCAGCTGCGCATCATCAAGACGTACCGCTTTCACGCCAGTATGGCTGCGAAGACGATGGGTGCTCTGTTTCCGGCCGGCCAGATGATCATCCTGCGTTTCTGCGGCCCCTACGTTAACACCGCTGGTTACATGGTGATCGCTGATGGCATCAGTACGTGCTCCTGGCTTCCCCTTGTCGGCTCGCTTAGTTGACAGTTCCCAGTGATGCCATTCTCGTGCGCTACATCCACTCGCGCATCAACTTCGCCCCCTGGAACGTCGGTTACGGGCAGCCCAGCGGCAGCACGGGCCAGATCAGCGGCACCGGCGCAAGTGGCACCAACAACAGCCGAGCTGTTCGCAGTCGTCGTCGTCGGACAACCATCTATGACAAGTGGCTCGTCCTGCGCTTTACCATCGCATTCTTGTCTCTTAGGTGGGTTGCTCCCTTTTGGCTGAGAAGTTCTTCACCCAGCGCAACCTTCACTAACTCCACCCAGTCTCTTCCAGATCATCGTCGTCAACTTCCAGCTCCGTGCCGCCTCCCACAACAACGTCGCGAATCTGCCCCCGGAGCCCGATCTCTCCCCGGAGCGCGCCAAGGGCGACTTTGCTCTATTTGCCCCGGCCGTTTCAGCCCCTCCGCTCGTCTTCATCGTCTTCGGTACCACTCGCACCTTCCGCAAGTACATGTGGGCGCATTTCGTCCCTGCCATAATCCGCAACCCTATCGATGCGCGTCGACAGGCGAAGAAACTTGCCAAGCAGCGTGCTCAAGGATACGCCGAGGGCAGCGTATCTGGGACGAACCCCTGTGCCACAGCAGCGACGACCGCGACTGGCGGCTCGGTAACCGTTGAAAATTCCGCAGGGATTACATACGGAAAGGGGATGCCGAGTGCCAGCTGGAAGGACCACGATCCCATGGCGCAGATGGAGAGCGGTCGTGCTGGTATCGGGTTCAACGGTGGTAGTCACGGTCGAAAGACATCACACGGGGGCAGTACTCGCGGATTGCACAGGAGCAGTAGTGCCGACTACGGAGGAAAGAGAGGCTACGGGGGTGTTGGCTATGGAAATGGATACGGGAGAGGAGGATACGGCCAGTATGGCGATGAGGGATATAGGTTGCAGAACTTGAGTCCTGCCGCAAGGTGGAGGGAGCGGGATGACTGGCCAGAAAGGCCGCCGCCTGTACCCCCCAAAGATTTTCCTTAGTACGCACATATTTGGGATTTCGGATAAGGCATATACCCCTTGAATACCCCTGTTGTGTATGGCGTTCGGGTTGTGGCTTGGTTTTGCATATATAATACCACTATGACACTTGGACATCTGGGTAATTAACCCGCTCTAACTCTAATGCCCCCTCCATGCTCTTATGTTTTTTTTTTTTTCCGCTATTTCTTTCCCTTCTTCCCCCTCCTTCACTCTCTCTTTAGTACGGCTCAATCAGATGCCCAAGTGAGTGGCTTGGAGCTCCGTGGGATACCATTGCTGTTACTCCAGATGTAGTTTTGCTAGCAACATGAGGGTGCTACCATGACCTCACAGGTGCGTCGGCTATAGTGCTTCCAAGCCTCTTAAGTGGAATTACGCTAACGTCAGGGTGCTTTAGTAAAAGCCTCGAGCTCTGCCACAACACCTGTATAGACTTTCCCATGGAAGGCATCCTCGTCCATGTGCTGCACATACTGCCCAGAACTGACACATCGCTCCACTACTGTCTTATAAGCGGGACACAATATGGCAACCTTTGACCCCAATAGTCTATAGACTGTAACGGTATCACGTATTATGCCAGACTCGTCTCCTGGCATCTCCACCTCATCACATGGTTCCCGCATGCTTTCAATTGTAGACCCGAGAATGAATTCCAACAGAACTACTCCCAAAGAAAAGAGGGCATGGCTGTATGTTGCAGATGATGGATCAGGCTCGTCTGGGTGGTCTATCGTTTGCTTTGGTGGCTGTGCTCTCAGGTATGCGTGGTCGTACCCTGAGGTTTTGCTCTGCACGAGGAAATGTATGTTCCACTTCGTCATAGGCTCAGACAGCCAAGGGGGTTCTGATGAACTTCAAGAAATTCGATACAACGGCGAGAGCAAGCTGCATTTTCTCATCGAGCTTGAAGAGAGGCCGAAGCCCTTGTTTGCGCTGAAGCACGTTGACGAGTGCGACTGCTGACAAATCCTGTTGCTCATTCGATACCCGGAATACTGTATATAAAAACTTAGGATGTTGCGGATCAACCAGGTATCCCTGACAACTCTCTTGCATGCAGGAGCTGCGCTCTAGGCCGGAGCAGATAGTCATAGGAAGCGGGTTTGTGACAAGTGGCGCAGTGAGTGCGAGCTCGATCGACTTCTCTATTATGGTTACAGTTGCAGCGCCCTTGGATAATGTTGAGTAATTGGTAAATGCATTCTCAGCAAATGATACCACCCTTTTGGTCCGCTTTTTCCTTATCGCGACAGGACTTTCTGCGGGTGCTGGCATCTTTTCCGGCAGAGGAGTGCCGCGCGTCTTTGGTGAGGGAGCAGGGAGTTTGCTGATATCGATCGTTTCCCAAAGCTTGCCAGTCCCAGAATCTCGAGTTGTTGCGGTTTGAAAGGATATGGCAAGCCGAAAGAGCGATCTAGCCAAGATATCATCATCATCATCATCATCATAACCTAGATGAGTTGGCTTAGGACTAAGGCCGACGCTAATATCATGGCTGTGGGTGCGTCTCAAACTGGTCCTGAAAGCGCGATAAACCGATAACGAGAGATTTCGAAACAATTCAATGCCTCTGCATCCAGATTGTTTACGCCTTTCGGGTTCTAACACCAGGCATTGTTGTGTCAGCATTTCCAGGTCGTTTATACCCTTGGAGATGATGCCAAGTACATCCTGGTAGTATTTTCTGTTCAGGCGGTAGAGGAGTTTTTTGAACTCGCGAGGCATCCATGACTTTTGGACCTAGGCAACCTGGTTTCGGTCAGTCAGAGTGGCGGCATGACTTTCTGGGTATATTTGTTCTCCATCACCCACCTGCCCATCTTTGGTGATATCGATTCGAAGGCTTTGTTTGATGCCTTCAAGGGCCTCCTGGATCTCAAACACAGTCTTTTCGAAGGGCGCATAGGAATCCCACAACCGGCTACGTATCTTCTGTTCTATCTCTTCTCTTTGCCAGAGCTGCCCAAATGGATCGATGAGCATGTTCTCGATGTCTTTAAAGGGAGCGATATCTCGTAAAAGTTGTGCACAAGTATTGCAAAGTTTGGCATGCTCAGTGGTCAGCTGGCGGTACACACTCTTCAACTCCTATCAGAGTTTCCCCAATCTTTGACAAAGTGAATGTAGTGCTGAATGCCCTTGGCGACCAAAGGCAGAGAACCCAAAACGAGGCCTGCCACCTCTAGGCCAGACATGCTGTACTCATTCACACTGGTCGGGTCCTGTTTAATCTCAACCTGGGGAATCCTATAGTTGGAGAGGGGGGGAAACTTGAGCTTCAAGTACGGACAAAAGCAAACAAGTAACCCCATACACTTGGACTCACCATCAGAGTAGAAATGAAGCGGGGTAGAAGATCACAATGGCTGATGAGCGGAACTGCATACATCCTTGGCAAACCGTCATGATTGGTCTAGGAGTCACACAAAAGGCATCTCACGAGCAAGCTGATTGTTAGTAAGATACCCAAACACGGAAGTTGGTAGGCTAAGGGGGAGAAGGATGGAAAGTGATGATAAGGTATCTATAAATGATTGGCAAGAGAAGAAATAATAATGATAGAAATCTTAAAACGGAGGTTTATAACTTTGGCAAGTGACACCTTGGTATAAGCCCCTTACCAAAGCCAGTGGTCCCTGAGAAGTAGTGTACTAATGGACAGGAGCAAGGCAGCACTGGCCCCGCATTAAGAGGACTTTTTTTTTTTTTTTAGCTCGGTTCCTCAACGATATTGACGACCTTAGTTACTGCCCGACCGTCCTTAAGAAGCCCTGTTAGCACCTCCCCCTTCCATCTTATGCCTTCACTCGTTCGAGCAGGTCTATGTCTTGTCATACTGGCTTGGGGATCGTGAAAGATATCGCCTAATGAGCAATTCGATGACTGCAGAGCAGGTAGGAGTCGGCAAACCAGCATTCAGGCCCATTGCCCACCATGTCCGCATAACCCTGCAGGTCTTCTCCTTATTGAGAAACTCTCCGCCATTCGGACAACAAGCTTGGCTGAACAGTGAAGAGCTTTTGTCTCCAGTTAAGAATGAGGAGATCCGATTCAAAACATGGGCCGGGAACCTTGGCGCCCATCGTGTCGGGAAATCCTCCCTCGACTACCGACTGCGGCAGGCGAGCCACCTCCAGGATCAGGTTATCTATCTCTTGAAAGACATCCTGGAGTCACTACAGGATGTCTGTAGGCTCCTCGAGATTGAGGTGTCAATGATAATACGGTCGTCTAGCAGCCAATCTTCTCATTCGTCTTGAAGGAATTTAACTCGGCACCACACAGTTCTCCCCGGTGATTCGATGGTTATAGCGGATGTTACCGACACCAGCAATAGTTTTGATGACTTAAGTGACTCCGATATTGAGAATCCAATCGTCGAAGAGCGCTTTAGATTACTCTGCGCGGATGTCAAAGAGTGTATCGATTGTTTGCATAGTCTTAATGTTGCCATTGCCAACCCAGCTCCGTACGAAAGATTCCAGAAGTTCGGTGCGGGAGGATATCTCGTGCCGAGAACCGTGCGATATCGCTTATGTTAGGAACAAGTTCCCACTTCTCGATTTCAAGATAGCTGAGAAGCTCGGGAAGGGAATCACCAGACGTCGCCAGTTCTTCCGTTACCGACAAAGTCATCACGAGAAGCCGGCGGCAGGATTGGACTCCTTGGCTTATGAAGGAGGCAAAACCATTGGAGAAGAGGATGACAAAACCGAGGCCGCGCCGACGACGATCGCCTCATCGTTGCCCGATCACGTAAAAGCCGCGAACATCAACATCAATAGCGATGCTATTGACGAAGACAATTGTTCGGATACGGGATGCTCCATGACGTCATATGCGACTTCTGTAGGTGATTAGACGGGGACTGTTACTTTGGAGACAGCTCCGCTGCTGAGGGTTCCACCATTATGCACAATGGCAGAAACAGGAGCTTTCGAGTGTCCATTCTGCTATCGAATGATCGTAGCCAAGACAAGGTCGTCATGAAAGTAAGTTGTCACCTGATCGCTCAACGGCATAGCCATCGGTAAGGTTGGGCTGGAAGCCCGGAATGCTAACAGCAGCGCGTCTCCAGACGACATGTCTCCAGCGATCTTCGACCCTATACGTGCGTTTTCGAGGATTGTCTCGAGTCCAACCTCGACTTTGACAGACGACGCTGTTGGGAAGCTCACACAATGAACAGCCACTGGAAGTCTTGGTCGTGCTTGTTTGGATGTAGCATTACTTACGATTCTGCCTTGAAGCTGAAAACCCACATACTCCAAAGCCATCTCCCATCCCTTACGGGCACCCAGCTGGATGCAATTGTAGCGACTGGATCGAACCAAACAGCAGGTGACACCACTGTTGAGTGTCTTTTCTGTAAGAACAAAATACTTGGTCTAAGGCGGTATACAAGGCACGTCGACAATCACCTGAAACAATTAGCATTATTTATTCTTCCAGATCCCGACTACGGTAGTGGTGATGATAGTGACGACAAGAATCACATGGGAGTGGTGCATGCGGGGGAGAGCGATACTTCTGGTGGCCTTGGATTCTCTGAGAACCACAGAGATGTGCTTTCCTCTGAGGTTGAGTGCAGCACGGTGAGTAAACTTATAACTTGGCGGATAAAGTCTATTCTTCGCAGGAGTCATGAAATATTGCGATTTCATCATGATGATGGTCATAATGATGATCATGGTCATGACGAGGAAAGAAAAAGTCAGAACACAGTGGAGGAAACCCCTGCTGCGAACGAAGCTGAGTTTTGTCGAACCGCTATTGTTGATCTGATGTTACCGTTTACCTGACCGTATGATGTAAACAGCAACCAAGTTTGGCTGCCGTCACTCAGCAACAGTCTTCGAAGCCGACATCAGAGGCTGGTACGACTTTCATGCACCGCGAACACAAGCAGGGAGGCTATGAGACCAGCGACCATAACATATATTCGGCTGCTACTCATCACGACAGCGAAACTATGGAATCAAGCAGTGAAGAGATGGTCGACGAGGCGTTTTATCCCATGCCGTCACGAAAAACCATTCTATCCGAGGCACGCGACAAGGCAACTACTGCCGTTGAAATGGATAATGGGGGCGCTTGGGAGGCCTATTCCGAGGCATACACTTTGCTTCAGCAAGCATTATCACACGATATGGCAGGAGGATCTTCAAAAGTTAGAGGCTATTGTGAGTTTCTCAGACCCCCTCTCTTGCTGGGTGATAAGGTTAACGGTGCATAGAATGACGCGTACATTAATCGGGTTACGGAGCTCGACGAGCTACTATTAGAGTTGTCAGAATCCAAGGAAGAGTAATGGATTAGATTGTGTACAGTTGCAAGATATGGACTAGTTATCGCCACCAACTAGCCCATCATTATGTGTCACACGGACACGGCAGTTCAAGGAAAGGGATGTCCCCGACTACCAACACAAGGGATACCAGAGACAGAATGATTGTGAGCGGCACAAATACGTGGTTGATCCCGGAAGATGTCTAGAGCCGGATGACCGAAGAGAATGAGCCATATGGCTGAGGCATGATGAGGATTCTATAAAGGAAGCTGCCCGGTCATGATAAACTTCTCCTGGTTCCTCCTCTGCCTGATACAGGACACTGAGGACATACACGTAGTACTTGACTTCGCTGTGCACCCCACATCGTCAGTGGCCACAATCTAACCCATTTGACCCATTGTCGATCCCTGCCTGCACCAGACCAAGTCACCCGTTACACTATGGTCTCCCACTGGAAGGTCCTGCTTCAATTGCTCAGCTACCCTGCCATGTGCGGTATAATTTGACATCTTTTGGCAGGCCCCTTCCCGAGCTTTATGAACGGCAGTGTCCTGATTGGTGCTCACTGAGTCGCCAGCTATTTACAAACTGGTCTATGCACCAGGTATAAGAGTATCCTACCGGTGTTGGAGACTTGCGCTCCAAGGGTCGGGAAGTGTTAGCCAGTGGGTGGCGAGGAAGGACATGTGGTCCCTGTCTAGGACACCAAGTTCACTGGTAACTGGCGGCATGCGGGCGATATTGGTTACTTCGGCGTTGTTGTCACCCTGCTCTTCGCGACGACGCTTGCGAGGGTTGCAACAAACCTGGGACTCGAGCTTGAGGGTTGAAAAGTCACAGATGTTGATATCAAATTTCTGGAAAAAAGGCAAACGGTCGAGATTACCCCAGTAGTTTTGGGAGTATTTGAACATCTGAGGGTCAAAGCCGGAGATCTCCATCTCCTTTGGTACAATATTAATAGAAGACTCGATACCTCAGAGCAGATAGATTTTGGGGAGCCGACTTTTTGTCAGACCTGGAACCAGTCTAGGGTCAGCTCAGCAGAGATGGTCGTTTTCGACGACACATGACCCACCACTCCAAGTCGGCGAGGGTATTCTTAACCGTCTGGGAACAACTTTCGGAACGATTGTTTTTCGTGTTGCAGACAGGACAGCCCTGTACAAACCATCGCGGCTCGCGACAAGGGATACGTCGATCTTGTGCCCGAAATGACTAAATTTTCCGCATGCGTCGAGGTTGTGATGATCGCTCGCTGTATTCAAAGCCTTGTTCAAAGTGGTGGGCCATCTGTGGCCTGAGACTCTTGTCTATGAGATGATGTCGTCGGTTGTGGCTTCGCCAAATTTGAACTCGAGAGTCGGTTGGCTTATTTGGCCGGGTTGAGGAAAAGCGGCCTGCGTGCCACCCCGACTGCGAATAGACACGGCCCCGCCTCTTGGTGGTGTAGTCGTTCGGTCGTTATGGCTAGGAATCGGTACTGGTGCTAACGTAATCTTGTTTCCTTCCGCTTTGTGCCGGCGCACTCGCGTCTATGGCTGCCTCCTAATGGTTCCCAGGTTAGAGTGCGACATTTTGGTGTTATAAAGAGTGGCTGTTCCAGCTAATGGGGCTGACGGCGTCCCGGTGAAAATAATGACGGTAGCAAAACTGCTGTACTTTATTACTGGTAAAACTAATGGGGAAAAGGCTCCTTACCCTCAGATCATTCTCCATCGCATTCCAGGCTGCTTTTTGCCTAATACTCATTTGCCTGATACCGCTCTAAAGAGGCCCCTTGGCTTTGATCTCGTAGCCATCCATAGAGACACTTTGTTACCAAATCCCAAAAGTGATGCAGAACTTGGCAACAGCCAATTAGTATGCCACAGTTGAGTGTTGCCATCACCATACCTATCTTTGGATTTGATCTTCACCGAAAGGTACTCTCCGGATACAAGAAAACTCGTAGAGTGACATAACTCCAAGACATTTTTGTGCAATGTAACAACCCTCATTTATCTCTCATCGTTGTCAACACTTTCAACCAACAGAATATCAAAAGAGGTCTTAAGTCATTCCAGGTCTCCTTGCCTATACCACCTCCGGTGCCACTCGATGCAAAGGTTGATATGGTCCGTGCACGAGAGACTCTCTCCACTTGCCCAAAACATCGCGATCAGCACTGCTCATTGGCTGGATGCCAACCTGTTCTGCTGGGTCAACTATTGAAACGCCTGACCTTTACTTCCTGTTTGAATTTGGAAACTATACCACACGTTAGAATCCTTAGGGATGATATCTAGGTTTGCTTATGGATGGTTGTACGTGGGTACCCCTACAGAGGTTGCACCACCTACAACAAGATGAAGCACCTATCAATATCTGGCAGCGTGATTGTCATCATAGTTCGAGTCCAACTGGGAACTTGATAATCCCCTTATGCTGGGGGCTAGAATAAGCAGCCATGGTGAAGTTTTCTTAGCTTACCACCTTCCCGTGCAATGTTCTCTCTGTATAGTCTCTTAACAGTGAATGAGTTGTAGCTTCTCATATGTACCCTGTGAGCCGCTGATCCAGCAAAAACTTTCTCCTCTATATTGATCCAAACTGACCCCCAGCATTTCTGCTCAAATGCAAATGAGCAGCTAACGCACTTAGCATTCTCATATGATTCCATTTTATTGACTCTTCCATGTTTATGACTTTTCCCGTTGCGACAGCACCATCATTACGCAGGTAGGCCCTGGCTCCTGCGGACCTGCGTCTGGCTAACCGCCTGCTCGCAACAAACTGGAATACTAACCCTTATTACTCACAATCTCGTCTATCCAACGTCCACGCCATGAATGGATGCCGCACTCGCGCCGCAAGCTGCAGAACAAACCGAGAATTTCCAACTATAAAGATTCCCAGAGCTCCCCCGATGCCCCTCCCTTTTCATCTCTTCGCATACTTGACAGTCTCAGGCCTGCCTTTAGAAGACTGTACCGTCAATTGCTGCAAAGTGGAATCTCTACCAAGACCGGCTTGACTATCTCTTTAATAGGTCGTTAAGCTCAACGGCAGAGGGACACTTCGGCCCTTTCTCCTAGTCTAGTGCCTACCACCATCTTCATGGTGATGGGTGGTTGGTCGAGAAGAAGGGGTGTTTCTTGGTTTGTCAGGAACTGCCAATCTTTTTTTTCTGATGATACCTTGTATGATGACGTCGCCCAGTCCAATACCCCTGCTCCATGATCTTGGAAACTGCATGTAACACTTAACCACAACCCCTCACCAGATGTTATTGTACACCTATATCGACACTGTTTCTTTGTTGACGCAGACAGTTTTGCGGTGTGGGAGATGGGATCTTTGCTTTTTTGATGAGTAGAAGCAGGACATAGAGTAGTACATTGTGAATTATAGGGACCTCAGTGCGCGGGATTTGATGGTGGTAGCCCCACTAGAAAAGCAAGAAGCTGGAAAAGCAGTTGCTCACCAGTTATATCAAGCATGATGGATTGATGACGAAGGGAATGCATAAGACTCGGAGTAATGCTGACTGTTTGCGTGATGCGACCTGTTGTGGTTCTCTAGTTAGACATCCGTTTCTGCAAACTACCTTTTCAGCTCAGCTTGAATTGTTAGTTGGCCTGTGTGATTCGAGACACATCTGTTCCTTTGGCCCAGCTTCCGTTGCTTAAATACAGGAGGACAGGAATTTGTCCATGAATTTGTCCTTGGACTGCATTAACGGCTCAGTGGATGCGGCGGCGATTGACTGAGAAAAAGATGATGAGACATTGCGGTCTTTGTCATTACGCAGAGAATGTGAGCAGACTACTTGCCGAGCTGTAGTTTCAATTAGCTTGTCTTCACATATCTCAGTTCCTTTAGCTCTGGTGTGCCACTTGGTCGTCTGTAGACAGTCACAGTGAAACAATGGGGTGGAAAGGGGCATTAGGCGCGAGTTGCGGAACAGGGACGCTGAGCTAGGCGCAGAAAGGAATTTATTTTATGCTTCGATGTGTTCTGTGTTGTATTAACCGAACACCTCTCTGTTCTAGGCTCACTGGCTGCACCAATATTCTGATCTAAGCAGCTCCCCTTGGATGCTTTGTCAAGTTCAATATCCTGCTCCTCAGTCCTAAGCTGGGCCATTGGGATCCGAGTATGAAATTAAATGGCAGTCTTCGATAGGGACCAATATATTCTCAAATACTCCCTCAACATGCAAGTTTCTGCTAAAAGGTTAGTTGAAAAGAGCGCTAATTCTTGAAAACTGGAATTTGGCTTCAAAAAAATTAGCTCTCTTCAAAAAAGCCGAGCCAAAAGACCAAACTTGTATAAGTATGATTCTGTTGCCATTTTTGATTTCAAGTTTTACTGGCTTAGACAGGCATGTAGCTGTGATGATCCAGCTAGTCTTCCTGAGATGGGCTCGGGCTTTGTCCAAGGCTTATGAATCTGAGAGACCAGAATTCTCTTACAGATTCGGAAGCACTGAGATCATCAGTTGGTTTGGGCGGCTGTTCGTATTGCTGGCTGGGGAATTCTTCGTCCCCTTTTGCTTACGAGGGATCTATTTACCTTACATACTCAAGCCTTTCTGTATTTCTTAAGGGTTTTGTGTCCCTCGTCAGTGTCTCTTGGCCTGACGACCTTTCGAGGCCGTATGAGTCGTGTTTTTATTGGTCCTTTGTTCCAGGCTCCGCTTTTCCCTCGTGACATCCTTGTTTATCGTAACAGTAACTGTTGTCAGAACTATGGGTCAGATATATGTCAACAGTGTCGAAGAGACGACATAAAAATACCTGCATATTTTCAAAATTTCATACAGTGTTTATTAATAGCTAATATTTCAATGATTTTTTTTTGAAAGATTACAGGGAAATTCAGAAAATTTCATTGAGATCTCTACCGTCGAATATTATAACTTTTTGTATAAACGGATCTCCACATGATAGCAAAGCATAAGAAAGCATATTGAATAATCTTCTGGTCAAACCCAGAACTTGTTGGCACGTTACCATGTCATTGGCACATGGAGAGCAGTCAGTACGTATTATTTAGGAAAACTCTGGATGCCCTTGTGGCAATGAAAACTCCTCAGCCTTATTCATTCATCTCAGCCTTCCCCTCAGCCTCTTCTCAGCCTTTCCTCAGCCTCGCGTCCACCGACTCCCACACCCATCTCCCTACTTCTCCCCGCTCACAAACGTAACGAGCGCGTTCCCAAAATATATAACAACTCCTTCTCCTCCCAATCCAACACTCACCATGGACCAGCAAGCCATCCAACGCGCCATCTCCGGCCTCGCAATCCGCATGTCTGCGGTTCACATCCGCATGGTCGCTCTTACCCAGCTGATCCAGCAAACAAACGACCCCACAGGCGTGCTCAAGACGGACCTTGCTGCCTGCCAGCGCCAGATGACGCAGTATCAAGTCGAGCTCGCGCAGTTCCAGCAGCAGGCGACGACGGCTCATCGTGCCTCGCTTGCGGCCATGGGCCTGCTGGGTCTGGTCGAGACTGTTCCCGCGCCGGTGTCGCAGCCTCAGGTGGGTGGTATCTCTGGGTCGATAAGGGCTCAGAGTTATGAGTCAGAGAGGAACACGGGGAAGAGGAAGATACGGAAGAGGGGGGCTAGTTTCCGCCGGGGAGGGCAAAGTGAGGCGTTCTATGTTGGCAGGAGGGAGATTTCGTCTGGAGATGCTCGTGGTTTGTTCGTACGCGGAGAGGTTCGTAGAGACCCGGCTTCAAATTATGGACACTGAGCTCTGGCTAACCCTGCTGATTATGGTACAGTCATCAAATACTGGTATCGACGTTTATACTCCTTCGATCCGCAAGGAATCTACCAACCGATGCTTCCAAACTTTGAACAGGACGACGAATGAGCAGGCCAAGTCTGATTTTTCCACGACCGAACAGAACTCAGCTACCGTAACGCACAATTCTGCCCCCCAGGAGAGTAACGAGCCCAAGAAGCACGAAGAAAACGTCAAGAACGCGACGGAGGGAGCGAGTAGCCACTCTGACAGCAAGGCGGACACCAAGACGGATAAAAAGTCTTACGCTGCTGAAACCATGAAAAGCTTGTCGAAGAAAAAGTCTTTCAGCCGTCAGAAGTCGAGCTGGGCCGAGGAGATGGAAGAGGAAGAGGCTGAGGATGGAAGGGGAAAGGGAGCGTGATCGGATAGTGTTAGAGCTGAATGTATAGCTAGAGCTGAATGGCTACGTCTTATTCGCACAATTTCTCGTGACAACCGCGTTTGCTGCAGACGGGCCTCACTTCCCAAACCAAGTAACACCGTGAGAGCGCTCATAACAAAGCAATATCTCCATTGCTGCCAATCAGTTGGTATAATTACACTATTCTAGGAGGGATTACATTTATTATATATAGTAATATATTATCATATACCATGACAAACAAGATATCCCAGTCATGGTTTCCTAGAATTTCCCAAAACCTGACCTTCTAACCTAACGCCAGACACCGATCTCACACCCGAAATCAGCGGTAGTAATACACCCACTTCGGGGGGTTCTGCTCCTCGTAGTCGTCTACGGTACCATAGATCGCCTTATAGCACGGCGCACATTCGGTAATGGGACAATACCGGCGAGGGTCCGTTTTCCTCTCGCTATCCCACTCAGTCAACTCCCTCTTGATCCTCTCAATCCCTTCTCCCTCATTACCCTCAAGTCCATCGGTTTCAGCATGCGATGGCTCGGATCCCTCCGGCACGTCAGAACTGTCAACTCAACCGCATCCGGCTTCTCATCAATCCCCCCCAGCTCAAATCTCACCCTCTGCGCCCTCCACATACACTAGTTCTCATGCAGCGCCATAAGCCACGGCATCTCCCAGGTTATAGGATACCCACAACACTTCATATGCTTCCGACACACAACCGGTTTATGCTCCTCCATCCGACAAACATCCGCAGGGTACCGCACAAAAGGACACTCCTGCGCCCAATGAACACACTCCATCACCGACTTGCCATTGTAGTGACAACCCAGGCATAAAAGGCCTCACACCACACAGCTCATCTATATCATGCAGCACCTTATCATCCCTCGACTGCCCGCAAAATGGACAGTGCGTGGCGCATACAGCGGCTCGTGAAACGGCCAACAGACCCTGTGCTTCATGGTCTGGATAGTCGGCGGCAATCCAGCATGGGCGGCAGAGAATGTTGCACACAGTGCGTGTCTAGCAAGGGAAGGCGCTGCATGTGCATGCGAGGGCTTTGAACGGGAATGTGGCAGGCAAATGCAGCGAGGATGCCGCCCCGCAGTACTTGCAGGGGGCGCGGCAGACGTGGGGGATGCCACTTGCGGGGTCAATCTCCGGGGCAAAGCAGTTGATGCAACGACCGGTGAAGTCGAGTAGGCCGTCAATGGGCCAGATGTTGGTATTGGGAGCCTGGTCAGGCACAATGGATGTGGCCAGCTTAATGGGCAGCGGGCAAAACTCGGGCTCGCCGATATCCGAGCTTGCCGGAGACGAGGGACGTTCGTGATCGAGTGTCAAGAGCTCTTCGACCGTTTTACTGGGAGCCTTAAAGTCGACAGAGGTGGTAAAGGAGGGATTCTGCCTGGATTCTGTAGAGTCAGTCTGCCTGCGCCTCTGACTATGAGCTTTGGCAGGCGTTAGGTCGTTGTCGGCCCGCTTGGTGGTGGGCTGAGCCAGGGGCTGCTGGATAGTGGGCGCGTTGGCTTCTTCGCCCATCATGGGCTGGTCGACTGGCGCCGACAGCGTGTTGCGATTCTCACAGTTGCGCCGGACGCGCTCGCGCTGGGCACGGCGTCTATGGGTTCGGTTAGGACGCAACCGGTTGTGTTTGCCCCCTACGCCAGGCTGGCGTGCTGCCGGCGTGCTGATGCCACACTGGTCGGGCTGTCTCTGCAGCGGGCAACTTGGGCTCGAATGTTTCGTGGCACATGCTCCCAGAAGATTTGAGGAGCAAGCACAATCTCACCCGTGGCCAGGCGCACGTCAGGGGCACGTGGCATGTTGGCGATGTCGTCCTGGTAGAGTGAGGAGTACACAAACGTCCTTGGGTTGAACCCCTTGATCACGATGGTTCCATTGACGATGCCCTGCGAAAACGTGACATCCCACGGCGTGTCTTTGTTATGCTTCTCCTCTTTGGGTATTCGGTTCCAAAGAGCAACCCAGTCGATGTCGGCACACTTTGAGGTGTGGGCGGCGCTGGCGATGGTCGATGAGGTAGCAGATGTCTTGCTCGGTTATGTTCATACGACCGTGGCAACGATCGTAGCTGTGGTCGGCAACATTGCAAATGGGACATCCCGGGACAAAGTCAGTTTTATCGGCTACAAGACACACAGCATTAGTGTGATCGAATGCGAAACAGTTGCCACATCGCGTCCGATTCTCTACCTCCTGCGACATGGAGAAGTTGTCATTGGCGCCTTGCTGCTGAGGATTGGGCTGCAGATAATTGGTCGATATGACTTGAATGGGATGCGCACGACGCTTGTTATGCTGACATGTGACTTGTGGGTGATGGTCATAGGAGATATGTGGAACGGGGAGTTGTGAATGAGAAAAGTTGTGTGATAATTGAGGAGCGGGCCCATAGGGGGCAATAACCGTGTGGGGGAGCCTGAGCCATTGCAATGGCCAGGCCAACCATTGGCATGTTTGGATGAATAGGCGATGGGCTCCGGCTTCATGTTGCGCCGTAATAGTTGGGTGTGGCAGCAGCCGTGGCCAGGCTGTAGATCGGCGAGGGGTTAGCGCTCCAATAGCCGGGGTTGGCTGGTATAACCGGGAGCGGATTCGCTGGGGGCACAACACTGGCCACCTCCCTGACCATCGCGTTTTTGGGTGATTGGAGGTGGCAGAAGCCTGTTGGGGCTCATGAACCTGCTCTGCGAATGAAGTACGGCGAGGCTGCGAGCTTATTTGTGTGTGGCTGCAAGACCGATAGAAGTGATTTAAGCCAGACGAGAACTGATATTGGACTTGAGAAATAGTTGTAAATGGACAATAAGTTATATTGGAGCTTAAAGAGATGGAGAAAACCTCGCTTGAAGCAAGTGTTTGTCACAAATATTTGTTCTTGGTACCCTCTGCTGTTGGAGATGTGATGGCGCGAGAGGAAGAAGACCAATTTCGGCGTGGGAGGGTCTTAATAGTCAGCCTGTGCGACCCTCGTGGAAATCGCGGCTCAGTCTTATCAGATGCTGCTATAGGGTAGAGATATCGCCATGAGTGAGGCTAGTTACATTTGTCGCGGCTGTGCTGCATGCGGCTCTGCGCTCATGGGGTTGAGGTTTAGCCAGACAGCTGATGTGGTTCGTGCATCGGTTCATCGAGCTGCTTGCCAAGATGCCCCACCTCCCAATAAGTTCAGCAAAGACAATCCTGATTGGATAGCGGGCTGGTAGGCCTGAGCCCTGGATTCTGCGTCACAATTGCACATCGACAATCGCTTCTGTTTGCAAGAGTACCAGAATGTAAATGAGACTCGCACAGTTAGCAAGCATTACATTGCACAGCCGAATGAAGCCAATCCAAAGGCATGTAGTCCACTGAGACCACTGAGGAACGAATGGGAAGTCACTGACCGTTGCGTGAATTGAGGCTGCCAAGACCCTCCTAGTGCTCTAGAGAGCTGGGGAAAGCTTGGCATCAACTTCAGATCCGCTTTTACAGGAAGCCTTCCAGGCCGTAGCAACCAGAAGTACTATAAACAACAAAATATTACACTTGAAATTAACTCATTAATACAGATGACTGCGTGGAACATGGAGAGGTTTGCTCAGGACACAACGATCTGGAGTAGCCCAGTCAAAACCAGCACCAAGCACCTATGTCCTCATCATGACCAATGGAACCATCTTCCCATACGCCATCGCCTGCCCCACTTTTGAACGGCATAGGCAGGATTGACCGGTACCATTTTGGCAATAGTCCTTCATGATTCTCACCTAAGAGGATATACCGCTTTCATAGTGTCTCTAGGGCTTACTTGCTGCTGAAGTGGCTGGTCGGGGATGTGATTAAGATTTTCAAGACGAATATCGGCAACATGTTACCAATTCCCCCTTCCAAACTCTCCCCTGAAGGCCACAATCTATGAAATTGTGAGATACAACTCTCTAAGGCGCGCTATTAGCTCGATACTTTCCACCTTCCACTCTTTGGGGGTACGGGGTGAAGCAGGCAGAAGTGGCGTGCATACATCAGAATCGGATTCATGGACCTTATTTGTTATCTTGGAGAAAGTATTGGGCATTTACCCCGACAGCTAATCAGGCAAAGATCCCTTTTGGGCTGAAACAGCCAGTTACATAATTCCTCCACGGGATCTGGCCAATCTACATCGCCAGAAGCATCGGTCGACTCTTGGTGCTCTTGGTCCGCCACAGCCGCGGATAAAGCCATCGAAACAGCTGGTGCTATGTCATGGGACGGGAATTCCGGCATTTTTTGATCGCAGGAAATTGGAAATAGCCAAAAAATGGCGGCCCTTCGAGAGTAAAAGCAATTTATTCCAACCGAAAGCGGATGTGCTGGCGGCCATGCTCAACCCGATGACACGTCTGCATTTACCTGACCTGCGGGGTTTAGGCTTAAAAACCGAAGTTGTTTCCCACTACATATTCTGCAATGTCGCAACAATGATAACGAGGTTCTAAGATTTTGTGTGTCATGCGTTCGCGCTCCTCCCAGAGCAGATGGCGACCATCAGTCTTATCACTCATGTCACAAATGGCTGAACATACGAATATTGAGTCACGACTCACCGATAAAGCCCAATGTTATAACGCAACAAGTATATAGCGGTCCTGACTTAATGAATGTTCAATAGTTTAGACTTTAAGGAGAACTTCAAACAGCAGTTTCCAAATTTTCATCCGTTAAGGTCCCCAAAGCTCTAATACAGGCCATCTGGCAAGTTCTTCATATTATCTCAGGTCTCTCTGCCAGGTTTTACCTCTGGATACGTTTGTCGACCCTTTGCCTTTTTGGGTGGCTGGCTCCGACTGGGGGTTGGGGGCTGAAAAGTCCTCAGAACCTACTGGGGAAATAGCCTGCGATGAGTGCTCTGCCTTCTGGAGCTCTTATTGGTCGGAGAACAGGGCCCGGGGCTAAATTGGCCGGTGGAACATCTCAGTGGCGCTTGGCCCATTCATGACTTGGTAGCATCTGCCCTTGCTGAGCCAGTATAGGGGAGATTGGACGATGCATCGTCGCTCTATGAATGCCTTCCCCAGGAGAAATGACTGGCGCGTTGCTACTCTCCTCGGAAACCTAGTCTAAACGATTGATGGCAGCCAACACCCTGGTGGCCTGCCGCTCTCGTCTTGCTAAGCCGCTCCTGTTTGCACTCGGACAGGCGGACCTCCTCAACTACCTGAAAGCTGCTTACATGGTTGTTTGACTCGCTTAGGGTTGGAGAATGAGCCAACTGGCCGTGATATATATTTGATTTTCCGCTATCAGCTAGCAGTGAATGCAGACCTGTTGAGAAAATTTGCTATTCTGCGAATTTGGGAAGCGCGAGAAGGAATTTCTCGCGAAGATTTTCTTGGGAATCTTCTGGACGTGGGAGAGGCACTCAGTCAACAGGGCAGTGAGGGGCGACTTAAGCCATCCTCTCATCTAAATATTAGGATATCTTTTCTCTTAGCGTAGTATGAACACATGACAGATGAGTACGATGATAGTAACCGCTATTAGAGCACGTTACAGAGTATGTGGGTGATTATACCTAAAAGAAACATGATTTATGTCCTAGTCTAAAGTACTATTTATGAGGGCAGCAAGCAATCACTTTAGAATCAGAGTGAACTAGTTAGATGGCAGCGCTGAGGCAGGGGAAAAAGAAGAGCTATTTGCTTATCTGCCAAAGACTCAGGGATAATGCTCTCACAACGGCAACCGGAACAAACTGGTCACATGCATCACCTCAACCGAGTTTACTCATTGCGGCACTTAGCAACAGACACTCGCTAGCAAATATTTTTTTATTGGCATTCACTCGGGTTTGTTGCTATCGCTTGACAGAATGTCGTCCTTGAGATGCTAGATGAGTCCATTGTGGTTCGTGTTTGGGAACTCTAGGATCCAGATATCTTGCTGTTCATCTTGGGAGTTAATGACCCAGTTGCTCTCTTGGACACTGGAGCTTGCCATAGGAGGGGCATGAGCGTTGGTGATTGACTTGGCGTCCTGGATACATTTGCCAGCGCTGGCAGGGGCGATAGCGGGCACATCCTGGCCCTATCCGAATTGCTCCAGACTCACGGCAGAAACTGATGTTGAGCAGGTCCAGGTCCTGAAACTGTGGGTGGGACTGTACCTGCTGGGAGGATTCGGTGACCCCAAGAATATCAGAGTCAGTCAGGTTCATCGGACGATGCTCTTTGATAAATGTCGCCGTGCTATAGAGCTGGGACAGCTGATGGGTAGTGGCATCGCAAATGTACTGAGATTCAGAAAGGCTGGCGCTACTGAAATTTATGGGATTCAGCGGAATCGGTTGGGCAGGCATGAGAACCGTAGGAGCATCGTTGTTAACCGGAAGGTCCCCTTGGTGATATTTGGGGTTGGAGAGTTACGTGGAAGACTTCAGTCCTACGAGACGTAAGCAAAAGGTCTAACGTGCGATTGCACCAAAGCCAATCAATGGCGAACAGGCCATTGCGAACGATTCTCTCAGTCCTCAAGACAATTTGCCGCATGTCAAACCCGTCCGAACCGGCGGCAGCCGACTCAAGATCAACCCGTCCGAGTACGTGGACCGACCGACTTCCGCCATCGCCAGGCAAAGTGATGATTTTTATCCATCTGAAAAGCCGTGTCAGCAAGCAGCCCTTGCCATCTGCAGCCTTGGATGCTCACCCGGGCTTCGCTTCGATCATGGCGGGACTAACACGTAAGCACCCTTGAGGAGTCAATCCTGCTGGTAAATTGCCCCATTGGCTTCATCCTCTGCAATGGTGGTATCTTAAAAAGAGATAATGCGGACCGGCGTCATTGAAAGGCAGCTGAGCGGTGTTGTGGGAGCTTACTCCCTGACGGGTTGCCTGTTTAAAGTCGCTCTGAGTGGGTGAATCCATTAGCAAATGTATGTAGTAAGATTAAAGGGACCTAGGTGTGACTATGACTGCTGTTAGCTGATGGGGGAGCTCGAAAACAAATAGGCGCAAAGTCGGTGACCGGCATTGAAGCAGCGAAGATGGCCAATGCGCTACAGCTGTCACAGCAACGCTCTGTGTAGAACATGCTATGGCATCGTATCAATCTCGACCGAAGAATCGCAGGACAAATGCTAGTTCCCAGTGGGTTTAAGAGAACACAATGCATTCAGATAGGTATCTTCATCTAATGGACTGCTTGGTCAGCTGGGAATACATAAGGGCGGATTACTCAATGGCTTGGAATGTACTACACGACTTAGAATAGGATAAGATCAGCCCGATGGACTCCAATTAGCTCCAGCATTGTAGTGCTATACGGACGCTAAAGTGCGTACTCAGTGGTTGCACTTGGTGCGTGCAGCAGCATTTTGTCGGTTATAACAGGCAAATGAATAGCCTTGACAGTAGATATTGTTTCTATTTAGTGCATTCTAATGCCATTCTTATAGTATCAAACGGCTGGTCTGGTATAGCCTGTCCACATACGTCATGATAGTTGACTATTTGGCTCTCCAATCTTGATGCTGGACTTTTGTCACAGCGCAATCTGCACGGAGTCTTTTTGTGGAGAATGGGCCAACATAGGAGCGATGTGTGCCCCACCTTCCTGATACAGCTTCAGTCAGCGTTCTTATTGGCTGGACATCTCCCCAGATCACGCCAAGCCGCGTGTGATTTCCGGTCTCTACTGCTCACCGGCCACCAGCCGTGCCTCAGGCAACCCGCACAACTCATAGTTCCTCGACTCGCCTGCTGCATTTGCCAATGAGGGGAGCACCAACTTTCAGATCCCAAGAGATCTCTTTATACCATAATGTGACTGAAAGTTTTGCAGAATTTTATCCGATACACACCTTTCTATACACACTGGACGCGAAACAGCAGCCAAATGGTTACGGTTCAGGTGTGAACCAGCAGCATCCTAGTGGCAGTGGCGAGAAGAAGCCTCGAGCAGTACCGGAGGACAGGAAATTCGCATCAGGAAAAGATTATAGTCGTAAGAAACATCGATAATTGACCAAAACCCTCGATAATAATCCTAAACATCGCTGACGATAATCGGAACGGCGAGCAGGCATGCCAATTACCTTTCGGATATTAATATGTACGTAGAATCGCTCACCCCCCAGAGCCACAATGAGAGATCCTCAATCAGCCATACAAATTATTGAATACCAACAACTGGTGACCACTGTAAGAAATCCATGGTACTGTGCGAGGACCTTAGTCCCTTAAATTCTACAGCCCGATCACTATCTTCGAACCCACTTCAGATGGCTGGAAATCATCACACAAGCCAGTACTTCCACACTGACCTCGCGTGACCGCCAGAGTATCGGCTGCTGCTGGCAGACCTAACAGCACAATCTTAGGTGAGTTGCGGAGCCTGACAAAGGGGCAAGCTAAGGATCGCTGCTGCATCGATGACGGTCTCACTAGAGCCTGGTCCGAACACTCCTTTCGTGATGGCCGTCAACTCCATCAGACGGAGCCTTGTGCTTGAGCCATGAGCAGTCGAGATTACGACCGTGGAATCCCCTGGCCTTTTGTTGCCCAGCCGCAGCTGCCGCTTGAGCTCATCCGGGAAACCCATGACAGCTGCCACCGTCGGCCACTTGTTGGCCGGGCAACCCTGGTTAAAAACGGCCCGCGCTGCCGTATAGCCGAGCACTGGGCCGTCCGGTAGGTTGGGCGGCAGGGAGTAGGGGGCTACCAAGGCGAGCTCTAGGCCGTATTCGGCGGCTAACATTATATGTTAGCATTCGGTCCGACGTTAGCGACACAAGGCCTTATATGCCTGGCGGATGCCGTTCCAGACGCGCCCGAGGAAGAGAACGAAGCCGGTCTCCTCCTTGCCGAGCGGGAGGTTCCCGTGTGAAGACGGGGAGGGAAACAGAGGTAACTCCCTCAGTTACTTCAGGACTAGAGTATGAATTTTACCAGACGTCGAAGAAGAAGGTCTGCTGAACGGATTTAAATGTGCAAGGCTTGTTTGAGAGAAAACTTTAAGGATAAACATCAGACCCTGATGATTTTTATCGAGCCATTCCAAAGCCCTAAGCGCGCTGTCTGTGATCTCTAAAGATCAGATGGCTACTGACAGCGTTTAGCAAACTTGGGCTAGTATGTTGATTTTGGGTCTCGCAGGACCGAACACGTCTTGCAGAACCGAAGCTTAATTACTCATTTCCAGGTTCATCCCCTCTCTCGTCATCCGATGGCTCACCTCAATTCCGAATACCTGACATCCAGCAAACGTCAGCTCAGTTTTTCCCATTCCATGTCTTCTGGGCTAGGAGTTGTACACTATTACCACTCTTTGAGCTAAGCCCAGTCTGAGTAAAAGATTGCCTGGAGTGCAGATTATCCAAACGTGAGAAGAAACAAGGAGCTGTTATCACAGCAACGTAACGAAAACACTGGAGATATAGTAGTGATGACCGAACGGCAGTCGAACGTGCTTATCGCCTGTCCCTGTTTGCTCGTAGCGCTTTACAAAGCAGATAAGTAATCAAAGGGCTATTATCATTGTCCGAAGATTGACAATTAGCCTCCAGCAATTGCTAACTCGGGGGAAATGCCTATGAATAGATTTTTCTAGGGATACTCTCAACACAAAACCTCTCTACGCCACCTCTGACCTCGTTTCTGATCTCTCGTTATATATCTTAGCCGGTTCAACCCGCCTTTTCTCACCCTTACTGAAGCTGATCAAGAACGCCTCGCAAGCACAAGCTTGCTCTGATATCCTACATTTGGCGGGGGACCACGAATCCAGCGAAGCCTTCTTTTCGACTCGCTGCCCACCCAAGATTACAGTGCACATTTTCGCCAACTGCGACTTGCTACCAGATGTTGTGGCCTTTATTTTTCACAAATCAGCTTTGCGCTAGGATCTAGACTGCGATCACACCACTACTGTCTCGACGGTTGCACCTAAGGAGATCCAGCGTTTAAGAAAAGTATCAATGATGGCATGGGTCTCCGCTCTTAACGCATAATGTGGTTCTCTGTCGTGCACATACGGACGGCATACGCTTATTTTCACCATTATCCTAAGGCCCGAGTATTCAATATAATGTCCAGAACCGTGCCTTCGGACGGATAGATTGTGACAGCTCCGATATTGAACTCAACCTCCTAACACGGGCCTCTCCAACTCCAACCCTCCACAAGCTACTCGGGATATCCAAACTTCGTTACTTTCGATCAAGTTCTTGAGCATCAATGCCGTCTTTAGGAGTTTGGCAATTACGAGCTCATTTTCCTTGGTTGGCTCTCTTAAAGTTCGGTAGATTGGAGACAATGTTTGTCATTTAAGTACTTGCAATTCGCTGAACTTGAATCTTTGGGTTATGTGAACGCTTGTAAAGAATGATTCGATGGTAGCGTCTACTCGATCTACTTTTGGCTTCTGTTTTGTCAGCAGCATACTATACTGCCTATCTTGACGAAGTACACAAGGCCAAGCTCAAAACGAACATCGAGAAATTTGTGATTGATTCGACCAGGATGCTGTGAGCGAGCGCTCTCTCACGGCACGACTGAATCCTGTCGAAGGGCTGTGTTGGGTGTAATTTAAGCTATGCAACACTGGCCCTACCGATTGACCGGAAGATTCTGCATTGGCATCGACTTTTGCCAGAGGGTCGTTGGGAGAGGGCCGAGCGGTGTTTAGCGCAGCTATGCGCGCTCTCGAAATGCAGCCGTTAATCAGTATAGTTTACGGACTGTGTCGTTGCCACAACTCGAATCCAGACTAACTAAGCACATTACAGACGCCATGCCCTTCTGGTGAGCGAGAGATATAACCCTGTACGTCCTTGGCCTATTCATGGCCTTATCTCATCACATCTAATGCTGAGTCTAAGAGAGTCGGTAAAACCTTCGTGTTCTCATGCTTTCCAAGACCGTCTAGGCTTCTAACGCTACTACCAGGATGATATGCGTGCCTTTTGAACTTACACACATGCCTAGGACTAGATTAGGTTCCCAGATATGTAATTCTCTTTGATCGACTCGTACAGCCACCTAGAGATGACATTGTCCGACATATTATTCTTCTTAAGAGTCTAGGGTCCGGCTATGGATCTCACCGCCTCCTGCTCCTCACTTGCCTAGATGACATTGAACATAAATGCGTTGACGCTGAGTAATTGGGGTATCAAGCTCACTTGCAAAACGGATCAGCATAAACAAGCTCTTGTACAACAAACAGTTCCAAGAGCACATCTGGCTTGTGCTCCACACCAACACACAAAATCACGAGTATTCCCAGAGCTATCCCAAAACTTTACCAAACGTCGGGCCCGAACTTTCCCCCTTCCGGCACGCTCTTGTACGCACACGCCTGCCAGTCACACCCCTTTTTAAATACTTCTGTCCCCCACCACGAGAAGCCCTTCGTCCAGCCCGAGTAAATAAATCCAAAGAACACCGCCACGATGCCGCATGCCAGTCCCGAATCCAGCGCCGCGCTCAGCGTCATGGTGTACTTGGCCCACCACGCCGGTGCCCGCTTCTTGATGAGGTAGTTGAAGAGGAAGCAGACGAGTGCCCATACGGAAAAATTGAGTCCGGTGGCAGGAGGGATCCAGCCCAGGCTGCCGAACAGCACGGGGAGATTAATCTTGCGCAGAAAAGAGTCGCGCCGGTGTCGAGCGTACAGCCACAGGGGAACGGGGAGGATGGCGCCGATCGCGAACGCCCAGACTAGCGGGCGGTACAGCGCGTTGGGACCGAAGAACTCGGCTGGGCCGAGAACGCCCCAGAGAAGGGAGCCTGTGAAGTGCACGCGGGCCTAGCCGGGGGATGGGGGTTATGGGTTAGTTGGGCTTTGAGAGGGTAGGGTAGAACGGTATGTGGCAGAAGATCATAACAACTGTAGTCCGAAAAAAAAAATTCAAGGTTAGGGTTGTGCTGCTTACGATCGGACAAGTGAACCCATTGATCGCCTGTGGCGTGCAAAGCCCTGGAATGTGGACAAACATCCAGTTAAGCACGGCAATCTGGGTGAGCGAGGAGACGATGGTGGCGACAATCTGCACGCCGAACAGGATGCGCGGCGGGATCTTCATGTAGTGGCCAAGCTTCAGGTCGGCTGCGAACTTGATACCTTGGGCAGAGGAAATGTAGCCGTAGGTAACAAAGACCATGTTAGCGACAGGACGGCCAGGGAATATGGCGCCCGCGACGAGCTGGCAGATCAGGTAGATGCTGCTGTGCTGGTTGGTGACGGCCATGATGATGCCGATGGGGATGAAGAGCACGCTGCAAATGCCGAGGGCCAGCAGCAGGCCGTACCATGGGAGGTGGACAGGATAACTGAACGGTCAGCATGACGAATTGTCCAAGGAGCGAGATGCTTACTATTCGACGACAAAGATGCCGATGGCAGTCATGGACACAAACGTTAGCAAATACCAGAGCATTGGGGCGTCCTTGTACCGCCGCATCAGCCGATTGTGGACGTCCTCGCGACCCATAAGGTTATCGACGCTCAGCGACGACCTACTCGGCCCAGATGTCCGAGGAGAACGCCTCTCCTCTGGCCCTGACACCGGCTGGTAGGCTGCCTTGGACTCGCTGGGCGTTTCCCCGAGCGAGCGCTTCCACTGCGTCCAAATATCCTTGCCGTGCCAGCAGATGGTATGCGTGATGAGCGACGCCAGGCCGGCGAACTGAACGGCGTAGCTAAGCACGTACGTGATTGGCAGGAACACGCGGCTATACTTAGAGTAGGCCTCGCGGTCAAACAGAAAGTCCTTGGTCAAGACCTTACTAACGTTGTATATGTTACCCGTGTTGTCAAACACTGCCACAGACAAGATAGGCATGTATGAAGAGTAAAACAAATTGCAATAGTAGGCAATCGGGGCAATGATCCACATCACCACAACAAGGCCCCCGATAACGTTCATGGCAGCCCAGAACGGCGTCAGGAGCGGCGATCCGATGTAAGCGATCTGCGCCCAGTCGAATGTCATGGGGAACAATCCGAGCCCCGATACCACACCAAACAAATTGGCCAGGACAACATTATCAGGAGCAAACCAAGTGATAACGTTGAAATAGCTCAGGGCCGGCATCAACAGCCCCGGCAAAAAGTAAAAGAGAAACGCGCCGAGCCAGACGGCGTAAAAGAAATTCCAGCGACTGATCCTCCAGCCGTTGGCCTCCTTGTTCTCCTCCTTGTGGAGCGTGGTGAACATGGACGCCGACATCAGAGTGCCGGGCCAGATCATACCGCTGGGCCGGACTAAGAAGCGTCTGGTGAGCCCGGCGAAGGTGTAGCCCAGGATTTGAGTTGAAAGCGTTAATAATAGCTGGTAGAGGATAGGGGCCTCTTGTTTGTAGAATTGAGTCTGCTCGACGATGACGTCGGTCGCAAAGGCAAAGCCAAACGAAACGTTGCTGCTCACGTAGACGCAGCTGTGCTCCTTTTCGTTCCAGCGCCCCTGGGCAAGCCACAGGCGAAAGCGATCGAGCCGACTCCGCCGCTCCAAAGGGAGGAACTGGCGGCTACCAGCCTCCACAGATCTATTAATCCGAATCCCATCAACATACTCGTCAGGAGGGTCGTCCGGTCTTTTCAATAGGTAATCCCATAACCGGCCTAACGGATGGGCCATCAGCAGCGCGATGACCGGAGTGATCGCTACGCTGGGGTAGCGAAGGGAGAAAAATAGATTGGTTGAGGACCCGAGGACTGAAAAGAAGATTGACAACACCCACATTCGTGGGGTGTTGATGGACAGGGTGGTATCGTCCGTCGGGGAGATGCACGCGCGTACCTGAGCGTATGGGGAGTTATCAGGCACTTCCTCTTCCTCGACAACGTCAGACTCATACACAAATGATCGGTCGTCATCAACCCCTTCGTCCTCTGCCCGGTCGAGGTCATTAAGCAGCGACGTCTCGGTCGTCCCGAACCGGCCCTCGAGTCCGCCGACAATGGCAGAACCACCAAGCTCCTCCGACTGTCTCGGCCGCTTGAACACCGGCGATGAAGGGCCAGACCCATCGCGGTGTCGTCTCAGAGTTGAGAACCCCGATGAAGGCCCGCTTACGTTCGTGTCAGAGGCCTTCCGCGATCGCATTAGACCAGCGGCTACGTCATGGTCGCTCTCGTCGTCGGAGACACGGGCCGTGACTGAGCCATAAGAAGGCGACCTGAAACCCGCGGCCGAGCGGAGGGAAGGGTGCGCCCTGCTCATCGATTCGTTGACAGTCGAGTCGGCAGCAGGATTGCTCACACTTCGGTCAGCCGTGCCCTCGGTCTGCTCGGGCGGTCCGCTGCCATGAGCGCCGGCAGGCTGAGGCTGATGATCCCGGCTGCCTTGCGCTGGCGGAGGAAAAAAATCAGTCGATGGTGATGTCGATCCTCTTCGAGTGGAAGATCCGGGATCAAGGGACTGGAGGGGGAATGCGTCTGCTTCGTCGAGTGGCTCGGATGGTGTAGGTGATGTTATGTGTCTGCGGCAGGACATGTGTCTGGGGTCAGCCTCGCCGGCAAAGCTGCAGACACGAGACTTTGTGCGGCGGGTCTGATGGGCTGAGCCGACAACTGCGGGGAGTGGACACGGCGCAAGTGCTCACGAGTACTGTGATGGTGTACAGCCGGGATGACCTGGTTTCATAGGGGATCGGTGCGTGGAGCTCTGATGACAGAGCCTTTTTTGCATTGCCTGCTGCATCTAGCGGTGGTGCTTGGCAGGCGGGAGGGGCATGAGGGATAAAGCGTTGGTGTCAAGATGAAGGACAGGGCCGTGGTCTACCTGGTGCGTTTCTCCAGAATTTTGATGCCTGTCGCGATGATTGCGTCGGTGTTGACTGTCCCGAGACTGTGCCTTCTTGGCCTGCAGGTATCTATTGCTTTATCGAGGTGTCGAGGCAGCTGTCATTTTGTTTTCACCACCGTCGCAAGATCATGACGATCATAGACTCAACCAAGCAATCTGAATATAAATTCTGCTTGAAGTTTGATGACTTTCTATCACAACAAGAGTTAGGCCAGTGAACTCACACACCAGAGTCAAAGACAAAGATTTACATGCATCAATCGGGTTATGCAAGGAGAAGGCTTGGCATGTCGGAAACATTGTGAGCTTGGCATGCAGGGATCCGAAGCCGCTGGTTCACCTCAGAAAAGACAACGGACGACAGGGCCCGTTTCATCTCGAGCACACAGGCCAATTCCAAATGGGTGACCCAATCGACGAACCCAGCATGGCGTCGCTGAACGCCGCGAAGCAGCATCTCAGGGCTGCTATGAAGCAGAAGCTCAAGGCGCTCCCCCATGACGCCATCCTGTCACAAAGTACGAGGCTTGACCACACCTAAAATGGACCCTGCTAAAACGTTCTCCAGGCTTCAAAGTCTACCAGACCCTGCGTACTCTTAAGCCGTACGCGAATGCAAAGAGGATAAGCGTCTTCCTGTCCATGCCGAGCGGGGAGATCCAGACCGATGCTATTGTTAGGGACGCGCTGGCGACCGGGAAACAAGTCTTCATCCCGTACCTCCACAAGAACCCCGCACCAGCCCCAGGCCACCCGGCGCGCGTCATGGACATGGTGTGCCTGAGAGATCTCGCCGATTACGAGTCGCTCAAGCCAGATAAATGGGGCATCCCTAGCCTCGATGCGGCGACCGTCCGCGGGAGGCAGAGATTGTTTGGCGATGGTCCTGATGGGCAGCCCGCGAACGAACTACTGCTGGATCTCATCCTTATGCCAGGCGTGGCGTTCGATGTGAGCCCGAACGGCGACCAGATCCGTCGGCTTGGACACGGCAAGGGCTTCTATGACTATTTTCTTAGCCGGCACGAGGCTAAGGCTGCATCGCTAGGGCAGCAGGAATCCCCTGTATTGCTTTATGGCTTAGCGCTGTCGGAACAGCTCCTATCTCCATCCGAGGGGGCGGTACCTGTTGGGCCCCATGACAAACCGTTACACGGCTTAATCCTTGGCAACGGTGAGATCAAAGGACCGCTGGCGCCTCCTGTAAACAAAACAGACTAAATTCGCCTTTCCGTTCCCGTTGCGCCTGTGTCCTCTCCCTGGTATCCATGTCGTAGCGGTTGCCATGTTGTTTTGCTGTGGAAGAATTCGAATCAAACTGGTCGGGTAAGGTCGCCGTCTCATGCTGACCCAGACAGGGCCTGGATCAAGGAAATGTTGTCTCCCTTGAGAAGGATTTGCTGTGTCTCGTTAGCCACTGTCCTGAATATTTATAAGACGTACAGACATACCCCCAATGGCCGTTTGGACTCGGGCTCGTTGGTCTTCGGAGAAAGCTTGATTTCGACGGCATCATCGATCTGAACAGTCAGAAGGCATCCTCCAGGCTAAGCACGCGCATACTTACAACCAGGTTCATGAATTCATCGAAGCCCTGATATTCGTCAGCATTGGTCATAGGATGCCTGGACGGAGGACTTACGCGTATCACGCCTGTGATGCGGATGGCCAGCTGTTCGTAGAGCCAAATTTGAACTGGAGTACGCTGTTGGAGCAAGCGGAAAAGAAAGTTGATCGGAGGCAATAGCACTCTACGACCGGCCGGGGCACCTCTGCTGGTCATTGTGGCTAGGGAATATGGTGTTGTTGAGTTGTTGAGTTAGTTGAGAAAAACGGTGACAAAGCGTGTGTCGGGATGCGATTGTCGGTATGCTGGCTTGCCTGAGTCGCGCCGACCGTGTCGTGGAAACCCGTTTCCAAAAGAAACTGGCGGAGCTTTTGGGTGGCTTGCCATGTGGCTGGTGATGCCAAGGCAACCAATGTTGTGGCCGTTGATTGGCCCGTGCCCCTCCCCCTCCTATTGTCAAGCCACTCCCTCTCATATGCCTTGCGCTCGAGGTGGGGCAGTGCTCAGTTCAAGCCTGACGTTTCCGTTCCAACGGGGGGGAAGCTGCCTTGTCGACAGAAAGTTTGAGCCGCCAACCATCGCTCTTTCTATTTCTCGTCAGCTCCCCCACGATCGCCTTCCCCCCCAAACCCGAATTCGGCCAGTGCCGCCTATTCTAGCGACCGTCGCTGTGACCGCGCCGTATCGTCAGCGTCGATAGTAATCCTCGAAGTCAGCTAAGCAGAAACGGACGAGCCAAGGAGGGAGGGGCACTTTTGTCTCTTTGCGTGCAGCGCGCATCGCATACCACAAGCTCGGCGAGAGATCCGACCGACCACCGACCGACTATCCAAACATCACCATTCTCTGGTCCGCCCATCATGGCCTCCAATGGCGTGCCGGAGGACTTCTCGGTCCCCAATGTTCTGGCAGCTATGCTGACCATGCGGAGCGGGGACAACGACAAGAAGAAGATTGCCGTCGACTACCTTGGCAGGTTCCAGAAATCCGTCCGTATCTCCCTCGCATCACCCGCTGCCATCAACGTTCGTAGCTAATGGCTTTTCAGAAAGACGCGTGGACGACCACGATATCCATCCTCCAGAATGCGACCGAGGCTGAGCAGCAGCTCTTTGCCGCGACGACTCTCAAGGGCAAGGTACCGCGCCCCTATCGTATCCTCCGTCCGATCTTTCATGATGCCGAACTGACGATGATCAGATCACATATGACTTGTCGACGCAGGTGCCAGAGAGCGATTGGCCTGCTCTTCGTAGCCAGCTCCTAATCCTGCTCAAGAAGTATGCGTCCGGGCCCAAGCCGGTGAGGGTCCAGTTGTGTGTGTGCCTGGCCATCCTGGCCATCCAGATGCAGACCTGGAAGGACGTTCTGCAGACGGTCGTTGCGGCCCTGGGGAACGATGTAGCTAGCCATGCATGCATCCTGGATTTCTTGCGCGTGCTTCCCGAAGAGGTTACGGAAGGTCGCAAGATCACCCTCTCTGTATGTGGACCGCTGTCGCCGCTCGCCTGCGCCCATTCCGATGTTATTCTCTTCCCACTAAGCGAACCGGCCCTCCAGAACATTATCTAATAATTTGCACGCCTCATAGGAAGAAGACCTCACCCAGAGGACGTCGGAGCTGCTCACCGATAACGCCGAGAAGGTGGTGCAACTCCTCGTTAATTATGCTCAGTCGTCTCGTAGGTGTGGCCCTTTATCCAAGCGATTACTGTACTTCCCGCTAACCCATCCAGCTGCTGCCGCTACTAATCCGCAGCTGTTTGATTGCATTAGCTCGTGGCTCCGTGAGGTGCCTGTTCGTGTCATCGTCAACTCCCCCCTGATGGCCGCCGTCCTTCACGGCATTAATGACGAAAAGTCCCTGCTTGCTGCTGCAGACTGCCTAGGGATCATCTGCCGGGAGACTAAAGACGTCGACGACAATCTGGATACGATCCAAACGCTGCTTCCGAAAGTCCTCGAGCTCCGGCAGCGCATCCGTGCTTTAGTGGAGGAGGAGGATACCGAGGGGTTCAAAGCAATCACCAGAGTCTTTGCTGAGGCTGGTGAGTCCTGGGTGCTGCTCGTCGCTCGTGAGCCTCAACACTTCCGGCCCTTGGTCGACTGTCTGCTCGAGTGCTGCGCGCGCGACAAGGAGAGGGACGTCATAGGCTACACGTTTAACTTTTGGTACGAGCTGAAGCAATACCTGACGCTTGACCATTACATCGAGGCCCGGGTCCAGCTCGTCGACGTCTACTCGCAGCTGGTCGACATTCTTGTCAAGCACCTCGAGTACCCCGCTTCCGATGATCCTAATGACCTCGATCTGTTTGATGGCGACCGCGAGGCTGAGGAGAAGTTCCGCGAGTTCCGTCATCACATGGGCGACACACTCAAGGACTGTTGCCAAGTTATGGGTGTGGCTGCCTGTCTTACCAAGGTATACGACGCCATCAAAGCCTGGCAGGAGAAATATGGCAGCCAAGCCACTCCCACCTCGGTCCCTCACTGGCAATCACTCGAGGCTCCTCTGTTCGCTATGCGCGCTATGGGCCGTATGGTCGAGGTAGACGACAGTAGCGTGCTCCCTCAGATCTTCCCGCTCCTAGTCCAGATCCCCATCAGTAACGAGAAGCTGCGCTTTGCCGCCATTATGGTCTTTGGCCGTTACACCGAGTGGACTGCCGTTCATCCCGAGTTCCTCGAGCCGCAGTTCAAGTACGTCATCGATTCCTTCCAAAGCGAGAGCCAGGAGATCCTGCGCGCAGCTGCCCAGTCATTCAAGTACTTCTGCATGGACTGCAGGCAGCTCCTCGGCTCGCAGGTCATTCAGCTCCAAGCCTTTTATGATCAGATCCTCGACAAGCTGCCCGAGCAGAGCAAGGAGGAGATTACCGAGGGCGTTGCGAATGTGGTTGGCGTACAAAAGGCCGAGGATGTCTATAAGCTGCTTAAGCTGTACTGTGATCCCCTCGTGCAGCGCTTGATGGTCAAGGCCAACAACGCCACCGACCGGCCCAAACAGCTCGATCTTGCCGGTAAGTATCACTCTCTGTTTTTGCGATTCACGCTAACCATGTGCAGATCACATCAACCTCCTAACCTATTTCGTGCAATATGTCGTGCCGTATATCCCAGGCAATGCGGAAAACCCTGCCGTTAAGTATTGGCAAGAGGTTTTCCCCATTCTGTCCACAATTCTTGACAACTTCACAAGCTCCGTGCCTATTTGCGAGCGTATCTGCCGTTGCTGGCGATACATGGTGATTTCGTACAGGACGGCCGTCACGCCTTTACTTGGCCCTCTCGCCAACAAGCTGGCTGAGGGCTTCGCCAAGTCGAACCAGGGCTGCTTCCTCTGGGCTACCAGTGCGATTCTCCGCGAGTTCTCCGAGGACCGGGAGTATGTGGAGCAGAGCATTACAGACAACATCTACGCCTTTTTCGAGGCCCAGGCGACGAATGTGCTGCGTACCATGAGCAACATTCCGCCGAATGATCTCCCGGACGTCATCGAGGACTTTTACCGTCTCCTCGTCGACGCTCTCCTCTACTACCCGACCAGACTCATCCCTTCCAGCCTTCTGACTCCAATCTTCCAGGCTGCCATCTCGGCGTTGACCCTGGAAAAGCAAGAACCCGTTTCGGCTGCGCTTCATTACATCCGTGACCTCCTGACCTACGGCGGCCCGAACCCCGCCACGTCAAACAGCAACCTTGGTTCCGCCAGTCAACAGCTTCAGCAAATTGTCAAGAACCTGCTCCTTGCACAAGGAGAGGCTCTCGTTAAGCAAACGCTCGCCGGCATGATGATTACGTTCCCGCGCGACTGCTTTGCTGACGGTAGTGGCGTCTTGCTGTCTATGTTTGAGCTGCTGCCAGCCGAGACGACACAGTGGGTTGACCGCACCATCCGGCTGCTTCCCGAAGGCACCGTCACGCCCGCCGAGGCCGACCGCCTGCTTACAAAGATCAAGGAGAAGCTGCGCGGGCCCGATCCGTCGCATCTCAGACAGATCCGTGTGCTCCTCCAGGACTTTACCAACCAATACCGGAGGAGGTATGTCGCTCCCAGGGATGGGCTTGGCGCGCTTGAGGCGGCAAGGTTCCATTTCTCAGGTTAGGGTTGGGATAAGGGTTGCGGGTGCAATTGGGTGTGGTATTAGCTTTGGCTGTCCGCCTGAGGGGAATTTGTGTGGGTGATGGGAGATTTTGAAAGAAAATACCTCTCAAAGCGAGCAGTCGGGATGATGGACTGTAGTCTGGGCGCATGACAACTCGTAGGTCTCCTATACTGGTGAAGGATGGTGCTTATCAAATACCTTGGAGTGATAATATCCGTGACGTAGGGCAACGTGCCTAGTATTGTAGATGTGGCTATGTAGTATGTGGTTAGAATAATGTCGGCTGGAACCATTTGCATGAAGCAGCATCTTAGTTTTGGTCAATGGGTGCGCTCTGGGACAGTATGAGTGTTAGTGGTGAGCCATTCAGGTGAGTTTGTCCTTTCCATACCTGAGTTTCTCAGTCTTGACTTCAGCTAACCTGAACATCAGACCATCTAAAAGGGCAGGACATTGTATACTGAAAAATATCATCAATATCAAGTTGACTTAGGCTTCCAGAAGGATAGGGTGCTTATAACATTGGCCATGCTTCTGTGACTCACTACAACCCATGACACCAGACCTGCGGATAAGCCCAACCCTGTCGACAATGCAATTATTATGACACAGAATCCTGATTAAAGCGAGTAAGCACAAAGTAACAACAGGTTTGTAGGCCCAAACTTTCCCTCTGCTGTTACTCCCAGTCCGGCTCCCAATCGCTACCTGCGGTCCGCGCGGGACTTGCATTCTGTGCAACCTTTCAGGTGTTCCCCATCGACTCAATTATCTGCCTGCTGGGCCTCGATCGTAAGCTTTACAAGCCATTCAACACTTGCTCCGAAATCCCGGCCGGAGAACAACCCATTTGGTCAACGCTTTTGGTGTCGAAAGGATCGCCCGAAGAAGGGGCATTTGATTTTGGCTCCGTCATGCGTGCTCTCCAGATGCAGTACTTTTTCTGTCATATCTTCCCCATAAAGCCGGGCCTCCGGCTCCATAAATGGTCCAACCACGGCTATCACTCGCTAGTTTCCCGTGCCACTGACAAGTCCTAGCTAGATCCTATCCGCGGTGGTTTGTGTGTCCGGGAAACTTCACCCCAAATTCAGAGGCTAGCAGAAAAAAAATGCCAAACCATCTATTAAGTAATAGATGATACACATGTGTTACCATGCCTTGTTCGACATGATCCAAGTAAGGGCGGTTGTATCCACTTTTCTCAGTCCGAGAGACATAATTCCTTTTCACGTCCGATCCTGATCTATCCGTTATAGCAGATGACCTGAGAGTACAGCCGGCCATTCAATCGGCCGGGATAGTCTAGCAGGGTAAACTTATGTTGGTAAGTAAAAGGGTCAGCTAATATTGCTACCATAGATCTTGGGCCAGATGCCCTTGCCTACAGGGAAATAAGTATCCTATAGATTACAAGCGGATAGGGTCAATAGGTATTACTTCTACGGAGAATGGTTCAACGTTATCCTCTATTTGCTGTGGTTATAAACGGCACCGTGACCCACTCAGACTTTGGGCTCTGCCTTAAAGAAAAGGATTTCAACTAAACTGGCTACTTCGTAGCATTCTGCATATATTGCATCCGTATGCGTCGATAACATTAAACCGAGACTCACGGGCATGATGAACCGGTCAACTGTGCCAGAACTCACAAGCAGACTCAAATCCAAAGAGGTGCTTTAAAGTTGCATCATATGCCACACATACAGCGTGTTTAAGAGTTGATCTACCACGTATTTGCAATTGTTCACTCCTTTTTCTCCAGATATCGTTTAGCTCCTCTTTCCTACTCCCTCTATATCTGAGCCTCCTTCAACTTGACCTGAATGTTTTGTCTTCTCATTCAACATGACAATATCTCCTGCTTGTCCGGAACTCATGCCCGCCGAGGCACTCATCCAAATGTTATCCAACTGCTTGTCTTCTAACAATGCAGCGGCACTAGCCAGGACCAAGCGACGCCGGGCCGCCATCGGGAGAGAGCAACCAGATACCATCATCTGGGAGATTGGCCAGAAGACCATACCGATATTCAACAAGGTCATCGTGGTAAGTAAGCTGTTGCGAATTTCAGAATATATCTTCTAAGTTTGATCCAGTGAATTGCTAATTCTGCTGCTCAGGATCAGAGCCGCGAGGGTTTTGTTGGATGCTGTCGCCCAATATTAACTGACGGCTCCTCCTCCCACTTTTCAGAGCCTGAGTGGGAGAGTTAGAAAGTCACGGCTAAAGCAGCTTCCTTACCTTCTCCAGCTGCACGGCCTAGCGCCATCTGTGGAGAGATGGTATCGTGTTTAGGACACCCAGAAGCATCTTCACATGCTCGAGGCTTACCTTGACTTCGCAGACCGTGAGGATATTAGTCGTTCATCCCTGACTAAGACATCCAAGCCAGAGCATCTGTGATGTGAGCGATTCGACAGCGCTTCTACAGGGTCAAGCTGATGGCGCTCGCCACGAGCCATTACTACGCAACAAGACTGTTAGGCCCTGTTTCACCGGACGTCACAGTGGTTCATGACAGGCCGTTGGACCAATATACCGTCAATAAATCAGCAAGTTGACACAGGATGACTGGAAAGAGTGGAGACAATTTGAGGAAACGGTTTGGAGAGCCGGCAGTCAATATCCTTAGGCACTCTATTTTTCTTCCGTACGTCGACCCACCACGCCGCGAGGGGATCTTCAGAAACTTTACAGACTGATCTCCTCAAAATTGCCTCGGGCGACACGACCAACATCGGAATGCAGCACCACACGCCAATATCACGAGCGCAGCCGACAATGCGTTCAATGCAGGCCCAAACACATGACCTGATTGCTAAGGGCCCTCCTTCCTAAGAATCCATTGTTTTCAGTGTCATCATGCGAACAATACACATACATAGCTTTTTACACCATGTATTTCGGTGAAACACTCAGACTTTCTGTGGTATCAACTACCAAAAAGTATTTTACCGGGGCCTAATATCACCAAGGAAGACCGGATCAGCAATTGTCGGCTTGCCCTGAGTATCTGCCGCCCCCGCTCATAGATTACAAAGCAGACAGGAATGAGCTGGATATGATAGTGAGGTGTGCAAGGGAGTGCAGAACGGCTCCTTTTGATGAACTTAGTGTGGCTTATATCAGGGAGCCGGCTGTGGGATTGGCAGGATTGGCACCGAGCCAAGGCACTTGGCCATCCCAAAGGTACGATCGATTTTGGGAGGTCACGGACATTTCCGAGGTAACAGAATCAAGCAGTTCTGCATTCTGTATTGCATCGGGAGTTTAAAGTACACTTGACCGAGCGTAGCTGAGACAGTTGCAAACATGAGACCAGGCCTTGGATCCATGTAGGTAGCACTGAAACTGAGTGCACGAGTTGAGAGGCTAGCATATGGACTCGATTGCTACTCAAAGAGGCGCCAAAGAGCAGACAGGAAGTAATACAGAAAGACTTTTTTCCGCCTTAGCCTCAGAGCCCTACTGCCGGATAGATGACACTTGGCTGCCGGTATGATACTGAAGATATCAGTTCAGTAAGCTGTTCTTGAGGCCTCAATGATTAAAATGATACAGTGCCAAATCTCTCATTAGCATGTCAAACATGGCCTAGCTGACTAACTCGAATGTCTGTAATGGTACATAAGCAGCTAGCTGACCTTGAGTCTCCTCCACCACATTACGAAATTTTTCAGGGCAGTTTAAGGTGATGCCTTAACATCCAGGACATAACTCTGTAAGACAATAAATCTCAATTAATCGTTCCGTTACGGACTCATCAACACGGTATCGTTTGTAGGGATGGGTCAGCGAGCAAGAATGGCCTCGGTCTTGTGCTGGGCTGAAGCAGAGTGTCGCTCTCAAGGCGACGGATTGCCTTGCTTGCCAGGCTCCGGGTTAGGCGTGTTGTAGGACTCGGGCTTGTTTAACGTGACGGTATCCTTTGCGGTCTGGAAGAGAGTGAAGCATTCGTCTAGAACGTCGTCGACTGTCTGGTCCATCCCAACGATTCCGGTATCGAGGATTTCCTTCACGCTGTCAGAACCAGAAAATCACAAGCATAGGCCTTGAAAGAGAACTCACCCTGACATGGTTCTTAATCTTGTCAAATTCATTCATATCCTTGCGATACCTCTCTGGCAAACCGCTGTTGTGCATCAGAGCCAGGAGACCAGCCACAACTGTGTTGATCGCTGCGAGAATGGTAATAGGGGCATCTCTGGGATTTTCGTCGTCAAAGCTGGGGCTAGCAAGCCCAGAAGATCCCAGAGCGGTCAGTGAGGCACCGACCGCAATCTGCAGAGTTAGAAAGATCCAGTGTAGAGCATTCAGAATGGTGTAGCCGATCGAGTACTTGGAGCGTTGAGTCACGATGTCACGATACAGACCATCGGGAAGCCCCTTGGGTGGCCACAGACAACTCGTCGGATGTACGACCTGATGAGTTTCACCGTTGTCGTTAGGGCAAATGGCACCTAAGCCGTGGGCAACACGGGCCCATTCTGTGGGAGTCAGGAAACGGTGATGACCAGAAGAGTGCTGGGGCTCAGGAGCAGGAGAGTCGGCATCGGGACTTGGCTTTTCTTTGGAATTGTCACCAGCAGGAGGACCAGCAGTGCCTGCAGCCGGAGAGTTGCGGACAAAAATGCCAGGACCAGGAGTGGCAGGGCGAGGGTCAAGGGTAATAGGAGAGATAGCGAGGTCAATGATCTCGTCTTTGTTGGTAGCCATGGCAAACGAGTGATGAGTGATGGGATAGAGAAAGCAGAAGAGGTGTGGAGCGGTGGTTGGCAAAGAGTCAAGCTCAAGAGAGAGGAAGAGAGGCTGGTTGAGGTTGGAGTGGAAGCGGAAAAGCCTTTACTCAAATAAATGGCAATCGCAACACACATTTTCACGATGTTTGCAGTCTTATGACAATTGATAACGTGATACATTTTGAGCTCGGGAAAGAGCTGCCTATGAGCAACACTGGGAAAGACTTTACAATGAGCCTGAGGGAAGAGCATTCACAATTTCAAGGGGGAACAGGGGAAACACTCGTATTGTGGGGCATCGCGGCCAATCCGGGACTTCTGAACTCTATGCCTTTGATATCAACTTATGAGGCAAACCGATTGAGAGCCATTCTTACGGCGGACTGGTTCACAGTGGTTCATGTTGTGGTGCACTGGCGGTGACTTCAAGGGAGGACAAGATGAAAAGCATGAGCCCCTATATTATGGTGGGGCAGCCTAACTTGAGATCAGGTTAAGGCAAACTATGGGGTGTCCTCACCGCCCGGCAGAATACCAAAATTCCATCAACTGCGACAGTAGTCACAGCCAAAGCTGGGAACTCGCGACCTTCAGTCACCCATTGCACGAGCCGCAGAGCGCATGCGCCCGTTGATTATTGCTGCTTCCCTCTGTCGCAAGCCCTCGACACTGAGGACAGTGCGCTCGCTGCGGCTCCTGCACATATCACGCATACTCCGACAGCAGCCGTCACTAACGTTGCCGTCCTCGCACCCTGCACAGTCAATTTCGTGTGCCATGTCAAACGCCGAAACGATCCCCGATATCTATGCTGCGCCCGCCGAGGGCCAGCGTGTCAAGCACAATAATGTCGTCTACACGACGATCCGGGAGGGTATGGCCCACATCCTGGTCCCAGAGGAGTCCAAGACCAAGGACGGACAGACCGTACAGCAGGTCTTCTACAACCCGATCCAGCAGTTCAATCGCGATTTGACGGTGTTGGCGATTAAGGCCTACGGAAAAGAGCGCCTGGAGCAGAAGAAGGCCGCGTCGAAGTCGCGGGAGAGCAAATGGGGAGAGAAGAAGCGCAAGAGGAAGGAGGCCGCACAGACCGAACGCCCAGCCAAGTCGCCGAAGCTGGAGAATGTTGCCGCCGAGGGCGAAGACACAGAGATGAAGGACGTGACAGAACAACCAGCTGAGCAGGCAGCGGATCAACAAGCTGAGCGGTCGGCCGAAGCAGCTCAGCAGGAGGAGCAGGCGAGCGAACAAGCCACTGAAGGCACTGCTCAACCACCCGCCGATAAACCTAAGAAGGAACCACAACCGCAGTTCCGAATCCTCGATGCCCTGTCGGCCAGTGGGCTGCGCGCGCTGCGCTACGCGCAAGAAGTGCCGTTCGCCACGTCGGTGACGGCCAACGATCTGCTCAAGACGGCAGCCGAGGCAATTGAGCGCAACGTCATGCACAACGGGCTGGTTGGCAAGATCAGGATCACCGTAGACGATGCGATTGCGCACATGTACGAGGTCGTGGTCAAGGACCTGCGCAGGGTCCATCTGAGCGGTGGTAAGCCCGGACCCAGCGAGAAGTACGATGTAATCGACTTGGACCCCTATGGCTCGGCTGCTCCTTTCCTGGATGCCGCAGTCCAGGCGGTTCGTGACGATGGCGGCCTGCTGTGCATTACCTGCACGGACTCGGGTGTCTGGGCGTCCAACGGCTACCCGGAGAAATGTTACTCTCTGTACGGTGGCATCCCCGTCAAGGGATGGTACTCCCATGAGGTTGGCTTGCGGCTCATCCTGCACGCCATCGAGGCCGCTGCTAACAAGTACGGCCTGGCCATGGAGCCGCTGCTGTCACTGTCAGTCGACTTCTACTGCCGAGTGTTTGTGCGCATCCGCAAGTCCCCCGCGACAGTCAAGTTCGCTGGCGGCAAGACCATGATTCTTTACAGTTGTGGTGGCGGTTGCGGCTCGTGGACCACGCAACTGCTGATGAAGAACAAGCCGGCTCCCAACAAGAAGGGCACTGGCATCTTCTACAAGCATGGCTTTACCAAGGCCCCGACGACCGACTCCAAGTGTGAGCACTGCGGATCGACCATGCACCTGGCGGGCCCCATGTACGCCGGACGACTGCACTCGCAGGAGTTCATCAAGGCCGTGATTGCTGAAACAGAGGCAGCGGATCCCAAGATCTACGGTACCAAGGAGCGCATCCGCGGAGTGCTGCAGACCGCTCTTGAGGAGTACTTGCCGACTGCTGAGATGCAAGAGGAGGATAAGAAGCAAGAAGAGGCGGCCAAGAAGGACGAGAGCAGACGGATCGCCCGAACCGGGCTGACAGAGGCCCAGGCGGCCGCGTACGACCCGTACCCGTTCTACTTCCACCCGCAGCAGATCTCAGGCATTCTGCACTGCGCCAGCCCGTCTGAGGCGGCTATTCGGGGTGCTCTGTTGAGGATGGGCTATCGCGTTACGCGCAGTCATTGCAAAGCTGGTAGCATGAAGACGGACGCGCCGTGGTATATTATTTGGCACGTTTTCAGGGAGTGGGTCCGCCAGAAGGCGCCCATCAAGGTCGAGAATATCAAACCGGGCAGCGTTGCGTACCGGCTGTTGAGGCTTGGAGGGAACAAGGAGGTCCATGAGGACAAGACAGAGGAGTCGGGAAAGGATCAACAGGCAGCCAAGGCTGACGAGGCCAAGCCAGAAGAGGAAGATGACCAAGAGGACAAGCAGCAGCGCAAGGAGCTGCCTGAAGTCGTGTTTGACGAGCAGCTTGGGCGGTACAAGGAGACGGTGAAGTACCTGCGCTACCAGATGAACCCGCGGGAGAACTGGGGACCAATGAACCGGGCAAGGGGGAAATGAACTGTCTGGTTGGTTTGGTCTAAACAGTTGGTGGGTAGCACGAAGAGTGATGATGGCAAGGTGAGCGAACGTGAGCCGTGGGAGCCTGGTAGGTGATTATCTCATCATCTCTTGTGCTGGCTTGTCAATTTTGCTCTCAACAACGGTACATTTCCATCGTTCTCCTGTCGCCTGCACTGCCTCGGCCGAGCCCGTGACTCCACAAAAATTTTGGTGGGCATTTGCCTTGGCCGTGGGGTTGCTTGATAACGCAATCGAGCTCCTCCGCGTCCTCACCACTCACCTGCCAGCTCGCATCACTCAGATCGAGGGGTATCATCTTCAATCAACAATCCCAGCAATATTGCTGGTTCATCGAGAGTCTGTTTATTTGCACGAACAGGACACATCTTTTCTTAGATCTCAAAAATTTGACCCCCGTTTAATGCAGATTTTGTCCTTCAGTTCTCCTTGTGCATCTGTGCACTCTTGTGTTTCGTCAAGTCTCGCTGGGCTTGGTTTTCTCTAAGCTCATCTCATCATGTCCCGTCTCAGCAAGCTTGTATCACGCGCTTTCATGCGAAAGCGTTCCAAGCGCCAGCAGCAACCCTCACGAGCTGATCCGTCCTCTCCCGAGAGAGAGTCTAATGACGAGATGTTCATTTCTGTTGATGCGCCTCGATTTAGCACCTTCCATACTCCGAGCTCAATCGGCAATGGTCGGCTACCTTTGTCAACACCAAGTTTTGATGCCCTTGGGGCCATCAGCGAGAACGAAGTTGTCTGCATACTCCCTCCAGCAGCTGCGAAGTCCAGCTCAGAGCCTTACTACACTGTCTACACACTGACCGAATCCCCTGTCGATCATGCTTCTGGTGATGGGCCTAGCGCGAGGAAAGGCCCGTTTACACTGCAAGCTTTGCATGTTCCCGCCGATCAGGCCCCCGCGTACTCATCTCTGCTAGGACAGTACTTGCTCACCGGCGAAAAAGCCCAACGAGCGAGCCTGCTGAGCGACGATGTAGAAGTTGACGTGATTATCTCGACAAGGTCTGGGTTAGGGTTGGCAAGGGAATTTTACGAGAGCGTTTTGAAGGAGATCCTGGAGGCCTTGGGACGTCCCTTACTCGAAGACGAGGGTAAAGGAGGATCGAAGGGCCACCGAATAACAGTAACTAAGGACGGCAACACTATCAAGGAGTTTGCTCAAGGTCTGGGTAAAGCAGCGGCCGACTCGACTGTTAAGAACAAGCTAGTACTGCTGCTTAGCGGAGACGGTGGTGTCGTTGACATGCTGAACGGGCTAGAAACCTCCTGGCTGTCACAGCAGTCAGCGAAACAGGCAGGAGAACGAGAACAGATGACTCTATCTTCCCCGGCTGTCGCACTTCTGCCGCTGGGTACGGCTAATGCGCTGTTCCACTCGCTTCACAAGTCTTTGCACCAGCAGGCCGGATCCAATGGTCCATCCCCGCTTGTTCTGAGCCTGCGAACTCTCCTCTTCGGCGTCCCGGCCGCCTTGCCCACATTTCGCACCGAATTCTCTCCCGGCGCGCGGTTGGTCGCGGGCCCATCCGAACCCACACATGCACCGACCACGGCCGAGGATATGCACTCGTCGGCTGCCGGTACTGTGCAGGTAGGTCACCTGCTCGGGGCGATTGTGGCCTCGTACGGCTTCCACGCCAGCTTGGTCTGGGAGAGCGACACGCCGGCCTATCGCAAGCACGGAGACAAACGTTTCGGCATGGCAGCGGCCGAGCTGCTGCGCGAAGCCCATGGGTATGACGCCGTCGTTGATATCCGGCGACAGCAGCAGCTAGATACAGAGTCCATCCGACTGTACCATGGTGCTGTTGCAGATCACCGCTGCAGCTACGTCCTCACGACGCTTGTCTCCAACCTCGAGCGGACTTTTACAATATCGCCGCGCGGAAAACCCCTCGATGGGCAGCTCAGGCTGGTACACTTCGGGGACGTGGGTGGCGACAGGACGATGGAGATCATGCAGGCGGCATATCGCGAAGGGGAGCATATTGGAATGCAAGACGTGGGCTACGAGCCCCCAGCGGAGGATGGCACTCTCGAAGAGGTAACGGTGACAGTCAACGAGGACGACCCCCGCTGGCGAAAAGTTTGCGTTGATGGGACCATTGTAGAGCTCGAGCAGGGCGGTTGGATGCGAGTCCGTCGTGAGAAGGGGCAGTGGTTGAGGATATTGGTGGATAGGTGTGTTGCAGAGCAGACAGAAAAACTGCGGAATGCCATCGGGCCGTGATGCATGGCCATTGAATGTCGGGAAAATGTCACTTGGCCATGACAACGTGCAGCGAAGACGACAGGATGGAGACCTGGAGCACGGGATGTGGGCTAAAGGATGGATAGATGGCAGTCAGTCTACATACCTGCCTAGCTGGGACACTTATCATTGCTGCTAGCTATCCAGTCGGGGCAGCTCGACAATGCTTCAACCGTTGTTTCAAGAGCGAGCTTGACAAAGAGCCGATCGATAACGCAGCTTTGAGCGCTGCCAATGGTGATGACGACGCCTCCTCTTTGTTGGTCCCTTGCCACCACGGGTCTTGTTTCGAGATACGGATGTTTCTCAAGGTCTGGACTTTTGAGTTGCTTCCGTCTCAAGATGCCAGGCAAAGAACGATGCAGCGGCGGCTATTTTTGCGCACTCTGTGGAAACCCTCGGCAACACGTGATGGCCTGCTTGCGATCCGGAACTGCCGCGACCTACTATCCCAGACCTACCGTTCATGTGCTTTGGAAGTCTCCAACTGAAGGAAATCAACAAAGAGCCCCCCAGCTGGAGACACGTTTTGAAGCTAGAAGGAACCACTTGGATAAACCGGCTCTCTCTCGCTAACCCTCATGGAATACCCCAGGTCAACCAAGATCGCCATGAAGAGCCTTCTAAGCCATAACCATGTGCCTATTCACCCAGGTCATCTTCAGCTGCGGCCACGCAGCCGCGGACAAGCGGACGGGCTGGTGCCACAGGATGTGGAGCAAGAACCGCGACCACCACTCCAGCAACGGCTCGCTCTTCTACCTCTGCCCCGACGTCGTATGGGCGCAACCAGCCGTGCCCAAACCCAAACGTCTTCGCTGCGACGCCTGCCACGACGCATGGAAGCAGAGCGTAGACGCTTGGTGGGCTAGCTCTTGGGAGCGGATTGTCGTCGACTGGGAGGGGCTCGCGGACAGGCAGGTCGTTGACAAGCGCAAAGAGGTAGCGGATGCCAAGCGCTGGTATGTGTTGCATGTGATGATCGAGCTCACGGCGGCCAGCCCGCCTGATGAGCCGGTCAGCGTTGATGTGTATCGCGACTTTCAGCGGTGGATGGAGGGAGAGATCGAGTTCTCCAACGAAAAGATTGGAGATATGCTCGTCGAGGAGCAACAAAGAGAGCAAGAACAAGCGATGGTTCTAGATCTAGAGGAGCCCTTTGCGCTGGGTGCGGTTGTACCACCTTCCTAGCCGGTAGGCAGGGTTTGGGTGTAGGTAGCAGACAGGGTGGGGCTGGGGTACGGTAGGTAGCAGCAAAACGATGCATTCTGCGTGCAGCGGTGATCGAGCTTGGCCAGATGGCAATCGAGATTCCATGCCTGTCAATCGGCCCCGTCAAGCCTCGATGGCGTCGGGCGTGGGTGTGAGTCTGTGTGTCGCTAACACCACAAACACGGCAACGTTGACGACAGGATGGCCGGCAGGCGAATAGAAAAACGTCTGGCCGAGGAGCATAATTATCCGACCAGCCACAGCAGGGGCCGTTTACGTTGTAACGGTGCCTCTGATGCCGAAGCATGGTTCATCGAAACAACAACTTACCGGGAAAAAACATCATTGTCGGCGCCCACCCCCACAGCGGATGGTCGATCACCGGAGTCAACCGCCCAACCCGGAAGTTTCAAGCTGGCGTCTGCGTCAAGCGTGCGTCGCTTAAGGAGCACTGCGTGCGTAGTCCCCTCTCCACCCAGGCTCCGGCTCAAACAAGGTTACTTGACTTGCGCGTCTCCCAGCGCCGCCCTATGGTGGTTGACCTATACTCGGCCATCGGTAGAGTGGGCGGCCGAGGCAGCGGGGGCGCCGGTGAGAGCGTCAATTGTGGCGAGGGGTAGCGATGGCGGCGACAAGGTCGTAGTCGACCAATGGGCCAATTGCTTGACTATTGCTGGCCCTTAGATTGGAAAAATGAAAATCAATGTGCGGAATCAACACCGCGCTATTATCACAGCCGTTACCCGTTATTCCCATGTTGCAATGCGCATGAAGGAAGGGTTTGCGACGCCCGGCGCGAAGGGCATTTGATGGTTCCCGCCGATACATACTGCGATACTCCACGATGGTTATTGCCGCGACTACGGGTCCATCTCGATATTGCGGAATGCGGAGAGATGCTTGTCACAGCTCCGGATTGCGCGGCGATTGGAGGTCTTGATATTAAGGCGGCTTCATGTACCGGGTTCAAACCATGGGGAAAGTCTTGCATCGGCTCTCCCCGTCGGAAGGAGAGATGAGCTGTGATGGTTATAAAAGGCGGGCCACGACCAGTCTCAACTCCCGTGTCTCGTCTTTCTCTCCAGCGCGATCCACCAACACGAAGAGCGCCTTCTAGCTCCAAATCGAGTCCCAGACGTCAGCCGTCTTCACCACCATGCAGATCCTCAAGGCTGCTGCCGGCCTGGCTCTCCTGGCCGGCCTCGTCTCTGCCCATCCGGGACATGACGTCTCCAAAGAAGCGGCCGAGCGCCGCGAATTCCTCCAGACTGCCAAGCGTACTTCGCTGGCTCACTGCGCCGAGAAGCTCAAAGCTCGCGGCATCGAGGCTCGAAACCACGCTCGTCGTGAGGCTGCCATCCAGAAGGCTCGCGCTAAGCGTGGTCTGAACGGCGTCCTGGGCCGCCGCGCTATCGGCGATGTCCTGGCCAAAGATCACAACAAGACCGCCCTTGGCTACACCCCTAACACCGACCCGGCTACCCTGTTTGCCGGCTACCAGTCCTGCCTGTTGACCCCGGAGGTCACTGAGGGCCCTTACTGTAAGTTGCTCACGTTATCGAACGAATGTATGTTGCAGGGCTAACAAAAGCAGACGTCGCTGGCGAGTACGTCCGCCGCAACCTTGTTGAGCAGCAGCCTGGTGTTCCTCTGCTGCTCGATTACCAGGTCATCGACGTCAACACGTGCGAGCCGGTTCCCAATGTCTTCCTTGAAATGTGGCACTGCAACTCGACCGGTGTCTATGGCGGGGTCGTCGCCCAGGGCAACGGCAACAGCAATGACCAGAGCAACCTGAACGCCACCTGGCTGCGCGGCATCCAACCCACAGATGAGGACGGTGTCGCTCAGTTCGAGTCCATCTTCCCTGGCCACTACACCGGCCGCACGACCCACATCCACGTCATGGTGCACACTAACGCGACTCTGTTGTCCAACGGTACGCTCGGGGCCCACGTTCAGGGCAGCCACGTCGGCCAGACCTTCTTTGACCAGGCGCTCATCAACGCCGTCGAGGCCCTCGCTCCGTACAACACCAACCGCCAGCCACTGACCACCAACGCCCGGGACGGCATCATGGCCCAGGAGGCGGCCACCAACGGCGTCGACCCCGTCATGGAGTACACTCTGCTGGGCGACAAGCTGGAGGACGGTCTCTTCGCCTGGATTGCCTTCGGCATCGACAAGAACTATGTCCGCACCGTCACCCCGGCCGTCTACCTCACTGAGAACGGTGGCAAGCCCAACGAGAACGGCGGTCTTCCTGGTGTCCCCGGCGGCCCGGGCTTCCCTGGTGGGCCCTTTCCTACCGGGGGCTTTCCCGGTGGCCCGTTCCCGACTGGCTCCCCGTTCCCATTTCCGACGGGCGGCTTCCCTTGGGGTCCCTTCCGCCGTCGCAACAACCGCAACTAAGGGATGGCCCAGGGGTTGCGAGACCCGTGCAGGGTCAGTAAATGTTGACTTTTAAGGAGATTGAATGGTGGAAGTCACAAAATGTGGATGGATAAGTGTAATGTATGTATGCGTTTTGCCAGTTGGCTATGTATATAGGCTGTTGGGTGTATTTGTGTATGTTGTCTGGGTTTTTCGTGCCGTATGTGAGCATTGAGATGTGTTCAGCCTTATGGATGTCCTCGCGACGTCGCCAAACTCAGCCGCACACGTTAAAATGCGACGCATGGACGACCCAAGACTCGCCTCTTATTCACAGGTCAACCCTTCCCCCCCCCCCCCTCCCTCCCGGTGTCAACCAGAGCGATGCGTTGCGGGGGAGATTCTTGGCGGCCCAGGCAAGCGACTGGTGCCTGAAGGCAAGATGGGGCTCACCCATCGTGATATCGCGAAGTTTGCCCTCACTCAAGGGCAACTGGAAGTATTTAGTTATCTGTTTTGGTGTAAGAGGCGACCCCGACAAAAGACATTATTACGGAATCTAAGCATTACGAACTCGACCCTCCGAATTGACCCCATAACTTCAACACAATGGAGCGGCAAGGCCCTTTTTTCTCAGCCAGGTGCCCAACCGAAATCACCCTCGCAATCTTCACCAGCTGCCAGTCCCTGCGCGATGTGGCAGCCCTGATCATCACTAACCGGCACACGGCCGCCGTCTGGAACGAACACCAAGGACACATCATCCTTCACATCGGCCGACTCACAATCCCAGCCTTCGACCGCGCCCTCATGGCCGTAAGCTGACCTCTCCCTCGCCTCGACTTCCCCAAGAAACTAACCCCTTACCCCTTAAAAAAAAAAAGAACAGGCCCGAGCAATATCCATAGTTCTCTGGCACCAAATGCGCTGCAAGCTGCCTCCGCGTCTGCATATCCACGAACTAGACCCTTCCTACCAAAAGCCCAATCCGGCCGAACTCGCTCAAGTCCTTGATCTGCACCATCTAGCACGGTGTCTCGAGGTGCGCTACCGCGACCCGGAAATTATCCTACTTACCCTGCCGCACGATTACTCGCAGGATTTTCAGATCTGTGAGGATATCACGTCGGCGGGGGGCACGCAGCCGGAGGATTTGGGGAATCTAGAGGCGTGGAGGGAACGGTTCGATGGGGCGTTGTATACAGTCTTGTTAGGGAACGCGTATCTGGCGCGGTGATATAGAGAGCCCCTGGAAGTGATATGGTTTCGTTCATACGGTGAGGGAGGTGATATGCCGGATTATGGGGTCAAGCCGGAAAGGCATGGGAGGAAGTATGAGGAGGTGAAGAAAGGCGTAGAGGAGTTAGTGGGCTATGGCATGAATGAGTGGCTGAAGGAGAAAGGTGATCATAAACGGGCGGCAGAGAGGATTCTGAGCCATCCTGCTTGGTTGATGAGGGTTAATTTAGGACTGCAGGAGCCACTGTTTGGGGAGTTTGCGGATTGGTTTGTGAAGGTTACGTTAAAGGATGAGGCGCGGATTGAGAGGGCGATGAGGCCGAGAGATGGGTTGCCCAGGATAAACGCGAAGCTCTTCAATACGGGGCCGCAGACCTGGCCCGAGACGTCACCTTTGGGGGCATATTTCCGGAATGGAACACCTGAGCAGGGCCGGCTGCTGTTTGGTTCTGTGCTGAGGGCAATCCACATGATGCAAATTGTGTTGCTACACCTTGAGAAACCTGAGTGGGTAGGATGGTACGTCAATCAGCTTGAACGGGCAAAGAGAATACACGGGGACAATCCACGCCCGGCATTCCCTCCACGCAAGCTGCGCGCAACAACCATCATCGGCGCACGGGACTATGAGCCGTGTGAGGTATACATGGATGAAAAGCCATCGACGCGGTATCGGGTGCTAGCTGAGAATACTGGGTCGGAAATGCTTAGTGTGCAAGCCTTATTGCTGCGGATGAATGAGCACCGGTACTTCCTACCAGAACAGGAGGGAAAAGAGGTGTGGAGGGAAGAGGGGAAGAAGATCGATTCGTTTGATCCGACGTATACACTGTGGTATTTTATCTTGGCCAGGGAGATGGACGTACATCTTGTGGATGAGCCGGGGAAACAGATGGGGGCACATTGGGGACATGTTCAGAGAGTTGGGGATGCAAGGACCTAGCAAGGAGGAGAGGGACTGAGAATCGACAACACAGCAGCAGGACTACCAAGACGCAGAATGGCCGGATACATTGGATTATTCTGGGCTGCCACGAAGGGCACGTAGATGGTTAACTAAATATACCGCTATGGAAAAAATCCCGACTAACCAAACCTCTCTCAAGTACCTTTTTGACCGTCTATGTACCCTTGATGTATGATATGTCAACCTGTTCCAATACAGACTGTATGCATAGAACCGGGGACCCAAGCCAAACGGTGTCCTTGGCTGGCCCCTCTTAGTGTAAGTCCGGCCAGTCTACCTTGTAATCATGTACTCACCTGTTTACCTAATGCCTTTATGCACCTCCCCCAGCAGCTACAGCGGCCTCTCCATTCCTTTGAGCCTCTCTTCTCGCCTTCGCCCCGGCCTTCAATTTTTCCCACCGCTCGCGATACTTCTCGAGATTCAACTGCAGCTTCAAATTATCCTTCTCCAACGACTCCATCCTCTTCGCCATCTCAGCAAGCTGCTCCTCCAGCTCCCTATTCCTCTTCCTCAGCGAGGCGACCTCCTCTCCCCCTGCCCCTCCTCCCCCCCCAGCCCCAGGAGAGGTCAACGACGTCGGCGACCCAGGCCGATGCAACCTTAGACTCTGCGCCAGCGCTAGATGCGAGCTCTGCGAATTCAGCTCAAACGCATGCAGCCGTTTGCTCACTTTATCCAACACATCCTTGAGCGAAGCATTCTCCAGATGCAGTTCCTCGATGATATTTCTCAATTCCTTTTCCGACCGTGACTTGTTGGCAGCAGAATAACCCCGCTTGCGATGCGACGCGGGCGACACCGACCTCGGCGGCTGCGATTCGCGCGCGTCGACGAAGTCGTCTTCGTCTTCCTCGTCCTCTTCCTCGAAGAAGGGGTTCGTGCTGCCGGCTGTGGAAGGTGTCCCGCCGCGTAAGGCAGCCAGACGGCGTTTCTCTTTGTGCTCGTGGTTTAAAATGCTGGCGTAGGAGGCGGTGTGGCCGCTGGGGGGCACGACGTAGAAGGACTCGTTGGGGTTGTGGCCGTCGCGGTCGAGGGAGCGGAGGGTGGCGCGGGAGTAGATCTTGGAGAGGTCGGGCTCGGTTAGGTTGTTTGGTGTACTAGGTGAGGGCTTTTGGCGGTGTTTCTTGGATGGGGAGGGGGTCTCGGATGGGGCAGGGCTTGTTGTGATTGTCGAGGGGGCGGGCTCTTCGGAAAGGAGTGGTAGGCCGGCGAAGGCCAGGGGAGCGGATAGCTTATGGATTAGGCTCCCGAAAGTGTTGTAGAACCGTGTAAAACCGTCTTCGCTTGTAGGCGGGGGATTGGTGTCCTCCGGCTTGGAGGATTCGGCGACGGTATCTTCCTTGATAGCCGGAGGGACCCAGCTAGGTCGGCGTTGATCAGGATCGGAAAGCTTAGGCTTGGAGGCGGCAGTTTGTTTGCGAGGATGGACCTCGAGGCTGCCGGGTGCTTGGTCGTTCGTGATGCTAGGAGTCAGAGGCTGGGGTGTGTAACGGGCACGTATGCCACGAGCAGAGGCGAGGTTGTTTGCGATGGACGAAGTGAGGTTGCGCCCGGGATACCGCTGGTGCGACAGCGTGGGCAGCGGCTTCGGAGCCATATGCTTCAGGGAATCTTTCGGAGGCGATGCATCTTTAGGAGGCTCTGTCTCCTGCTCGGCCTGCTCGACCTTCTCATCCTCATCTTGAGCAGCAACGTCGGCATCAGAGGCAGGTTTAGCTGGTCGGCTGAGAGGAAGCTTGAGCAGCTCGGCGAGTCGGCGGTGATGCTGCTCGAGCAGCCTCAGAGTGCGCAGAGCCTCAATGCTGGAGGTCGTCTTGGAGGCATTGGCAAACTCCCCAGCAGCCTGGGCATGCTCGGCGATCGCGACGGTGGTGTCGGCGGTCTGCGTGGCGACCGCAGCGGCGCGGGCGTGATCGTGTGCCTTCAGAGGTCGAGCTGTCAGTTTGGAGAGATCAGATAAAGCGTTAGGCGGCAGCGCGTACCCTAGTTAACGGTGACGACTCCATGAGGAGCGCTGGAAAAGGAAGCGCAACAGCGTGGGGGCCGGCGAGGTTGGGGGATGCAAGGTGCAAGCCGTAACCGTTTGCATGATGCAAATCGGATCTGTCGTTGACGAGCAGCCGTTGGGGCCTGGGCCTTCCAAATGGCGGGGGGGCTGCCGTCATCATAGGGCTGCCAATACGCTTCCGCGTCACTAGCGAGTCTTGGCGCGAAGTCTTATCTTATCGGGTTTCTTGTATATGTGGGGCTGTGGAACTACTGTTGGGGGCCTTGGATCTTTAGCCGTTGCATCATGGCTGCCGTGAAAGAGACCCTTCATCCAGCTCCAAGTCAGTTCCACCTCGTAGAAACCCCCCCCCCCCTTCGCCTGCGATGAAACACCAACGAGCCGTCACACCCTGACCCCTCTCTTTTGTCTGAATCACAACTTCGCGCTTACAACCTTTTTTTGACCCTCGAAAGCATCAAGCTCCCGGCGAGATACACTAAGCGCTGCGCGGCTGGCGCAACCATGGCGATGACATAGCCCTGCGTCTCACTCCAAAGTCTCAGTCTGTCTCTCTCCGGAACCCCCGGCCCAGCCGGCCAGCACCCCAGTATCCAGGGTTTCTGACCCTCTGACCACATCACGGCGACGCCACGATTGCGCTAGAACAATGGACAGTCCCAGCAGGCTTGGTAAGCTGCTGTCTAACACGATATCGACAAAGCGGCGGCGCTCCAAGACGCCGATGGGTGAGGGCCGCAACACCAACAGCGATGCCGGCAGTGTGGGCGACAGATCGCACCGGGCTAGCATCGGGTCGCGCATAGCCGGCAGCGACTCCAACTCTGCGCGCAGCCTGCCGCTCCATGGCGACGAGGCCTCGGGCTCGGACTATGAAGCGTGAGTTCAGCGCCCATGCCCATTTCTTTTTTTTTTTTTGTGTGTGTGTGTGTGTGTGACTGTTCGCTTTTATAAGTCAAAAAATACGGCGCTGGAAATGAACGAGAGTCTTGGCGATACGCGTACTGTATGACGCTAAAGCCGTAGCGGACAGCCTGACCTGGTTGGCCCACTTCGATCTTGGTGCCTTGGCTGGTCTTGGCTGCCTGCGCCTCCCCGATGTGGATGAGGTTGCGACAAGTGTTGGCCGTCATCATCATCGAGAAGCTCGTTCTAACCTTCACGTGCTGCACTTTCTCCCCTTTCATCCCTCCCCCCCCCCTCGTCGCTCATCTCCCAGCCGTCCATGCGCTTGTTTCTCATTCCCTAAAAAAAAATCTATCATTTTTTCCCCTTTGTATTTTCTACTTTCTGACGCTCGCTATCCGTATCTTCAGCGCCCAGCGCCGACCCACTGCCATCTCGGCTCTCCCCTCGTCGTCTCCCCTAGCGTCAGCGCCCCAAGCGACTCAGGCAGCGCAGTCGCCGAATCCCGATTCTGCGGCTTCAGACCCGATTCAGCAGCTTTCCAGATTCCCATCCATCCCTGACGGACCCGAGATTCTCTCCGTGCCGGCCGTCGATCGCAGCCGTACTACGGTTGGCTCCCCTCGCCTAGAGATCAAGCGTTCATCCTCGAGCTCCCGCTTGCGTGACGTGTTTCGGCCCAAGAAGGAGCCAAAAGACGCTAAAGAAACGCTAGAGAGCAAGCCCGAAACCCCAAGACCGCTATCCGTTCGAACAAATTTCGAACCGCCCAAGCAGCCCAACCTATCCCCGCTCGATCCCCCTACCCCGCTGATCGTCAACACACCTCCGACTCCGACCGAATCGAAGCATCCGGACAGAGTCTTTGACAGCCTTTCAAGGCCCGCGAATGTCTTGCTGATCGGGGGTGGGAGCATGAGCAGCACCACACGACGGAGGGCCGGCTCGAATGCCGGTCCCAGCAAGCTGTCCAACATCACCCCCGCCCCACCAACGCCTACCCCTGACAATCATACCCAAGCAAATAATAATATTATTAACAACCCCCCGGCCACGCCTGCGAACCCGGCCGCCAACTTCTTCTCGTCCATGTTCACTGCCGTCCAGAACACGGCCAACTCTCTCAGTACTACCCTCGCACAAAACAAGGTCAAGGGGTCGCAGCCGCAGGCCAAGGACCAGGTCGACGCGAAGAACGTCGACGCCAACGAGGTCCAGCCATCGGTTACCCCTGGGCCTTCCTCCGAGTCCAAGGAGCCTGCCGTCAAGACCCTCGGCTTGGGCGATTTAAGCTTGAGTCACCTCGGCATCGTGGACCCCCCGAGTGCCACCTCCCCGAGCCCTCTTGCGACTCGGTTCATCCAGCCCGAAAGCCGCGCACGGTCCGACTCGGCCCCGGCCGAGCCTCACTCCGCCATCATGGAGACGTCCGGAGATAACCATGCCTCACGGCCTCTGTCGCTGAACGAGTCAGCCGACGGGTTTCGCACGCCCCCAACTGCCAGCGTGCACGATGGCAAGTCGGGTATCCATCGCAGCGGCAGCAATCGCAGCGCCCACGGGCATCGTGGCCGAAGGCGCGGCAACAGCAATGCCACGCACGTCACGACGGGCACTACGATCGGTGCTGCTATCACAGCCGCCACGTCGTCCCTTGCTAACCCGGCTGCTACTCCAGGTCCTAGACTTACTGGGTTTGCGGTGGCCAACAAGAAGCGCAACCGCGAGTTCCATAACCTGTTCAAGAGCGTCCCTGATGACGATTATCTGATTGACGACTACAGCTGCGCCCTGCAGCGTGAGATCCTTGCCCACGGACGCCTGTACATCTCGGAAGGCCACCTGTGCTTCAGCAGCAATATCCTTGGTTGGGTGACCACCCTGGTCCTTAGCTTCGATGAAATTGTCGCCGTCGAGAAGCGCAGCACCGCACTTGTGTTCAAGAACGGTCTCGAAATTTCGACGCTCCACTCAAAGCACATCTTCGCCTCCTTTGCCAGTCGCGATACCACTTACGACCTGATCATCAAGATCTGGAAACTGGGCCATCCCCATCTGCAGAGCTCCCTTAATGGCGTTCGTCTTGCCGAGCCGGGCGGCGACCGCACCGAGAAAATCATGGATGCCGAGTCGACTTCGGCGCCTGGCAGCCATGAGAGCGCCTCTGGCTCGGACGACGAGAGCGCCGAAGAGGATGATGATGTGTATGATGAAGATGAGGAAGACGAGGGTGCCAGTCCGGCCGCTGCCGCCGTGTCGGACGGGGCTGCCGGCCAGGACGCAGACAAGGGCACCCGCAAGGTATCTGGTCAACTGCCTACTCCCGCAGAAAAGGCGGACGACACCCCTGCCAGTGCTGGAGGTGCCAACAGCGGCAGCGGCAGTGCTAGCAGCGGCGACTTCCCCGGCCCAGCGGCCCACGCCCCAACCGACTGCGGCGACTCAGCCACCCACTATGAGAAGGTGCTTGCCGATGAGACCATCCCAGCGCCGCTGGGAAAGGTCTTTTCGCTGCTGTTTGGCGCCGAGTCGGCCAACTGGATGGGTCGGTGGTTGACGACCGAGCAGAAGTGCACCGACCTGCAGATGGACGACAAGCGTGGGCTGTCGGAGGAGGTCAAGTCGCGGACGTACTCCTACATCAAGCCGCTGAACGGATCCATCGGTCCCAAGCAAACCAAGTGCATTGTTACGGAGCAGATTGATGCGATTAACTTTGAGAAAGCGGTCACCATTTCCGTTAGCACGCAGAACCCGGATGTGCCCAGTGGGAACATCTTCGTCGTCAAAACGAAGTACTGCCTTAGCTGGGGCGAAAACAATGGCACGCGTGTGCAGGTCAACTGCGCGATTGAGTGGTCCGGCAAGAGCTGGCTGAAGGGTAAGTCTTTCTGGTGCTTGTCCCCCCTTTTACCCTAACCCTATGCTAACCCTAACCCTACAGGTGCCATCGAGCGCGGCGCCAACGAAGGTCAGACCCAGTACTGCAAGGACTTGTTTGCCGCCCTGCGCGCCGCCGTCTCCTCCCGCTCACGCGCCGGCACCATGACGAATGGTCGGCCCGGCGGCAAGAAGCGTGGCGGCGCCGGAGGGCGCAAGAACAAGCCTGCGCCTAACGCCCTCCCCTCCGAGGCCGACTCGGCAACCGCAAAGAAACAGCCCTCCTGGGGCCCGCTCGAGCCCATCCGTCCTTTTGTTTCTCCAATTGCCGATGCTGTCAAGCCCATTCTCACCGGTAATGTTGTGTATGGTCTCCTAGTCGGGTTATTGGTTGCCTCCTGGTTCGGCTTTGGCACACTCCGCAGCAATACCCCCTCCGGCCCGCCCGGCGCGTACGACCCTGCTGCTGCGGCAGTGTACCTGTATCACCACTACCCTAACTATGCCCAGCGCGTCGCGGCGTACGATGAAATGTGGCGGAGGGAAGAGAGTGAATTGTGGGAGTGGATTGAGGAACGCGTGGGGTTGCCGGAACGGTTGGGGGGCGAGGGGCCGTTGAATGTTGGGTTGGGGTCCATGGAGGCGAGGAGTGTGGAGGAAAGGATAAGGGAGGAGAGGATGGATGAAAGGCAGTTGAGGGAGGCGATTAGGGTTACGGAGGAGAGATTAGGGGTGTTGAAGGGGGTTGTGGAAAGGCGAGCGGGGAAGAGGTAAGTCTGAAGGATTGTGTTGGGGTGATGGAGATGTTTAGTCTGACAGGGTGACGATTTACAGTGGCTCATTTCCTGTATGGGCAATGTGATCGTTCAGGGGATCCAATTGTGTTCTTGGTTTGGGTAAATGGGGCATGTTCGTTGTGGACTCTTGGTTCTGTTTGAGCCGTGTTGGCTGCTCTCGTTTTGTGCTTTGTCATCATCATCATCATCATCATCATCATCATCATCATCATCATCATCATCGGCTGGTTGGCGACTGGGAGTCTTTTTTTTTTTGTTTGTTTGTTTGTCTGTTTGTTTGTTTGTTTGTTTTCTTTTATTATGTGCTACTTTCTTGGTTGGTTTTGCTTAGGCTGGAGACTTTTCACTATGTACACGGAGAGAGCATTGCTGTGCTGAGGGGTTGATTTGTGATTCGCATTGAGTAGCATATACCTATTATAGATGCATTAAGGAGAGCAGGTCTCTGGTTTAGGCTCTGCCTCGTTTATATCACAGCTACCTTTCCTTTCGTTAATGAGAGGTTTGGCCATTTTCAGAAATTTGCCGCCTGCTGCACCATCTGCTAAATCCTCCCCAGAATTATTAAACCATTGCCCTGAAAACCACTAACCACTGAAAAGTCAGAAATAAAGAGTTTTCCTATATCCCTCAATCCGCAGATTTTGCCCCCCAAACCACATCCTCTTTAATTGTAACGACATTTGCGGTACAACGATACCACTCACGTACGACAACCCGGACGCTGCGATGATCCTAAAAGATCTCAGGGCTGACTTGACATCTACAAGAGTTAGTAAACTCAAGAGCTAGAAGCTGATAGGCGTGTGAGGTGATTGTCGGCTAGAAAGCTAGGAAGAAAGGAAGGCTCAATCCAACTAGAACCATTAGTTTCAAAGAGTTAAGGTGACTATAACGCTGGAATCTTGTGGGCACACTGTGTAGAATCTGATATTTCCGGGTGGCTTTTTTATATGTTTCTGCGGTGGAAAAGCCGATTACAGCTGGCCATCTCTGATGGTAGTCTGTCGGCTAATTGTCAGTCAAACTTATGTTGCGCACTCCAACTGCCCTTGCCTATACCACTGTCACGTTTATCATGCCAATCTGGCCCTCCTCCCCCAATTTTTTTCGTCGTAATTACCACCATTCATGAGCATCTTCTCCATTTGCAGCATCCTTTTCTGCATGAGCGCTGCACCCTTTAACTCTATCCTTATTGGAGGCTTGGTCGTTGCGTTTAGTACGACAGTTATGTCATCATCCTCAATACCCTTATCCCCAGTACTCTCCTCTTCAAATTCATCAACGAGTCTTATAGTATCGCACCCAGAATCATCGCCAACCTCTTTCCTAATATCTCTTCCCCCGGACTTATCAGCTTCTTCACCCTTGCTATCGTCCGTAGAATCGTCATCCGCTTCTTGATGATCAATTTCCCCCAAGTCTCTGGCTGGAAAAACATTCTGGTCAAAGTACTCATACCAGACCGTTCTAAATCCTCGCCTTAGGTCCTTTCGTCTCTCCCAGCTATGACAGTGGCAATTATCCTGAAACACGGCTATGGATACCGAGTTCTTGTCATCTTGTGGCTGCCCCATCTCTGATAAATCATTTGGGTTCGTCATCCGCACATGGATGAAAAAGTACGCTTCTCTAAAAACCCTTGCTCGTTCCACCGTTACCTTAATGGTGATTCCCTCGTCGACAGAGATTGTAGCTGTTTCTTTCCAAGGGTAATCACATGGGAGTCCCCGAGAAATATTGGAGAATTCATGTATATCAGGACACACTCCATCAGCATGTTTCAAGATGCACCATGGCTTGATCCTTCTGTGCTCGTCTAAGACAATTGGCTTATCTTGCACAGGTTCAACACCGCCCGTATACTGAATTCCAAAATTAAGCAGTGCTGTGCCGGTGTGTTTGGAACAGTTGGCATCTGTCAGCCCCACGACGTTGAGGTTGATCTGTGCCATACCTGAAATCATAATTTGCACTAAGAAATCGCTCATCCACCTCCAGGAACTATTGGGCGGAATCGGCAGCTTCCAGTAGTAATGATGGGTAGCAACATTCCACATGTTCCCTGGAACCACGGCAGCCACTGCTATGTCGTCGGGCTTTTGGAGAAAAGTTTATGATCGTAAGGAGTGGGGAATGATCCAGAAGAGGATGGTTCCTTTACGGAAAACCATCCGTTTCTTAACCTGGCGCTGGAGAGGAGCGCAACTCGGGTAATATGCTTGGATGCTCGCGTTGAGAATTTTGATGCGTTCCCACATCAGCTTCATACGGCCTTCGTTAGTCGGAGCTATGCGGACGTAATATCAGCGCTAGGGATACTGGTAATTTGTGGTTTCGGAAACAGGTAACACATTTGTGGAGCTACTCACCGTAATTTGAACGACCCGTAACCCCTAATCCTACATTTTCCTCAAGAGTTAAGACTGGAAGCATCTTGTAAACATCTTGCTTCGTTTTCCATAACGAATTGGAGATCAGTAATGCTGTTTAATAGTGTCTGTCGTGAATATAGCAGATCTTTCAATTTATGTAGGCTCCTCGAGATCCCTGAATCTCTTGTGATGAAACGAACATGGTCAGAAGAAACAAAGATTGTGGGAAAGGTGCCGGGGACCTTTCCAACCTGGCAGTTCAATATTCATAACATCCCCCCTCTAAACTGACGTACGCGCAGATAGCAGAAAGGCCACCGCAGTGTCGATACACTTCATGTTTCGTATCCTTCCCCCTGGAAGGCGAGTGAGTTGGGAGCTCACAGGCCAGATGTCTCCTGACAAGGCAAAACACTTGGGTGAAGGAGCGAGCCCCCTAAGACCCAATTGTAACGAGACGTCCTGTGTCAATCTCCAAGACAATACCAGGCCAGAATCTACTGGTCATCGGTAGCTTTGATTATCTCTTGTTAGAGTCGAAGGAAGGCCTTGCTCCCCTCACCGTAAAGCAGTGGCATGTTGACGTCAAACAGCCCTAACAAGCAGTATGCCTCGTCTTGCTTCCTTGTTGTTTCTCGTTTCGAGGCCCAATACTTTTTTTTTTGCAACACCAAGACGGCTAAGTGGCATAATACCCGCAAGGACACAGTGGTCGACCAAACTAGCTTCGGATATCAGAGAAAGGTAGTCATCGTGCTTGGTGCCTGAATATTTCCAATCATTCGTATAGAACTCAACCCGTTGTGTGGCGATGAGTTCCTGCAACGTCAATCCAAAGATAATCGTACCCTTGTTTTCCTGCAAGCTCACAGGACCCTTCAAGTTTCGAATAGCCTGCTTTCTCCCGGACTCGAGACAGGTCGGTCATGTCGATACAGAAAATCTCTTCCTTGCCCCAGGTGTGCGATAGAATGGCGTAGAGAGGGGCATCAGAACCCGATAAACTCCTCTAAAGTGATCGTTCGAGTGTTGATCAGCCTCATGGCTTGGAGCTGTGGTGCGTTCAGGGGTTGAAGGAGCCTTGAGCAGATCTGGGAGCTGGCAGCACAAGATTTTTCGTTAGCCTACTTGGTAAATTGTGTGCTTGAATGTCGAGTGAGGGGTCAAGAGGGAGTTGGGAAGAGAGGTAGGTTATGTGCCAGACATTTATTGGATCCAACCAACCTTCAGGGTTAATAACGTTAGCGTAAGCCACAACACACGTAAGACGCTATATTGGGCCAGCTTGCACTGCCCAGATTGTGTGACCAGCCCAACTTATCACCATTAGTATACCTATCCAAATCCTGGATCTTGACTTATCGGGAGATGCCTGCGCCTGGACACATCATGCTCGAAGAGCTGGATGAAGACAGCCTAAGATGCCTTATGTGAAGTGCAAAGACTTAGAAGTGGGAAATGATCGAAACAATCGTTATCATGTATTACCGACAATATAAAAGGCGTTATTATCTTGTTCTGAGGGTCATCTGGGCCAATTGAGACTAATCAAATGACAGATCACATTGCTATCAAGGCTCGCTCTTAGTCTGGTAGTGCGTAGGTAGGCGGGTGATCGCCGTGGGCCGGAACAGTAAGGTAAGAACCAAAACGGATTTATCACAAGCTCTCTCAGTCTCTTATATGGCAATTGGCTTCTTATTGCTTACTGGCCTGAATATGTTGCGGTCTTGAAGATTTTGATACGCTCAATGGCATAGGAGAAGGGGTTTGCGGCCGGGACTGTGCAGAGTTTGACTCTGTTAGAATCTTGCCATTTGCCACGCTCAATCTAAGCTGTGATACTCACCTCCATATGAATCGTCGTTTTTCTCGATGGGCTCTTCTTTGAAGACTTTTGGCGATTGGCGACGGTCATCCAAAGCGTTTCTTGAGGTAATCAGGGCTGGATTGGAGGATTCGGGGAACACTCCCAGAGGGGGAGCTTTTCCCTCGACCTCCAGATAAATATTTGTTGAAGTGACTTCATCAGGCTGCATATACCTGGTTCCAGAAGCCTCGTCTACTAGAATAATCGGTAGTGTTCCTGGTATTTGCCCCATTTGGCAATTCAGAAGGACCCGTTTAAGTTCAGGAGCCCCACTGTCTCCAGCCATTGATTTCTTATCAATCAGGGCAGAAAACTCAACGGCACCACCAACACAATCCATATTGCGCAGCCTTTTTTCTGGAGGGTCAAAGAACAGGGAGGTTAGGGGCCATATGTCTCTTGACCGTGCGAAGCATCGAGGGGAGGTTGCTAGGACTGTCGGTAGCGTGTTGGTGAAGTTTCGTCTCATAGCTCTCAGCTCTTCTGGATCGAAGCAATACCACGCTAGGACGGACTGGTCGTCTGTCGCTTTCATGATCTCTTGTTGTAACCGAATAAAGGCCTTCTTCCCTTCCCCGTATAACAGAGGCATATTGACATCGAATATGCCAAGCAGACAGTATGCTTCGTCCTCTTTCCTGGTTGTGTAGCGCCTCGACGCCCAATACATCTTCCGAGCAACGCTGATCCTGTCAAGCGACACAACACCAGCAAGCACACACTCATCGACCAGGCTAGCCTGCGACAGAATAGAACGGAGGATATCGTCGTGTTTCTCACCAATATAGACCCATCGTTTATCGTAGAACTCCACGCGCGTCGGGGCAATAAGCTCCTGTAGGGTCCAACCACGGGTAAACCAACGGCTGTTTCGAATGTCGTCAAGCCGATGATACTCGACATCACAGAGGTAGGCGTAGCAGACAGCAAATTCTGCGTACCAGCGATACATGCTGTTGATGGCCTCCGATAACTCCGCACTGCTAGACTTGTCGATGCAGCTGGTGTCTATCCAGATCCAGTGGTATCCTTGTTTCAGTGCCAGTTGACATGCCGCCTGCAGTTTGACGAATCCTGCTTTTTGGTGTGCCAATGAGACGTTTTGCATGTCGGAGAAGAGGACCTCTTCTTTCTCCCATGTATGCGAGAGTATGGCGTAAGGAGGTAGGAAGCCAAAAAATTCCTTTACTTGAAGGGTCTCTGTGTTGAGGAGTCTCATAGCTGGTAGTCTCCTAATCTAAGACGCAATGGATATTTTGACAGCTTACTGAAAGGAATCTTTCAACTGAGCAAGGATCTGACGCGTCTTCAAATGTGGTACTAGATGTAACGGGTGTTGGGGTCCGAGACTCGACCTTGGAGCAACATGAAGAGCGGAGATGCATGGTAAGCCTGTCAGAAGCGCCATGCAGATACAGCTCTGCAACATCCCACGCTGAAAGCCCTTCCAAGATTTTGAGAGCTGGAAGCGAACACAGCCCAAATGTTGCACAACAGCATTTGCCCGCACTTGTTTCCACGTAGAATGCTCTCGACCGTCTCTAGTCAAGCATGGCTTGATTGAAAGCTAGCGTTGGCGCCAGAGGTAGCCAAACCTGAGGTTAGTACAGCGATTGCAGCTCGATCTTTTCGATCCTCTCATGAACTGACCAATCTGAATTGCTCAGTATCTAAGTCTTTGTGCACCAGCTTATAGTGTTGGCGTGCCCCCATTGCATCAGTTGGAAGACAGCATTTTTGGAGCCCAACACCAAGACTTGAGGAGCCCAACGGCCATTTTACTTGAACTAACGGCTGATCGGTGTAGAGGTTAATGATTTGTGGCATACTTGGTGAAACTGATTAGACAATAGGAAGGAACAGGATCAGGTGGCTGGCTTCTTGGCCCCGGTCAGCTGGGTTCCAGCTTTCCAAAAGGTCACGTGCCACTCACCTTTCGTGCATAACCCCTAACTTTTACCGCTGAGCAATACCCTAATGGCAGATAAGCTCCCTGTCTCGCGACGTGCTGAGCAACCGACAGCCAAGCCAACTAACTCTGCCTCTGATACAGAGAATTTCTTCACGGTTTAAATAGTGAGACGCCCTGGAAACCGCTCTAAGACCTGTAGTGGCCTGTCCACAGCGTGATTCACTTGAATCGAGCCATGCTAGGTTACTGTGGTGATGGGCTGGATTTGTTTACTTACCCCTGAGTGGCACGTATGAAGTTGTGATAGCAGAACCCAGACCACAACATACAACCTTCATCATGAAGCTGACATGATAACTTTCTTGTGTCCTTTTACAAACGGCCAGAAAGATTGTCTTTTGAGTGACAAAATGCCAACTCAACCACAGGTGCACAGTCTGCAAAACATGGTGAAACCATCAGGACAACTTGCTTGGACTGTCTTTGATGAGATCAAAGGTCGTCCCGGTGAAGCTGGTTTGTCAACTGCTTCACCTACATTGGACCTGCTTATTGCTCTCCACGTTGACCATGATCCCTTGGGCGTTGAGAGAACGCATAGCTGTCTGGTTAAACATACGCACCACAGCTAGCCCCTGAACACATACCTTGACGTGGCGGAGCGTGCAAGGCTTTTGGGCTTCTTGTCAGCATCTCACTCATTGCCTCGATGGCATGGATATACGACAATAAAAATACATTGGGTAAAGCCGCCCTAAATCTGCCTTAGTCCCTGGACAAGTGACTCAAGAATGTAGTAGTCGAATATTCATCACCAAGCTTCCCGAAGCAGAGTTCGGTTGCAGTCCATGCCATTAGAATTTTTGAAAGTCGGTTCTACGTGGTCGCCGCGTGCACCTCGCCACAAACCATGTGATTTTCCTCCCCAGACATGTCACCGACTTCACGGAATCCTGCACTGTCTACTCGCACACTTCCAGCCTTACTATTGTCATCCTGCTAAAGAATAGTGCTGTTATTGTGCCCCTCGCCAGGTGGTCCGTGTGTCATGCACAGCGCCAGCCCACATTCCCCCACGACCAACTTTTTAAATTTCCTCCCCTACTCTGACCTTCTTTTTCTTTTCCTTGCGCAGTTGCGCGGTACCAATTTGTCACGGTCACTACCAGCTTGGGCAATTGTGGTCGCCCAATTGTATGCACCGAAACCATTCTCTCTCATATCCCATCGAGCTACTTAATCCCAATCACCAGATCAGCTCAGCCATTCCGTGTGCTTGCGCGCTTCCTTTCTTCTCTCCTTGCCGGTCTTTTCTCCGGTTGTTAGTTTTTCTCTGCTCTCTCGTCTTGGGTTGCAAGCCCGGCCAAGCTTAGATACAGCTTCTGTAGTCTCACCCAGCCAGGTAAGCATTCATCCCACTGCATCCACAGCGATGCATTGGTCAAGATCAAACAATATTCTGAGCATCCCAAGTCGGTCACTTGGTGAAGCCATACACCCGAGAGCCTGAGCAACGCAAGTCATGATGGCTTTGGAGCAACAAGATGAGAGACACCCTGAGAGCCCTAAGCCCTCGCTTGTTGAACCCATGAAGCTCGCAATCAAGTGAGCATATGAGTCGCCTTGGTCTCGAGTCAATCCAGCTCGCAACAACCCAACAGCCACAAGCCCTCACTCATCAATGGTAAAATCAGTGAGAGGCCTGCAGTAGTCACACCTGCCTCAAGCAAGCAACTGACAGATTCAGGTAGCGACCCTCATCACTCATTCACATAAAGTCCAATGAGCGACAAAGGACTGTTGGTTGTGAAGTCAACAGAATGAGTGACACTGAACAAGCTTCAAGTGCAGTGCTCATCAAGTCGAGGCACTGATTCAAGCACTGGGTCGTTGCCACCTCAAAGATGTCACAGTCCTTCAAGCCTCAATTTCACGGTTAAGAATGCAGTCTCAAAGTTCACGCTAAGTTTCCTTTCGCACGTTGCAGCAGATGCATAAAGAACAGGCTCTCAGGGTCGTCATTGTTAAGCTCCCCCTTTTGAGATCTGGCTGTCGTCCATTGGACGCTCTCTGCAAGACGGGTGACATTCTTGCAGCGATCTATCCTGCTGCTTCACAGACATCCCCTGCTCCTTGCATGCTTCAGTTGAGTTTTCACGACATGTTCCTTTGCTGACGTTTGTCTTGGCCCCCTGGTCAAAAGTCTTCTTGATTTTCTTTTTTAGGCCGCAAAAGTAAAGGTCAGCACCACTGGTCTGAGCTTGCCAACAACATGCCGGTAAGGGATGGTCGGAACTTTGACCTCCGCAAGGAGGTGGTGCTTGCACAGGCCGCCAAGACGCTGTGCGAAGGTGAGGAGACGGCTGGCCGCCCTGGGCCTTCAAGGCACGGCCAGTTCCAGTCGGCTTAGGAGGTTGACTGGATCTCGCTAGACCCCGGGGAGCCTTCGCCTCTTTCTGCCCTGGCGGGACTGGAAGAGGACTCTGAGATCCCGCCGGAAGAGGGTTTCTTTGCCTTGGCTTTCGCGGCCACCAAGGCTGCGAGACAGGCTCCAGTCTTCGGCGTAGAGGAGCTCTCCTTTTCTCTGCCTCGGGGTTTTACTCCCGAGAGCGAGAAAAAGACCTCTCTTGCCCCCGCGGAGGCCGCTGATGCGGTCTCCACCGCTCGCAAGAACCAGGGAGATGTCAATGACATCGACCATGCGATCAACAACCAGGGCCAGCCCGGTCACAATCTTCGCTTCGAAGACTTGCTGTTTGCTGGTATGGGTGTTGGGGGCGCAGACTTCGCGGTTCCTGCATGGCTGAGCAATGGTAGCGACGCTCAAGTGAGTGGCGTCGCAGGCACCGAGCTCGTGCCTACATGCTTGAATTGGCCTGTGGGAGGGCCGATGATCGCAGCCGGTCTCCTTCTGGATGAGCAACTGGTGCCAGTCACTCCTGAGCTGGTGCCCCAGCCGATGGCGGGTCAGATACCGTCCAAGAAGAGGGAGTCCCCCATGGGCAAGTTTTGGCTGGATTTTGGCTCAGATGATGAGCTCGAGCCAGTTGGCCCAAGCACGATGGTACGTTTTCTGTTCCGACTTCCTCTACTTTCTCGGGTTTTTATTCGCCCTTTGTTGCCCCCCACTGGTCGACTTCCCTCGGTTTATTCTTGCACTGTTCTGTTGTTTCTCGCTGGCCAGTTCTCTCTTTCCTCCTTACTTTGCTCCGCCATTCGCAGGAAAACTGCAGTGCTGACGTGAAGATGGCGCTCGTTCAGAACACCCAGTGGAGCGAGCTGACCGACGCGATGAAGTATGCAATCGCATATGATCTCTCGCTTGAGTATGGCCTAGGCAATGCAATTAAAATTCTCGAGTTGACGCGCGACGAGGGTGTTCAGCTCCTCGAGCTCATCGTTGCTGAGAGAAGGAAGATGATTAGGGCCGCCGAACTCCTCAGGGACGACAAGATTTTCCTGCCTCACCTGGCGAAGATGCCAGAGATTTGGCCAGTCTTCGAGCGCATCACTAAGCGCGAAGTTCGTGCGGGCAAAGCGTTCCTCATCTCTAAGGACCTTCGTGCCTTTGCTGATCGGCTGGATGATTGGTACGGAATCTGCAAGCGCTGGGTCGACATTCAGTACACCGCGGAAGAGGAAAACGCGATCCGTGGCCTCGATGGACTTAGAAACAATGCTCGGTCGCAACAAAGCAGCATCGGCACCAGCAACCAGGACCGACTTTCTCAACCGACTTTCAACGCCGCCATCTCTCAGCTGTCGATACACCAGCAAGTGAATGCCGAGGCCTTTGATCGAGTCGACATTCCTCCTAGCGCCATTTACCCGCCGCCCCTAAACCATCCGGCCAATGCTCAGCCTGGCAGGATTTTAGACGAGAAGACGACGTGGCAGCCGCTCGGTACCCAGGGTCACAGGCCCCTTCATCCCAACAATTATGGCTACGCTGCTCCCAGCGGTAGCCGTCAATCCGTCTTCGACAAAACCCCGCGGCCGGTGAAGGTCGGACTTGAAAGGCAGGACCTTCAGGCGCCCCAACACCTAGACAACTTCGGGTACCTCGTGATGGGCATCTCTATTAGTGGTTATCAAACGGAGATTCCTGATAACGGCAAGGTTAAGGCCGCGACCGCCTCTTAGGAGCAGGACGGTCAGGCATCCTTCCAGCAGCACAACCAAAACATCAACTACCCGGCTGTCAACCTGAACGAGCCCACCCATGAGCAGGCTACTCTTGCCTCTCTGGCCAGCGACCCCGTTTTCCAGGCGCAGTCTCCGCCGCCTCAAGGTCTCAATGCCGATCTTCAGAACGAGGTCAGCGATATTCTAGCCAGACACAAGGAAGCCGACTTTGAAGAAGTTGAAGAAGATGATGACGAGTACAGCCTCATGGACGAGAAGCCCCAGCCGAGAAGGTCCGGACGTCCTCCCAAGCCCAGGCGAAACAAGGACGACGGAGACGAGGACTGGATCCCGAAGAAAAGGGTCAAAAAGAACGTGCATAGCTCTGCCGGTCCAGCTACTAGGGCCTCTGCAGGTGCGGCTGCCACTTTCAATAACCAGACCAACACCTCCGCCACTGGCCGACGTCGCGGCAGACCTCCCAAGAAGAACTTGACGGCGTCCCTGACCGGTCTCAGCTTAGCTTCCGCACCTCCACCTAGCACTGCCCAAGCTAAACAGTCCGGCGACGCTTCTATCCAGAAAAACCCTCGCAAGCGTGTTGCTCCCGCTGACGAAGAAGATGACGATGACGCTGATTTTGATAGAACGAAGTCTCGTCGCAAGTACACTCAAAGGCCCCAGGTTGATGAAAACCGAAATCCCATCGCGTACCCACGCAAGCCTTATATGTCGGACCCGAACCAGCTGATGCAGTCGTCTGAAGGGGAGTTCATTACCCGTGGCGACTTCGAGAAGCGCTTCAGGCCGTCGGAGCGGAAGTATCGTCCAGGTGGTGCCAAGGGTGGTGGCGCATATGTGATCCTCAAAACCGGCGTCGTATGGGAGTTCGTCAAGGGCAATCAGGACCATTCTAGAAGGGTTGAGCGTATGCGCCAGAAGACAGTCGAGGCCCAGAATCAGACGCAACAACAGAACAACAACTTCTTTCGTTCATATGGCACTCCTGCCCCTGGTGACCGGGCGCAGAGTATCGCAGCTTCTTCGACGAATACCCCAATTGCTCCTCAGCGTGCAAGCATCCTCGTAGCTCCGACTGTCGGTGGCTTGAACAATATGACCCGCTTGCAAGGCAGTGTACCTGCTCTCGGTGAGAGTGCTCCCATCATCAGCTCGATCCAGCCTATCATGGGCAACAACTGTGCCAAAATTGATGACCGCGATATCACCCCTTATCCGCGCACTTTGGCCACTCCAGCGACCACTCCTGGTACCTCCAGCCAGAATAGCCAGTCCACTGATGCTAACGAGCTCCATGACCGAGCAGACATGGATCTGGACCGTGACATGATTGACAACTGAGCTGTGCTGAAACTTCGAGATTTTTGCGATAACAGCTCGCGAGCGGTGCTCAAATTCACCGACATCGACATCACGTCGTTGTTTGAGCAACATAAACGTTGCTTCCACCATTACGTGGGCTTGAATTCGAGATCGCAAAGGACAGTGGCATCAATCGACATCGACTTGATACCGTGATCAAAATCCTGACATAAAGGCTCACTCGATACATCGTCTTTATTTATTCTTCATTGCCTGTTTTCGATTTGCGAATCATTTGGACGATGATCGATATCGACATGGTGTCGGCATCTTGAGACTCGACATCTAGCTGATTCGGCCAGTAATACTGACATTAATTTCGAGCTTTGATTGTTTGTTATATGCACGGTACATAGTTTGAGCTTCGTCTCTCTGAGAAGCAGATATGAGAGCCATTTTAACTTGTCATGGATGGCATGGGAAAGAACTGTGGAGAAGCGTTTGCTGACAGGAAGGGTTCCGGAAAGGGGAACATTAAGGCCCTTGCCCTTAATTGAGTTGGGGCTGGGAAGTATTCATGGGGAGGATTGAGCCTCTTGAACCCTAGGTATTGCGCCACCTTGTGGCATATGTAAGATTAACGTTAACCCGAAAATTGAGCCCCAGTTTTGCTAAGGTCGAGGTTCCCGTTGGTAACATTGTGAAAATTGCTCTATCCTCTGTTAAGGACTCAAGAGGGGCTGGTTCTGTGCTCATTGTGTTAGGCCAGGCAACAGATAATGCAGGTAAGGAGCTTGATGACGGCTGAGATGTCACATCAATGATCAGGATGTCCTGAGACTAATACGTGCCTTAAAGGACAGGCAAATGACTGGGGAGAGAATTGTGTAGCAGTTGGTGGAAGTTGGAGGTTTGTCTGGTGCTTGCACATTGATGAACACACACGTGACCCGGCATGTCAAATCGTGGGTTTGGGGGCAGCTGCATTCATTCAGGGTTAGGGTTTTAAGTTCTGGTGGGTCATTTCAGAACTCTAGACACACAGTGTACAGTGCGAAGGCATACAGTCAAGGTGGTTAGGAGGTTGCGTGACACAGGAGAGGTCATCAGGGATACAGCAACATCATCAACCTTATCCCAATCCGACCACTCCCCTGAGCATCCAACTGCCTGGCGGCAGGATTCTGAACTCATTACCGGTGTCGCCACTTCTAACAGCACCACTTAAAACGTTTCCTTGGATAGCATAATCGCCGCAAGCCCGTCCCTAATATCCTAACTCCGACCTTCCCCCTTTCAGTCCAATAACCACCTCACCGACCCGATGGCCCCTCGTATCGAGCAACAAGAAATCGAGACATATTGGAACATATTCTCAGCCAGAGCCAATGGCGGAAAGTATCTAACTGGCGAGCAAGCTGCGCCAGTCCTCAAAAACAGTGGATTGAGCGACGCCCAGCTGGAGAAGGTGTGGGACTTGGCGGACGTGGACGGCGATGGCAACCTGGACTTTGAGGAGTTCTGCGTGGCCATGCGCCTCATCTTCGACCTCCTGAATGGCGAGTACACCGATGTGCCAGCTACGCTGCCGGACTGGCTCGTGCCGGAGAGCAAGGCACACTTGGTGCAAGCTAGCCGGGCACTCACGGGCAAAGCGCCTCAGATCGAGCGGGTCGAGGTCGACGATGACGACTCGTCTGGTCTGAAGGATGGCTTTGACTGGTACATGAGCCCAGAGGACAAGGCCAAGTACGAGCAGATCTACAACGAGGCCCGCGACATGCGCGGCGAAGTGTCATGTAAGCCTTGACTTGCCCCTAAGTAACCCCAAAATAGCCCCTGACCGCCAATCCCACAGTCTCCTCCCTCCAAGAACTCTACGACTCCCTCTCAATCCCCGACACGGACATTCGCTCAGCCTGGAACCTGGTCAACCCGTCAGCCGCGCAAACGATCAACAAAGATGCTTGTCTCTGCTTCCTGCACATCCTCAACAACCGACACGAAGGGTACCGCATCCCGCGCACGATCCCAGCCTCACTGCGTGCCAGCTTTGAGCGTAATCAAATCGACTACCAAATTAATAACGCACGCACAGCGGCCGCTTCGCGCTGGGCGACCAAGGCCGACGACGAGACAAGCACGGGCCGCAAAGCGAAGTTCGGTGAGCAATACCTGACCCGGTTGGGTCGCGGCACGTTCAAAACTTCGGGCACCGATTTCAGCGCGGCTAAGACGGACGCAGAGTGGGAGGAGGTGCGGTTGAAGAGGCAGTTAGCTGAGTTGGATGAGAAGCTGGCCAAGGTAGAACAGGCTGTGGAGAAGCGTAAGGGTGGGAAGCGTGACTCGAAGCCGGCGCTGGTCAAGCGTGAGCTGGAGCAGCTGCTGGATTACAAACGAAAGGTGCTAAGGGAGCTGGAAGAAGGCACAGGGAGGGGTAGGGAGGGGAGTAATTTGAAGAGTGTCAGAGAGGATTTGCAGACGGTAAAGGAGCAGGTCGAGAGCTTGGAGGCGCATCTGAAGTCGCGACAGGAGGTATTGGAGCAGTTGAAGAGGGAGATTGAAGAGGAGAAGGCGAGCAGATGATACCACGAAGACTAGCTGGCTGGCTGGCCGCTTGTTCGCTCGCTCCGCTGGGGAAGTTCAAATCAAACTATTTCTCATTACCTATTAAAAGCGCCTGGAGGTATGAACTACAGCTTGAGAGCAATACAAACCAAACGGCGGAGAATCGCCCTCAGGACATACGGATCAATGTATTCGTTGTCATAATCGTCATTATTACCACCTCCCAAACCCTGTACCATCCGGCCCTTACGCAGCCTTCCCGTTAATATAGCCCTCCGCAAACTGCATTCCCAACGTCTTCGACTTGACCATCTTCACCATACCCCTGAACAGTTTGATCCCCCCGGCACGGCCGACACCACTATTGGGGCCAATAGCGCAGGCAAACACGTCCAGGGGTGCCTTAAACACGGCCGGAAGCTTGCCCTCCTTCTTCGACCCATCCGCCAGGATGGCATACTCCAAATTCTTGATGACAACCGTGGCCTGCTTCTGCGCAATAAAGAAGCCTGCCCGCGGCTTGCTGATGATGTCGCCGAGCGCCCAAACGTTCGTGGTCTCCTGCACGCGGAGATAATCATCGACACGCACAGTGCGGTAGTTGAGATTCTCCGAGTCGAGATAGCGCGGCGGGATGTACTCAGTATTCGGGATCAGGCCGTGGGTCGGCAAGTACAGGTCAGTCGTCAGGGTCTCGCCCGAGGCGAGCGTCAGCTCCATCTTGTTGGCGCCGCCCTCGCCGGTCGTCTGTTGCACTGTCTGGACGCGCGCATTGTACTGGATCTGCACTTTGAGACTCTTTAGTTCCCTCTCGGCCGCCTTGGCAATGCTGTCACCGCCCAACAAGCTGTCGGTTGCTGACAGCAGCACGATGGTCTTGTTCTTGCCGTAGGCATCGCCCAGCTCGCCGGCCAGCTCAACACCTGTCGCGCCGGCACCTGCAACAACGATATGGCTGGCCTCCTTGGCGCGTTGGGCCAGGGTATGCAGCGTGTTGACGGTCTCCTCGTAGCCACCGAGTGCCTTCCATGGCATGTCAGGCGCAGCGGCACGCGCGCCGGTTGCCAGAACGAGCTGGTCATATTGAATGGTACGGACGGAGCCGTCGCTCGCGAGCTTAACTTCAACGGTCTTGTTATCGAAATCGGCAGAGGTCGCGGTGCCGATGATCAGCTCGCGCTTCTCCTCGGGATAGCGAGTCAGGGCTGGCTCGATGGGCTTGAAGATCTGCTCATCCTTGATCTTGCCGTCGATAATGGCGCGGACGGAGGCCAAGTTCCAGTACAGGTGGGTCATCTGGGTCTTATTAGCATCTGGGTGACTAAAGAAGACAGCCAACTGTAAGGCACATACCTTCGAAACCAGAACGACCTTGATCTTGCCATCAAGCTTCTTGTTTTTGAGCAACCCGTGGGCGACGTGGAGCCCCGCAAGGGAACCTCCCAAAATGAGTACCGTCTTGACCATCTTGAGCAGTGATAAGGGGCAAGGCTGTATGTATGTTGACTTAAGTAAACAAACGGACGACCGCGAGCCTGATGAACTAGCGTAGGAGAGAAGGAAGATGTTAAGACCCGTCGAGGCGATACAAAATAAAGCCAACCCTGAAATCAAAACCTCCGGCAGGAACTGGGGGTCGCAACTGCGGCTGCAGTGTAATTATATAGTCGATCTCAGGGCCTCGCACTAATGCCACAGCAACCACAAGTGGCCAATGCTTGGGATGCTTCTAAGGGAGCGTCAGTGCTCCCCAACTTGCCCGGGAGCTTGCAGCTGTGTGCGTGCTTGCGCAATAGCCCTGGACTGTGCGACGGCGTGCCGCCCATCGTTCATCTTTTTCAAGCCACTCTCTCAGCTTCCATGGCTGCACTACTGTGGTGAAACGGCGGGCACGGCATGGCGCCGTTCCCCTACTCAAAGCCCAACTATCGCCAACTGCAGGTGCATGAGCGACACTTTGTTTACCCTATTCGGGCCATGATGACACTAAACTGAAAGTTCTAAGCTGCCTAGCTCACCAGTCACGTCCCCGCAAACCAGAGAGTGATGGGGCAGGCTGCCATGCGTGATCCGTGGCACAGCTTGTCACTGGCTGCACTGCGGTTCTGGGGACCACCAAAGCAAAGCTCAATGCCACAAACCGTCCTCTGACGGCAGGTCAAGCATCAAATCCTTGAGATAGCATGCCCAGGTCCGGGGGGCTCGCTGGTGATCTAAGGCCCGAGCCGCTGAGGGCCCACGGCCGATCCACCAATCACTGTTTCAGGCACAGGTAAAGTGGCTTGTTAATTGAGATCGCGCGCGCTAACCGAATCTGGCAGAGTCTGACACCTTGCAGAGGTGCTGCAAGCAAGAGGGGAAAAAGCTGGACGTATTGAGTGATCAGCAGCGTTCAAGCACATGAAGCTGGATATCTACAAAAAATAATCACCCTCGGGACCGAGACACAGCACTGCACCACTGTCAGCGTCAATTGTGTCCGGGACCACGGCTCACGGCACACGGCAGCGGAGAGATCGTCTTGGTATGCAGCCGTTGGTCAATGTCTTGGAAAATGTTAAGCCTGCATGCATATCAGCGTCTGATAATTGCCAATGTTCATCTCAAATAGATCCCATCTTAAGTAATCAATTTCAATCATCCAAACCCCGATCACAAAGGGTCCTGACAATTGCTGTGTCTCCCAGTCTCATCAGTTTCCCTTTCAAACGTAGAATCATCGTGCCAGCCTTGGCAGGTGGGGAGAGATGCTCCACGCGTGCCTGAGGCCGACCGAGCTACCCCGCGCCCCGCGTTGCCAGTGCCGGGTGACCTGACCCCGCCGCCGAAACTCCTGCCTGTCCCAACAAACAGTTGCTCCATTCTCAACATCTCCTTCAAAAGCACGCGTAAACGCCCCGACGAAAATCCCCAAACCTTCAACCACAAACCACCAATTTCCCATACCCAGGTCAAATAGACACCACGTTCACACAAAATCACCAAAATGGTTGCCCAGAGCGAAGCTTTCAAGAAGGCCATCGTCGACTCCAAGAAGCTGACGTCTAAGCCGTCCACCGATGATCTCCTCGAGATCTATGGTGCGCAATCCTTTCCGCTTTGTCAATAGCTAACTATTACTGACATATTCTACGCAGCCCTCTACAAGGTCGGCAACGGTGAAGACTTCTCAAAGGCCCCGCAGCCCGGCATGTTCGACCTGAAGGTTCCGTCTCCCCCTGAATGCTCCCTCGGCCGGTCAAACTGAAGACTAACCCCCCTCACTTAAACAGGGCAAGGCCAAGTACAATGCCTGGAAGAAACTTGTTGACGACGGCCTGACTCCCGAGGAGGCCCAGGAGAAGTATGTGGCCAAGGTCGAAGAGATGAAGGCCAAGTACGGCTACGACGAGAACAAGGAGCCCGAGGCTGTCGGCGGCCAATAAGGGGTTGAAAATCTCATTGTACTCTGTTGGGCGGTAGGGGTGGTGAAATCCTCTATTTGTTACTACTATTATTACTCCCCATCTATTTGACGGGAATTACGAGACGACCTGGTTTCGTATGCAACTCCAAGGAAGTAACCCGTTCTGTCTGAGAATTTCTCTCCCCATGATTCAAGCGATGGTGTCATGAGTTGATACTATAATTACTGTTCAGCCTTCCAGGCTTAAAATAGCAACTCAGCAAAACCCGCTCTAGAGCAAACTGACTGCACAAGGTGCATGGACGACATCAACCCCCTATTCTACCCGCCACACCTGCCCCATCCAGTCAGGTTCCTCATGGTTTGTCGTAGCTACCCACGGCACTTCTGCATTGTCATACGGCTGCAATGGCAGGCTATACGGCATCCTCAGTGCCACGGTAACCTTCCCCTCCTGTTCTGTGAATTCTCCTCCTCTAGAATCGCCCAGATTATCCGTCATGAATGTCGCCTTCATCGCGGCGTCCTCTCCCCATAGCTCAGGCCAAACGAGCACGCCTATCTCATACGACGCGATCCGCACCTCCCGGTCTCCGCTTGACGCGGTCGACTTGCCCTTACTGCCCCCTGGTGCCGACGCCGCTTCTCCCCAGGCCTGCTTGGACAGGTTGGCTGAGGTCAACAACGCCCAGTCGATCGTCTGGTGCGACTTATTGCCGTAACGAATGTAGGTCTTGATATGAGGGGCAGCACGCTTACGACCTGAGTCAAGGACGGCAGATTTGTCTATGGCTGTGTTGTGTCAGCACGTCACCAGCACTAAATGGCAGAAAACCAGCTTGCCTGCGCCGTTTGCAGAGTCATTAGCCCAATGGCAAAACATAGGCCGCAGGTACTGCAGCTGCTTGACCTGCTGAGGCGACTGGATCTTGGTGTGAATCGAGCCGCCTGAAGCATAGCCATCTAAGGACTTGCGGATCTCATCTGCTGTCGGGAAGATCACCTTGAACGAAGGGGGTGGCTGTGAAAGGCTAACCCCTCTCCCGCCGCTGAGTGCCCGGGAGAAGGTGTTCTTGAGCCAGTTATCCGTCGGCCCCAGTGTCGCGATCGATGAGATCTGGATCGCGATTTCTGCTTGTTGGTGCACCGGGACTGTTTTCAGGGCCTGCTCCATGGCTGCCCATCCCCAGCGTGTGGGCGAGGAGTCATTAAGCTTATGCCGGCCTGGTACGCTGGCAATGAGAGCACCCTTGACTTCGGAAAAGTCAAACCGCATCAGCTTTTCAATAATAGGCTTACAGGTCTCCCTGCCGCGGGAATCATAAGCACGGAGGTAGTTCAAGAGATCAACCTTGAACTTCGCTCCGCTCCCCGGCTTCGCCTCATGGACGTTCTCCTGCTGGGAAGGGCCCTTCATCAGCGGCAACCAAGGAGACATCCACACAGCCTGCGTCATATTAGTCCAATCTCTGACAATCATGTTCGCCGTGTGGATGACGATCCTCGCGGTGTCGTCATGTCGCAGAAGAATCATCATCTTGGAATGGTGTGTGCCAAACATCTCGGGCATGTAAGCCGCATGAAGCGCCACATTAGGGTACCGCGCCGCCTGCTCGTGCAGGGTCACCCGTGACAAGTCTTCGCGCTTCCAAAAGCCGTGGACCACATGGACTTTCACGAGATGACGTGTGTCCTCATCGAAAGCAGACATCAGGAAGTCGATGTCATGCATGTAATTGAACTCCCAGCATTCTGAGATTAGGGGATCGCCCAGCAGGTCCTTCAGGGTTACTGTGTCCTGGTTGAGATTAGCAGGAAGGTCCCGGATACGGGTCAGACGGAAGGGTGAGGGAATTGATTTTGGGAATGAGAACAACTGCATTCCCGCTGGTCTGTCACTGTCTGTGGATAGTGGTGTCTCCAGCCGGCGTTTCTTCAGCGGCGGACTGATTGGATGGGTGAGGGACCTGGGAGGCTCGCACACCCTGGATTCATCGCCGTCTGGCGCAGTCCGTTTTTCTGAACTCATAGCGTTTCCGATTCATTGAACAGCGATTCCAGAACTAATGTATTGCTTTAATGAAGCATAAAGTATGGGCGCAAAGCTGATATGTTAGGGGTTGTTGCCCTGCCGCCGTCAATGAAAACGGCAGGTGCGGTTATCATAGTGAGTCCAGGGTTGGGGTTGACCCTTGGATGAGGATCCTGAAATTTACCCGAGGGTTAGGTCCACAGCCATGGTGAGCCATCGGTGAGCTCGGTATCTTTTCCTATGGCATCCCAAAACCGGCGATGAAGAGTCTTTCAATGCAGTCTCATAGCAACCTGTTCCATCCCGTGGGTGCTGCGAAACACACAAAATGCAGCCCTGGATCCTCTAAGGGCCTACTCTGGGATAGCTCATAAGTTGCGACCGCTGGCCACAAGCACAGCTGCCGTTGATAGCCGGCCTACAATATAAATCTGCAATATTTGACTGATCGGCCTGATCAAAACACAGCCGGCATGGTGTCCTACACGCAGCATCCAGTGTTGCACAGCAGGCTAGGAAAAGAGGCAAAGACAGAGCCATGGAGGGGGAGACGTCCAGAGAGACTCTCAGGGTCCCAACGGCTCATCCTGGCTTGCCATTCATCTGTTCTCAAACTCTGATCTGTTCCCTATACTAGTCGAGACATGCCGATGCCAGTTCTCGTTATTCGATCGCGAGCTGTACAATATACCATGGTTTGTTTTGTTAGCGAGGTCTGTGGCGCTCTGGGGCATTTCTTGGGAGGGCAACACTGCCAAGGTGCTAACAAAGCAAACTATGGCACATCTTGTACAAGCAGTGGAGGCTCAAATCCCAGTTGATGAATTCCCTATGATGTCACTTACACTCACCCACACACCAACCCACAAGCCCCGCCAGTGCCGTGGCACGCTCCGGCTTTGCTCCACTCCCGGGACGGCGCGGCAAACACGGTGCGAGCGTGACGAAAAGGTTGCGAGCGAAGGTCGAGGCGAGAAATCAAGGGTTCCGGTTGGCAGCACGGTCTCGGCTCTGCATGCAACCATTACCTCATTGACAGCCTCTGTGAGAAAGCCGGAGTGAGTTAATCTTTGGCTTATACAATTGGGGCTATCTTGTCCCATTCTCTGAAGCTGTTGGGCCTCAAGTCGATGCCCAGACTTTCAAGAGCGAAGGCGTCTCGGTGGCGGCGACAATTAGCTATCGATGGGTGAATTCATCAAACAACTTGATCGTTATCGCGGCTGATGATAGCGCACGTGCATATGCATGTGTTTGCCCGTGCATGCAGTTTCACCATTGCAAGCCCAGGCTCATCTCACTGCGTAGATAAGGAGGATTGCCGCCTGAATGCGGTCTTATCTGATAAGGTGATAACGTTCCGGCTTGCCAGTGAGCCGGAGATATCTTTGGACGGCAGGAGTCGGAAGCAGGGCAGTTGATGGTGCTGCTGTCGACAGTAACATCCCGATATGTAAATGCCGAGCTGATAACAGCCCTATGATCCATATCGCTGACGGGAATGAAGCTGAAGTTCGGTCCGAAGAAGTATATACTCGATGTCTCCGTAAGATACGGCGATTCGGGCATAGCACATGTCAAAGGTGGTTGGCAAGGCAACGACCCCTATATACTGGCAGCCACGGCTAGATAGCAGCAGCCTGCCTGTTCAAACATAGCCAACGAACCCACCCGGATAGATAGCTTCCTGGGTTCACAGCAGTATCGGCTGCAGAACCAGTCAAGCCTGTTTCCAGACACAAGGGCCAAACTGACCGAGAAAGATGAAGATATGCTTGCGTTATTGCAGGCTGACCAATCCGGAGGTTTCGATGAATCATGAAAACGCAAAACCACACGGTTGGGCTTGACAAGTGAAGGTTTTGATATCGGAACATTCATGCATGCAGCTCGGCCCAGCTTCCCCACAGCTTAAGCGCAGAGATACCTGTTGCCAGTATGTACTGTGGACATATGCCGGTATTGAAAACAACAACAAGCAGATAATATTTCGAGATTCCCATGAACAAATTAACTGGATTTCAATCCCGCCCCACGTGTAACTAAGTCTGGAATCTCACTAGAAGAATCCTGGAGATGACTGCGATTGCCCGGTGAGAAGTGAACCCCTAAAATTGTACAGATTAGGTGTATGCAGGGCACGGGACACCGTGCCCGTACAGTAACATAACTGTGTACATTACCGGGTTGGAATGCACCTAACGGTCCGCACAACCGAGACACCGCTGAAAGCAATTTTCGCGGGGCTACTAGGAGCCTTTTTTTTCCCCTCGGCTTGCCCTGGGCTATCGGTGACAAGAAACTACTTTCACTGAATTTTTGTATATTTTTTCAGAGGGCTCATGTGAACAAGTTAGAATGAATGACTGTCCTCAACATAAGGCCAAAGTGTGGAGGATTCCAGAAGGTGTGCAAAAACGCGAGCCTGTGATTGTGCGTGGTCTGTGTGTAAGTGACAAGTGATACATACAGTGGCAGGCCGCCCTGATGGAGAGATCTTGGTGAGGCTCCGTGGCCGGAATGCAATGGAACACAGGTGCCGATGCACAGTCCATATCAACCGTCCCTGGTCCATCTGAAGTTTTTTTTTTCTTGCTCACCATCGGGCCGTTGTTGACCGCCCAGGACAAGAGCGCTGCCATGGCTGCCCTCATATACCAGCTTGCCACCCGGCAAGCTGTGTTCTCGCTGCCCATCACCAACTTGATTTTGTGGTTCCCAACCCATGCCTTCACAGAGTAAACACACCATGCCTTCTCGACGCGGCTCAGGTCGCGCCTATCGACGTGTCTGTAACCCGGATGAATTCCCTACCGTGCAGCTGCTCTTGCTGGGTGTGTTTCTTTTCCCCCTGATTCTTTTTTGCGATTAAAGCTAACATGCCATAGCTATCGTCCGTCTGGCCGAGCCGATCGCACTCACATCTATTTTCCCCTATGCCTTCCCCCTCGTCAAGCGCCTCAATGTCGGCAACGAGGAAGACGCCTCGTTCTATGCCGGCCTGGTCATCTCAGCCTTCTCCTTCTTCGAAGCCCTGATGGGTATGTACTGGGGCGCTGTCTCTGACCGAGTTGGTCGCAAGCCTGTGCTGCTCCTTGGTTGCATGGGCACTATGTTCAGCATGTTGCTGGTCGGTTTGGCCAACAACATTTGGGTTGCCCTGCTTGGACGTGCCATTGGCGGCTTCCTGAACGGCAACATTGGTGTCATCCAGACCATGGTTGGTGAGTTGGTTATCAAGCCGGAGCATGAACGTAAGTCTCCCCCTGAAGGAACTTTTAACGCGGCTAACACGCCCCAGCCAAGGCCTACTCCATCATGCCGTTCGTCTGGTCGCTGGGCACAATTATCGGCCCCATGATCGGTGGACTCTTCGCCGACCCACATGACTCATGGCCGAAGCTCTTCCCCTCTGGCTCGCTCTTCGCCCGCTTCCCTTACCTCCTGCCCAACCTCATCTGCGCGGGCTTGCTGGCTGTCAGCATCCTCCTGGGCTACTTCCTGCTGGACGAGACCCATCCGGACAAACAGCCTCGTGTCCTGCTGCCCGACGATACGTACCTCTCTGAGAACACCCCGCTCCTCGAAACCTCCGACGCGTTGAAGCGCCCAGCTGTCGATCTGCGCGATGAGAACTACGGCAGTGTGCGTGAGCGCATCACTCCCATTCCACCTGCTCCGAAGGTCGACGATGACATGGTTCCCACGATCTGGACGAAGCGGATTATGGCTATCATCATTTCCCTGTCGATATTTACCTATCATTCCATGACTTTCGACCATCTACTGCCTATTTTCCTGGAGGACCCGCGTTCGCACGCCAGTACAACCGCCTACTCGGGCTCTCTCTTTTTTGCTGGAGGCTTAGGCCTCTCCCTGCACACTGTTGGCCTTATCATGGCTGTGCAGGGCTTTATCGCGCTGTTCACTCAGGCCGTCATCTTCCCGCTTGCAGCATCCTATTTCGGGATCTATCAGCTCTTCATCCTCGTTACGGTGTTCCATCCCGTCGTCTACCTCTCCGTCCCGCCGCTCGCGCTCATCCCAGCTGAGAGCACATTCTTGCTGCACACTGCTATCTACGCGATGCTCGTCCTGCGCAATCTGCTTGGCATTCTTCTCTACCCGCTGCTGCTCATCCTGCTGAAGGATGCCACTCCCTCAAGCAATGTGCTGGGAAAGGTCAACGGCCTGGCGGCTAGTGCTGGTGCTGCGTGCAGGATGGTTGCTCCTCCTGTCGCCGGCATGCTTTATGCGATGGGCAAGAAGAGCGGTTGCACGCCGCTGGCGTGGTGGGCGAGTGCCCTGGTTGCGTTAGTTGGCTCGGTGCAGTGCTTCTGGGTTCCCAGAGAGAGGCGCGAGACGGAGAAGGAGGCGGCTTAATTGGCAAAAAAAAAAAAAGTGATAGATAATAACTTGGATTTCAGGCTTTTCTTTATGTCTGCTATTGGGTATGAAGGCATGGAGGCGTTCGGGTGATATCCTGTCGGCATGGCGTTGTGGGATACTGTAATAGAGCGAGATAGACGGGACTTTATGACTTGAATAAACGACTTATGGCACTAATATTACCCTTCTATCATGGTTTCTCTAGCTCTCTATCCAATCTTCGGTCCCCTCTAATGCTTGTACTCCAACCTACCATCCCCAATGACCCCCCAGAACTCCTCAATCAGCTCCTTCTGCCCAGCACTCGCCCCCCTCACAGCAAGGTAAATCCTCTCCGTCAACTCCGGTTTCCACACCCCGGGATTCCCTCCCACAACCTTACCCCCAGCCTCATTCAAAATACACCACCCCGCCGTAACATCCCAAGCATAGCACCCGCCCTCCCAATACATATCCAACTGGCCCGCAGCACAAGCACAAAGATTCAGCGCCGCACTCCCCAAACTCCTCAATCCGCCTACCATCCCACCCCCATCCTCCCGCGCCGCCGCCAGCTTCCGAAACGTCTCAACCTTCACCTTGTAATTCGGCCCGTCCCGCTGACTGCCCCACTCAATGCCCACCAGCGCGCTGCGCAGGTCGCCTAGCGGCGTCAGATTCTCGCCGAGCCGAACTCTCTCCCCCCTACCCTTGCCTTCTGGGAGGGATGCATTCCGCTGCATGTATGCCCCCTTTCCTTTAATCGCTGTGTAGAGGATGTCCTGGAAGGGGTTGTACACCACGCCTACGGCGGGCACGCGGTCGACGGCGAGGCCGAGGGAGATACAGGCGGCGGGGAAGCCGTGCACGAAGTTGGTTGTGCCGTCGATGGGGTCGACGATGAAGGTTGGGGCGGGGGTGATGGTGGTTTGGCCGGGGATGTAGGTTTCTTCGCCAACAAAGGGGAACGTGGGGTAGGCGGCGCGCAGGCGGGCGGAGACGTGGGCTTCGACGGCGCGGTCGGTTTCGGTTACGATGTCGACGTCTGGAGTTATTAGTCAGTTTGCGAATAGGGATTGGGATGGGAGCAGAGAGAGGGGGGGAGGCGTACCGCTCGCCTTGGTGTCAGTCTTGATCTTGGCCGTGTTGGCGGCCATAATCATCTGCCCGGCCTCGAAGGCGACCTCGACGAGGAGGTCGTGGACTGCTTGGAGGTTGATGTCGGCCATTGTGGTGTCAATTGGTCGCAGGGTGTCGTTGGGAGTGTCGATTGAGCGAAAATCGACCATAAATATGTAGCTGAGAGCTTCACGTCCCTGGAGGGAGTGTGGTGTAAGTGTATGATGAAGATGGAGCTTGGGGGAAGCCAATGGATAGAGGAGCCGACAGCGGGGTAACATTGCTGTTGGACAGCCCCACTATTGCTCGCTCACCTCACCCGAGCATGAGGCTGAACTGTGACATGGTCGAAGCTCTTGGACTTTCTTCGAAGCTGCTCGTGCCAATTGACAGGGGGACAAGATGCTCCCGTGGCTCGCATGGCAACAAAGCCATCAGTGTGATTGGGATGTCAATCAAGTCATAGTGAACCCTAATCCGTGACCGGCGTCCAAGCCTTGAATGACAACACCAGAAGCTCCCAAGATGGGCTGTCTAGCGTTTACCTGGCTAACCGCATTGGTTTCCAGCAATTAACCCTCAGAACCCCATGGAGGCATTCGTAATCACTCTCCAAGTGCCATATCCAGGCCCGCCAGGTAATCAGCAGATAGCTGTCTTCAACACGTACGATGATAGCCGAGAGTCATGCTGTAAGACAATCTGGCGTAGGACAGCACCAAGCACCGGGACCAAGCAACCATTATGGTAGCATCAACATGTTTGCCATTGTCACAAACGCTGAACAAACAAAAAAAGAAAGAGATCAGAACCGCCGGCCAAACTCCAGCCAAGGTAGCCCAGCCATCCCAGATAGAATATATCCTCCCGCCAACCATACCTAGAAGCCCATGGCAGTCCAGCCAGAGAAAAGAGAGCACAATGACATCAATAGATGAGAAACAGTGAAAAACCAAAGTAAATAACGAAAAAGAACACATTTTCACATAACCCACAAAGCCTTGCCTTGCCTAGCCTTGCCATGCCATGCCATGCCATGCCTTGTCTTGCTAATACCCCGTCACACATAACCCTTAACTAACCCCCCTCTGTTTGCCTCACACATCCTCTCGGAAGATGCTCTTCCTATCCTCCTCGCCTCTCGCTTTCCTCGCTGCAAACGACATATTTCCGCTACTTTCTCCCGCTGTCGTCGTCGCCACAGCCACAGGATTGGGGCTCACCCCGCGCATGCTGAGGTTACTCGGCTCGGCCTCGTCCTCAAAGGGGTTCTTGTCCGCAAAAGGGTTCTTCCCCACGTCACCTGGCGCAGGCGACCTGCTGCGCGGACGACCCCTTCTCTCTTCTTCATCATCTTGTTGTTGCTGAGTTTTCGCCGAAGCGCCGGTAGTCGCGTCTCCGACGGGCAAGTTCATCTGGTATCCCTCACCCTCAGGCCTACCGCCGGTAGCGTAAGCCTCTCCATAAGGCGACGAATAGTCATATCCCGCTGCGGTACCTCCAACCTTCGTCGGTCCCATCGTCTGCGCATCATACGCACTACTACTATACCTCCCTTCATGCTGCTGCTGCCCCTGAGGAATCCCCTCCTCCAAGTCATGATCATACGGACTGTACGCGCCGACCCTCGTATCCCAGGCATCGTCGTCGTGGGGACCGCCATACCGAGCGTTGTACCCGCCGGCAGTGCCCTCATATGCGCCGGCGGCGGTGCGCGTGTTGCGGTAACGGAAGAGGCGGATGCGGTCGTTGATCCAGCCGATGATGCCGCCGGGGGCAGGCTGCGGGCCGGCGTAGGAGGATGTTGATTTCGAGAAGGGGAGGTAGGATTTTAGGGGCGGTGGAGGGAGCTTGAGTGAGAGATTAGCACTTCGTGGCTATAAGAAGAGAATGGAGAGTTGGACTTACGCCTAGTCGGTGGGCGCGCAACCGGGTGTAGACCACCCACCAGATGGCTGCGGCCACGAGGGCGAGGACGATGACGAGGATGATGACGCCTGCTGTTTTCATGGTCTGTTGTGTGTGCTGGACGCTGGAGACAGCGTGCCGCGAATTGGATGAAGGACGGTCGGCCGATAAGTTGAAAGTTGAATGGTTGTTAGGCGCAGGAGATGATGAAACGGTTCAGCATCCACATTCACACCTCATCCACAGCACACCTAGGCACATGCGACAGCTTGCTGCTAATTCTCGGTGTCTCAGGGTTTCAGACCAAAGCTGACCAGGTCAAGTCAAAAGCGGCCTTTTTGTGCACACTCTCGACTATTCGTTCGCTTCTCGGTCGCTTGCTCGCTCGCGCGCGCGGAAAAAATGGAAGAAAATCGTCTGCCTGGTTCCAGTTTCCGGTCTCCAGATTCTCCAGTTCGAGGTTCCAACTTCCGAGAGGTCCGAAAACAGCGACGGCAGCGGCTCCCAGCGATCCTGATCCACTGATCCAGCAGTGGGTCAAGTTGTCAACAGCCCACTGCAGCCCACTCCAGCCCACTCAGCCCAACCACTCGATTGGGGGCCTGCGGGTCAGAGGCCACCCCGCCATGCCAAGACTGCTCCACTAATAAGGGCTACGTCAAGACTGGTGATGACTGGAGCGGTGATGTAAGGAAGAGACAGTTTCGTTTTGTACTGTGGCCCCCGGATGCGCCATCCTATAGTGCTTTGACTCCACGCTCTGTTTAAACATCCACGCTTTCATAACGAGCATAGCTCTCTATAGAAAGGATATATCCGAGCTATAGTATAACAATCCAATTCTAAATACAAACGATATTCACTATGTATATTTTCGAGAGTGCCCGCGCTCTCAGCATATTAAGAGAAGGTACTGATAGATTTACAAGTTTACCTAATATAACCTGACTTTCATGACTTACGATTGAGAAAGTTGATGCTTAACTATCAGTAAATATAAAAGCTCTTGCTCGATATGGTAGGCATTTGGAGATGCGGGTAGACACGACTATTGATGGATGGTGTTTGAAAAGAGACTATAGGAGGAAGATATGTCCGTCAAGCACCATAATATGGTGTGTCCAGGGGCTATAGTGTAAAATTACAAGTCTCGAATCTTGGCCGGTATCTTTTGCTGCATAGGCGATATCTCTCCTGCTACACCGCCCACTGAAGAAATGCATCGGAAAATCGCACTGCAAGTCCACTGCGTCATATATTCCTATAGTGCAGTATGACAATGGAAGAGTCGATTGTGTGACTAATTCCCGTTGATCAGTTACTGTACCACCCACATACCTGCTCCCATACTGTTGGTTCCATTGTTCGGAGGTGTTGCCCGTCTTCCTTGACTTCCTGTGTACAGGTTGTTACATCTCTATAACGACAGTTCCTCAAACCGACCATTGCCGCCATCTCTTGTAACATGGACCCATCGCTCGTCTGCCACAGACAGTCCAAGGCTCATCCTGTTCCGCTCTGTTGTCTTTATCCCCCATGCTCTTTCCAATGCATTTTCCCATGCCCTTGCCCATGCTCCGTCCGCAACTCCCCACCCCTTCACACAACAGCTACATGAACCACTAGTCTTGCAAAAATACATGGCCCTTCTCAACAACAATCCATCCTCTCTACTTGGTTCGGCGCGGTCATAGACAACCAAACCCACCCATCTCCGCGAGAGATCTGGTCGCTGTTTTCTCAATGAACCTCCCTCCAATAGCTTGCGCAATCCTTGTCCCAGTAGTTCAAACACGGAGAGGTTATCCTGCGCATAGAAGAGCGTAGCATTCCCCCCTATCTATTGTGTTCCGACAAACTAGTAAACAATCATCCCAAGATCTTCAGCGCGAATATTGTTCCTCTGAGGGGGAGTGGCAAATGTTTGAACAATCTTCATACGTTCTGGGGGGAATTGTGTAGCCCTCATGATCTCTGACATTGATATTGATGTTTGTAACCTCAAGTAGTATGTGGATCATTCCATCGCGCCAATTCGCCCTTGGCCTTTTTGGGGAACCGTACCAATCGATGACCACGCGGTGTAAAGCAGTGCGACCAAGATCACAATGGTCTTCCCCGTACTCAAGATAAACTCAAGCATATCCACATTGCCAAAGTCAACTGCCAATATAAGGCATCTCTTTCTTCGGCGACAGTACTTTCAGGCAAGCCTGTTCTCTAGGTCGAGGACAACTGTCAGAGCCCTTTCCCTTCTACAATGTCACATTGCATAGATGAGCGACTATGGTGCAAACCTCTGACGGAAATTACAGCGCCCGGTAGCCAGCAATAACTCGAGAATTGTTGTATGATCACAGTAGAAGGCTAGAAAAGTGCTTTGTAGCCTCCGCTGCGCTGTGAATTTACGTCAATATCTGTCAGAATCAGCAACAAGTGCACCGCCTGCACCTTCTGTTTTAGAATGGCTGCCATGAGAGGTGTTCCCCTCGGGTACGACTCACCCATGTTTACATTCACTTCTCTTTGGCAACAAGCTCTTTTACTGGTCCAACCCTGCCCCTAACTACTGCAAACCATAACACAGTCCGATTACAATTGTCTGCTAAGTTCGGAATAACTGAGTTCAACAACTGCAGTGTAATTCCTTCATGCAGTATAAATGAGCAGAGTTCTGCTTTGGATGGTCTTGATGGTCTGGATTAACTTGGGATGTTGGATAATAGAGTTGAACAATTATGGAATGGCTATTGGCTGAGGCGTAACTGAGAGGTGTTCAACCTTTATCATCTTTCTTGTTTGGATCAGCTAGAATATTGGATAAAAAAGTCCGGAAAGGTGTAATATGCCCATGGTTTGCAGCTAACTCAGCGGTGTTCGACCTGGAAGATCTAGCTATTCAGGATCAATATCTTGAGCATGAGTAAGGAGGGCTTCGAAGAGAATGCTGAGCCCAAAGAAAGCGGATGGAGGAAGGCATTTCCTAACGAATTTGAGAGGCTTATGTCTACCTGGTAGCTTTCCCTTGGTGGCGGTTTTATTGGAGGTCTTGCAAGAGAATAGTTTGCGGTTCTTGTATGCCAAAAAATTCCTTACAGAATTGGGTGATGATATTGACATGCCTTACATTCTATATAAAAAAGCAAGAATTACCGGATTGCATGTTGCGGACTTACAATGCATGGTATTTCCAGTAGCAGAGTCAAACAAGAGATATTTTCCTCGCTAGTGGTCAAGCAAGTCGTCATGAAAGTTCTAAGACCCGCTCGAGAAATTTATTTAATGAGAGATATGATGAACAAAGTTCAAGATGTCGAGGGGCGTATTTGGATACTAACGTCCCAGAGTCTCCTGGAAGTACTCATGGACCGTATTGTGGACAAGTCGGATAATCTCTCTGTCTTGATCGATGATAACGAGCCCACAGCACACTGAGATTGTATGTTCGATTTCAAGAATTGCTTCTTTATCAAGCTTGTCTGTGCTGTCCTTCACGGCCCATGCGTGTTGATCTTCAACAATATTCAATGGGCGTTTGGTACACACAATCCAGGAAAGCACATGGTGGGCAAGCTCCTTGAGCTCATCATGTTGACCATTGGTTCTCTCCACTGCGCCGTCATATGCGAGAGGCAATTGAGCATGTTTGCTCCTATCCGCTTTGGATTTGTTTTGTGTCAGTATCGAGCTGCCCTTGTGTGCTCCGAATACGTGTTACGCTGACCATCTGTTTTAAGCATTGGAGAAAGGAATGAGCCAATAGAAACCACCAATAGAAACCTAACTTCTGTAAGTAAAAGGCAACATCTCTCGATGACCTATATGTCATGCCACAAAGTTATTCACATGCTGTCCACAGCATCAGTATAATAACTGGTGATTATGTTCTGTGGAAAATTCTCGACAGCATGCTGACATTTCCCACCAAAAAAGGAGGAACTGGTCAATGGTTTATAGAGGTTCCTCAATTCCAGGAATGGTGTGTGTTGCATCTTCTTTCTCACATTAGTGTTCCTTTCCAGGATTTCATTTTAGGAGGTCGGGCTAAGAAATTCACTAAGCTGTCAAAGAAGTCAATGGCCCTCTTCTGCCCTGGTATATCAGGTGCTGACAAGGCCAGCCTTGCAACTATGGTCATTGATCGTCTACAACGTCATTTCTAAGGGCGTGATGTTGGTGTCGCTTTTATATACTGCAACTTCCGACGTAAAGACCACCAAACGGTGGATCGCCTCATTGGCAATCTTGCCGAGCAACTCCTCAATATCAAACTTCTGCCACTGAGGGTAATAGAAGACCTCCACATCCGTCATCGAGCACATCAACCATGCCCATCGTTGAACGACCTTCAGGACATGTTCCACACCATTGCCGCAGTGTACATGGATGGTTTCTTTATCAGTGTCGATGAACTAGATAAGTTCCAGAACAGTGATGATACCCATGCACAGTTTATCATGACACTCCTGAGTCTCCAGGCTGGAAAATCTGATATCAATACCATTGCCATATCGCGACCCATTCCTGATATTATGGACACATTCGATGATCACTTCTTTCCTCGAGATGGTATCTCAAAAGGAAGATAATATCGAGCGATACCTAGAAAGCCATCTGTCCGAGTTGCACCCAGTTTAAAAGCACCAAGATATCTATCAGGAAATCTTGAGGGCATCCGTCTGACAATCCTTCCAACTAGAATAAAATTTGCAAATGAACCGAATGAACTGGGCGGCAATGCCGATCACGCCAATTTCCAAGGGGATCACTCATGATAGGGACAAAAAAATTGGAGAAATATATACAGCTAAAAACAACCAGGCAGAAAGAAGGAAGATAGGCAAGATAGAAAGCCAATGAATGGTTGAGGTAGTGCACCAGACCGTGCCATTCAGTGTGACTGATATTCTGGAGTGAGCGGTCATATGAGTGGTCCTTAAGACTCCAGGGTATGTCGTTACTTCGTTGTAATCGAGCTGAAGAACTCCCTAAGGTCGAACAATGCAGAGAAAGATAACTGAGGAGCTGCTGAACCCCGCTCCAGACTGCAAACACCAGTAGCAGCACAGATTAATACTCATTTTTATCCTGACTGGTGCCAATGAATAAAACGAGCTCCAGAAAAGAGGTTACTAAACTGCACAGCTCAAGCTGTACAGCTCGCCGATAAAAGACGCAATGGTGGCTGCACCCTCTAACCATAGCTGGCTGGGGCTCATATATATACAAGGCTACGGATGAAGCACCAGCTTGAACCAAGGCTTGCCGCTTTTTGAGATTTCGTCGGTTGTCTGCCAGAAACCCCTTCATTCAGGGTTAGGGTGAGTTTCGCACATCCGTCTGCACTTTGGTCATTGAGTGCTCGAGTTTTGTACAGAAATATACCGGTAGAAAGGCGTCTACCATGGGGAAAAACCCAGCAGCGGCAAGGCATCGCCAAGACTCAGAACGATTGAGTTGATCATGGCACCAGCAGTTGGGCTTTTCGTAAAGTCTAGGTGAACTGTGGAACGTGGATAGTCTTGGTGGGTCCTTGTCCCACCTGATTCTGCTGCCTGGAATGTTAGGTGTTAAATCTAGACCCAACAGACCTAGTGGATCCCAGGGGCCTGGCCAGCTGCAGGGAGAAATGTCGTGTCGGAAATCTTGATGGGCAATCGCCTCCTGAATTTAGCAACCTTAACAGTGCGATCCGCCTCTCGCCGCCGCCCAACAGGCATGACCGCTTAGACAGTCCCGGCACGCCTTTTATAGTGTGCAACATTGTGGTACTAGCCCTGAGGAGCCTGTATCACATTGATCGGAACGATCGCGCCGATTTGTCCTTGGCCATTTCTTGATGGTTGTTTAGCGCCCCGATGCCTGGTCAATAAGATAGACGACACGAGACAGCCCACGAAAGCTTCCGCCAACCCTACCCCCCGGCGTCTCGCCACGAATCCCTCTGCTGCCGTCGTGACGCTATATACGACGACGTAGTTTCATAGATACAACATGAGGTTATCCAGCTGGCTGCTCTGGGGAGCGGCCGCCTTGGCCGTTGCCTCTCCTGAGGATGACAAGAAGACGAAAGACGCGACCTACTTCAACGGCAAGAAGGTGCCGCCACTACTCGAGATCACCCAAGACACATGGGAGAAGGAACGCAAAGCATCTCGGTTCTTGCTGGTCAAGCACTTTAGGTAACCTCCCTTGTCCCACGCTCCCTCGTACATCGGTCGTGTACTAATCTAGCCGTCTCGCAGCCCATGGTGCCCACACTGCCAGGACTTTGCTCCGACATTTCAGACGTTGTACGAGTTTTACTACACCTCCACACCGGCGGGTGACGCACCAAAAAATGTCGACTTTACGAGCTTCTACGATTTCCGCTTCGCCGAGATCAACTGCGTCGCCTTCAACGACCTCTGCTCGCAACACAAAGTTTCGTCCTATCCCACCACTATCCTGTATGAAAATGGTGAGCCGATTTCGACCCTGAAGGGTGACAAGGCCATCGATATTCTGAGCGTCATGGTTGAGGATGCACTGGAAAAGGCGAAGCCAGGTACTCGTCCGGCCAAGCTGCGGCTACCAAAGCCTGGGGACAAGTCAGCGCCCCAGCCAGTAGAGGACACTACTGTGACCAAGCACGACGAGGCCAAGGCTGCCGCTGTACCCAATACGAACGAGCACGAGCCTGACCTCAAGAAGAACGAGCTGCCCACCACGGGGGCACCCAAGGTCGAAGAGCCCAAGGCTGAGCCAAAGCAGGAGGGAGTCAAGAAGGTCGACGAGCCGCAAAAGGCGATCGACCTGGCACCAAGTACCCCGGAAGCCAAGCCTGATCCTACATCCAAACCCTATTCCTCCCCATCACCAACCTATGTTTGGGAGCCCCCAGTCCCTCCGATCAAGAAGCCCAGCGGTCCCGTTAACCAGCAAGGTGCTTCGGTTCCGCTGACCGCTGAGGACTTCCAGCGGTTAGTAACACTGACCCAGGACCCGTGGTTCATCAAGTTCTACGCCCCGTGGTGCCACCATTGCAAGGCACTGGCTCCGACCTGGGAGCAGCTCGCCAAGGAGATGAAGGGCCGCCTGAACATTGGCGAGGTGAATTGCGACAAGGAGCCCCGTCTGTGCAAGGACGTGCGCATCAAGGGCTATCCGACCATGCTCTTCTTCCGGGGTGGCGAGCGCGTTGAGTACCAGGGTCTTCGCGGCTTGGGCGATCTCCTGCAGTATGCTAAGCGTTGCATTGAAGTGTCCAACGGCGTCCAGGACGTCGACTACGACACATTCAAGGCTCTTGAGGAGAAGGAGCCCGTCATCTTCCTGTACTTCTACGACCATGCCACAACCACTGAGGACTTTATTGCGCTTGAGCGGCTGCCCATGACCATCATGAGCCACGCGCGGCTCGTCAAGACCAGGGACCCGAGGCTTTACGAGCGCTTCAAGATCTCGACCTGGCCGCGCCTGCTCGTATCACGCGAGGGCCGCCCGACCTATTACCCACCTCTATCGCCGCGCGAGATGCGCGATACGCGGTTACTACTCGACTGGATGCGCTCTGTCTGGCTGCCGCTGGTGCCGGAGCTGACGGCAGCCAATGCCCGCGAGATCATGGACGGCAAGTACGTCGTCATGGGCATCCTCAACCGCGAGGATGAGTCATCTTTCAACACGGCCATCCGCGAGCTCAAGACGGCCGCCAACGAATGGATGGACCGCCAGATCCAGCTGTTCCGGATGGAGCGTCAGGAGCTGCGTGACGCCAAGCAGCTGCGCATCGAGGAGGCCGAGGATCGTGGTGACGAGCGCCGCTTGCGTGATGCCAAGAATATCCGTATCAACATGAACCTGTCCCGCCGCAAGGAGGTTGTCTTCTGCTGGGTCGACGGTGTCTTTTGGCAGCGCTGGCTGCGCACTACCTACGGTGTTGACATCAAGGAGAACGGTGAGCGAGTCATTATCAATGACGCTGATGTGAGTTTCCCTCTCTCCCCCAATCCAACAAGTCACAAACTAACCCCGCCAGAACCGCCGCTACTGGGACACCACGTCGACAGGGAACCCGATCGTGCCCTCGCGCACATCCATCCTCGAGACGCTCACCAAGATCACGGCCAACCCGCCCAAGATCAAGCCCAAGCTGACCATCGGCTTCATCGAGAAAATCTTCTTCGACATCCGCGTCTCCTTCCGCGACCACCCCTACCTCAGCTCCGGCTGCGTGCTCGGCATCGCCTTCGGCGTGCTCTCGTGGTTCCGCGGTCGCATCCGGCTGCCTTCCCTGCGCCGCAGCGGGTACCTCCGTCTTGAGGAGGGCGCGGCCGCAGCGCTGGGGCTGGGCGGTGGGAGCGGGGAGAAGAAGGATTAAAAAGGGGTCGTAATAGACAGACTGGGTACGTAGGTAGCTTTGCGAGGTAGATAAAGGAGCGGCTGGTTACGCATGCACGTGGCTTGGGTTTCTTTTTTTTTTTTCGGCGGGGTGTTGGGTGCTGGGTGAATCACTACTACCTAGGTAATTGGATGGATGGATGAATGGTCATAAGGGGGTCTTTGTTATGTGGCTTCTGTTTGTGTTTCTGTTGCGTGATAGGGCTGTTTGCGTGCCCGGTGTTGCATAGTAATATTTTGTTTCTAAAACACTTGGCAAGTACAGCTTTTTGAGTGATTTATCTCGTGATGCTGAAGATGAATGATTGGTTTTAGGAGCCGTACTACGTATTACTTCGAGATGAGGGCGTTGCCGCCGTCAAGCTGGTGGTGTCATTTGGCCGTGCTACAAGGCTGCTATACAAGGTACAATGTCTCATTTGGTGATAATGTAGTATTGGAGACACCACTTCATGGTGTAGCTGCTACGATGAGATCGTGATCAGCTGTGAGGCTCGTAGAATATCTCTCGAACTGGCTGACCCTAAACACGAGCATCACGAGTACGCATATTATTACACTTCATCGCAAAATATCCCCAGGCAGAGAGCATCTGAGACATTCTCGCGTAGTTATGACAAAGATTACGTGGTTGGACGATGTTCAGCAGCACTTCACAGTATGAGTTCCAGACGATTGATTTACCAAACCCGAAAGGAAACTCCGATCTAAGACATGCATAACCGTTGTGTCAAGGATAGAAGCCGTGTGTAATCTGGATGTGTAGGGCCTTGTGTCTGAATGGAGAGTCATGACCAGTTGAAGCTTGAAGAGAGTGTTAAAAGGAATGTGAGATCTCCAGGTTGACTGCCAACGCCTACCATACTACTGTAACGCTGGCACTGACTGGGAAGCAACCGAGCTGTTTATGCTCACGGGTACCTGCACCGGTTCTCTTGGACTTCGGCTCCGATTCGCTGATAGAGAGTGGCAAACAGGTGGTCGACGGATGGGTCGCAGTGTGGCGGCGGTAGTAATCCGGTATGCAGGTAGTGTTAAACAACATGGTGATGGGAAGTGATGTTGCAATATGTAGGGCAGTCCAAGAGCATGTTGAGGAGCAGTGAGGAGCAGAGGGTACATGAGGTAGCGTTGGAAAATGTGTACTTCTCAGATAGTTCGTATATATATATATATATATATATATATATAGATGTCTTCGCCGAGTGTTGTATCTCATAATACGAAACCCGCAAAAGTATTCAAAAAGCGTGGGCCTCATCCGTCTAAGTCCATCCGTGCCAGCCGGCTAATATCAACACCCAGAAGGATAAGCAGGAGAAGTGAACGAGAACAGTCCTGAGACATCAGTCTATGGAGCTACCACCTGAAACTCCTTGTAGAAAAACGTGCCGCCTTTCTTGACGCCTGGTGTCAAGGTACGGCTAAAGTGAGGTACCTTGCCGATCTCGATGTAGCCAAACTTCCTGAAGGCCTCCTCGGCCACGCTGCCCGTCTCAGTGTTGGTGAGCTAGGAACTGTCAGTAAGATCCCCTAAAACAAGACAATTAGTTAGTCGAAAACCCACCAGCAAAGTCCGTCCCCTCTTCACAGCCTCGTACTCTAGCGCCGCGACTAGCGCCCTGGCACCCCCCTGCCGCCGATACCTCCGATCGACTAGCACAGCATCAATATGCCCCCTAAAGCTCCCAGTTTCGCTCTCCGACAACTTGACCATGCCCAGCCCCCGCAGATCCGTGCCCGCGGGCTTGCCGCCGTTCTTGAGGTCGGCCGACGAAGACGGGTTGAGCAGAAGCACGATGATGCGCACGCCGCGGTTGGCTTCCGCGATGCGCTCCTTCCACCAGGTAAGCAGCTTTTCGTTGGTCAGCGGCGGCAGGAAGGGGCCGACCATTTGGTCTTGGGTGATGCATGAGGCGTGGAGCGCGGCTAGGTAGGGTACGAGATGGCCGTGGTCGGGTTGGGAGAAGAGGTAGGTCATAGGGTGGTTACCGTTAGAGCTGGAAGTGTTGTTGGTCGCCATGGTGACGGTTTTGGGGAGAAAATGGCTAGAGGTTGGCGATGGTGAAGAGTGAATGAAGCGAGCGCCCTCGGGGCTAAGAGCGATAAAGGAGCCAGGCTCTCGAGTTTAAACGGATTCAGGGGTAGCCGTGATGGTGGGAACGACTCCTGTTCACTGCATGCCGCCCACCATTGTCATCACTGCCTTAATCTTTCTTTTTTTTTTCTTTTTTCCTGTCTGCTTCAACAAGGCTAACCTCTGTATCTGTAGCACCCAGGATATTAGAAGGTCAGCCAATTGCGCATGGCGCTGCCGAAATGGAGGGTTTGATAAAAATGTCTCAGGAAGGCGGGCAGCTGGGGGATGGTCCAGGTGTGCGGGTGGAGGGGTGGGGGATGGGATTTTAGGAGATTTTTCCTTCTGTAAGGCTCTTTCTGGTCTTGGTCTTGGGGGAACTGGAGACCTGGTATTCGTTAAAACAGACATACAATCGCATAGTACTACTCTACCTTGACTTTATAGCAGGTGATGTGGAAGCGAGCCCACTGGTGTCTCAATCGCTCACAGGCTTGGACAGTCTTGAGCCTTGTAAGTTCAACAGTCAATCAGTGAGATACCTGAAAGGCCAAGAGCACGGATTGCCCTGGCTCAAGCAGCAGCAGCGAACGCTGGATCCCGTCACGAGCGTTCAACCCCGTCAGGTCGCGTGCTTCATTGCCAGGGGTAATTTCACCGTTTTAAGCCTGATATGGCACTTTGGTGCAACTCTCACACACCTCGGAGCACATGCACCACACGAAAGGCACACACATACTTCACAGCATGGGAGCTCGGAGAGCACGCCAATGGGTGGCTTGTCTGGGGAACTGTGCCACACACAAGGCTGGTGCGGGGGCATCCGGTGGGTGGGGGCAGTGGCATCCAGCGATAAGCGATAAGGGTGAGATGGCCTTCGTACAAGGGACCAGGGGCACTTGCGGGCTCTGTGGCGAACCCTGGCAGGTGCCTGACACTGCGTGATCCCCGCCGACATGGGATGAGCCGACGAGGAGGAGGGGTTGGGCCTGAACTGGAATCGCGATGCGCACGATCCCAATCATCCCATCCTCGCTCTCCATGCCGTCTACATCGATCAGGATCCTGAAATCGACCGTCGGAAGCCATTAACCCCGTATGTTTCGGTAAAGGGGAACCCGGAGTCGGTCTTTGTGGGTCAAAAATACCAGCAACCATGTTCTTGTGAGTGGTCTATCGAGAGCAGCCTTGGCCTGAGTGGTCCAGACAAAAGAATGGCAGCAAAGTAATATCAATGGTCGCCAACAGCACGCGCTATAACCTGCAATGGATGCATGGATGACCGCATCACACCTCAGCAGAAGCGTATCACCACGTTTTATCATCCCAGCGTACTCTCGACGGCGTGTAAGCCACCTAATGCTCTGCCCAAAATGGATATTCAGCCCTATTTGCCTGCTTCAATGGCGTGCGACGAGTGTGTCAGGGCCCATCCACGTCGAGCAAATGATGGGATGAATAAAGCCTGGTTACAAGATCGCTGGCGCTCCACCACTGGAATCAGAATAGTCCAGCGGACTTGACTTTCACAGGCTGCAGACCGGCCCAAGGTTGGTCCCAGGCCGGCTCCCTCCCGTAAATCCCGTTCTCGGCAGTCCCGCTGCACTGGCCCTAAAGCCCCGCTCCAGTGGTTCATCATTCCCCGCGGTGTGACGGCGATTACAGTCAGCAGCACATACCTCACCTTACCCCAACCTCCCAATCTGTCTGTATCCGCTGCCTGTCGCTGGGTTACCCACGGAAAACCGTCTCTTTGAAAGGCGTCTGAGTAATCGTAGTAAACTCGGTTCACTCTTCGCCTACTTCTCTCTCCTTTATACCCTTCTCCATCTCAAACCAGTGAATGCCCATCCTCAGCTGAGACGCTCCTGTAACCAAGCACAATCACCATGAGCTTCGGTTCCTTCCTTAAGAAGGCCAAGGACGGCCTTAAAGATGTCAAGCAGGGCCTGCAGGACCTGGACAAGGTCAAGGAGAATCTGGGCAAGATGAGCATCAGCGACGTGGGCAAGATCTTTGGCGGCGACGACAAGCACTCGCACACCCATGACGGCGTCGAATGTCACGAGGGCGCGTCCCATGGAGAGTACGGCGCCAACCGCTACAGCTCATTCGCCCCCGAGACGACCGGCCGTGCCAAGTGGTATGTGGACGGCGCCTCGTACTTTTGGGCATTGTCCATGGCTCTTGAGGGTATGTTGCTTTGCCGGAGTCTGTTGCTGCGATCACACACTAACTGTTTACAGAGGCTCGAGAGTACATCTACATTCTCGATTGGTGGTTGAGGTAGGAACCGTGGCCCGCCCCTGAATGAGAATGCGTGCTGACAACTCGGCAGCCCCGAGCTATACCTGCGGCGCCCACCGTCCCGCAATAACCGTTATCGGCTGGACCATATGCTCAAGGCTGCGGCCGAGCGCGGCGTCAAAGTCTATGTGATTGTGTACAAGGAGGTCCCGCAAGCTCTGACTTGTAAGTGTCAGATCCCTGTCTGTTGAAGGTGAACTCAAGCTGACCGCAACAGTAAACTCTGATGTAAGCCGCGCCTCACTGCGCGTATAGACCAGCACTGACAGCAGCAGCATACCAAGAAAGCCCTCCGGGCGCTTCATCCCAATATCTTCGTCTTTCGGCATCCCGATCACCACCCCGGCAACGATGTTGTCACAGGCCTTCAGGACTTCCACAAGAGTCTCATGAATTTCAGCTTCAAGAACTTCAACCTCGCCAAGGCCTCAGAAGATGTCCTGAAGGGCCTCTATGGCACTGCTGATGATGTAGTTCTTTACTGGGCTCATCACGAGAAGCTGTGCCTGATCGACGGCAAGATTGCGTTCATGGGCGGTCTCGACCTGTGTAAGTGGCTCCTGGAGTCCCGATTGTAGAGCCCCTGCTTACGGATGCAGGCTTCGGACGTTGGGATACTATCAGCCATCCGATTGCTGATGCTCACCCCGGTAATGTGGATGATATTATCTTCCCTGGCCAGGACTACAACAACGCCCGTGTCTTCGACTTTGAGAACGTCGACAAGTGGGAGCAGAATAAGCGTGAGTAGCCAAATGCTCTTCAACTTAGAATCACACTGACAGCAGCAGTCGACCGCAGCAGGTTCTCCCGCATGGGCTGGTCCGACATTGCCCTCAGCCTTACTGGGCCCATCGTTGAGAGCCTCGAGACTCATTTCGTGCAGAGATGGTGAGTCCTCATGGTCAAGCCACTCTGACCAGCGCTAACAGATCGCAGGAACTTCATCTTCAACAAGAAATATAGCACCAAGGACCCTGGCAAGTATGAGAGGCTCGAGGTTCGTAGCCATCAGCGACAAAGCCACCACGGCCACGGCCACGGCCATGGCATGGCCTATACCGCACAGAGCTTCCTCGATGAGGGTACCGAGTACCTGAGGAATGAAATGCACCAGCGTTTTTCGCGCCTATCGCACCACTTCTTTGGCGAAGAGGAACACGGCAGGCCACGTCGGTCGTATGAGGGTCCAAGGGGCCAGCAGATCCAGCTTACCAGAAGGTATGTGACCATCCCTTCCCCCCCCCCTCCCTCTCCCCCCCCCCCCACCCCGGGTTAATCCGTTCGGCAGCTCACTCTTCCAGTGCCTGCAATTGGTCTCTGGGTGTCAAGACAGAGCACTCGATCGCCAATGCCTACATCGACGCCATCAAGAATGCCAGGTATCACATCTACATCGAGAACCAAGTACGTCCCCCCCCCGTCTTAGCCCCTGATTGCAATACCTGCTGACATCCCCAGTTCTTCATCACGGCCACATCAGACAAGCAGAAACCGGTCACCAACAAGATTGGCAAAGCAATCGTCGATCGGATCCTGCGTGCGCACCAGTACAACGAGCCTTTCCATATCGTTGTCATTATGCCCGCCGTTCCGGCCTTTGCGGGTGATCTCAAGTCTGACGGCGCCCTCGGTACCCGTGCCATCATGGAATTCCAGTACTTCAGCATCAACCGCGGCGGCTACAGCATCCTCGAGACACTCCAGAAGGCCGGTGTGGAGGACCCTAGCCGCTACATCACCTTCTACAACCTGCGCAGCTTCGACCGCATCAACACCAATACCCCAGGCGACAGTCAGTATCGCCGCTACAATTATGCTGCCTCGCAGCTCTCGCACTACAGCTGGGATTCCATTGCCGCATGCTACATGGACAACGGCCCAGACCTCAACGCCATCCCCTGGACCGGCCCACCTGAGAAGGAAATGGATGCCTACGTCTCCGAGCAGCTCTACATCCACAGCAAACTCCTCATCGCCGACGACTCCCTCGTCATCTGCGGCTCCGCCAATCTCAACGACCGCTCCCAGCTGGGCAATCACGACAGCGAAATCGCCGTCGTAATCACCGATGCGAACCCCTCTCTCGACACCACTATGGCCGGCTACCCACATCGTGCGTCCCACTTCGCGGCCTCCCTCCGTCGCTTCGTCTTCCGCAAGCACCTTGGCCTGCTCCCACACCAGCCGGTTGACCAGCCCGACCGCAACTGGACTCCTGTTACCCATGACCCGGTCAATGAGTACGATTGGGGCTCGGATGCCGACTGCCTCGTCGCCGACCCGCTCTCGCCCAGGTTCATGGACCTGTGGCGCACGACGGCCCGGCGTAACACGGAAATCTTCTCTCGCGCGTTTCACCCCGTGCCGGATGACAAGGTGCGCACGTGGAAGGACTATGAAGAGTTCTTTAGCAAGTATTTTGTTAACCCCGGGGAGTCGGCGGAGAAGCAAGCGGAGGGGTATAAGCAGGGCAAGGTGGACTACGGGCATGTGGTCAAGGAGGAGTTCCCGGGCGGTGTGGAGGAGCTGAAGGCGTGGTTAAGCGGGGTGAGGGGGACCCTCGTGGAGATGCCGTTGGGGTTCTTGGCGGATGAGGAGGATATTGCTAAGGAGGGGCTAGCGTTGAATAGTTTGACGCAGGAGTTGTACACTTGAGGGGGATCGGAAGGTAAAAAGATGGGATGGATACCCGGGTTGGAAAAAAGGGGGAAGGGGGAGGGGGCAGATAGATAAATCGGTTGCGAGATGATATCCTACAATGGCGAGAACTTAACTGACGGGCACATATCTGCTTTATATATATATATATATATATATATTTTCTTTTCTTTTTTTTTTTTTGATTCATCCCTATACAGCGGATCACATACCCTCGAAGAAACTTTTAAAAAGGCAAAGGAAGGGAAGTGCTAAATGCATAATAAGGCATACAAATACACAGACAAACCAACCCCTACCCTCTACCATACGTAGCAGTCAACCATCCTCCTAACGCCCCTCTCTAACCAACCACAATCAGACAAACCTTCCTTCGGCCCCTGAGACTACTAGACTGACCGCTCGAAGCTCACTCATCATCCTCCAGCTCCTCCACGCGCGGCGCCACATACCCAGTGCGCTGAACAGGCGTCGCGGACACGACCTTGGTTTCGGTGGCCGTGGTTGTAGCACTGGGCGGGGCCGGCTGGCCGGTCGTGGCCGCGAAGGTGGCCGCGGCGTTAGCAGACCCCTCCTTAGCGGGAGAACCAGAGGAGCCGTCCTTCTTCTTGGACTTCTTCTTTTTCTTTTTTGCTGCTGGCGGGCTGAAGACTGTGTTAGTCCCTATGACAGGTAGTAGGAACAAGAAACGTGGGGGAGAGGGCGGCTTACCTCATGCCAAGCCCACACAGGCTTAAAGCTATCAATCACCGAGACGTCCTCCCATAGGTTCGGGAACAGCCACAGGCCGGGAGGCACGACAAAGTAGGTCACGCAGAACAAAATGACGCGGAAAATCGCCATGGCGAAGAACAGCCCCATAAAGCACAGGAAGCCCCAGCTCAGGTAGTACCCGCCCTGCCGCAGCTTAGCCGGCCACAGCGGGTAGCACACCAGCGCGAAGATGGCCACCAGCGCCAGCGCCGCGTACACCTTGCGCATCACCTGGGGACCCTCCCACAGCCAGACATAGTACATATCGTCGCCGGCCTCTTGCTGCGGCTCGATACGGACTGTCCAGAGCCCCTTCACGCGCTTCTTCTTTTTCTTGGGCTTTTGGCCCGGTGGGTGGTCGTGCCCGTGGCCGTCGTCTTCTTCGGCTTTGACCACGCGCAGGGCGAGCATCGAGAGGGGAAGCAGCTTGAATGCATTTTCGAGGGAGGCGCGGTCGGTAATTTCGGGGAGGGCGGGGTTCTTCTTGCGTGCTTGCTGGTAGGCGTCGGATTGCAAGGCGCGGAGGGCACGTTTGACCTGGTTTTGTTAGACTTGGCTTCGCCGTTGGTATGGACGGTTAGGACATACGCGGAACATGTCTTTGCGCTCGCCGTTCAGGATACAGGTGCGTGTCTTCAGATTCTGGCTGCGCAGGAACTTAGCCAGCGCGATGGCAACCGGGTTGGGCGGGCCCGGCACAATACGCTGCGGCTGGCCACGCATAACTTGGTGCTGATGAGGATGCGGGTGAGGGTGAGGATGGGGATGAGGATGGCCGTGTGGGTGCTGATGTTGGGGCTGAGGTTGACCCTGAGGACCGCCCTGAGGACCACCTTGGGGTCCCCCTCCTTGCTGCTGCTGCTGCTGTTGCTGCATCTGCTGCATGCGTGCTTGCATCTGCTCGGCAGCTTGCTTCCTGAGATGCTCTGGCGACTGTTAGCTGGAGTTTTGATTCCAAGAGAACGATGGCGCAGCTCACCGATGAACTGCGGCACGGTCATGCCGGCCTTCTCAGCGTCCATAGCCAACTGCCGCTGCATGGCGGCGATCTGCTCGGGACTGGGCATTGGCATCGGGCCGTTGGGGCCCATGACCATCGGAATTGGGCCGGGCATTGGCCCGGGCATTGGGCCTGGCATCGGCCCATTAGGAGGAGGAGCGGCCATGGTAGTTGTGTGGATGGGAATGGTTGTCGCCGAAGCTGGAAGGGAAAGTCGAAGAGTATCAGAGCGGGAGGTGGAGAGTCGAAGGAAAGGTCAATGGTGCCTGCACCAGAGCTGTTTGTCAATCGGTCGAGCTCGCCGCAAAAAATCTGCTCGAAAATTTTGATGTCAGCGACCAAAAAAAACCGCCGCTCGATGCCGATGCTGGACGCGATGAGGGAGGCGTTGCGTTGCGCTGTGCGATTTTCTCGTTACTCTTACTCTTTTGTCCCGTGTCGACATCGAATCCGTACACGTATCCCAAGACCCCTGTCATGCACCTGGCCTGTGCCCCTGGAGCTGCCAAGCTAAAGATTGTGGGGGGAGCTTGGCGCCGTTCTGGTCTTGGCATGAATTAGGTAAGCTAGTAAGCACAGATCGGAGCGGGGCTGCTTTCCTCCGAGACAAAGGTGTGGCTTTTGTAGCACATGACAGATAGGGCTAACGCCACGGCCGGCTCAGCCACACCGCCAAGATAAACACATTGGTGGATCTGCGATCTGTTTCAAGATTTCGCTGCTCCACAGCCGAGACAGTTGTTGCTTGTCTCATCAAGATCCGCACCGTTGGATCCCAATCAAAATGCGCATCGTCAGCAGATCAGTTTCTCGTCAAAACAGCCCAATGCGACTCAAGTGTCCATTTGCAGTTCCGCAACGCTCGTATCTCGTACAATGTCAGTCCGCGACGCTCTGCGCAAACCGAGGCATGTTGACGACTCTGTCCTGAGTCGCGCAATGTCTTGAAGCCGCATAGAGGGATGGCTTGGACGAACGAACAAAGCGACACACCAGAACACCGAGGGCTGTTCGTGGCCAGGTTACGGTTACGTACAACGCGCGCAGCCGCGAGGGTGCGGTGCGGGCTGCAAACTTAGTTCGGCCGGCTACGGATGGGAGGCCGTCTGCTGTTTCAGAAAAGAATAGCAACACCGCGTCCCACAGCATATGGATGGTGTTCTTTTTGACGGTGAAATTAGGGACGAATCTCTCGTAGGCGGGGCAGCCAATCTCGACGGCCACGCGACCCTCTCAGGAGAGACAGGCGTGGCAATGCGGTCGCAGCGCCGGCTCGGAGACCCTCTTTCTTCCTCCTGTGCCCTGGCAGAGTGAGACAGCGTCGTTGATGTTCTGCATGCCGTGGCGTCTGCGCACTCTGACTGGCTGCCCACTACGTGCCCGCCGCTGCCGAGCCATGCCCACCAGTCAGCCTGTCCTTGCCCATCATGTCTTTCAAAACACACTGCCTTGGCCCCAGCCCTAGGTAAGCAGGCTTGTTGGCAGTCTTGCGCATGCTTGTACACCATCATAGGGGGGGTGTGCGGGTGTCCCAGGTGGCTCTCAAGCGCCGCTGTCCGATCATCAACACACCCCCGAGCTAACCTAAATCTAAGCGCCAACTGGTTCCCGTCGGCCATCAACCAACCTATCAGATCTCATCCCCTGTGACAGCACTTGGGCCTCTGTACATCACCTTGGTCAGCGCAACCCAGTCGACCTGAACACGATCTCGTCTGGTCTTGCTTCAGCCCTATCATGTAAAAAGATGCTGTTCCTTGCCGGCCCCCCCCCCTTCTTCTCTTTTGTCCTCGTGCCTCTGTACTTGGTGATGATGATCCCCTACTGCTGCTTACTGCTTTCCTAGTGCTGGCCGCTAGACGTTCATTTCCCATGGCATGACATCCCCTCCTTCTGCTCGTTAGCTTATACTTTATTTCTTATCACTACCTTTTCTTATTCTTCATAGCCGTCATGGCATCTTCCTGGTTCTCTACTCTTTTTTTCTGTTGCAGAGCCGACGAGAAGCCTCGTCGCGACTCGACTCGGGGGCTCACGGACGTCAGTGAGAGCAACATCGCCATTATGCGGGACCAGCCCGCCCCTACCCCGCGTCCCACGGCCGAGCCGCTCTGGAGAGATGAAGAGACGTATGAGAAGTTGAGTCGCCGAAGGGCAAGGGAGCGCTCCAGGAAGCAGGGTAGCCGGGATACCACGAAAAAGTCATTGTTCTCACGGCCGTCAACTCCTGTTCGCCGTCTTCAGATCTCGGGCCCGATGGACTTTCGGCACTTGCACCATGAAGCCGGTCCCTTTGACTTTCTTGAGCCGCCACGGCAACGTCCTCCGTCATTTCGGCCAATCGAGCTGAGCATTTACAAGCCTAACAACCGGCTGTCACCAATCTTGCCACACATTCTAGGGGAGAACACCACCTACCCGCAGCCGCCGCCCCGGGCGTACACGGGGGACAGGGCACGAAGGGAAATCGATGAGGTTATGATCAGCCCGGAGAGGAGCAACTCGGCCATGTCATTCCATCTGCCACGTCGGCATACGCGCCAGAGCTCGGCAGTGTCTGATGCGAGCAACCCCCCACCCATCCCTCCTAAGTCGAGGGCTCGTGCCTACACTGCGCCAAGCACCGAGCGCATTATTGAACGCATTGCTAGCAAGCTGATAGAGAAGGAGCGGCTGCAGGCTGAGATCGACTCCATCATTGAGCGCCAGAGCCTGTACCTCAATAGCCGGCCGTCTACGAGCTATGATATGACAGGTATTATTCACGCTTCCTAAGTAATGACCGCAGGGACTAACAACACCCAGGCCTCGAGCCGATGCCCTCGATCCCGGCCCTCCCAGCAGCCGCACCCTCCTTTGCCGAGCGTCTCAGTCTCGATGAGCGCCGTCCACGAACAGCCCCCGGCCGCGCACAAACCGTTTCCATCCCCGAAGATACGGTCCAACTAGCCGCCGCCCGCTCACCCCCTTACTCTCCTCCTTCTCACCCAGCCGAAGACCCTTACTTCCTCGACCGCCCGCTCGCCCCTCCCTTACCCCTCGTCCTGCGCCCTCCTCTCCGCAAAAAGAAATCCTTCTCCCGCATCTCGCACTGGCTTGCGCAGCACCCCTCGACGCACGGTATCGCCGAGTTGGAGGGGGATTCTACGTACGCCCCAGCGGCAGCTGTCACTACGGTACCCAAACCGCTGCGCGAGAGCGATGGGTTCTACCAGTGCCTTGCCCCGCCGGAGGGGTTGCCCAGGACGAGTATGGAGACGTCGTCGTCGGTGTATACCAGGGATGATGAGGTTCTTGATGGGGAGTCGGATAGGGAGGAAGCTGGGACAGTACAGACTACGGTTGGCGGCACGACGATGGTGGGTGGGTCGTCCCCGGAGCAGACGCCTAGGAAAGGTTGGTCGCCTGCGAGTTCGAAGCAGGGGACACCGGTTGTTGGGACTGGAGAGGGGGTTGTTGGGAGGGTGGGGGTTGCTTTTTGATTTTTTTTTTATTCAGTCGCTGCAAGTGGCGATATCTTCCTTTTTTACTTCCTTTTTTTTGGTGGTTTTCCCAGCAAAAAGGCTGTGAATATTGGGTCACTGTCGGGAGGATGATACCCGCTGGGCGCATGGTTCTACGAAGGGACAACATAGACGGACACATACACGGAGATTTACACTATATCTACCTTATCTGCACTTACTGTCGAGCCGGATGCTTGACGTACTGACACTAGCGATTGACTTTGTTAATTTTCTTTGTTATTCTCAATAATACTATGATATCAAGCGTTGCGTTGGACAACGACCAACTTGGCTGATTAGAACACTGAGCTGACTTACTTCTTGACCCAGGTCTTCTCCTGGTGTTGGTGCAGCATTGTGTTTGCTGACGACCATTTCTCCTATCAATTGTGTAACAAGCCTGTACCATGAGACCCGATACATGACACAAATTACCTACCTAGATCATAATACCTAACCGCCGTGTTGTCGGTATCCAACGGTGACGAGTCGTTGTCCTACGCGGTTGGCCGGCTGGTTATATTACCTAAGCGCCGGGGTTAGGGTCGGTCGACAAGATGGTGTGATTGAGGTGCAAAATCCCGATCCTCTTTTTTTTTTTTCCTGAGACAACGGGTTAAGGAAATGGCAATCTGGTGTTAAACCTCAAACCCGCGCCGCTCGGTTACCTGCTGTAATGCGCTTACTTATATTGCCGTTGACCGATTGTGTGTAGGTGCAAGTATGGGAGTTACACAACGCTCCTGTAGCTACTTTAGTCCCTACCTTACACCCTGTAACACATGCCACCGTCGGCCACCCGTTTCATCCCGCTGACAGCCGTTGTAAGTGCGACTTCCACAAATTCAAATGTTCAGTCGGGATTTTCCATCCCATCCGCATGCCCCCACCAACCGACTCAAACAGTCGCTCGGTCGGTCAGTATCCGTTGAGTCGGTCATTGATCTCCGTTCTCGAAATTCTGGAAGCCTTCCATCCCTGAACCTTGACCCCCACTTGTACCCCGACATCGACCCTAGGATGGCGCCAGGGACACAGCGGGGCAGGGCGGGCAGGGCAGGGCTGTGACTGTGACACCGATCGGATGGATGGCTTTATACCAGGCGGGCGGCAAGGGGGGGGATCGTATCCTTGATTCTCCCAGTTGCGTGTTGCGTGCTCGATCGGCTTACGTACATATAGACCCTACTGCTGTTGTGTGCGCATTGCATCCGATGGAACGTGGCGGCCAATGATTCACTGAACTTAACGCCTTTAGTCGACAGCAATCAGCGTTGGGCTGGGTCCCGGTTAAAGTGATTGGGTCGGGAGTCGGCCGGGTCGGCTCAGGTCGACCCAGGGCAAGACAAACACACGGAAACAGGAAAACGCCATAGCAGCGGTTTTGAGTCACAATGCCTTTGCTTGCGCCCAACACATTCAGTTTGACAGGTTGACTTGAGGGATGGTCCAACACCCGCTTCGCTCGAGCACAACGCGACCACGACCGAGCCCGAGCATCAACCCCAGCCTAAGCCCAAGCCCAAGCTCAAGCCCAAGCCCAAGCTCAAGCCCAAGCCCAAACCCCGAACTCAGACGGCGCACTGCATCTTCGTCGCGACAACAGAGTCGCAGTCGCACGCGACATCCCCAAAGGCGACGGGACCACCAACATAAAGAGCAACAGCAGGGCTCGGCCTCCGCGTCTGAGTCCAAAACTACGTCTGTAATGGACGCGATCAGACAGCTGGTCGAGCGAGCCCAGCAACGCGCGGGTTACGTGCCCATCCCCGGACCCGATCCTGAACTCGACCGTGCCGCCGCAAGCATCTCAGGCTCAGGCGCAATCACACCGATTCAAACTGCGATTCAGGCGTGCGCAAAACCGGCTAGGCGTGCTGTCAAGGTCTCTGCGGCGGGGATATTGGCTGTGATGTTGGGGTTTTTGGCTTTCGCGTCTAGGCATGTTTACTCAGTCACCACTCAATTGTGTTAACGGGTGCTGACACAGGACAGTAACTCCCCTCGCGTCTGCGACACTCCTGGGCAAGGATTCCAATGCCACACGCCGATTTCCCACTCTTGGGGGCAATACTCCCCCTTCTTTTCAGTCCCCTCTGCCATCAATCCTGACCCTCCGTCGCTAGACCTAAACGGCTGCGAGCTCACCTTCGCGCAAATCCTCTCCCGCCACGGGGCGCGCGCGCCAACCCTCGGTAAGGCTACTCTCTACGCCGCTCTTGTAGCACGTATTCGCGAAAGTGTACCACCGGGTCAGTACGGGTCAGGTTACGAGTTCCTGGCGAACTGGGAGTATAACCTCGGCAAGGAGGGGCTCACGCCGCTGGGCGAGCAGCAGATGGTCAACTCGGGCAAGAAATTCTACGCGCGATATCGCTCGCTGGCGCGCGAAAATATCCCCTTTATCCGAGCAGCGGGCATGGATCGAGTCGTCATGTCCGCAGTGAACTGGACGAGAGGTTTCTACGAGGCCCGCCGCGACGACGGCCTCAGCGAAGACGATCACCCCTGGCCATGGCCCATCCTCGAGATTCCCGAGACAAAGGAAGAAAACAACACTCTCCATCACGGCCTCTGCACCGCCTTCGAAGAAGGCCCTTACTCCACCATCGGCGCCTCCGCCCAAAAAACGTACTTATCAACCTTCGCTCCCCCGATCACAGCGCGTCTCAATGCCAACCTTCCCGGCGCCAACCTCTCCGACGCCGACGTCATCCTCCTCATGGACCTCTGCCCCTTCCACACCGTCGCCTCGCCATCGTGGACGCTTTCCCCTTTCTGCACTTTGTTCACTCCCGCCGAATGGCAGCACTACGATTACTACCAGACCCTGGGGAAATGGTACGGTTTCGGCCCAGGCAACCCCTTAGGTCCGACGCAGGGCGTCGGCTGGGTGAATGAGCTGATTGCCCGGTTGACGGGACAGCCCGTGCAAGATCGCACGTGTGTCAATCACACTCTTGATTCCAATCCGAGGACGTTTCCCCTGAAAAGGAAGCTGTATGCCGATTTCGGGCACGACAACGACATGGTTAGTGTGCTGGGGGCGTTGGGGCTGTATGAGGGTGTCGGGGCGCTGCCGAATGTGACGAGGAAAGAGGCTGAGGAGATCGGGGGTTTTTCGGCGGGTTGGACGGTGCCGTTTGCCGGGAGGGTTTATATTGAGAAGATGAGGTGTCGGGCTGGGGATTGGAAGAAGAGACGCGACGGGGAGGGGGAGGAGGAGGAGGAAGAGGAAGAGGAGGAGTTGGTCAGACTGCTGGTTAATGACCGGGTTGTGCCATTGAGGGGGTGTGAGGCTGATGAGATGGGTCGGTGTAGGCTCAGTAATTTCGTCGAGAGCCTGAAGTTTGCCAGGGAAGGGGGGAAATGGGATTTATGTTGGACATAGGTATGGGGTGGGGAGTACTGATGTCAAGTGATACCCGTGCGTGTTTTGTCTTGGATGTCTTGGTTTGGGTCTTATACGAGCGCCATGTCTTGCATTTACGGGTTCGAGTTCGGTCGGCAATATAAGAATATAAGACCTCCCTGTATTTACCTGGCAATTCTTCAGGATCCTGCTGTTGAAAGCGTGAGGTTTAATGGGCTGAGGCATTCATCCGTTTTCATCGTGTCTCTTCCCTGTTTATCTCCTTAGCGGTGGGAAAAGCCTATCTTTAGGCCAAACCTAGCTGAAAAATTCCCCATTCTCTTCCAGACTCGCAATCTGTCATCGACCGCGATGAACCCCTTCCCACAGCCCCGCGCCCATCAGATTCTATGCCACCTGGTTACCACAATATCTCATCAGTTATCAACTTTCCATGTCATCGTGTCATGCCGACTTCGCCATGTTGCTGTCCTCGATAGCATGCATGATCGCTCAAGTTGACTACAAAATGTTATGAGCTTTTGGCGCGTTGCTGAAAATCACCACAGCCAACTCAGCATTGCTGAGTTACTGAATAGCCGTTCTTTTTTTTTTTTGTTTTTTGACACGTACCCGCTCGCAAGTCTTATTGAACGGTCAAACATGCCAGGAGGACCGCGGCGGTTTTCAGGCTTGGATGGTCATACTGTGCTGCAGAGTTGACAGCAGGTCGAGCCAGTAGGGTTTAAGATCTGCAGTTCCTCTGCTATGTGGGTGGTACGATCACAAGTCGGAACCAGAGTCGGGTTGTACTATACAGCCGCGAAGAACTTAGCCATAAGTGTTTGAACCTGTCGACCGCCTAGCGTCTCACACGTCTTACTGTTAGGCATGTCGGGAAGTTTTCTTACCTCTTTTCTCCGTTCCACTGTGCTTACAGAGTTCTACAATTTTCTTCTTCACAAGGGTCTCGTTGTCTCGTGCTCGATAACTCTGTTCCAAATCTCTCTCAAACCTTGACAGTTTTTTGCTCCTGATTTCAGATGTTCTTGAAGTGTGTGATCCATTAATGTGATGAATCTGATGATTCTAATGATTCATGTAGCTGCTGTTTCGAGGGGTGGGAAGTGGTGGGTGAAACATGGAAAAGCGCATGGGACACCAAGGCGGCCAACACAACAGAGTTGGACAACACGGAGGAGCCCTGGACTATCTGGGGCAGACGAGCTCTGGGTCCATTTTTACAAGAGATGGCGGCGATGGTCGTTCTGGGCAGCTGCCAGATATACCTAGCTTGGACAGCAGGATCTGGAAGTACCTATACCATGGAAGCCAATAGATGAGCATTTCTCCATGCCTGGTGATTCATAACAACTCTTCAATCACCAATCAGCCTCCCAACCCGCCTCTCCATCCCCTCCTCAAACTCCCTTACACCTCCCTCCAACAAGCTCAACTTCCCCCCAGCCAACTTATACACTACCCGTCGTCTCCCAACCCCCTCCCCATCCTTCCTCCCCTCTTCTTCCTCCTCATCCTGCTCTTCCTCTCCATCCTCATTATCCCTTTCCCCCTCCACAACCCCCCTCATAAACCAGCGATCATGGCTCACAAGCACAACTGCCCCCTCCCACTCCCTCAACGCCTTCCTCAGCCCAGTAACCGTCTCATAGTCCAAATGCGTCGTGACCTCGTCTAGCACGAGACAGAGCGGTCGGCGCCAAAGCAGACGGGCAAGTTCCAGCCGGACGAGCTGGCCGCCGGAGAGGCGGCGGATAGGCACTGACGAGACGAGGTTGCCTCGCAGGCCGAGAGAGGAGAGAAGGCCGCGGATGTCGGATTCGTCGAGGCCGGCGTCGGGCGAGACTTCGGAGGTGAGGAGGGACAAGGCTGTCAAGGAGGGGTCGGATTGGCCTAGGCGTTGGAGAGCCTCGACTGCGTGTTGGGAGTAGTAGGCTAGCTTGAGGCGTGGATCTGGAATATGTTAGCCATCAGGAAACTGTAGAAGGTAGATCCGGAAGAGGAGCTCACGAGTTGTCACATTTCCCGTAACCTTCGCCCCAGCCGGAGCGGGATCCCCCACCAGCAGCCTAATCAACGTCGACTTGCCCGCCCCATTAAGCCCCAAAATCCCAATCCGATCGCCCATCCCGACCGTCAAACTCACATCTATCAACGTGGCTGGCGGCCTAACCTTCTGCCCCTTCTCCCCCGCATACCGAAACGACACCTTCTCCAACGAGATCAACGACCCAGGAAACCGGAGCTCCGTCGGATCCGGCAACACAATTGTAACGCCCCTCTCCTCCTGGGGCACAACAATCTCCGCTCGCGAGGAGGTATGCCACCCAACTAGATCCCGATTCAGCTTGAACCGCCCACCCTTCTCATTCACCTGCATGCCCATGCGATCTTCGAGCCTCTTTTGCCGACTCTTGGCTTGTCGGATCTTGTTCTGGTCGTCGTTCTTGCGCCCCTGGATCAAGTTCTGCCGGATGGACTCCTGCATGTGGGCGCGCTGCTTGTCCTGTGCCTCCTTCATCTTCGTCAGGTAGATCCGCTTCTCGGCCTGCGCGGCCTCGTATGAGGGTAGGTCGCCGTGGAAGTAGGTTAGCTCCTTATCCTTGAGGATGATCAGGTCCGTGCAGACGGACGAGGCAAAATCGCGGTCGTGAGAGACGAACACCAGCGTCGGCGGTGTGGCGAGTGTATCCTCCATGTGCTGTAACCACTTCTGCAGCCACAATATCCCAAATAAGTCCAAAAAATTTGTCGGCTCGTCCAAAATAAGAATATCCGCCTCCTTAAGCAGCGCCGTAGCCAATGCGGCCCGCATCCTCCAACCCCCCGACAAACTACCCGCTGACTTCGCCATATCCCCCTCCTTGAACCCCAACCCCATCAATATCTTCTTCGCATTACCTTCAACCTCTGCCATCCGACTCGGCTCAACCTGCGCCTGCAGCTCGCCCAATAAATCCGCCGCTTCTTGCGTCTCGGCCTGTAGCGTCTCGGAGGATATCTCTTTCGGAGGCTGGCTGAGCTGTGCCTCGGCGGCCGCGACCTGTTTTTCGTACTCGACGAGGGCTTTGCGAGCTTGTAAGCCTCGTGTGCCGCTGCGGAGTCGGGCGTCCTTGTCGAGGACGAAGAGACGTTTTTTCATGCGGTCGAGACGGAGTTTGCGGAGGGCGAAGACTGCATCGTGGGGGAAGGGGCTGTTGAGGCCGGTGGAAAGGGCTGGGGCTGTTAGATGGTGGTTGGAGTGTTATAGGATGGGAAGGGGGGTCGTACCGTTGATTTCTTTTTCAAGTTCTGTCTTGGATGTGGCTTTGTCGATGACCTCTTCTAGGACGGACGGGCCATCGGATGGCCCTGATGTCTCGGGCAGGTCATCGGCGTTGACGTCTTTCACACTGGTCTGTTGCAGGATAGAGATCCTCGTCTCCTCGGGTATCCCGGGGATGAGTTTCTCGGCGATGGCCCTCATGAGTGCTCATCATGGCAACAGTCAGCATCCATCTTCCGAAATAGCCCATCTAAAAAGACTTACTTGATTTCCCCGTTCCATTTCTGCCAACAAGGGCATAACGGCCCCCAGCCTTAAGCCTTAACTTGGCATTGCTCAGGATTTCGGTACCCTCCGATGCCTTGGCCTTGCCTCTTCCCTTAGCCTCACCATTATCTACCGGTCTGGATGTGACTGTGATATTGAGGCCCTCGACATCGAGCTGAAAAATGGTTCGGTCAGCCCAAGAGCTGCACTCTGAATGTGGGGTAGTCTCACCTCCCGATAGTTCGGGCATTTGATGTCGAAGCGGGTCTGCTTGCACGACACCAGGATGGTGGCAACCGACTCGGACGCTATTGATGTCATTTTTGTTAGATTTTGTCGTGCTTATTTGAATGCCTAAGTTATCTGGCTAGCTGTCGTCGGGAGTTAGCGATTTATATCCGAAGACCAAGGCCGGTTTCTTGGCGTTCCTAAACCGAACCTTGATAGTTCGATTAGCCAAGACCTTCTAGAACATGTGCTTTGGTGCCAATTTTGCCTGATTCGGCCTGAGTCACGCCGGCCAGCGCTGCGACTGTAGCAGATGTGTTGTGTAGGGGGAGTTGCCAATCACCAGCTGCCCTCAAAGAAATGAACCATATGCGTCCCTTTCACCAAGGGGGCCCGACCAAACATCATCATTTCATTACTCATAAGCCTACGAATTAGAGATAACATGTCCAATAAGAACCATAATAATACCCAAGGAAAATCCAAGTCGCGTCGGCGTGCCTAGCTCGAGAAGAGCACTCCATATATGGACAAACGCAAAGTAATACACCACCGCTAAGCCCAAAAAATCCTCCTTTGACAGCGAAATCCCCCCCCCCCACCTCCTCTATTTGAGGGCTTACACCGTCCCAATAAACACCTCATGCCCAACCTCATGCCGATACCCATCCAAACTAACCTTATCATGATGGATATCCGGCCTAGCACGACCCATCTGCGTGGCAAACGTTTGCGTCGGCCGCCACTTACTGGACTCGCGGGCCGACGTTTCCTCCATCATCTGGTCGATTTGCTCGAGGGTGAGACCCTTCATCTCGGGCACGCAGAAGTAAGCGAACAGTGTCGAGCCGACGCAGCAGGCGCCCCAAATGAAGAAAACTTTGGGACCGAGGTCGGCCGAGTGCTCGTCGTTGCCGACCATGTAGGGCGCGACGAGGGCGATGATCATGTTGAAGAGCCAGTTGGAGGCGGTCGAGATACCGACGCCGCGGGAGCGAATAGGCAAGGGGAAGAGCTCACTGGGAGGTGTTAGCACAGCTTTTGGCAAAGAGAGCAAGGGATGCACATACCCAACCAAGATCCAGCCAACGGGACCCCAGGTCGAGGCGAAGAAAAAGATGAAGATGCAGATGAAGGCAATCATGGTCTTGACGGCGGCATCGTTATGCTCCTCAGGGCGACCGGCTGTGACACCAATGACAGCGACAACGAGCTGGCTGATGACCATGCCGGTACCGCCGTAGATCAAGAGGGGCCGACGGCCAATCTTCTCGACGGCCCAAAAGGAGATGGTAGTCGAGACGACGTTGACAAGCGTCGTGACGAGCGACATGAAGAAGGGGTCGCTGATCGTGCCGAGCTGCTGGAAAAAGGTCACGCCGAAGTAGAAGATGAAGTTGATGCCTATCTTTCTGTCAGCGGAAGACCTATGCAATCCTGACTTCTAGTACATACCAGTAATCTGCTGGAACAGCTGGGAACCGCAGCCGATCAGGGTGCGACGCAGGTTGCCGCCGCGCCTGCGGAAGCCGCCTTGGAAGCAGGCCAGCCAGGAACCGATGTAGCTCATCTGTGGGATCACCTGCATTTCGTACTCGTGGTTGGCGACGATTTCTGCCAGCTCATCTTTGATGTAGTTGGAGTCGACCGGCTGGCCACGAACACGAGAAAGGTCCTTCGCGGCCTCCTTGATCATGCCCTTCATGACATGATAACGGGGAGATTCAGCTGCTCCTGTTAGCGTGAGCGAATTTACCAAGAGACCTTGCGGGTACTCACGAAGCAAGAAGAGACCAATACCCAAGATCACAGCCCAGATGAACTGCACACCAATGGGGATACGGTACGAGCCAGGGTCATTCCGGGCCTGGGTGCTGTATACTACACAGTTTGCGAGCAAAATACCGACAGTGATGCAGAACTGGTAGCCGGCGACGAGCGCACCACGGACCTTACGCGGCGCGACCTCGGCCATGTACAGGATAATGACAGCAGAGATGAAGCCGACACCGAGACCGGCAATCAGACGGCCCATAACAAATAGTGCCGTCTGGTTGGTCGAAGCAATCTGCATCGAGCAGCCGATACAAAAGACGAAACAGCCGGAAATAATAGTCGGACGACGACCAATGTAATCGGCAACATCACCGGCAACGAGAGACCCAAGGAATGTACCGCAGGACAGAATCGAGGTCATGAGAGACTTTGTCGATGATGGCAGACCAAACTTTGTTGGATCGACCCCGATGGGCTTCCCGGCTTCGTAGTCGTATTGCATACCCGTATACATTGTAATAAAGTAAGGCATGCCGAGCACACCCGACATCCAGCCGGTATCATAGCCAAAGACTGCGCCATGTTAGCGCTACGATCATCGTACCTACGTATTAAGAACACATACAGATACCGCCAAAGGCAGCGAAAGCGCACAGAAGATAGGCACCGAACGAGACGGGAGCCTCAACACGTCTCAGATCGGCTGTTCCCTCGATGGGGAACAACACGGCGCCGACCATGCTGTTGAACGGAGCCACGGTGCCGGTTTAACAGCGGAGACCACGGAACAAGCCGTACAGAGAACTGACTTGGTGAAACGGAGAGCTGGCGTTGGCCTCGGTGTGGATGGTTGATCGTTGGAAAGATTCAGATGGGGGCCGAGGACATAACCTGGGGAATATAAACCACGGCAGCAGAGGGGAAACGGTTTCCCAGGCAAACCGGCGGGTAGGACGCTAGCGTAGAGGCTCCAAAGGGCCAGGCCAGGGCTAACTACGCCGGTAGGGTGTAGTCTAGTAAATCTACTAGACCATGAAGCCGTCGTCGCACAGATCAAGTTGTTAACAGGAGCGTCGAGGACCGGTGAACATGTGCGGCGGCATGGGCTGACAAAGAAATAAGATTCCGGCAAACAATGGGAGACTTTTGTCTGCAGGGCAATCGAAGCCTGCACCCGCTTCTCTTGTCATTGATCTCCTGTCCCACTCTCGACCAACAAAGGGGCTTGCCACTCGATATCGGTGATTTGCCCGACTTGAAGCCCTTGGGCAACCCAGCCAGCGTTGTGGCGCTAGCTCAGCCTAGTTACCGTAGCCGACGCAGCGACCCCAGAACTCCAACAGGGCAACATGCAGCAGGCGGAGCAAGGTGGGAGCAACAGGGGTTGTGGATCGTGGATTTGCGAGAAACCCCATTTCCAGGATCCATTGCGATTTTCTCATTGAGGCGCAGCCTATCGGCGTCCCAGGGCTGATCAAACACTCCAAAGCGCAACATAGTATTTTCTCCCTCAAGAAGCCCTCGCTCGCCTCGACCTCATGAACCTCGCTATTCCAGCTCACTCCGTGATAGCAGACGACGAGGAATGACCCAGCGCTCTCCCCCATGGGGAGAAGCTGTTGCAAACGCCGTCCCACGCTAGCGGTCGCGATATCCACGACGTCGTGGCGCTAGTAATCAGAGGATGGAGTCTGCATGTTGCTGACACTCCACAGCCCTGCATGCAAAAGCGCCTTCGGATTCTTGGGAGCACAAAGCGGCCGTTGGCTTGCCACGCGCCTTGGCTGCAGCCGTCAAGGCTTTTGGCAAAGGGAAGATGCTGCAGCTGCTGATGGGCGCAGCGGATAGACCGAGCTGTCGCCGTCGATTCCTTGTCTAGTGCACCGGCCGTCCATGTCGTTCAAATTCCGGCGAATCTTCGACACCATTGCTTTCTTTCATTGAACGCGGCGGGGCTCGGCGTCCGATAGTCAGCCCGCTGGCATTTCTATCCTCAACCTCCGAAACCTCAACACTCCGGCAAAAGATCGAGAGCCTCGATGGCGAACAAAGCGGCATCTGGATCGATCTATTTTGATTGCAAGCTCCACGACGCTAGCAGCGCCGGTGGGGATGGCCAGTTTTATCAGCGAAACGTGACTGCAGGAGGCAGCATTTCGGCGGATCCTGCGGATCCCACTGCCCCTTGCAGACCTTGCTGCCTCGTGCCAGCCATTCATCTAGCCAAAGACTCGAGCCAAAAAGCTTGATGGTGGGCTTTCTGCGGATCTGCCCCACAATTTCCCCGCGTGCCGGCCTTGGCGGATCCGTGCGCCGAAGCCACTCTAACTTGCCGAACTCTGTATGGCTGGAGTGCACGGGCCACATCGTTCGTCGCGGTTGGAAAACAGGGCTGAGCCGGCTCTCTAACACCAGGCCGTCGAAGTAATGGTGATGCTCTTCTCGTCGCATACCACGCCAACCGATCTGTTGGGATGCACGTTCCCTGTCGCAGACTCCGCGCGCTAGCCGTCGACATCCGATGGAAGGGGACCGAGCGGCGAAATTATCGAGGAAGCTTCGGAGGTTGACCGCCAACGACCTGTAAAAGTATTCCGCTCGGACCTTCTGAGCCCCTGATATCATAAACCTCGGTTGAAGTCGCCATTGAGAGCTCTCATCTCCCTTATCGTAATGAGTTCAAAATCATCTCACCAGTTCATCTCACCTTAATAGTACCTATGGAGTAGCTCTCTTTAACATCAATTGCGACAGCATCCCGAGCCCTAACCCATCGGCTGCATCATTCATTTTTTGACAGGACGACGGTCCACACGTCTCCCGAGGTGCTCCAGAGCTTTTGCCGAAGGGTCAAGCTACGGACGCTAGGCACAGATCAACAAGTGCGAGGCCATCGCCGGCTGTCTGCTGGCAAGAGGGGCTGTCTCACAACAGCTCAAGATGCCAAATTGAGATAAAGCTCGACAAGGTCGAGATACAAAAGTGTTCAATGAGGTAGTTGCCTCTTGCGTAGTATGTTAGCATAATCTCAAGAGCGTGTTGCTGTCTGATGGACGCAAGTATGAGGGGGAGCCATGAAATGAGCATCTCCCGTATGGCATCTCTCGACCATTCTGGCTCACTGGGTGCTTAGTGATTGCGAGCACAGTGCTGGACGTCTTGACGGAGACGCTTTCCTGTTTTGCACATCCTGAACCATGTTACCAATCCAGCTCCTCATGCTCTCTTCTCCTGCTGAGCCCGTGTCGGCCGGAAGCCTTCTGCTCGATGGGACTTTACTGTGTGGTGAAGGAGCGCGATCTTTCTTCTGTCAACTACAAGATAATGCAATGTCGACTCATGCATGCCGTCGCCGAAATCATCGGAACAGGAGTGCAAAAGGCTGGTATTGAGTTGGCAGGCAGGAATGAAACATTCTGCGAGCCCTGTGTCACCACCTTGATGATAGACCGAATCCCTTCGGAAGGATCAACTGCCTAAAGGATATAAATCTCTTGACTACGTTCGGGTGGTCATAGTCGAACACAAGCGACGAGGGAAGTACACCGTCCACATCGACGTTTGGTAGAACTTCTACTGGGTCAAGTTTGTAACCGACTAGGACAAAAAGAACGTTACCCACGAATGGTCAGTATCGACGGAGGTTCAGAGTTCGGTCAGGCAGTCAGCTCCCAGTGGGATCTCAGGTTTGACCAACAGGCTCGAAGCCAGATGATGGCGGCATACACATAACACTAGACATCAGGTAATTGAACAAGTAAACCGGAAGTCCCTCAGGGGATATCACGACAAAAGCAATTGACGACAATCTCACACAAGATTCCCTGGTAACATCGGCTATTTGTCGAAGATATTTGATGACTACCATATCTCTTACTCTGTCATCCATCTCGAAGAGCTGCTACATCTTCTCACGAACAAGGAAAATCGCTAACTCGAGCTGGTCCCGGTCACCCACTGCACTTACATGAGAAGATTTTTTTTTTTTTCAATCTCGAAGCCCTTTACGCGAAAACACTCTGTCACTAAGTCACAAGCCTCCTCCAGAGGTGAATCCCAAAAACGTGAGTCCATAGATGCAGCGATGGCGGACAAGGACAAATCTGATACAGACGCATGGCTCAGTTCTACTATCTAGGCTGTGACAAGGGGGATCTCTCTATTCGTGATTTCCGGGTCGTTATCTTTAGAAACAACTCTTTTTTTTTTTCGCGCAGGAGCCGCAGATTCGACCTGTTCTCACGAAGCAGAGCCAAGCACATCAGAAATACCAGCAGAAGACATCATGGTGATAATCTCTGAGTATACTCCTAGAACTCAAGCAAAATGCGTCTAAAAGTAACCAAAGCACCCTTAGGAGGATGCTCCCCAGTTCTTGCCGCTAAAAACAGTGGATGGTCAGGGAAGTCCACGAGCTGTGGTCTGTTTTTCTTACATTGTCGGTGCGTAGTTGCGGTCCTACTGGGAACCTTGCGATGAGTGAGTGGACAGATACCTTACTACCAGCATATCTGAGCAATAAGAAGGAATGGATTTGGAGAAGGTAGTGTTTTCATATAGCGGGCGTTGTAGTGCTCTTATGGGAAGTCTCCAGATTTCTGTTACTGAGTTACAAGGAGAGAGAAACAGGTTTGACTCTTAAGTTAGATGGGATAGCTGAGCTGGAGGGGTAACGTAGTTAGATGAAGCGACTTGCAACAGACCTGCCCTATTTATTTCATAAATTTCCAATGGCTTATTCCAGCTATATCAGTATAACTGTCGTGTCCAAAACTGTCAAACATATATGTCTCAAGCATTTATAAGGGCTCCCACCGCGGGAGGCCAAGGGAAATCTCCGCTGATCCATTTTTGAGATATAGGCCGAATTCCCTCGCAACCATAAAGTGCCAGGGTGTCAAGAGAGGATCGTACCGGGCCAGTGTGGCGTTCATATCTCTTGGCCACATCCCACGTCCATAAGAACACTCCACGAGCTTGCCCATCAGCACGTCGATGTCAGGAGGTCCTTCGCGTCGGCCACAGTTGACATCCACAACCCTGAACCGCTTGGACACCTTTTCGCTAGTGATCACCTCACAAGGCGTGAAGTTCTCGGGGGACACGACGACCATTATGCGCGCTTTCCTAGGGGGCAACTCGGGCTTTCCGAATCGCGATTTCGTCGGCGGCTCGTCATTGTTAGGGTTGAATTCGTACGGGACATCGTCATATCTCGCCCGGCGTAGTGTGAGATGGTCTTTCAGAACTGAATGCATGAGCAACGCCCGCATCAGTTCGTAGAAGACGAACTTTGCTGCGCCCGAGTTGTCAGAACTCCGTTTAAACTGCTGATTGAGCGCGGATGCGTCATACAGCGCGTATGAGGAGTTATCCCAATCTGCAGAATCGGGGTCTGAGTGGCAGTTGAAGAGACACCAACTTGCTTCTTCCTCCGGTGGTGCTGTTCGGTACAGTTCTAGAGTGCTTTGGACAAACCACTCTGCAAACCGCCCAAACACGGGCTCCTGTTTTTCGACATCGACATAACACATATAGGCAGGGTGCCTTAGTATATCCTTGGCGACCTCAATAAACGGGTCTTGACTGTTTGGGTTATCGATAGGATCCATGCCATACTCCCTCCGCAAAAGGGCCGCGAGGCCTTTAAGCGCTTCGTCATAGTTCCAGTCTGGGAATTCCTTCTCTGGATTAAAACCATAGTCGGGCATGATGCTCCTTCCACTGTCCCGCTCCAGAGGCTCATTGTACGTCCGGCTCACGACGGCGAGGAGCAGCAAAACCGTATAAAACGCTCGTTCGACTCGTTCTTGCCATAAGGAAAATTTCTCGCCCTGATAGTGCTGCTTCACTATGGCACAATTCTGCAACCGGCGTTCCAAACATCGTGCGAGGTGTTGTAGGCTAAAAACCATTCCCAGGTCATCGCAATCCGGCATTCGGTACTTCCAAGTGAGCTTCTCGAGATTGATCTTAGGCGGCGGCTCGAAAGGCTGATGCCAGGCTATCCACACGTCGTCAATCGCCCGGGCCTATTGAAACCGGGGTGCGTCGAGTTCTAGTCAGGAAACAGATTTTGAAGGACAGAAGGGCCTGTCATCTTACCGCCATCAAGGCACGGTCAAATGCTGGGATCTCTCTAGACCCGACATGCCAGATGATCACGGAATGGTGCTCCTCCCAGACAGAGGCCAGTCGCCGGCTAGTGAAAATCAAAGCGGCCACATCTCTCAGAGAGTGGCAGTTTAGGAAAATTTGGAGGAGGATCTCCGTCGGGCAGTCGTCAGAAAAGAGTTGCCAGGGCTTGTTGTCCATAGTCGCAACTCTAGGCCTTGACGGGAAGGCCCTTGACTATGACGTATATGATAGAGGCCATGAAACCACGGGCAACTCCAAATCTCGAAAAGTTAGGAATGATTGAATCGTCTTGAGACAATAAGGGACATATAAGCCTGCCAAGCAGAGGGGTTGGAGCCAAAAACAGCATGGACTGCGGCAGTGGTTGTCCAGGCTGCAATCCCTGACCAAATCTTCAGCCAATGTTGTAGCCTTTGAATTAAAGGCTCAATCTATCTCGTTTTCAACCCATCGTTAAAAAAAAAACCTTCCAGATTTATGAATGGAACGATCCTTGTGATCCAACAGCCTGAACATCGATACCAAAAACATAGGCAAACAAAACACACCGGGCAACTCGTGGTGGGGAGGTCTTGGACGGCCGCCACTGGTCCGGTTAGCTCTGGTTACAGCTGTTGGCATCTGCCAATCTGCAAGATGACGTGTAAGCGACGCCGTTGGCCAGGTTTGCCAACCCCTGACAGCTCACCATCGACCCCTCCTCTCTTGCTAACCTCTAGCTTCATATCAACAAACCCTTTAGTATAATTGTAACTCGGAAATTGTAGATATCCACGTGCCAATTTCTCTCTTTTCATCGCTACTCAAACATATTTCATCCCATTTTGCCAAACACCCCAACGAACACACCGTCACCCTAAGATCATCACCGGACCTCTCCGTCACGTTTCCCATTAAAGACAAAAATGCCCATCCGACTACCCGTCCCTTCCCCCATCGAGGACCCCGAATTCCTAGCCACAACCCACCGTCATGCACGCCGCGTCATCGACGGCTTCATCTCGTTCGCCTTTCAGGGCAACGTGCTGGAGATCGCTGTGGGTCTGATCGCAGCCAACATGTTCACGGGGCTGGTCACGTCCCTGGTGAGCGACCTATTGTTGCCCATGCTCTCAATCCTGCTGCCGCCGTTGGACAAGAACTTGGAAGAAAAGTTTGCGGTGCTGAGACCGGGGCCGAGTCATAAGGAAGGCAATCGGTATAATACTATCGCGCAGGCGAGGCAGGATGGGGCGGTTGTTATGGCTTATGGGTGGGTTCAAGCTCTGAGTCTGGTGTCATGTGGAGCAGGAAGTTAGGGGCTGACTGAGAAATATAGGGTTTTCCTCAACCAACTTATCAACTTCCTCGGCGTTGGGTTCGCCCTTTACATCCTCGCATCTGTTTACCAGCATTTCACTCGTGACCCAATCATCAAGCACAAGACCAAGTGCAAGTACTGCCGGCAGGAGATCAGTGACATGGTACCTCGACCAACCCCCATTTCCTATCAACTTATGGACACGCTCTGCTGACATACCAGGCCGTACGCTGCATCCACTGCACAAGCTGGCAAGACGGGCGCGAGGATGTACGCCCTCTCAATCAGTAACCAGTCACCTTCACCACGGCCCTTCATGATTATCCATCGCCAGCTATGTGGTTGCCCACACCGATCTATATTATAAATTATCCCACATCTTTATCTGTATCTAGCGCGCTATTCATATAGTATAAGCCCCTTGATGTGTGTCTATGAATTGGTAACACAGAACAAAACCAAACGAAGAAAACCAGCCCGTTACGGCCGCGTGGACGTAAGTAAAATAGTCACCCAAATTCCCCATCCCCGTCAAAGAATCATAAGAATTAAGCCATCCCCTTCCAAACGAAATTCACCAAAATCACCAACAATACTCCCCCTTAAAGAAGGAATACCGCACCAAGAACACCAGCCACAGCTGCAAGGCCAACCTTCCCGGCAGTACGGCCCGCCCCAGCAATAACCGGCACCCCGTTGGTAACCCCCGGCCCGGAAGGACCCGTCGGGCTGGGCGGGAAGTGAGGAAGGTTGCCCGTGCCGATGGGCACACCGCCGGTACCAACAGGGGTAGGGCACGTCGTGAGGGTGGTGTGCGTCGTGGCAGTGACAGTAGCGCCGGGGCCGCCGGGGGCGGCAGTAGCGGAGCTCTTGCCGGTGAAGGAGGCAGAGGTCGAGCTCTTAGTGACAGGTTCCTCGTCGTCGATGTCGTCGCCGGGACGGCCGGTGGCGGTTGGTTCGGCCGTGCCGGTGGCGGTTGGTTCGGTGGCGGTTGGTTCGGCCGTGTCGGTGGCGGTTGTACTTGGGGAGACAGAGGAGGTAGCAGAGGCGGTCGGGCCGGCAGTGATTGTCACAGGGGAGAGGCCAGTAGCAAAGTTGGTGATGGTGCGAGTTTGGACGGCCTCGAACGAGTAGAAAATTTGGGTCTCGGTGCAGACGCCGGTGTCAGCGGAGGGGTTGAGTTGGCAGTGAGCTACGGAGGTGCTGGGATCGAGTCAGCGGCGGGTTTCTATGGGAAATAGGGGAGAAGTTCGGGGGGTACATACTACCAGTCACCGGCGGTGGTGGTCCACTCCCAGGTCGATGGGCCATAGACGACGCTCATGCCGTCTACGATGCCACAGTCACTGGAGGGGACGCCGGACGGGCAGGAGACCCAGTAGGAGGTGGCGGTCGGGGCAGCGGTGATGATGGAGGCGTGCATGCCGTTCGAGTCGGCGTAGGGCATGAGGATGGAGACGACGTTGTCGGACTGGGCCGCGACGGCCGAGATGCCGGCCGCAGCTAGAGCCAGAGACGACACACGGGCCATGGTTGTGGTAGTCTTTTTTTTTTCTTGGATTAGGTATAGACTCTACGGCAGAAGAAGAAAACGATCGACTATAGTAGGATAGGGGGCAGTTGGTGGGAGGGATAGGTCGGTGAGGGAACGAGTGACTATATGAACGAACGACGGGGCAGTCTGAGACAAGCAGGACGAGGACCTGAAGACAGATGCGGCCGGGAAATGAGATCTATTTATTCAAGACGTCCATACTCCTGGAAGGCTTGTTGATTTCTTGCTACATCGGATGGATTGCACGCTTAATCCTTTCCTGCCAGGGGCTTTAACCAGACACAGCACTTTGATGGCTCAGGGTCCGCTTGAATGCAACGTCAACATACTAGTCGTGCCTCATGCAGCCCAGGGCTGGCTGCTGAGCTGCGCATTGGGAATAGTTGATGGAGAGCTCTGGGAAAGATTTTGTGATAGTTTTTTGGTGCTTGCCAGTTCATCTGGGTATCACGAGAGCATTCACGGGGCTTGTACGACAGACGGTCTGACGTGTAAGACGAAAGTCCTCACGATCTGCTCGGTCGGGTCGGGGTGTTGGTGTTGGCGGTCCCCCGGCCGAGTTATGCACCCAAGGCATGATGAAGACCATGGAACCATCACGGAAGGTCTATCCGTGCCGCAACTTGGACCATGTTTAACCACGTTTGGGCCACGCTGGGTCGGACGATGTGACGGTCGGAGTCCCCGCAAAATTTTCCCCGTCGGGAACGAACGACATCCGCCCGCCTTGGCGTGTTGGCTAACAGTCGTTGGGGAGCAGTCATCAGCAGGTTGGGATCTCGCATATAATCGTTTTATAACGACGGGACGGAAGCTTGTGGGTTGCCATGGATGTTGGGGGGAGAAAGATCTTGGATGTGGTGGCTTAATAGAGGGCCACAGCGTGATCTCTCTAAACAACCTCTCTAGCACCGAAAGGTGCTGGCTTCGAGAGTCAAGGCACGTTGAAATTCCCCGAGCTACCCTTTCTGACAAGCTACTCCGGAGCCGCACCAATTGCGGTTTTGGGACAAGCAACGCCAATGTTCGCCCTTGTCCGCCGAGAAGTTCTGGAAAACCATGGTGAGCTGTTGAGCTGTCGGTCAAAGCAGACTCACTGTTGAATCATGTGAATATACACTCAAAATAGATGAAGAATGCTGTTCTCCGGCGTTTCCCCTTGGATACAGCTTGATCCAGCTCTGAGGGACCTGTGAGCTCGGTATGTGGGAGCGCTTGCTGTGTCCTAGAGCGCGCGGCTGTCTAAGAGCTGAGATGGAATTTTCGCTTCGAGATCGCAGGGTTACACCCTGGTGGAGCTCCACGTTGTTTCAGGTTTCGAAAACGGACGAGGTGTGACCCACTCCAGCGGTGTGGCATTGATCTCCGCCAATAAAAGGGCGTCATTGGCCCCTGCCCAGCGTTTTGCCGAAACAGGGGCAGGCGCTGTAGCCGGGGAAGCGTGCCTGCTTGGCCAGACGTCATGCCTGGTCCTGGTGCCTGTGCCGGGATGAAAACTTCGCGCACGGATTGGCTAGTGATGGTAGTCTCATCATGAGCCGTCGGCAAAGAGACGAGCGATTTCTCAGCAATCGCTGCTGATGACGAGGATGAGCTGGCGGCCAGCTCAAACGGCGATATGGCAGCCAGCACAAGAAGAAGGGGAAAAAGCAAATAAAAATATGACGAAAAGCTAGGATTGTCAAAATTAGCAGTCCGGACGCGGATGCGGTTGCAATGGGTCCCCCGCATACCGCCGTCGTTGCTAGTTATCGACGGTATCGATTGGCGGACGCACCGGCGATCTTCACGAAGAGACCAACAGTCTGGCCCACTGCGTTGGGCCAGATGGGGCTGGCTGCGTGGATCAACAGCTCGCAGGTGGTTGAAAAGGATGGCAATTCCCACTTGCTGAGGTTGCAGCGGCGTAGTTGCAGTTGCAACTTCATCATCTTCCATTTCTCCATCATCAGGCCAGCTCCTTGTCGGCTCGGGCTCAGCTTGCCAGTCAGCCAGCTGGCTCTCCTTTTCGTGTCGACACCCTCACATTCTTTGTTATCTTTGTTGTTGCAAGTCAACCACGTTCGTTGCAGTCCGCGGACCATCCCTCATCTCTTATTGTTTCCATTGTTGATTGTGCAGTGCCTGGTGCTTTTGTTGGCTCTCATTCCCTATTGTCGGCTTTGACAGTCGCTCTTTTACCTCAAATTTGGAATTCATTTGACTTGCAACCTTCCCTTCGTTTGCTCGCTGTGCGGCTGTTATTTGGTCTCTTGGACACTGCTGGTTCACGAAAAAGATGAAGTTCTTCAAGTCGGGAAAGCCTGCCCTCGCCGGGGCCGTCATTGCTGCCCTTGCCCCCAAGGATCTCAACATTAGTGATCCGGGTATGATCCATAATCCCAATAATGTTCCATCCCAAATTGCTAATAACCATCGCAGTCTCCATCAAAGGTGTCGCCAAGACCCTCGCTGCCGGCGCCATGTCCTATTACTCCGGCACCCCGGACAAGTTCGTCGACCTCCCGGAGCCGCACTACTGGTGGCAGGCCGGTGCCCTGATGGGCAGCATGCTGGACTACTCCCACTATACTGGTGACCACACCTATGACCGTCTGATCGCCCGCGGTCTGCTGGACCAGGTCGGCCCAGACTTCGACTACATGCTGCCCTCTCACTTCGGTCAGGAGGGCAACGATGACCAAGCCTTCTGGGGCTTCGCCGTGATGTCAGCTGCCGAGCGCAATTTCCCTCAGCCAGACCCCAATGTCCCCTCCTGGCTGCAGCTCGGCCAGAACCTATGGAACTCTCTCGCCTCGCGCTGGAATACCACCCACTGCGGCGGCGGCCTGCTGTGGCAAATCTTCGCCAGCAACCCCAACGGTCTGGACTACAAGAACACGGTCAGTAATGGCGGCTTCTTCCAGATCTCGGCGCGCCTGGCGCGCGCCACGGGCAACACGACCTACCTCGAGTGGGCCGAGAGGGTCTGGGACTGGACCGAGGCCGTCGGCATGATCGATAAAGACGGCAACGTGTACGACGGCGCGCACGCTAGAAACAACTGCACCGACACCAACCCCGTTACCTTCTCTTACAGCGCCGCGATCTATATGTATGGCTGTGCCGTGCTGGCTGATCATACCGGTGATGCCAAGTGGGCTGATCGGGCCGAGCGTATTTTGCAGGCGGCCCGGTCGTTCTTTAGCCCGTTCCCGAATGCCACGAATATTATGTATGAGCACGCTTGTGAAACAGTTGGGACCTGCACAGCCGATATGCGCAGCTTCAAGGGATACTTCTCGCGCTGGGCATATGCGTCGGCGCTGTTCCTTCCCCAGCTTAGACCGATCATCGAGGAGCTGTGGTACCCGACCGTCCTAGCCGCTGCCCAGTCGTGCACGGGTGGTGAGAGCGGGACCCAGTGTGGGCAGAAGTGGTATGTCGGCGGGTTTGACGGTGTTACTGGGTTGGGCGAGGAGATGTGTGCGCTGGAGACGGTCCAGGGCTTGTTGGCGGATAAGGCTCCCTTGCCGTTGAAGGGTGATGAGATTAAGGTGGTGAGGGAGTTTGCTTCTTGAATTCAAAAGTACTTTGGTTTGTTTGGGCTCTGTACATACTGGCTTGTGCATTATGGCGAAGCATTGCATCTGAGAAAAACATATTGAAACTTGCCCTGGGCTGGGCTGGGCTGGACTGGGCATCGCATGAAAAAAAAAAATACAAGACCTTGGATTGGCATTCTATACGCTCTCTATGTGTCTATGTCCAAATTAGACCCCTCTAGTTTCCCCGGACCTCCCTCAGAACCCTCTCCAGTGACGCCAAAAACCTCGTAACCTCCTCGTCGGTGCCAACCGTGATCCGAAGGCAACCTAGACACCCGTGTTCCTTACCGCGGAACCGAACAACAACGCCTTGGTTCTCGGCTAGCCGCTCGTACACCTTGAGCGCCGTCGCATTGTCCGGCTTGCCTCCGGCATCAAGCATCTCGTACAGTAGGAAGTTCGCGTCCGTCCCGCCACGGAGCCTGCCAACACCCGGGATCTTGGGCATCTCCCGCAGGAGACGGTCCCTCTGCTCGAGGATGCGTGCCCGGTTGGCCTGCATCGTGGCCAGGCCCTGACCCGACAAAGCATACGACGCTATAGACGAGGTCAGACTGGAGATGTTATATGGCGCCTTAAGGCTGTTCAACAGTCGGGCAATCGCCGGATCCGTGAACGCCGCACCCAGACGGATACCCGCCAAACCAAACGCCTTGCTGAGCGTCTGCATGACCACCAAGTTGGGCCACTCCGTCACCCACTCAGCCAAGCTCGCCGTCTCCGGGTTCGGCGCCGCAAAGTCAATATACGCCTCATCAACCACCACAACCCCGTTCCAGCTGGGGTGCGCTAGCACCTTCGCAATATCCTCCTTGCGAAGCAATGAGCCTGTAGGATTCCCCGGACTGCACAAATACACCAACTTGATTCTTCCTCCCTCCGGGCTCTCCTCCGCCCTCTTAACATCCTCATCCAGCTTCGCCAGCACAGCAGGCACGTCAATCTGAAACCCTTCCTCCGCACTCAGCAGCGGCACCTTCACCAGCCCAACATCATTCACCTGTGCCGAGACGGCGTACATGCCATACGTCGGCGGGCAAACCAGGATGCGGTCACGTCCGGGGACGCAGAAGCACCGCAGCAGGGCATCGATTGCTTCGTCGGAGCCGACGCCGACAAAAAGGTTGGCGGGCGTGAGCGTTTTCTGGGTGTGGGCGTGGGTGTTGCGCAGGGTGCAGAGGAGTTGCTTGAGGTCGTGCTGATGCGGGTCGGGATAGCGGTGAAGAGTTGAAAGGGCGATCGAGGGAACGTCGGGGGTATTGAAGCCATTTACACCATTGCTGGCTGGGAGAGGAGGACCGTAGGCGTTTTCGTTGGCGTCAAGGAGGATGTTGGTGCCGTCGTCTTTGTAGTCACTAGATAGGGAGGGGGGGAGGTTAGAGTGGGTAAGAGAAATGAGGGGGAGGGGCAAACTCACTCTCTGGCACAGCGGTACGGCTCCAGCTGGAGAATGTTGGGCCGGGCGCAGGTTTCGAGGTTGAAGGCCGTCATGCTGTGAAAATATGTCTGGTGAGGCCGAATTGACTTGTCTAATGCGCGGGTTTATGAGATTATTCAGGTCAAGTTAAGAGTCATAAGAAGAGTCATTCGTGAGTGAGTCTTCAGCGATGAAATTTCAGTGAAAGCGAAACAGAAAACTTTCGCCGACTCCGGAGCGGGTCCGTCGCCTGCAGTGTAGCCAGAGGATAACCTCAGCCATCCTGAAGCCAAAAATCTCTACAACTCTGATGATTGTGATGACAGTGGTAGAGGGTATGAACCGGATTGCATAGATTGCAAATACTTTTCGAAAATCCCCTTTGTTGTTATCATGGCGAACAGACTTGAGGTATGCACCGAAACCCTAACCCTGATGAGTCCATCGGATTGTTTTTGGGCCCCTGGCTTCCAGAAGGCTGGAACTTCGAACCCCACCCAACCCCTTCAGCTCCACCGGAACCGCAACCACAGTCACCATCAACATCTCCCAATCCCATTTCTCTCCCCTGTTACGCGCAAGCACAAGCGCAAAGACCTCACAAACTAACGCGACTACAGTCACCAACTGGTCTGTCTGTAGGATGCGATGAAGCTTTCTTTTTGAAAAAAACTTTTTTTAAAAAATTTCGAAATCGTGGTGGGATCTGCTGTTCGACTATTGATCATGATACTTACACGGCTCGAAAACCACGTTTCCACAGCGATTCTTACTGCATGATGTCGTCCCCAGCCTCGTCCTTTCCTCGCATGAGAAATCGACAGAAATCGACGAAATTGACGCAAACCGTCGATGACGGGCTGCGTGGCCTGGCGATACGCAGCGTAGCAAGGTTGTGAGCGGGAAGCGCACATTCAGCCTGTTCTCCCGGAGCGCATACGATTGGCCAATTCCCCGGACTCTGAGCCCCTGACCAGCGTTGGCCGACGTCGTCGTCCCGGGCCCCCGATCATCCCGGCCGCTGACCTGTTCTGGAAGCCGTGGGCCTCGGGGCTAGCGGGGAGAAGCGGATGACGGGTTGTTGGCAGGCGGCTTGCTGGACTTCTTGCATGCTTCTGCTTCTGGCCGCGTTTATGACCCGGAAACCGCCCGAATGTGGAACGGTGGAAGACTGGTCGAACTCTCGAAGAATCACCCAAAACAGCTCTGTCAATAAGACGACAGACGCAGGGAAGATGGCGCGATGTAACGACGCTACGGCCTCAGCGCACATTCTCGGCGTAGTTGTCCCCATCCGTCCCCCAGTCCCGTCTCCATCATCTCCCTTCTTCCCTCTTCCCTTCTGACACTCCCGCCGCCGGGTTCCGCTCGATACCGACCATAGACCCCCCGGTCGTGCAGACACGCAGCAAGCAGAAAGCGAGAGGGGAAAAGCCGCAGGTTCCGGGCGCGCGGTACCCAGTTGGAAAGCGTTGACGAAGTGATGTGCTACTTTCGGGACAGTGCCGCCCACCGGAAGCGGGTGCACATGTCGCCATGACGCTGCGGCGATGTCGGGCCGTAGCTCGTCCGCTGCCGAACTCGACCTGATCAATTATGGGGTGAGCAAGATGGCTCACAAACTGCACCGTGGGGCCTGCAAAATAGCCTACGTCCATGCATTCGGAAGCTGGGGCTCTGTTCTCGGTTCCCGGGTATTATGGAACCCTGGGGAAAAATGGGATGGAAAAGGGGGGGGGGAAGGGAAAGGAGGGGAATTCAGCAGAGATATCTCCAGGAAAGTTTATGCGTATAAAAGTGTAGGCGATCCTACCGCGGACGAGATGCTTCCAAGTATCACCATCTCTCCAGGCCTCTGCCCTCTGTGAAACAGCAAAGGTCGTCTGTCCAGAGAGAACGTCGTCAAGATGCGTTCGTCCCTGCTGCTCCTCGGCGCGGCCGCGGCCATGGCCAACCCGACGCCCGCCGGCCCCGGCGGTCCTCCTCCTCCTCATCCTCCGCCGTCGCCGAAACCGTTCGAATACCTCGTCACCTTCGGCGACAGCTGGACGGACAACGGCCGTCTCGTCTACTACATCGTCAACAACGGCCAGGCGCCGCCACCAGGCCAGATGCATGACTATAGCAACGTGACCGCCAGCGGTGGTCTCTCGTGGGCGCAGTTTGCCGCCAACAGCGTCGGCGCCCAGTTGCGTGACTACGCCGTCGGCGGCGCTGTTTGCAGCAACCAGATCGTCGAGCGCTACTTCTCCTACATCGGCCGCTCGTTCCCGGCCGTGCTGGACGACGAGATTCCCAGCTTCCAGGCCGACGTCAACTACCGGAGCCTGTACCCCAATCGCAACGCGCAGAACACGGTCTACGCGCTGTGGATCGGCACCAACGACCTGGGCTTTGATGCCTTCCTCTCCGACTCTGAGGCCCCCGGTAAGACCATCGCCGACTTCGTCGAGTGCGCTTTCAATGTGTTCGACGCCATCTACCAGAAGGGCGGCCGCCGTTTCGTCCTCCTGAACACGGCTCCTCTCGAGTTGACCCCACTCTACGCCCACCCCGAGAACGGCGGCACCGGCGATAGCCAGTTCTGGACCACCAAGACCCGGTATAACATGACCGAGTACGGCCAGAAGATCAAGCAGTACTCGAGCGCCGTCAACCAGGCTTGGAAATATGGCCTTGCCTTCCATCGCAAGCTGTCGAACCGCTGGGCCGGCGCCACCATCGACCTGTTTGATGTCCACCAGCTCTTCCGTGACATCATCGCCAACCCTACCTCGTACCTCGATGCTCCTTACAACGTCACTGGCTACTGGCATCACTGCCCGCCGAGCGGCTCGCCTTGCGAGGACCTCACCAGCTTGGGCCCGCGCTCCGGCTTCCTGTGGTATGATGAGCTGCACCCCAGCGACAAGACCAGTATGTTTCTCTGGGAGTTGCAATACATTGTGTTGAGAACAATGCTGACTGGCTTCTAGGCGAGATTGTCTCTCAGCACTTCATCAACGTTGTGCGGGGCAACAGCATCTATGGCACCCGCTTCAAATGAATGAAAATGTAGCGTAATGTAATGTTTTATGATTCTATGAGAACATGATGAATGACCATAAATGAAGCATAAGTGAGAATTTTTTTTTAGAAAAAAACCGTATTTAGATCGCCTTGTTTTGCAGTGAGATCTACTGTGTCTATTGTGTTTTGTGTGATCGAGTCTCTCTCAACGCACTGTGAGAAAGAATGCACAGAGAACGGAATCAAATGATCAAAAATCACAAAAAGCTCCTGAGTGGAGCGGATAACCTTGTATTGATGCTCCACATGTGCAGTGGATCCACAAATCCCAATCAGGGATAACCAATCTTGGCATGCACAAGCTGGGAAAGGACGCATGGAGTCAAGCAGGGACCCACATTTTGTGTCTCTGGCGCGTGCTGCAGTCTGTGGAATTTTGGGGCCTCAGCTGTAATTCCTGCCACTGGTCGATCCAGTTCCACAGCTTACCATGCCTGTGCCCGCTCCCAGTTTTCGTGTGTCGTGGCCCGTTCTCGCGACCTGCCCGCCACTTCCAGCAGCGTTTGCTTGTCTGCACTCTCATTCCATCGGCCATTCCCCCCTCCACAGCCGCTGTCCACACGGCCACGAGCCCAGCTCAGCAAAACAGTTCAGTCGATTGCTCCCAATCTGAGAGCAAGTGTCCCAATACCAAGCGATCTGACGGGCACACACACACACACACACACACACCACACACACATACACTCACACTCACAAATACACTGACAATCACGCTTGACCGACCTGTCACCATCATATACCCTTTCCAGGTTCCCTGGTAAACCGCCGTCAGACACATCAGCCAGGTCTGCACACAGACGCCCGCGTTTCCGAATCAGCGGGTATTTGACGTTATTTGGCGTTGGAACTGGCACTGAGCTGTTTATGAGTCGGTTCCTGCTTCTGCCCTTGGCTTCGTGACCCGACCCTGTCGCACATCAATTCCAGGTTCCCCGCTTTGTGGTCTTGGAACAGTGACAGGCGACAAGCGACAGCCGCCCTACCTTAACCCCCAAACCTTGAGCTCCTACACTGCGGACGGTCCCGATCTGGTGCAAAGCAAGCAAGCAGAGCGACCAACCGAGCCGACCTGTACCGACGCAGACACACAGGCACGCACATCACATCACCAGAAAAAGACGCGACTCGTCAGCCAGTCAGTCTGTTGCAGGCGTCCCAGCTTGCCCGTCCCGTGGGTCTCTTGCAGTCGTTAGTCGTCACCACGGTTAGGGTCTATCGGTGATCTGGCCTCGGCCTGGTCTAGCCAGTCTGAGTCCACCTCTGACATCGTTTCCGCGTCGGGTCTGCCTTCGGCTTCCGGCTGCCGAGTGATAGTCGGCCCTACCCTTACCGTCTCATCCATACCATTATTCCCATCCCATTCTATTATCCCACACAACCCCATCTTATCCTATCTGGTCCCCATCCCATCTGCCCATCGGCGGGATCATTCCCACGTGTGCATACGCACGTTTACCTATCTCGCATCACCCGGGCCCGTACCCCACGCAGGCTCTGGCACCCACCCATCCCGTGGCGTGTCCCTGCTGACTACAGGTACGGAGAATTGCCGAGCAGAGATCCCCGAACCTAGCTTAAGGCGCTCGAGTCCCTTGTTGGTTGCTTGCTGCGAACTGGTCGCTGGTCGCCAGCCGCTGCCCTGCCTGCCTGTACCCCCCTGGACTACCCGAGACTGGTTTGGCACAACAACTTTCCAAGGTTGAGATCGTGCAGATCGGCATTTGACCTTGTCGAGACACACAGGTACATTCTGTGCCTCCCTGGATTCAGGACGCAAGTGTCTATCTTAACTGATACAAGCTTGCCCGTCAACCGTGTGGGTGAAAGAAAAGAAAGAAACCCACATCTCATTCATCGGAACCACTTCTTCGGAGCTCCTCCGGATCGGACCGACACCCGCGTCCTTTCCCCACACACGGCCCCCCGTCCCTGAGGCTTGAGCTGATCTTCGCCGGCGCCAGTGCCCGCTTTCCCTCCACCTTTGCTATCGTCACCCCCCTGCCAGCTCCTTCCGCCGCCTCATTCTTGGCTCGGGCTGCCCTCAGCCCAACCACCACCACGTCATGTACTCAGCCCCCTATGGTTACCCCAATGTCGCTGCCGGCCCCATATTCAATCCTGCTGCCCCACCCCAGGGCGCTCATTTGCAGCCCGGCCCGGGGCCAGTGCCGAATCAGCAGCAGCAGCAGCAGCAACAGCAGCAGCAGCAACCTCAGCAGCAACAGCCGGGCCAGCAGCAGCATCATCAAGGATCACAACCGCAACAACAGCAGCAGATGATGTTCAACGCTCAGCAGTTCCCCATGGGCACCCAGCCCGGTGCTGCCCCCTTCGCTGCTGGGCCCAATCCTGCCCTGATGGGCGCCGCTGGCCCTGCAGGAATGATGCAGAATGCCGCTATGCCACACATGGCTGCTAATGGCCAAAGTAAGTGTACTTGATCTCTTGACGTCTTATGTCGGGCTCATCCTCGTACTTCCCCCGTCCTACCCATCCTGTCTCACCGGGCATTTCTTTTTTTTTTTTCTTACATGCCCATCTCAAGTGGGAACTGCAGATACCTTTTTCTCTCACCTGTCTGGTTCCACAATGGTCACTAACACGGGCGTTTTCGACAGTGGCATTCCAGCAGCCTTTCACGACAGGGCCCTACGGGACCGCCATCCCGTCTTCCGCGGCGCCCCAGGTCCAGCTGCCCGCCAACTTCATGATGGCCAACCAGATGAACCCTTACCAGATGAGCGCCGCCATAGCCCCGCAGCAGCCCATAATGCAGCGCGTCATGCCCGCTCAGCAGCCTGCTCCTACCATCCCCGTATCAACCCCCCAGCGGCCGGCATTTAACCCTCCGCAGGGCACGCCCACGAGCATGCCCCCTCAGCAGACACAGTTCTCTACTCCTCAACCAACTGGCACACCGCAGACCCAGACCCCGACGACTACCCAGCCGCCACAGCCGCCAGCGACGTCGGCTGCGACACCGCAAACGCCGACGTTCCCGAATGTTGGGGATCAGGGTCTGGCACAACAACAGCAGCAACAGCAAGCTCAGCAGCCTCCTCAGCAGCAGCTTAATGGGACGGCGGCTACTCCAGGAGCCGTGGGCTCGACGCCCCAGAGCCCGGCGACAGATCCGAGAGATAGGGAGAGGTTCGCGATATTGCTGGAGATTAACCAGGAGTTGCTGTATGAGTCAATACAGCTGGTGAACAGCCGGAATGAGCTCAAGAAGGAGCAGGCGGCTGCTGAGGCGTCGGGGGTTAAGAATGGGGATATCGATTATGCTGAGGAGGAGAGGTTGGCGAATATGGACTATAATCAGTGAGTCTTATGGTGTCTTGTGGTGGTGTCTGTTGTTGAAATAAGTGCTAACGATGACTTAGGTGCATGCGCCGTCTACAGGCGAACCTTACATACATGTATGCCCTGGCCGACCGCAAGCCGGGCAAGGCCCCACCGGGCGCATCACCTGCCTACCTCACACCACCGCCTCTCAATCTGCAGCTTAAGATACGACTGCCACCTCCATCGCCCGATGATCCTCCCGAGTTCCGGCCCGCCGACCCCATCGCCGACCGCATCGAGCGCGACCAGCTTCTCAAGAACCTATACAAGAAGCTGCAGGCTCTGTACCCCGGTGTTGATCCGAGGAAGGAACCACCCATGCCGCCTATGCAGGGTGCCCATCGGCCGACTGGGTCAATCGCGGGCGCCCAGAACGCCGGGACATCGGGACCTACCCCCGGCGGTGCCCCTAATGGTGCCGCGGCCGGGACTCCCGGGTCTACGCCTGCTCCGAGCGGGCCGGGACAGTCGGTGCAGAATAGCCCTGCGCTGGGGAACGCGCCGACGCCGGGGCCGCAGCAAGGGCAGGACCAGCAGCAGGGGCAAGGTCATAATCAGGGACAGCCTCAGCAACAGCAAGGTCAAATGCAGCAGCCTGGTCAACAACCGCAGCAGATGCGGCAACTACAGCAGCAGGGTCAGCAACAGCAGCCACAAGGCCAGCAACCCCAACCAATGCATACGCCTCAGCAACAACTTCAACAGCTCCCCCCTCAAACTCAACCCCAGCAACTACAACCACAACCACAACTACAACCACAACCACAACCACAACCACAACCACAACCACAACAACAACAACAACAACAACAACAACAACAACAACAACAACAGCAACAACACCCGCCGCATCCTCAATCTCAACCCCAACCCCAACCTCAAACCCTCGCCCCCGCACCCCAAACCCCCTTCGGCATGCCCCTTGGCCAAATGCCACAAATGGGTCAACTCCCTCCTCATCAGCTGAACCAAATGCAACACGGTATGCCACCCCACACAATGGCTCAACAGCATATGGCCGGCATGCCAGGCCAGGGACATATGGGACCGCCAGGACAGATGATGGGGATGGGGCCGATGGGGCCAATGGGGCCGATGGGCATGCCGGTCGGGGCGCCGATGGGTATGATGCCTATGGGAATGGGGCCCGCGATGCCGGCAAGTGGAGGGCCCGCTCAGGGGGATCAGGTTGGGGGGATGGGGATGGGGCCTATGGGGATGGGACAGTAAGTGGGAGATGAAGGAAGATTAGAGAAGGATAAAGGAAGGCTGGATAATACGTAAGTAGGAGAGAGACTGATTTGTTGATCAGTGGCAGTGGGAAACGATAGGGTTAAGAACTTGGGATTAGGGTGTATGCTTTTTGCTCTTTAGGAAGGATAGTGAGTGAGATGAGCGAGATGGACAAGTGCGAAATGAGTTGTTGGGTGTATGGTTCTCTGGACTAAGGGACAAATCTGTGTGATAGTATTGGCCTAGCCAAACCTTCGGTCTCATGTTAGGAGTTTATGGCAGGATGATTTCTGCCTGTATGGTTTGCTCATGGTGTTTACTCTTTTTGGTCCAGCGTTGTTTTCTCTCCTCATTTTGCTGTGCTTGATGGACATACCATTGGAGTTCAGTTATGTCTTTCTCCTTAGGAAGGGAGGGATATGAATACTCAGGATTAGATTAGATCGACTAGCTAGCAAGTGGGAATCGAATAATCACGGAGGGAGCATATCCCTTGGCTACCATAAACTGGAGCTTTTGAGATCAGCTTCACCCTGTCATCTAGTCGTTGCGGGCCGGGCCGTTTGATGATCTCATCAGAGAAGGTTGTTCCCTGTCTCTGGGATGGGGCTGTGTGTCGATCGTCAGTGTTTGTTTAGACTCTTCGGGTCAGGATGTCTTGATTGGACAGAGGGGATAGGTTTTGCGGTGTTTGGTGGGGATTGAAACAGGACAAGAGGATATCTTGGGGTAGAGAGCGTCAAAAGGGATTGTGGTGGTCAGGTAGCAGAATTGATACCATTAGGATGGACACAGGCAGTCTGACTGAGCTCTATCTCAGCCATGCGCCCACTCTATGAACGAAAAAAAAACACTATGCAAAATCAAAAGATGGGTTGCTATCGGATAGCGCGATGTAGCGTTTGAAAGGTCGCTATGCGCAACTAATTTCGATATTTATGCGTTTGGTCATCCGCATCGGTCTTCCCGTTTGTTGGCTATCAAAAAGCTCGATGTCCTCATTGTGTAAAATTACGGTATATTTACAGATATCAAGAAAAGCCAACTCACACAAAGCCCCCTCCCCTGAGATGCAACCGCCGATGATTCACATGTGGATGTTTTTTTTTATCTTTTCCCCTCTAGTTCGGCATGCTCTGGCGGCCGTTGAGTGAGACCACGATCAGAAAAATTGTACAGTAGAACACCCCATTGGCTCACGGGCGCATGCACTGCGGCCAAGCCCCCAATCAGAGTCCGGGAGCTGCTGCAGTGCGCTGGCCAATGCGAGCCTCAGCACCGTTGGCCCCGAGCAAACATGATGCAAACGGGTTTTTCCAGGGCCGCTGCTGGCGCTCAATGGATGGCCATTTTTTTCAGACTCAGATGTCTGTAAATAACAGGTCAGCGATGACCTGACAAGGAACGCTGCCATTTGGCGGTACAGGGTTGGTGACTGAATCAATGAGCCCCGCACTGGAGAACGGGGAGGGAGGAGCCAAGCCCACAGAAGGAGCGCTTTCGGCAAGGTCGCGCGTCGGGATCGAGCGTGCAGGCAAGGTCATTCCTATACCCCGGGGCACGAGAGGCACGAACGGGGCCGGGCCCATGCAAGCTTCGCTTGTTAACGTCTTGGGTCGCTCTATCCCAAATGCAGGTCGATCGCTTGAATCTCCCCCCCCCCCTTCGAGCTTTCCCACCGCCCTAAATTCAGTATCACGTTCTTACCTTCTCACCGCCCGATCGAGTCTGCGTTTTTTCCCCCCTCTTCTCATCATTGCGCTGCGAGATCATAGAGACGGGCCCTCCCCCCTCCCCGTCAACACTAGCAGCCGGGCTGACCTGTTTCGGGCCGCTGGATGAAACGTAACGATTGACGAGACTGAGACGCCGCGTGCCAAGACCCGCACCACACACTTGGAAGACGAAAGACGGAAGAATCTTAACGTCTTTTGCTTACGGAGCTCCCTACAAGAACTTTGGGCGATAGACAGGAGCTCGACGACAGTTTTGACTGTTTTAAGAGAGAACAACCGTTGGGTCACGAATAGGGGTTCCAGTTTGCCACGCCACAAACTCCTCCATCCAATCCCGCAGACCGACTTACCGACTTTCCTCAACACCAGACAACGCTCCAGCAGCTCGACACCAGGAATGGAGCTCGACCAAGATGGCAAGACCGCGCATTCGACGCCGCCCAATGCCTCTGATGTCGACAGCAAGGCGACTGAACGCGACTCGCTCGTGACGGTTCGCCTGTCGGAGCCGTCGGAGCCGTCGTCGCCTACGCTCACGGCCACTCCCAAGCCAGCTCCCGTCAGGACGCTCACGGGACAAACAGTTACCGCCGACATGCCCCCACCGACACCGAGCACCATAACCGATGATAGCGATTCCGAAATCTTTGAACCAGCCAGGCGGCAGTTGAATACTATTCCGAGGGAGATTGGGAAGACGGGCGAGGAAGGCCAGCGCGAGTCGTGGCCGAGCGAAGAGGAGGATGAGGCGGTTGATTGGGAGGGTCTGCAGAAGAAGGAGGATATGGAGAGTAAGACGCAGAGGCTGGATCATGTATGTACATGTTTGCCCCCTTTCTAGAGATGCCTGCTGACTTTTCCCTCCTAAAAAGTCTACCGCTTCGCTGCTGGCCAAGCTGGAGCAGGAAAACGAAAAGATCGCCAAGGCAAAGGCCAATAAGCCCATTGACAAGCGTCTCCCCCGCGACGGACAGCCGCGCCCGCCGTCAATGGCCCAGCTGCGCCGGCTGGTCAACGGACCACAGCCCCCAGCGCTGCGCTACTCGACCCTGCCACCGACACCTATGACCGAGCTCGATTTCTATCTGGCCCTCGTGAAGGATCCCAAGCAGACAGCGGCGCGCCTGCCGACCCTACTCACAAATAAGATTCGCCGAGGTATTCCCCCGCCGCTGCGCGGTGTCGTGTGGGAGAGCATGGCCGGCGCTCGGGATCCCGACCTGCAGGAGGTTTTCATGCGCCTGTCTGGCGAATCGAGCCCATACGAGTGTGTCATTAGCAAGGACCTCGGCCGCACATTCCCTGGTGTCGAAATGTTCCGCGACCCGGACGGCGACGGCCAGCGGATGCTGGGCCGCGTGCTGAAGTGCTTCAGTCTCTACGACAAGGAGATCGGGTATTGCCAGGGTCTGGCGTTCCTGGTTGCGCCGCTGCTGATGCACATGCCGGATAAGCAGGCGTTTTGCGTCTTGGTGAAGTGAGTTTTGGCCCACGGAATTTTTTTTTCTCCTTCTTCTTTTTCTTTTTCTTTTTCTTTTTCTTTTTTTTCTTTTTCTTTTCTCTTCTCCCCCTTTTTCTTTTAAGAACGATTTACATATGTGTCGTTCGGATGTCTAACTTATGTTGTACTACACAGGCTGTTCCAGGACGACGATCTTCGCCAGTGCTTCGTACCCGACCTGGCGGGCCTGAAGAAGATCATCTTCCAGTTTCGAGAGCTGCTCAAGGAGGTGCTTCCAGCGGTTGCTACACACCTGGAGGAGCATCACGTCGAGCTGGCGGTGCTCTCGCAGTGGTTTCTGGGCGTCTTTGGCGTGACCTGCCCCCTGCCCATGCTGTTTCGCATCTACGACGTGATTTTTGCCGAAGGCTACCTCCTCACCGTCATGCGGGTATCGCTGTCGCTTATGCAAAAGAATCAGGCGCGCATCCTGGCCTGCAGCGAGATGGAAGACGTGGTGCGCCTGCTGCTGTCGCGCGGGCTGTGGGATTGTTACGGCTACAACGCTGACGCCTTTGTCAATGACTTCACGTCTTTGTCGGACATCGTGACCAAGGATCGGCTGGCCGCCTTGGAGCAAGGGTACCGAGAGAGCTCGGCAGCCAATCCTCGCGGCTTTACGGATGCGGCACAAGCCAGCGCATCCCGCTTCTTGGGTCGCCTGTGGTCTGCGGGCACGGCTGCCCTGACGCCGAAATCTGGCGCCACATTTGCGACACCAACAACGTCAACTCCACCTGCCACCTCCCTGAAGAACGGCGCTAACTCCAACGCCAACAACCACGCCACTTCTTCCACTACGAATGCAACATCGCGCCCGCTGAGCATGCTTCGGCGCAGCACATCCAAACAGAGTCTTTCTTCGATGGAAGTTTCGTCGTCGTCCACCAGCAGCTCGTCCGCCGCCAGCGTCTTCAGTTCGGCCACGTCCCTCTCCCGCGACAGCGCCGCCGATGAGCCGCCCACCACTCCGGCCACCTTGCACGCCCCGTTCGCCGCGTCCAAGGACAGCAATAAGGCGCTACACAGCCAGATCGAAGATCTCCTGACCGCGCTGAGCGAGCTGCAACGCAATCACGCACTGTTGACCAGTCAATTGCAGCGCGAGCGAGAAGAGCGCGAGGAGGATCGGCGCGCCGTGCGCAGCTTACTGGATGGCCTGCGCAGGCGCGCCAGCGTCGCCAACGGCGAAACGCCGCCTGATGAGGAAGCGACGTCGCAGCCCGAGCCGACGGCCGAACAGCTTTCGGATTTGTTGACGCTCGTCGAGGAGCGATTCTCCGCCGACCCGCCGCCGTCTGATCCCGAGACGAAGACGCAACTCCGAGAAGAAATTTCGCGTTTGAAAGATGACATCGCCGCCGAGCGCGCGCGCTGCAAGGATCTCGACCGTCGCGTGCAGGAACTTGAGCAAGAAGTATCGTCGATGCGCGAACAGCTTCGCGAAAGCCATGCGCACGTGAGAAATATGCACCAGGAAAAGATGCGGTTAGAGCGACAGATCCACACCATGCGGCTGCGCGCCTCGGACAGCGGGACATCAGGCTCGTCTGGGACGTCAGAATGGTTCCCGACCCTAGGCCGCAGCAGCACCAGCGGCAGCACAAGCAGTAACACGTCAGGCCTGCGCGAGCTGAAGCTGGCTAGGAGCCGGTCGATCCCGTCGCAGGGTGTGACCGTGCCGTCGACGAAGAGGGCATCCTCGCTGACGGTCCAGCAGCGTAAGAAGAGCAGCGAGTCGTTGGTCTCGCTGGCGGCGACGTCCTCTGTTGCGGGAGTGACGACGTCCTCTTCTGCTCCGGCGGTGCAGCCGACTTCGGAGCAGGACGCGCTACTGCTAGAGCTGGCGCAGGCGAAGGCTGCTGAGGCCGTCGCGAAGCAGGAGTTGGAGGAGGTTAGGAGGCAGTTAGAGCAGTTGAAGCGGGAGGTGCAGACGCATAATCATGGTGGTGCTGGTAATGGTGTTGGTGTTGGTGTTGGCGGGGGACTGTTTGGGCGGTTGACAGGATCGAGTAGTATGGCGAGTGTGGCGACGAGCTGGGGCGAGCAGAGTCCTAAAGGGACGACGGTCTTGTCAGGTGGTGGGGGGACGGGAGGGGGAGGAGGTGGGGGGGTTTTGGGGGTGGAGGAGGTAATACTGACGGGGAAATTTTGGGGTGTTTATGTTTTCCTCTTCGCTGGGTTTTTTTTTTTTGTTCCGTGCTGTTTTTTATGTTGCTGCTGTTTGCTATGGGCATACATACCTACTTTACCTTGCCTAGCTGGTGCTACTTAACCATTAATGGGTTTTGATATGGGAGATGGATGATGAGAAAGAGATATGGGATTTCAAAATTTTTCTTTATTTTTTTTCTTTTTCTTCTTCTGTGGGAAAGGAGAGTTATTACCGTTGTTATGGTCATCATCAACGTTGGCGCAAGCAAGAAAGCAAGCAAGCAAGCAAGCGGGTGTACAGAAATGGATGGAGGAGACAGGCAGACGGATGATACCATGTTTTTTTTTTTTTTTTTTTTTTGTTTTTTACGCTCGCGACGGAAAAAGTTTCGCGCTACGTACTCGAATACCTGCTCTATTAAATTGTTACGCACATGCGGTGTAGATTGACGGCAGACAGAAAAGGTCATGGTAGAGTGAATATACCTATCTAGGACAGACAGACGTGGTCACCGCAACAATTTCCTTTTTCTTTCCTTCTTTTTCTTGACGTCGTCAAAGGCCAGCTGGCAGTCGGTGTCTATAAGGGTAGTCGATCTGTGAGATTCCAACCGCCAGAGTCTCTTAACGGTCCATCCAGTGGGATCCAGGATCACATGCTAATCTGGCTTCTTTTGTGTGTGAGTGCTCCGGTTGGCAAGATTCGCTTCCCGCCAAGCACATAAAACTCCACCGCGCTACCGCGGCCAAGGCTAAGAACGGCGTCATCAATCAACCTCTTGCAGCGGCGCTAGCGTTGTGAGAGGCAAGGGGTCCGGCAATATTCTGTAAGGGAGAAAAGAAAAAGTGGAAATTGGAGATTTGACAATTTGACATTTGACATTTGACAACGTGCAATATGGATATCCATCCATGATAATGGCATGTGCATCTGGCCATGGTGTTCTGACTTTGGAGTTGTAGGAAGCAGTAAAAATTTCATAGGATAAGATGAATCATGTTAAAGCAGTTGACGACTGTTTTGAGACAAGATAGTGTCTTTGTCCGTCTGGATGCGACACGTCCTGTCCTGTATGCTGCGTTTGTCGCTACCTTGTGCTTTACGGAACTCCTCGGTGACATACATGGTCCGCCCCCTGGTTGCTTAGGAACTGCCTTGCCTGGCTTGGCTTGGTTTGGGCTGGCCAGAGAAAGATTCGATGAGATCATCCAAGGGCGGCCCCCCCCACCTTGGAAGAAGAGGTGGGTCACGTTAGCACCGACCAGCGGCAGCTCCCCCGGCCAGAACAGAGAGCTCTCGAAGGGGTTGTACAAGGATGCGAGGGAAGGGACTCACACTGGAAGTGGATGCAAATCTTGCGGCAAGCACTAGCACAGCACAAATCGACCCCTCCTCCATCTCTCAAAACATTCTGCCTACTTTGCGCGGGTACAATTTTTGTTCTTGTACACGTAACAATTTTGACAATCTGCAAACTGACAAAAAAAAAGATTGAGAGCTTCTCCCTCTCGCTGCCTGCTTGCTTGTCGACTGCCTACGTACTTCACTACCCACCTGAATAACTCAACCTGCTGTTAGCTACCCCTCAGCTCCGAACCTGCCGATCCCTCGCAACCAACCAGAAATCTGTCATCAGAATGGCCGACGTCTCTGAGGCTTTCCCAAGCAGTAAGGTTCGTGTGACCCCGTCATTCTTAAAATAAGTCCTCGTTGATTCTTCTTGGCCGATCGGGATGGGGCATGGGAAATGGAATGAGAGGGATTCAGAAAAAAAAAATAATATCCTGTCGACATGCCTTGCCAGGGACCCAGAAGTTAAGCTAGCTAACCAGCTCGGAATTTAAAAAGTGCGAGAAATTCGACGCGACCCGCCCTGCTGATGATCATGAGTCCACAATCGGGGGCTCGACTGACGAGATCGCCTATGCTGCTGCAGTTGCTGCTGCAGATGCCGCTGATAACGGTGCTGCCTCGCTCACCAATGGTATGCTTTCTCTTCTTTCCCCTTCACACAAAAAACCACACGCCTCGACAGTTAAACACGCAAACCTTGCTTTGTGCATCCGTTACGCTTCAGCGATCATTCGTCGTCTTATTCCGTTCCGCAGCGTTATGCTCACCTCTTTTGCCCTGCACTCCTGCATCCAGGTCCCGTAGCTGATCACGACAATACCTCGACTGCCTCGTCTGCTGCTGCTTCGTCGACCAAGAAGTCCGACACCATGCCGCTCGAACGCCACTCCTCGCCGCCGCCCTACACGGCTTCCTATCGCAGCCTGTTTGCTGAGATCCTGTCGTGGAGCAACCCGCGTACGTAACAACCACCCGCGATGACCGACCGACTGATCTGAACACACATCACCAATACTGACGGCTCGATATTATCATAGAACACTCCGCGCTTGCATACGCCAGCATCGTCTCCCTCATCGTCGTAGTTAGGTACTTCGACGTGCTGCGCTGGGCGCTCAAGCTCTCGTGGATGGCGCTCGGCACTGCCGTGCTCGTCGAGACCATCGGTAAGGCCGTCTTTGACGCCAGTCTTGCCTCACGCCTGCGCCCTCGCACCTACTACACCATCTCGCGCGAGACGCTCGACGCCGTGATTGGCGACACCCACGAGCTGCTCAACTTTTTCATCGTCGAAGGCCAGCGCCTGCTGTTTGTCGAGAATGTTAACCTTTCGGTTGCGGTACGTCAACCCACGCCGGTTTTTTTTGACGGAAGAGATCAGAGCTAACAGCACTAGGCCGCCGTCACCGCCTTTATCTCCTACTTCCTCGTCAAGTTCCTCCCCTATTGGTTCCTCGCCCTTCTCGCGACGACCATCACCTTCTTCGGCCCGCTCATCTACCTCAAGAACCAGGAGGCCATCGACGCCCAGCTCAAGCACGCCCAGGACCTCGTCGCCGCCCAGACGGCCCAGCTGCGCTCCGTCGCCCAGCAGCACACCGAGCATGCCGCCCAGATCGCCAAGCAGTATGCTGGCGAGTACACCTCCAAGGCCCAGGCCCTGATCAAGGGCGCCCATGGTCGCAACGGTGGCGCCCCGCTTAAGGCTGAGGGCTTCCCGGCCGCGCCGAAGAACGAACCTTTCCCCGAGGCGCCGAAGGAGGAGCCTAAGAAGGTGGAGGGTGAGGAGAGTGAGAGTGAGAAGGCGGGGGAGACGGAACCGCTTATTGCTCATTAAGGGACTACACCGGGATAATGAAAAAAAAAAAAAAAAGAAGAAAGGGAGGGGGGGGGGGGGAAGGGGAATGGGGTTTGTAAGATTAGGATGATAACATGGGATGGGTTGACTGATTAAAGTGGCTGAGTGAGACTGACTGGCTGGGAAAGCAAAAAAGTTGTCATAAAGTGTCATGGATGGATCGATGGGTAGTGATGCTGCCTACAAGAAAACGATGACAATATCCAGTAATACGATGGGAATTCTCGTCTGGATTCGATGGCTTGGTTGTTGGTCATGGTTTCTAAGAGGATGGATGGCGCGGTGATGCGCAATGTGTCAGCTCAAGTACGTTAGGTCTACCTGGAAGAAGGGTCTCCTAATCGGGACATGAGCAGGATTTTCAAACTCGAGTTGCATGGAAGTGGCAGAAGGCTATCCTAACTCGAGAGAAGCCTTAAAAAGAATGGTCTTGTGGTGTTGAGGGTTTGTATGATCATGTGCCGTTTAGTTGGTGTCTTGTTTTTGTGTGGTGGTCGGGCTGTTTGGGTTGGGTTGGTCTTGTCTTATCTCATAGGGGTTACTTGATCCCTGTCGGCTACTTAAGTCACTTTTCTACGTGGGATGGGAGTTATCATAGTATGGTTTATTTTAGTGCAATGCAATGCAATGCGATCATGTTGTGTTTCTGTACTGCCCTCTTGTTATGTGAACGGAGTGCTGGCATAAAAAGAGTTTGGGAGTGGGTTGTCCGGTCTCCTCGGTTGTGCTCACCCAGGAGCGTCACGTCCCAACAAGTTCTCTGCTGTTGTACAATCATAAAAAGAAGATTGATCAGGAAAACTACTTTTCTTTATTTTCTTTTCCTTTCTTTTGTTTTGTTTTGTTTTTTTTTTACCTGTCTACAACGAGCTATTTACCTACACATTTTCAGAGATACATAACCAATTCTCTTAACAATTAAACCATATATCATTATTACAATAACCTGTTCTCTGTGGTGTTACGTAGGTAGTAGACTCTTCCCTCTACTTCCATTAACAATTCGCACACCCCCCTACCAACTATCACACTCAAGCAAACGGCAAGGTGGCCGAGCGGTCCAAGGCGCCAGGTTCAGGTCAACCTGAATTTCCGGATCCTTCCATAGGAAAGATCTTTCCTGGTCTCCGAAAGGGGGCGTGAGTTCGAATCTCACCCTTGTCATCAATTTTTTTCGGATCTTTGCTGGAGTACTAACGACGGTAAGATTTTTTTTGGTGAAAAAAGGGAAAAAAAAAAAAAAGGGGGATGGAATAGAGTTGGATGGGAAGCTGAGATGAGAGAGAGAGAGAAAGGGGGGGCGAGGGGGGAATAGGCAGGGGAAGAGGAGGTGTTGGTGTTGGGAGTACGCGCCAATGTGTCCCAGCAACGAGCAGGCTGTAGTTCAGTAGCTATGGGAGACTAGGACTATGCTTGGAACCGGATACCATTATTATGTGCTCGTTAGGCCCTCCCTTAGGCAGCTCAAAGACCCAACGGGTACTCGCGAGAGGTGAGAAAGGAAAAGGCAACTAAGTTGATATAGCAATAGTGCATGTCAAGATAGACATCGTCATTGTCCGTTTTACATAGGCATCCTCTCGCTCAAGACGGACTGTACCAAAATCTATACTCTTCTAACCTTATTGTTGCTTCCGAGAACAACAACGGTAGCAGAAAGAACATTACAGAAAATAGTAACCGCCTAAATAGAACCGTTCCAGCTTTGCTTCTCACTCATCTCTATTTCAACCCCACGACCTTTCTTCGCCTCCTTCCTCGCCTTCGTCTCCTTCAACACCATCAACGTGACCACGGCTAGCGCCACGCTCTCCAGTACAACCCCACTCCACAGCAGGACGTACATTCCCGGCGGCCTGGTAGCCACAATCCCAAACTTCGGCCCATACTCGCGCAGCTTCTCTTCGATCTTGCACGCCATCCAGGTGATGATTCCTGAGGCGACCAGAGCAATGAGCCAGGAGGTGCCCAGTAAGACTGTGCTGGCCATGAGGCAGTAGAACTGGATCTTTGGGTTCTCCTCTAGCTTCGGCACGAATAGAAGGCAGAGGACGATGAGCGCCAAAGCAAGAGCAAGCACAGACGCAAGAAAGGCATTGCTGAAGTTGGTGAGCAAGGAAGAGACGAGCTTCAGGGCCTTGAGGATCATCTCCGGTAGGCGTAACGTGTCGATGAGCTTGATCTTGTTGAAGGGTCCGGAAGAGATCTTTTCTTGCAGGTCCTCGAGGAAGTCGAAGACTTTGGAGCCCGGCCTGTGGAGCTTGGTGGTGCAGTCGGTGATGTTGATCTTCGGATTCTTTGCAAAAGGGTCTGGTTCGTAGGAGCCGACGCAGACGACGCCGATGTGCACGGAGTAATACTCCTGAATGCCCAAGGCGCGGGCGGTGCTGCCGGCCAGTTTCGCGATCAACGCGGCGGGGAACTGCGTGAGGCCGCCCAAGACTTCGGTGCACTTCTCGCTGAACTCGTTGTTCTTGCCCAAACCTGTGCCCCCAACCAATTTGGCCGTGCCCTTGATCACCATGCCGAGGAGGGGATCGCGGCGACCGAAGCCGAGCTTCTTGCCTATGTTCTTGGCTACATCCTTGGCCGTATCTGCGGCGTTCTTGCCCGCGTCTATGGCTTCCTCTCCGATGTCCTGAACCTTATCCACGGCCTTGCCTGCGACGTCCTTGGCCTTATCCACGACATTGTCTACCGCCTTGGCAACAGTGCCGGTTAAGCCGCAGACGTCTTTGACCTGGTCATCCAATGCGCTGGTGATGTTCAACTGACCGAATCTAGACATGTTGAACTATGTTCTCGTCAGTATGGAGATGTTCATCAACACAGGGCTGCCTTAACTCACATTAATGATGCTAATCCCCTCCATGGTATTGGGCTTGACACCCGCCGCAAGTGCAACACTAAGAGAGATGACTGCCAGCCCGCAGCACAGCAGCGGGATAAGCTTAAGAATTAGAGAATGTGGCTGCATGATGAAAGCTATATGGATGCAATAAATGAACGGTTATTTCTGCTGGGTTCCAGCCCTATCCCGGCAAAGCTTCTTGACAGATGCACACGTGGAGGGAGCGATATAAAAAGTGAAAGACGAGACTGTCAACAAAAAAAAAAGATTTGGGGATAACAATAAGGGGAAGCTATTGATCAGCACTCGAGAGAAAAGAGTCAAGTAGACAAAAGCATTGTCTACAAGAGGACCCAACTACTGATGAGACAATAGGCAATGAGACGGGATCTATTGAGCGAGCTAGGCCGGTTATATCAGACATTCACCATGAAAATTCGCAGTGATCTCCTTCCAAATGATGTCAATAGGGTCACTCAGCAGAGGGGTCCAGGTCGAGAGAGATGGCCGAAGGTAGCTTGATACGCTGCTGGTATTGACGACCGCCCAGATGAGGTGTTCGAGAGTGACGATGCTTGATAGCTGCTGGAAACCACGAGCAGGAGTGGGACACAAAGGATTCCAGGAGTGCATGACTGCCCGGCTCGCTAGTTGTGTGAAGCAATCCTTATGCCCTTTCAAGCCATCTCGAAAGGCCGCTGCCGTTTCATGAATCATTTCCCAGACAGTCGAGCCTGGAAAGCCACAGGCCCGGGCCTGACCCGGTCAGAGTGGGTCTCTAGCCGGTCTTGTCCCGGGATGAGGTCAGAGACCCGGCCGGTTGGGTCCACACAGTTGGTAGTAGGTTGGGAGTGTCGCCGGTACGGAGATAGAGACCCGCACCGGCCAAAAGACCCGGCCTCCGTGCGAAGCGGCGTTTCGGACAGCATCTCGAAACGAACGGGCCATCCTGTGTACACATCCAATACTACCACATTAAGCGAGACCCAAAAAAGGAGCCGAAATTGGTATCGATCATGCCATTTACTCATGCGAACAAACTCATAACAGGACAGAACAAAGGAATAAAAAAGGAAAAAAAAAATCCAAGAAAATCTATATACACAAAATTACAACTTGCTCTTGCCAGCAGCAGCCAGGTAGGCATCGCCCCGCTTGATGGCAGCGACAGCATCGCGGATGAACTCGTCGACAATCTCCTTGGCGGGCTTCTTCTCGTTAACAACAGCAGCACACTGGCCCATGAGGTAAGGGCGGAACTGGTCGAGCAGCTCATCGGCATCGACATCATCATCAGCGCCAACGTTCATCATAGTGGCGCCCTTAATGGCAGCGGTCTCCTCGGCCTCGCCGGCCATGACCTTATCGAGATCGGCCTCGTAGGGGATCTTGCCGCGGGCGCACAGCTCCTTCATCTCCTGCTGGCGGTTCTCCTCCCAGTTCATGATATACGGGTTCTTGCGGACGCGCAACGGGCGGCCGGTGAAGATGAGCGTGCGAATGGTGTCATCGAAGCCGGCGGTGCGCACGGCCTCCTTGTGGGCCTCGGGGGCACCGGCCTCCTCGGAGAGCACGAAACGAGTGCCGACCCAGACGGCCGAGGCGCCCATCATAAGGGCGGCGGCCAGCAGCCGGCCGTTGTGGATACCGCCGGCAGCGATGACCTGGACGGGCTTGCCGGTCAGGGGGGACTTGTGGCCCTTGACGGCCTCGACGACGGCGGGGATCAGTACGGTGGTGGCGATATCGCCGGTGTGGCCACCGCCCTCACCACCCTGGGCGCAGATGATATCGACGCCGAGGTCCAGGCACTTCTTGACGTGCTTGGGATGGCCGATCATGTTCATATAGAGGACGCCGTGCTTGTGCAACTTCTCGACGACGTGGCGGGGAGGGACACCGACGGCAGAGACGAAGAGCTTAGCGCCCGACTCGATGATGATGTCGATTAGCTCGTTGAGCTTGCCCTTGGTGTAATCATAGTTGGTCTTGCGGGCGTTGCCGCCGACCTGAGGCAGCAGGAGGTCGACGCCGAAGGGGGCGTTCTTGTCGATAAGGTTCTTCTTGAGCTCGTTGATCTGGTCGCGGAGCATCTCGGGGGTGTAGTTGATACCACCCAGCACGCCCAGGCCGCCGGCGTTGGTGACGGCCGCAGCCAGCTTAGGGCCGGCGGCGACGTTCATGCCGGCCAGCAGGATGGGGTGCTTGATGCCGAACAGGTCGGTGATCTCGGTGCGGATTTGCTCTTGGATAAGTCAGTCATTGTTCTGTGTTGCGAACTTAGGCGTGTTGTAAGAGGGGTAACGTACGAGGAGAGGCCATTGTGACGGTGTTGCGAAACTGAAATATTAACTTTTGTAAAATTCAAACAAAAAAAATTTCTAGCAGCAGGCAGACCCAGGCGTGCACAGAAAGAGCGATGCTGGTAATGAGTGAGCGAGCTGATGAGAGATCGAGAGATCAAAAGCTGGCAAGCATTCGTCCGGGGAAGCTGCCATCTTGAACCTTTGGAATCTGGGGAACTGGGCCCGCCAAGACCTGCCACCACAGCATTCCCCGCTGCTTTGTGCCGAGGTTGGCCGGCCCTGTGTTGGCTTCGCTGCCCTGCGCCGCCCTGGCGCTAACCGTTTCTGGCCTTTCTGGCGCTGTCATCCGCACGACGACGGCCCTTGCTGGCCCATATGTGGGGAGTCTGGGCAGTCAGCCGGCGCGACGGCGAGACGACCTGCCGAGGCACACCACGCCGTGAACGGTATCGATCGCGATCGGGGCATCCAACAACGATGTGGAAAAAGGACTCTACAGCAGATTGCGACACAGTATCTACGCGACGTTGCGACGACAACACACCAGTACTGTCTGGGCGTCGCTGGGCGAGCTGCGTCGGCGTCATCGCCTCGGCTGCACCTGAAACAGCGTCCTGGGAGCCCAGCCAATCCACATGATTCGGATCAGCTTCGCCCCGGGACTCGGCTGTTGCCAGCGGGGGTCCCGCGCGACTCTGCGGCGCCGTTGCTGCATTGCCTGGTGACCGCGGCTGGCCGGCTCTGGCGGAAAAGCTCAGCCGTCGGCGCCATCAACGTCATCGAGCCGGAACAACTCTGACCCTAACCCTGGCAGATTAGATCAGCAGTTTAGGTTGATAAGATAATATCGATAAGAGAAACTTTTTGAGATAAGGGTTAGGGTAATGGTGCCTCATCGCGGGGCATCTCACACTGCGGGGCTATGACGCAGTTTTTCGTCGAACGCGTCGAGATGAAGCGCGTCGCACTCGTCGCAACGCAGCCATTGAGGCCGTCACAAGCTCTGCTGTCGCGAGCTCGCTGCGTCTGTCGCTGCGCTCCGGTCCCGCGCTTGGCCCGGACCGACCGCCGGCCGCTGTCAACCACCGCACGCCGCCCCGACGAGTCCAATTCCAACAAGTTTCAGCCCTTCCGCCGCTATACCTTCCCACCTGACTTCTGCGAAAAGAACCCTGTCGTCATCCTCCCTCCCCAGAAACCCAAGATGAACGGGCCAGAGCTGCCTGAGCGGCGCACCGCGTATATTGCTCTCGGCAGCAATATGGGTGATCGGATTGGATGGATTGAGAAGGCTTGTCGAGAGATGGATGCTCGTGGTATTAAGGTCAAGAGGACGAGCGGCTTGTGGGAGACAGAGCCCATGTATGTGCTAGATCAGGACCGGTTTGTCAATGGTGCTTGTGAGGTCGAGACTACTCTCGAGCCATTGGAGTTGTTGGATGCGCTACAGGACATTGAACGGGCACTGGGCCGCCAAAAGGTCATAGACAAGGGTCCTCGCAATATCGATCTGGACATTCTGCTCTATGAGAACATTAAGTTCAACCACGAGCGTCTCAAGATCCCCCACGTTGGAATTCCCGAGCGAGAGTTCGTCCTTCGTCCCTTAGCGGAGTACGTACCCTTCCCCTCCACCCCCCCCCCCGCGCCCTTCCCCCCGCCCTCTCTCCCTTTTAACTTTCCCATTGACACCCCCAGACTCATACCCGACAAACCCATCGACCCCGACCGTCCCTGGCGCCTAATCCGCGACTACCTCGACGCCCTGCCCCCCTCCAAGTCCCCCATTACAACCATGACGCCCCTCTCAGCGCACCACTCCCCCATCCAAGCGCTCAACCCGGCCCGCAAAACCCACGTCATGGCCATCCTCAACGTAACCCCCGACTCCTTTTCCGACGGCGGCACTCACTCCCCCTCCGACCCCGATTCCCTCGTGCAAACCATCACTTCCTTCCTTGACGCGGGCGCCACAATGATCGACATCGGGGGGCAATCCACGGCCCCCGGTGCCCCCGAAGTCTCGCTAGAGGAAGAATTGTCCCGCGTCCTCCCCGCCATCCGCCTCATCCGCACGCACCCCTCCCTCTCCTCCCGGCAGGTCCTCATCTCCGTCGACACGTACCGCGCTGCCGTCGCCGAAGCAGCCATCTCTGCCGGCGCAGACATCGTCAACGACGTATCAGGCGGCTCGCTCGACCCAGCCATGTTACCCACCGTTGCCCGCCTAGGCGCAACAATTTGCCTCATGCACATGCGCGGCACGCCGGCGACAATGAACGACTTGGCCGTGTACCCCCCCGAGAAGGGGGGCCTCATAGGCGGTATCGCGACCGAGCTCCTTGCACGTGTTAAAGCGGCAGAAGAAGCGGGAATCCGCCGCTGGCGGATCGTTCTCGACCCTGGGTTAGGGTTTGCTAAGCGCGGGCCGCAGAATGTCGAGGTGTTGAGGAGGCTCGAGGAGTTGAGGGCGTGGCCTGGGTTGCAAGGATTGCCATGGCTGGTTGGGTCGAGTAGGAAGAGCTTTATCGGACAGGTGACAGGGGTGCCGACGCCGAGGGAGCGAATTTGGGGGACGGCAGCGACAGTCGCTGCTGCGGTACAGGGGGGCGCGGATGTGGTCAGAGTACATGATGTTAGGGAGATGGTGCAAGTTGTGGCGATGGCGGATGCGATTTGGAGGTATTAAGGGGAGTTCGGGAAAGATTTGGGATGGGAAAGGCCTTTTAAAGGAGGCAGTTGGACGAAGAGAGGAGATTAGTTTTTTTTTTTTGGTGGGGGGTGGGGGGAGAAAGGGGAAGGAGGTGAGAGGAAAGGGGGAGAAAATGGATTAGATCAGATGATTGCCATGCGGCACTTGCTCGGGCGTTGAGAAACTTTTCCTTATAGGAATTCTAAAGTGCTTCCATAGTTAATTGTGAAATAGACAACAGTGAAACAATTATAAGACTACAGAGAGTGTTGAATCCGTATAGATCTATATGACTGTCTTTCAATGTCTAGAACTCTGCTAGAACTCTTAATATTCTTTTGGTCGTTTATGCCTCTTTCCTTGTTTCCTTGCTCCTACCCTTTCCTTTACCACTATGTTAAAACGTTAGGTATCTATTTGACCTTAACCTCTAAAAAGGTCTCAACATTCGGGAGGACGGAGATAATGGGATAGGAACTCGATCGAGTCACCACCACGGCACTGAAGCGGACCGAGACAACACTCGGTCATAGTAAACTTGGGCCCTGTTCGCTGCCAGTCCATTTTCACAAAGAAATGCGGGCCATACTCCGCCCAGTACACACACCTTCCTCCCTAGCCCCCTCGTCCCAAACTATATATATTACTTCAGCATGGCCCCTTCCAACAACCACTTCTTCCCACATAGCCAAATGGTAGAGGGTGTTGCCTTCCCGTGAGGACAGTGGTATAATCCAAAGGGCACAGGATTCTACTGGAACAGAAAAAGGCAACCCCTCACCCCGGAGGTTCTAGCCTCTTCCCCCGGGCAGGGTAAAGGAGGTGGTTTTTTGTCCTTTTTTTTTTTGCCTAAACCCATATTTCCCCCCAGAATTATGTGGTGTTGGCGGCTGATTCTACCTATCAAACTAGGCTGATCGACAAAACATATGTGTGTTTACAGACCAGCTATTCTTTTGTGCACGTGGTTAATTGCGTTCAGTCCGATGCATCGATCCTCCAGTTCAGTGCTGCCAGCAAGGCTTTATCCCAAAGATGTATTCACTCACAACCTATCAGATCAATGCTCCTCTCAGCTCTCAACCGCCGGACACTCCACACTAAACCATCTCCCCTGCCCCCTCCTCACCCCCCTAACATGCTTCTCGACTTTTTTTGCTTTATTCACCAACTCCACAAACCTTGACCTCTCCCCAGCTCTCCTCAACTCCCCCTTCCCCTCCTCAACCCTCCATCCCGGATCAAGCACCACCGTCCCAACCTTCCCCCACGCCCCGCACCAATCTACCATCGTTGTGCCCCTCTCTCCTTCGTCGCCATCCCCTTGGTGAGCAGCGTCGATCTCGTCGGGGGCAACCTCCACCCTTACAAACAACGCCTCCCACCACGCGCCACATCCTGTTAGATCGAGCCATTCCAGGCCGTATAGGCACTGGCTGAGTCGCCGGAGTAAATGGACAGCCTCAGACCAGTCGTCGTCTAGTGTATGGCTGTAGAAGCCTGTCCCACCGTATTGGACTGCTATTCCGCTTTCTGTGTTAACAACTGATGCTCCAAGCTGGGCTGCTAAGGGCGTGAGCGTCGGGACGGGCCAGAAGGCGAGGGAGAGGTGGGTTAGTTGGGGGAGGTGAGACGCCAATGATAGCAGATGTCTCCATGAGACCGGGGAACTGCTAGTTGGAGAGAGGGCAAGGGAGAGATGCGTTAGGTTTGGGAGGACCGGGAGAGGGACGGATGGGGAGGGGGTTTGGCTGGGCGTGTCGAGGGCGTCTTCCCATGAGTCGGGCTCTTGCTGCTGGTCGGTTGGGGAGGTGAATTTTGTGGGAGGGGGTTTGGGGGGGAAGAGGAACTCCTCCAGCTCGCGGAGCTTTAGACAATTTCCTAGACTTCTAGACAGGTCAAGGCGCTTAAACTCCGAGTTCAGCACTCCCGCCTGTGGAATCTCCCTCCTCTCCTCCTCGTCATCCTCATCCTCCCAAACTCTTTCTTCCGAAGGCACAAGGACAGCCCTCAAATCGTCAGTTTCCAAGCCAGCTCTTTGAACCCCCAAATAGAACACCATCAGCTCCCGCAAATGTGTAGGCAGTTCCCACAAAAACCCCCCATACACCTCCCGCTGCCACTCCCACGTTTGCGCAAACTTCCTTAGCGCCACATCCAGCAGACTGCCCCGTCCCGGCAGCATCAGGTCCGGCAACACCTTGTGCCTGAACTCCAGCCCATCCCCTTTCTCACACCTCAACCCCGTAGCACCAGCTGTGCTCGTCTCAGCTGCCGGCCTAATAGGCAGGGCAGTTCTGATTCTCCCCTCAGGCGTCAACCAACTCCTCGGCGGTGCCGGACCAGGAGGGAGACGTCTCCCTGTTCGAGGGTCCGTCCTCCCAGGTCTGCGCGGCCGAGGGGGAGGGGTCTCGGGCAGATGCAAAATCTGCCTGATGGAAGGGGGAACAGTGGGCTGGATGATGGTGGGGGCTGCTGAGTCCGGGAGTGAGTTGCGGTGACGGTTGAGATCGGAGCGGCGGAGTTCGGCTAGGCGTTCGTTTACACTTCTTGGTTGGACATCTGGGATAGGGTTAATGTGGGCTGTGGGAGGGGAGAGGAGAGATAGGGAGGGTACCATTGTGTCTGTTGATGGAGGAGGATGAGATGAGGAGGGCGGGGGGTGTGGACTGGGGTTTGGAGTATCTGTTGTTGTGGCGCTTTCTGGGCATTTTAGTGGTTTTCTTAGCTTAAATACGATGTGTAATTTGGGATTGAGATTTAGTGTGTTGGTGTGGCTCGTGGGCCTGGCTTGGGTTGAATTCTCAGCTTTGGAATTGATGACTGATGAAGGAAACTTGAGGATACGTGGGACGAGGAGCTCGGAGATTCCGCTGCCTATCACGCGTCAGTTATGCCGCCTGGTCGAAAATATGTATCCAGTGCAGCATGTACCAAACCAGGGATAATTCTGTGGCAAAAGCAATGAGTTGAGATGATAGCTTCATCAAGTTTACTCATCACTGAATGTCGCCATCGACCGACCATGTCGTCGCTAGGTCAGCGGCTAAGTTGGGGTTTGTGGAAACGGTTGGTCCGTGCACTTGTAGTATATGCGTATTATACGCCTAGCGCCAGGCAATCATTACTGACTAGGCGTAATTTACAACAGAGCTCTGTTTATTGCCCCTGAACTCCAGACTTCTCTCTACACTTTCATCACCACGGCGACCGATCTCCTTAGCCTCTCATCGACCTCATCAAACCATCAACGCCATCGTGTCATGTGCCTGAGGCTGCATACTAACATACCTTATGTAATCTCCAGACGGAACTTCCCGAGTTTGTCGTGATCCAAGCAGGCAGGCAGGTCGGGCTCGTGGGCCGCTGCGCACAACAGTCTGCCGGCGCTCATCAGAGAAGCGTAGTGCAAACTGTCAGTGAAGTGAGGGTCAATGGGGCGTGTGAGTTCTGTGTCTAGCTCTCATCATCCACTAGGAGCGTATCACACACCTTCCTCACGATCCTCTCTTGTTGAATGCTGTATCACTGCAGTGTCCGCTTGCTTGCCTTCCCTGTGCGACCTCACTCTCGGTCTAATTCATTCCATGAACTTACTGTCCATCCAAACTTCTCTGGCACTCACCTGACTCACTAACCGATCTGCCTATCTAACGGCCGGCAAGTGCGCATCGCAAAAAGCATACACTTTGCGGTAAAATCTAGTTTGGGAAGAGCGCATAGCCGAAGAAGGGCAGCCATCTTTCACCGGTTGTGCCGTGGCGCATCCGGCAAGAAAAGGAGTGAGCTAGTTTTTTTCCCTCTTTTTGCATCGCCCGGCAGGCAAGCAGACTGACAGGAAGCCTTGCGTCCGAAAGCTCTCGCTGACCCGGCAGGCAAAGGGTGAGAGGGCTGGATGACAAGATCTGTGGTTGGCTGAGAGAGGTAGGTAGATTATGTTGGTCCGGTAGTGCTTCATTGCCTTGCATTTGTTCTCTTCCTTCTCGCGACAATTCTGACCGAGGACTACAGAAATCTAAGGTAGATAGGCACAGACCAGGTCAGGAATGGCAGGCCAGTTTGATCTGGCCTGGTCTGATCAGGATGGTCTGGGGGATGGCTTGCGTGCATACTACTAGCCTGCTGCAGCGAGACACGCCACCCGGATGCAGTACCCTGAGTTTAACCGCGCTAGTTGAGCTCGCTTTGGGTTCACTTTTTTTTTCTATGCAGGCCTCAAATCCCATCCATGGAGATACAACATGGGGAGGACGCTTGGTTGCTCCGCCTTGTAGGTGCCGGGTCGATATCGGCGTAATCTCCTGCAGAGCAACATAGGTCCTTGACTGATACTAGATGTCGTGACAGGGGGGTGTATGTGCCCGCCATGGTGAGCCATCAACCGGTGCTGTGCACGCGACACAGGCCAGACCGGTCTGAATCAGAGGATATGCCTTGTTGACTTGCTGCCAGGTTCTTGAAGAAAGATGCATGGTCATGAGGAAGAGGGCCTACCTAGAGTCACGAGTTAGATTCTCCCGCAGTGAAAATTTAATTATTCTACTCTTGCTCCGTGCCGATTCTGCACTGTTACTTCTGCTGAGGCCATTCTCGCGCTGATATCCTCGCCCCTGACCGACAGGACTAACCTTAACGACATTACATCGCCTTTTCCTAGTAACGAGTACGCTCTAATGTGGTTTTACCTAGCCATTCAATGATGGTTTTCACGTCAGTCAGACCTCATCAAACGCCATCATCGCTGTGGGACCTCATTGCTGAAAACAAAAGACCGTAAACAAAATGAAACCGGCACATCTTGTCTGACCTCTGCCACGAGGAAGAACAGCAGAAAGGGTATCTGAAAATTTTGTTTTAGAAACCACAGACATTGAAGCAGCCTTGGAAAAAGAAAGAAAGTCTGAGTAAAGTGAGGCGTCTGCAGTGACAGGATACATCACGTCTGTCAGGTATCCCAACCGGCACCAGCAGACGGGTGCAATCATCAACGAAGACGATACTCCCCCAGATTTCTTGGATTAAGACAGGGTACCAGTAATTTGCATCCAGTATCAAAATGCACTCCTTGTCAAGCTCTCACGCCCCTAGTGACAGTTCCACGAACGCGGCCGGTTAGTCAGTTGGTCACAAGCCTGCTGCTGGGCACCAACGCCTGGAAGCAACCCGAGTAGCGCAGTCGCCTTTCGGCTGCCTTGTCCTTGTTTATGTTGGCCAGCTTTGGTTATTTTGGCTTGGCTGGACTGGAAATCAGTCGGCCGAAAGACGACGCGATACTCACCGGTCGCGTCGTGGGAAAACACGCTCTTAGAGGAGAACTTTGATATGACTCTAAGGATGATAATGACGCATCGAGATCGAATTACCTGCCGCCTGACAGTATTCCATCCCAGTTGCTCTTGTCGGACCCGCGTACTTGATGAACTTCAGCTGTTCGTATGCCACGTGTGCAGAACAAGGACGGAGATAAGAACCAATGTTTGGCCGGGACCAGTGATGATGCAGAAGACCGCTGGCGCGTGCTAGCAGCATTAAGAAACAATTTTACGCCTTTTCCAGCTGCGAACATGCAAAAGCCTGTACTTTCATCACATCAACAGTAGGAAAGGCTCTTTTGACCCGGTCAGACACAGCATTTCGTCGTACGAAAGCCCCATCATTCCCATTGAGGTGTTGTGACCACTGCCTTTTCTTAAAAACTGCCAGTTTGATTTGATTTTTGCCAAAACAAAACCCTCCCGTCTGCAGTGCTCCTCGAGCTTATCCGCGAACACATGATGCCCTAGAACCGGAAGGTGTTAGGGGACAGATCCGGTAACTCAAGTTGAACAAGCGTCCCAGTTTGAATGAGATGGTGGATAGGGAGATCCAAGAAAAGGCTTGCCTTTTGCGCCAGCAGCGGAGGCTTCATCTTGCCTCAGGGACGACCAGTTTCGTCGAGCTTGCGTCAGCTACTCGCGCACTTCTGGTAGCTCGGCCAGGTTCTGGTTTGACAGTCCGACAGGCGGCGCGCAAATCCGTTCGTGTGTCGCCATGCTTGTGCCCGTTGTGTGCATGTGCCGGTCGGTCTGTGGCAGGCAGGCTCCCAAGAGCTTGGGTTTGTGTCTTCTTTCTCTCTGATACTCCCGAGAAGCAAGTCAGGGGCTGCTCATCATCAGACGGTGACCGTTTGGTGGAAGAAAAGCGGTGCTGCCCGTCTCAATCGCCGGTGCGACCGCGAGCTGTCAGACTTGCTGCCAAGCAGAGCGTGGGGCTTGTGCCTGCTTACACGTTTCCGATGGTCCTGATCATAAGGAAATTAAAACACAAAGACAGGTCGCTCTGGGCGCGAAGATAGCCTTGGTTGAACCATGATTTGATATCTGGGACCACTCGGACTGGTGATGTTGACTTGCTGGTGAGGTTGTCGATGCTTTTCGAGACATGTTGCATTGTGGCAAAAAAAAAAAAAAAAAAAAAAAAAAAAGAAACTAAAAGCAACCGCACACTGCAGCTCTCTGCAGTCTCCGCGCTCTCCCCTCTGTGGCTGCCCGGTGTAACATCCTTTCCCCCTCAGCTCATGATTGGCCCTTTGCCTTGAGCTTCTCGGATTATTTACCGAGGTAGAAAGAAGCAGCAACAAAAGGTAGGTTTAAATTGAGCTCTCAGAACATTGTGCTGTGGGAAGGTCTATGAGCCTGTCGAGAATGGATAGGGTAAATGCATTGGTTTGATGACTGTCAGGGGCATAGTATTTCCATAGTATTGTGTTCAGTCTGGGTCCGAACACGAGCAGTAATGTCCACGAAAAGCCCGAGGCTATTTTCAAAGGCAAACAATCAGGTTTCTACTGCATCTAAATGAAGCTTATGCTGTTTAAGCAGCAGCATATGCTTGGTCAGCAGGTCAGAGTTCCAAAGAGGGCAGGAAAGGTGCCTTTCTGGAAGCCGGGCTCTCCCCGACACGTGGGAGAAAGACCCGTTAAGAAATGAAAATTGTGACTATCCTTGGAATCCCGATAATATATTTTTGAAACCAATGGCGCCGCCTTGTCCGGAGGCTCTCGAGCTAGCTTCGGATCGTGTCAGCATCTTCTCAGCATCCAGCTGAGCGCTTGAGCAGCCACATTGGGCCTTACAATGACCTCTTGCAGCACGCTTAATGATGCCAAATTCGGGTTTTACTTGATCCAGGCTTAGTGGAGAGGCAGAGCTGGTGAGGGAGCTAGCCCCCGATCGGCAGCCCAGAGAACCCTTCGGCTGTTTCTGCCGAGACTGCTGAGTTTGGGCTCAAAACACTCAGACGTGGGCGGCTATCGGGGCTTCTGGCAAGCTCGTCTTTGTCGTCTTTGCATTCCACACCCCGGGGGATGCGATTGAAAGTGCGGGTACGCGATGGTGGGTTGAGCGGTATCTACTGGGTCAGAGAGGTACCTATTCGTACCCTCCTGTCTCAGGGCCCTGGCTTCGTCTGCTGTGACCTGCCTGAGCTCGCGACGCCCAGACCAAGCATGAGCCGGGCTTCCGTGGTCCTGCTGGCAGACAGTTCCCTTCATCTCCTCGATCGGGGAGGTCGAATGGACCACACCACGCAGCGAAGAAGCTGCAGAAACGGACCCGACGACACGACAGCCAGGGTATCCCG